GGATTTTTTGTTTTTGTTTTGTTGATTATTCTATAGAATCTAGATTCTGGAATATTTTATAGCCATCGTCAATTGGCCTTTTTTCTCTACCTGTGATTAATAAATGTTGATTATCAATCAAGATCAAGATTTCAACAAGTGTCCATCATTGTAAAAATCAAATTACAGAAAACAGACGGACTTTGTTTGTCATTCAATCTGATATTTCAATCAATCAATCAATCAATTATGGCCAAATATCGATTATCCAAACTGGTATTGTAATAAATTTATTGAGATTTTATTGATTCAATTTAATATTTTATTATTATTATTATACATATTTATTGTATTGGCGTCATGATTTGTTCCAAATTCAATTATTAGTTGTTGTTGTTGTTGTTGTCTTTTGTTTCTGGAACAACATCCAAACACAAGCATATGGTGGCCAAAAAAAAAAAAAAATTGGGCGACCATAAACATACATCCAGGTCACCCTATTTATTTGGAACGAAAAAAAAATGGTGCTACATCGGCACATCGACACATGTTGTTGTTGTTGGATCGTAGAACTTGAAGAAAAAAAAATTGGAAAAACCCCCTTAGTCAAAATTGTCAGACACCGTATGTCAACCTTTACGACGACGACGACGATGATGATGATGACATTTCATCCGTTTCTTTTGAGCTGTTCTGGGTATACCCAAAATCTTTGTGTTTTTTTCCATCTTTGTCGTCGTCGTCGTCGTTGTTTTTTTCTTTGGCCGGTCTATACACACACACACACACACACAACACCAAAACTGACGAGCAGCTGGTCGTTTTTTTTAAATGGTTTGGTTTTTTTTTCACTTATCCGTTCCACGAAGATGTCGATGAACAGATTGTGTGTGTGTGTGTCATGACCATCCACGGACACGGGGCTTTGGGGATGAAAATAGGAAGAAAAGATTTCCTACTTCGTCTTAAAGAGTGAAAGAAACAAGATGATGATTTACTTGAATGAATGTGTTCATTGAACTAACAAACAAAACAAAACAAGAAAAAGTAAAAAAGAAAAGAAAAAAAAATTCATCTGAAATCGCCAATAGAGGCACGTGGCATATGGATCAAATTCGAGTGACTGGATTTTTATATTTCAAACATGAAAAAAGAAGAAAAAAGTTCATTCATCTCATTGGTTCATTGGTCAATTTTTTTCGTCAAATTCTTAATCTCACTGGATTCTGTGATTCATGCAACAACAAACAGCAGCAGCAGCAGCAACAGCAGCAATTATCACGTCACCAATTTAAATCATCAGTAATCAGATGAAATGAAATGAATATGAATGATATGGTGATGATAGTGATGCTAAAAATAATTTCAAATTGTGAAAAAAAAATTGTCCACAACACAAAAGAATTGGCCATTTTTTTGAGGATTTCTTCATTCAAAAAAACGATGATGATCAGGAAAAAAACAACAACAACATTTATAGCTGCGCAAGCTAAAATAAAATAAAAAAAAAAATACATCCAACATCCGGGGACAATGAATGAAAGAAAATAGCAAAAAATAAAGCAATCACCACCACATGTGTATGTCAGCCAGCTATAGCCACAGCAAGGCAACAAAAAAAAAAAAACAACACGCGCGACAATTATCATCATAATAATATTCATGGCCTCTGTGTGTGTGTGTGTATATTAGATGAAGACAAGACAAAACATTTGGTTTGTTTCAAAATTTTTTTTTTGAATAAATATAGATAAATAAAGTTTTTATAACTGCATGTTTGAATGACCGTCTCCGTTAGAAGAAGAAAATCTGTTAAGAAATCTTTTCTATTCATTTTTATTTTTCTGATGATGATGATCATCATCATCTTGAACAGCTTGCTGAATTCGTGAAAGAAAAAAAAATTTCTTCTTCTTTTTAAAAATATATATCAGACCATATGGTGCGTGTTTTATCCATAGAGCGCGCACACACACACACACAGATTGTATTCCGGGGCAACAAAAAAAAAGCCGGATAAAAAAAATGACAAATACTGAAAAAAAACTAGATAATGATGAACGCAGACACACACACACACGCATAAATTATCTTAAAGATTTCAGATTTCATCATCATCACCATTATCATTTTATATAACGGGAAAGAATTTGTTCAGTTTTTTTTTTTGAATGAATTTTTCGATAGTGGCGACAATTTTTCTTTTTAATCAAAGATGATGATGATGATGATGATGGAAAAACATTTTCGACAGGTGTGTGTGTGTGTGTGTGTGAATGCGACAGACTTTCAAATCATCATCATCATCACCGGATTGGTAAGAAAAAAAAAAAGAAACACAAGGACCAGCAGCAGCAGCAGTCGAAGCAGCTGTTTGTCGGCTGTCTTATAATAATGGGGGTCCATTTTTTTAAGTTAAGGTAAAAGAGTAGTATATACAGTGTGTGTGTGTGTGTGTGTATGAGTGAGTGAAAGAAAAGGACCAAGGGTACCAAGAAAAAACGAAACACAAAGTCCCGATTTTCGATTTTCTTTTCTCTGAATACACACACACACACACACACATATGGTCCATAAAAAAAAACTTGAGAACATAAGGTGATGGTTTCTGGCTGCTTCATCATCATTTTTTTTTCTTTTGAACAAAAAAAATGAACAGGAAACGGTGATGATGATGATGAATAGTGAAGTGAGAGAGAGAGAGAGACCTAGCCAATGTGTGTGTGTGTGTTTCTCCAGTGAAGAAAAGCGAAAAAAACAACAAAACAAATGACGAAACGTAATAAGGAAACCAGAAAATGAAAAATGAAATTAAAAGATCCAACAAAACAGCAAACAACAACACTGTTTTTTTTGTTCACTCGAGAAAATGGAAAAGAAAATTTCTAGATCCAAGAAAGGAAGTCAAAAATAAAGCAAAAATAAGGTGCGGCAATTTTTTTTTCACTTTTTGTTTTTTTTCCACGATTACGTTATTTGTGGATTTTCAAAGAAAAAATTCGATGGATGGACTAGCGTTTTTTTTGCGATGATGATAATTGTTTTTTGTTTTTTCTCATTGTAATAATAGACATGAGAGAGTTGAGAACGTTTGTCACCAGTTGATAATGATGATCATTTTTTTTTTTTTTTGCTAAAGAATTTCTTTTTCATTTTTTTTTCTGGTGATAAGAATCGCTCGCGCCAAAAACTTGTTATGTTCAATTATTTTTGCCCTTTATCATTGTCGTTGATGATGCTGCCAAGACATTCTTTTGATTTGAAAATTACTTTTTGTGTGTGTGTGTGTGTGTGAGTGAGAGAGAATTGGACAATGGATGACACACACACACACACACACAATGGGATGCTTTGGGATATGTTTAAAAGATAATGTTTTTTTATCTGATTATTATTGCCATCATTCAAAAGAGAGAGAGAGACAATAGATATTCATCATACTGGTTGGTACTAGGGGTTAAATGCCATTTTTTTTTTGTACGGGAAAAAAAATGTTTAAATAATTGTCCGGCTATATAATTATCTTGACTATGATGATGATAATTAATTTATTTATCGTTTTTTTATTATTATTATTTTGAATATCATGGGTTCCACCGGAAATTTTAATTTTTTTTTTTTTTTTTTTTTGATTATTTGGGAGAAATTCTTGAATTTTTTTTTTTTTTGAATTTTAAAAAAAAATTAGTCCATCCCCTTTTTTTGTTCAATATACTCAGGTGTTTTTTTTTGTGTGTGTCTGTTCTGGTCTGTTCTGTTCTGTTCTGTTCATTACATTGTACCAGCCCACCTGAGTGTGGACACACATAGGTGCACAACACATCACATAATAACAATGTGTATAATATGAATGAGGAGAAAGTAGAAGCAATACCAAATGTGATTGGATGAACACACACACACAGAATATAATTTGTTGAATGTAGTAGTAGCATAGATGGAAACTAAAAGAAAAAGAGAAGCAAAAAAAAGTGTGTGCGTGTGTGTTTGTGTTACTCTCTCTTTCATCGTCATCTTGCAATTCGATTCGAACCATCATCATCATCTTAATATAATAAAAATAATCAGTCTATGACCATTATTCATCTGGTTAGGACGTGTTTCGGTGTTTTGGTTTTTTTTAATTCCAAATCGGATGACGATGGTGTCCAGGTTCTTTATCATTTTTCATCATCATCATCATCATCGATTATCATCATCCAATCGACAAATCCAACTTTAATTTATCGAATAAGAAAATGTGTATATGAAAGAATAGTAATAATCTCTAAAATTGTCAATGACAACCAATCATCATTATCAGTGGTTTTTCATTCATTGATCAATTATCTGCTGCTGTCGAGGTTGATGATGATGGTATAGATTTCCATTGACAACCAAACAGCAACAACAAAAAGTAACAAAGAAAAAAAAATTCCTCAATCACCGTGTGTGTGTGTGTGTGTGTGCATGTTTTGTTGTAGAAAATTGTAACCACAGAGAGAAAAAAAAGTGATTCATATTCATCTTCAAGTGCCTGTCTTTGCCATCAACGTTTTTTTTTTTTTGGTGGTCATCATCATCATCATCATCTTTGATTACATTCCAACAACAACAACAACAACAACAAAAAATGAAATTATTCTCGATTATTTAAACGAAATTGATCTCTACTCTGTTTGTTTAATTTGTTTGTTTGTTTGTTTTTTTTTATTGTCTGAGAATTGAATTCAAATTAAAATATGGATCGATTATCCAATAATAATGGTGACGATGATGATGGTCAAATAATCGATGATCATCATCAACAAAACCATCCATTATCAATATATCATAGATCAATGATGATCAATCATCATTGGTCATCACTAATACAACCACAACAACAATCAAGAACAACGACGACGACGACGACACTATTAAATAATGTAAATTATTCAAAATTATATAGAACGACAGTGATGAATGATGATGATGATGATGATAATGTTGTGAAAATGTCAACAACAACAACAACCAAAACAACAAAAAGGCCACCATCATCATCATCAAGATTACTAATTAATAATTCAAATTCTAATCATTTAATGTTGATCATCATCGTCATTATTTTAATACATCTCTTTATAACTCATGTAAGTTTTTTATGTTTTGTTTTAAAAATTTTCATCGATTTCGATTCTGGCTGTCTGTCGGATTGTTGAAGAAACCTTGAAATTCTTGTTAAAAAAAAAAAATTAAATGTAAAGAAAGATGTTAGTTAGATGTGTGTGTGTTTTTTTGTTAATTGATTGACCAATTCAACAGAAAAAAAACAAACAAACTACTGTGGTCATTTCATTTCATTTCATTTTTTTTTTGTTTGTTGTTTGTTGTTTTTAACGATCGTGGGAAACCATTTGCAGCAGCAGCAGCAGCAGTAGAAGAAAAAAAAAAAATTAAAAAAAGTTGCCGGAATGTTTGTGTGCATGTGTGACGATGTCAAAACATGAATGACCACACAGAGAAATAAAAAAAAAAAAAAAAAGCGACAACAAGCGGTCCACAATACAATTGTGAATTAAATTTTCTTCGTTTTTTTTTGTTGTTGAAAGTTTTTAATTCGAGATTGGTGATGTAAATGATCACCAATCGGAAGTCACAATATAATCAATCACACACACACACACACACACACCATCCAAATGATGACCGGATGAGAATTCTTTTTTTCTTGTTTTCATTTTCACGCTTCACGTTTTTCTGGTTGATTGGTCATCAAATAACCATAAAAAACGTATTTAGTTGTTTTTTCTTTTTTTTGGATTTCACAAATTATTCACACTTAATCAAAAAACAAAAAAAAACAAAAACCCGGCGACGCCCACGGAATCGATGATTGATTTTTTTTTCACTGTTTTTATTTTATTTTTATTTTTTTTGTATGTTTACCTGTAATAATTGTTTTTTTTTTTTTTTTTCATTTCACAATTTTCACTTCACCAAAACGAAAAAAAAAAAACAAAACCAACACTTGTTGTCATTGTTTACCAATGGTGGTGATTGAATTCATTGATGATTTTTTTTTTACTTCAACTAAACACAGGTATCTTGTTTAGGAATTTTTCAATTACGACTTGACAGATTTGTCAATGAATATAATCGTGATGCATCCGGTCGTTGTTGTGGTGCTGCTGCTGCTGCTGCTGGCCATAATAATACAACGACATCGACAACAATTTGTAAAGAAAAATGTCAAACATTTTTTCGTATTTGTTTTAAAAATTATCAAGCAAATATCGATACTAATTCAAATTGTCTTTATGGAGAGAAATTAACTCCAGTTCTTTCACCAATAACAACAGCAACAAGTGATAGTCATCATCATCATCATCATCTTAATCATCATTCTCATCATTCATATTATAATTATACAATACAATTTCCATTCAATTTTACCTGGCCAGTAAGTATTCATTTATGTGTTTGATATATTCAAATTGATCTAATTTAATTTTTTTTTTTCATATTCAATTCATTCAAAAAGGGTACATTTTCATTAATAATTGAAGTATGGAATAATGTGACAACCGCCAACACTACTACTACCACTAACATCAATACGGCTGCTGCTGCTGCTGCTGATCAACGTAAGTTTATCCAAAATTTTGAATTTCTACTTAGTGTGTGTTGTACATGAATTTTCTTTTGTTTAAAAAAAATATATAAATCCACTTGCCCCAGCTACCAGCTGATGATTTTTTTTCAGCTGCTGTTTTTCGTTCAGATTTCAAAAAATAGATTCATCCATTTTTTTTAAGCTAGATCGATCGATCTATTTATTGTATTAATGGTTATTGTTGTTGTTGTTGTTGTTTTTAAATCTTTAGCATATATCAAGGTTACCTTTCACCTTTTTGTTTTGTTTTTTATTAATCATCATCATCATCATCATGTTGGCTAGCCATTGGTTTGTGTGTATACATGTATATGTGTGGGAAACTACCCTAAGGGCAATCTCATTCATCGTTCTGGTCGTCATACACCATTTTACCTATGACCATCATCATTCTGTCTTTTTAAACATTCTGTATTACACACTAGGCTAAAAAGTAAATGACAGACGTTTCTAGTTAAAAATTGAAAAATTTTCAATTTTCACCTTGTCTTCACTATGTGTCTCTGTGTGTGTTGTCACCACCATGTGTTTAATAGATGTAAATGTCGTTGTTGTTGTTGTTTGAAAGTTTTTTTTCTGCAAAAAGTTAAAAACAACAACAACAACAACAAAGCAGGTTCAATGATGAAATAAAATGAAATGGTTAATGGTTCAATGCAAAACGTAAAAATCATATTCAATAAAAGGTTGTCAACCTGTTTTTTTTCTCGTCAATCTAACAAACACTTGGTTCCAATTGATATTGGCTGGCTGGCTGACTGAATGGCTGGCTGGGACCAAAATTTTCGTTTCCATTTTCCAATTTACTTTTTTTTTGTTTTCGTTTCCTTTTTGTTTTGTTTATCCCCCCTCACTATTTTCTCTCGACAAACTTAACCTATCCCAGGTCGATGTTAGTAAAATCGGTGTGTGTTTGTGTGTGTAAAGATGTCGAATGGCAGGTGTTTTCTATTTGTATAAATTTGATTCTCACACACAACAAGAACAAGCAAATCCATCCATATACAGAAAAAAACAAGGTCCAAACCTGGTGTATGTGTGTGAGAGAGAGAAAAAAAACGTAAAAGTTGTGACAATAAAAACAAATGAAAAATCAAAAAAAAAAAAGTAAAATAAGATCCATATGGGACTTGTGGATTTCCTTGTGGCCCACCTCTCTCTTTTTATCTCCCTTTCTCCAAGGTCCACAATCAACAGGAATTGACAATCTTGATTATCCAAATGTTCAACTCTCTAAGAGCTAGATTTTTTTTTCATTGGGTAGAAATAGTACAATAATTTCATAACCTTAATTCGCCTTATGGTGCGTGTGTGATGATCATCATGGATTTTTTTTTTTTTGGTACTACGGCCGTACTCTGTTTTTTTTCTCGCTAATTCACTGACCAGCTGTTGATTTTCTTTTTATTCTTCTTCATTTTTCTTATGTTACACTTTTGGTGCTGCCTGTTCCCTGTTATGGTACACTTTATTTGATTTTGATTTGATCACACACTCATTGCCATCTGGCATGTTTTTTTTAACTACGGGCTGGTTTTGGTTTCAGTTTCTTGATAATAATAATAATAATAAAATGGTCAATTTTAACTACAAAACAACAACAGTTGTTTCTCAAGACAATCACAAACTTCCTTCACGTTCAAAGACCTTGTTGCTGTGAACCCGATTTTCGATCCGTCTGTCTTTTTATTATAAAACTGATTAGCTTTCTTTGCTTGATCATCATAGCCTCTGATGGATTTGATTGGCCACTAAAAAAAAACTTCTTGTTGTTCCATAAATTTGTAATATATGAAAACAACGACAACAACAACAACAGACGACAACAGATTTTAGCTTGATCATATTTTGGTTGGTGACAATTTTCAATTTACTAGTTTTTTTTTTTTTCGGGCAGTAGCCAACCACAATAAACACACCAAGTCTGTTGTAGTATGGTTTTCAAGGAGAGTTTGGACCGTGAGAAAGTCTCAAATCAGTGTGTGTGTGTACAACCACCACCACATCATACAATTGTCATCGAATTTAATGGTACTGGTACTGTGTGGTAACAAGGATTGATGTAAAGATTGAAATCCAAATTTGACGGATCAGTGTGTGTGTGTGATATATTTGGTGCTTGTTGCACTCCTTTTTTCCGTTCACACGTTATAATATGTCGGTTTGTTGTTTTATTATTATTCTTCTGCACTTGAAGATAAAACCAGAAAAAAGGTCCACAGCAACAAGTGTTTTGAAATTTAAAAAAAAATAGAGCTAGGTTATATTTCATTCCATTTCCGCCATGGCTTCGTTGTAAAAGTTTTGGAAAAAAATTTTTCAATTTCAATGTCAAAGATGTAAAAAAAATGAAAATGAAATTGCAATTTCATTTTCATTTCATCATCATCATCATCATCAGATCAAATCATCTTTTCAATTCTTAAAAAGATAAAGCAAAAAAAAAAAATAATTGGCAAGATTCCAGTCATAATAATAATCATCATCATCATAAAATGTGTGTGTGTGTGTGCGCGTGCAACAGGTAGTCATTCATTCATTCATTCTGGTTCAGTCAGTCAGTCAGCGGGCACCTGTATTTGTCACATAATCTAAGAATTCTAGTTTTTTTTTACTTTACTTTTGATTTTCTTTATTTCATTTCATTTCATTTCACAATCATAATAATAATAATTACTATGTTTGAAATCAATGACTTGAATGAATGAATGAATGAATGAATGTGATGGTGAAAACAAACTAGCCGGTCAAGCGTAGTTCCTCGCGACAAAGAGAAAAAAAAATTCAAGATGATGATGATGATGAAGGAGAATATTTTTTTTTCTATTCCTTAAAGACGATTATTCCTGTAATAATAATAATGACAATAACAAACTAATATCAACCTATGACCTTTTCTTGAAATTAGAAAAAATGATGATGATGATGATGAAGGAGGAAGATTGTCGCCAATGATAATGTCGTGTGTGTGTGTGTAAGTTTTATTGAAACGAAAGAAATGAATGAACAAGAATCAGAACCTATTGATTAGCTTGAAAATTGTTCATTCATTCATCATCATTTTTATTGTGAATGAAAATTTCAGAATTCTTCATGTGTAGATGAAATAAAATACTGGATGAAAGTGATTTTCTTTTCAAACATTCGGACACGCACAAATTTAATTCAATTGACGACCACCATTATTAATCAATCAATTATTAATCAATGACCTAATGATAATCAATGATTTTTTTTTTCTCTTTTTTTGTTTGTTTCAAATAGATAATAAAAAGAATTTAAATTCCAAATTACCATCATGGAATTCGACACCGAATTTAATAATCAGATCATTTGAATCACGACGTAATGTATTGGCAATGAATAATGAATGGACACATTATGAATCACGTATTAATCATACATTATTACAATATTCATATCGTATACAATGTAATGATAATTATTATGGTAATTCATGTACGATTAAATGTACACCACGTAATGATCTTTATGGACATTATAATTGTGGTTCAAATGGTGAGAAAATATGTCATCAAGGATGGACAAGTGAATATTGTGACAAACGTAAGTGTGTACAGTATACAGTATACAGTATATTTATATGATGAATGTATTTGATTTACTTGGAAAAATGAAAACAAAAAATCTCAACGACAACAACAACTTGTTGTTGATTGAGAATTGTTAGACTAGAAAAAAATGATTATCATATATCAAACAGAACAGAAACAACACAATCAACCAACGAATTTTTCTATTTATTTTTGTAAATATTGATCTAAGGATGTATTGATGAATTTTTTTCGTTCTCTTTGCTGTTCTGAATGTTCTGATATCGTTTTTTTTTGTGTGTGTTGATAACAAATAAATAAACACCAACACCAACACACACACATAGAGTACACACACTCAAAGAATGTCCATGTGCTCTATATTCACATTGCCTTATGTAATTGTTGTGTGTGTGTGTGTTTGAGATGACAACCGGATATCCCGTGATGATGATGATGATGGTGGTCGTCGTCGTCGTCGTCGTGTTTGATAACCGATATTCTCAAACACTAAACAACAACAGTGATATATAAAAAAATTCAGGCCAACACTAAAAAAAACAAGCAATAATCCCAGAAAGATTTTAATTTTTTTTGCCATTTCTTGTTATTCTTCAACCAAAAAAAAAGTCTGATTTACAGACTTTTGACTTTTTTTTAACATTCTCATTCATTCATTCATTTATTCATTCAATAGATAGAAACCAATTAGTTGCAATGAAGACAAACAAGACGAAATAAGAAGAAGAAATTAATTTCTTTTTTTTCTCTCTCTCTCTCAAAAAGGACAAAGTTCATAGCCATCATCAACGATCATCCTGATGATTGTCAGACACACACACACACACAGTAGTAGCTGTGGCGGTGGTGGTGGTTTAATTGTCCATCAAGCGGAACAAATTGTTTTTTGTTTTCTTTGGCCACCAAATCACTTCTATTGTGGAAAAAAACAGATAAAGAAAGAAACAAAATTCAATAGTTTAGATTTTCTTTGCAGATTATCAACAGGTTTTCATCATCATTTCATTAGACACCAGTAGTAGTAGTAGCAGCGGCAGCAGTGAACAATGATAATAATAAACAACTATGCTGATGATGATGATTATAATGCCAGATTAATTATGAATTTTATCATTATCATAAATTTTAATTCAAAAAAATTTTTTTTTTTTCACAGCAATCTGTCGATCATGTAATGAAACAAACGGATCCTGTATACGGCCAGACAAATGCCAATGTCGTATGGGATGGACAGGTGATGATTGTCAACAATGTAAACAATATCCGAATTGTAAACACGGTTATTGTAATGTACCAATGGAATGTATTTGTAAAGAAGGATGGGGTGGCCTACTTTGCGATAAAGGTAAAAATCCAAAAAAAAAAAAAAAAAATGATGAAATGCAATCCTTTATTTTTTTGTTCTTATCTAATAATTTGCTTTTGTTTGTTTGTTTGTTTGTTTGTTTTCTTTGTTAGATCTAAATTATTGTACAAATAATCAACCATGTAAAAATGGTGGTCTTTGCACCAATACTGGTGAATCATTCACGTGTCAATGTCCACCAGGATTCATTGGTGAATATTGTGAAAAAGAATTGGATAGTTGTGATCATTCACCATGTTATAACGGTGGTACATGTAAGGTAAGAGAATCTTTAGTATTTGCTTGGCTTGGCTTGGCTTGTCTAGAGCTTTTTTTTTATTGCCCACTCTCTTAATATGGTCCATATGGTCGTCGATTGGTATCAATCAATATTCAATGTGGCATTATAATTCCAATGGATAAATCTGTTGTTCTGTATTGTTTAGGGTCCATATGGTTAGTCGTAGTCGTAGTCGTCGTCGTCGTCGTCGGCCATGACCACATATACCTATGTTTCTTATACAGATCACAGATGGTTATCGTTAGTTAGTTAGTTAGTTAGTTAGTTTTTTTTATTTTCTCATTACCTTGAGAAACAAAAATGAATGTGAACCAAACACCTTGGCTAGAATTTTATTTTTATTTCATTTTCAGGGCAAAAAAAGACATTATTTTTTTTAAATTTTGAATTTGCCAGGAAAAAAAACAATAACAATAATCATAACGATGATGATGATCAGTTGAAATTGTGGAAAAGATAAGTTATCAGGTTTTTTTTTCATTTACTGCTGCTTCTGTATGCATATATAGATAGATAGATCCTGGTTTGTTTGTTTTTTATTTTCGATGACCATCGATATTTTTAATATTTATAATATATCGATAGATGGCCAATAAAAAGAGAAACAAAATAGTGAAAGTCATTGTCATTGATGATGAACAATCGATTATCGATGAAATCGATTCTCGATTTATTCATCATTATCATGATGATGCTCGATTGTTGTTTTTTGCTGCTGGAGTATTGATTTTTAAATAAAGATATAAGTTGATGATATGTTTACGGATTTCCGATGAATAAAATTCCGATTTTTTTTGCAAAATTTTTATTACAACCAGAATAATGCCATTACAAATTATACATGTGACTGTCCAATCGGTTATGGTGGTCGCCATTGTGAACAATTGTTGAGTGTTTGTTCCAATAATCCATGTGAAAATGATGGTACCTGTATTGATGGACCAAGTGGTTTTCTTTGTGCTTGTAAACTTGGTTATTCTGGTTCACGATGTCAAATACGGCAAAAAGGTTGTTCACCAAATCCATGTCATGGTATGTTTCAAGTGTTTTTTGTTGAATTTTTTTTTTAATTGAAAATTTCAAAATTAACCGTGAATAATAACATTTTCTTGTTTTTTTTGTGTCAATTTTTTTTCTATCAACAAAAACAAAAACAACAACAACAGGTGGATCATGCCAAATATCAAATTCAACAGATGAAACATATAGCTGTGAATGTCATGCCGGTTTTTCCGGTGATCATTGTGAAATCAACATTAATGATTGTGAATCAAATCCATGTTTAAATAGTGGTACTTGTGTGGATGAAATCAATACATTTCGTTGTCGTTGCCCGCCAGGTTTTGTAGGTGAACTATGTGAATTGAATATTGATGAATGTTCAATGATGAAACCATGTCTGAATGGTGCTACATGTGTTGATCGTAATAATGATTATCTTTGTATTTGTCCACCCGGATTCACTGGCAAAGATTGTTCCATTAATATTGATGATTGTGTTAATTCGCCCTGTTTTAATGGTGGCCAATGTCATGATCGTATCAATGGTTTTTATTGTCAATGTCATCAAAATTATTATGGTAATCGTTGTGAATTTATTGATTCCTCATCAACAACAACAACAACAACCACGACAACCGTGACAAATATTTTACTACAAAATTCATCATTACCATTTTGGGCTGAAAATCATCATGATAATTCAATCAAATTATCATCAACGACATTAATGTCCATTTATTCATTAGCAATTCTGTTGCTTGCCATCCTATTCGTTATAATCATCATAATCGTATGTAAAAGATTACGACGTTATGGAATAAAATTGAAAAGACGTCGTGATGAAGCCGAAACTAGAAGACAAAATGAACATAATGCTATTATGAATAGTATGAATAATAATAATAATAATGCAAAATATTTGGATCTAAATTCTGGCACTACTACTACTACTACTACCAATGTAATTGTCAACAGTCTACATCGGCCAGCATCCATACATCAATTGAATATGAAATGTCAGCCTAAAATAACCAATGAATATGTTATTAATAATCAACAATTTAATCATCAATTCAATAAATGTGCTACATTACATAATGGTTTTCGAGCAATGAATCTAAATAATAATAATAAATAATAATAATACAATGAAAGAAAAAATGATCAATTGTGGTACTGTTTCTGCTGCTACTATCGATGATCCATATATGCATACATATGAACAAATTCAACAACAACAACAACAACAGCAGCAACATTATAAATCAAAATGCAATCTTTTATCAAATAACCTGTCAATGAATAATCAACAACAACAACAACAACAACAATTATACAACGTCGATCAATATTCAATGATGAAACAATCAAATGTTGATCTATATAAAAGGTGTGTGTGTGTGTGTGTATCTAAATTTTTTGCATTATGATTCTTATTGTAGAATTTATTCTGAATTCTAACGATTTTTTTTCTATTCACAGTGATTTTCTAATTGTAGCCAATAATAATAATAATAATGATCATCATCATCATTATAATACATCAGTTGAGAATAATATTCTTACAACAACAATATCACCATCATCCAGAATGAATAATAATCATCATCATTATGGTCGATCCAGATCTGTTTATAATGTGATATTAGATGATAATAATGTTGTTGATGATGATTGTAATAATATTTATACACAGCCAATATATAGTAATAATGGTGAACATAAAGATCAAAAAATCAATACTAATAATAATAATAAACTACATGCGACAGAAGTATAAAATCATTTGGAATCAATCAATCGATCGATCACTGAACAACTGCCCCACATTAACGAGCTTATCATCAATTTGAAAAAAATGAGGACAGTATAAAATGCACACGCTGATTGTTATCATCATCATTATTTGTTTGATTGATTTGATTAGAATTCTTTTGATCATTATCAAATTATTTAAAGAAAAAAAATCTCTAATCTTCTATATACACACACACACAGTGATTATTTTGTTGTCAATATACATTTTGCTTTTCTGTTTGTAAATATTTATAATCATACATTTTGCACACACACACACACAGACATCATTTTCGTTTTTCTTGCAAATTATTGTGTATTATATAACTATATATCATCATGTTGATTAATTTCAAATTTCAAATTTTTCATTTCTACAACCACAATCACAACCACAACTACAAAAAAGTATTATCCAAAGGACCGAAAACAAATACTATTACTAATACTGCTACTACTGCTACTATTGCTACTACTACAACGAGCATCCAATTTCATTCAATTTGAATTTTTCTCTTTTTTGAAGCCAAAAAACAAAAAACTGAACATTTGTAAATAATAAAAAATAAAATAAAATTTTTTCTTGAAAAAAAGTCATGGAAAATGTCACAAATCCATCAATCAATTGTCATACAATTTTTTTTTTTTTTGGGGGGTTTCATCAATGATGATTATCGATATTGACTTTCAAATTATTATGTTCTACGTGTAAATTGATTTTTTTTTACAACCCATAGTTTTTTTTCTGACTTGGAAAAATTTTCTGTGTGTGTGTGTGTGTGTGTGTGTGTGTGTATGTGTTGGATGATGACTTGATTTTGAACGTTGAAACAGAATATGGTGTGTCTGTAAATGTTGACCATATTTTTTTTTTTGGACAACACTAATGGACTCGTTTGTCGATTCACACAATCATCGGCAGATGATGATGATGATGATGATGATCTTTGATCTTTGAAAAAAAAACGAAATTCAACATTGAAAAGCCATAAAGTCTTCTTATTATTCGTTTGAGGCTATAAAAATTTTTTTTTCTTCTTTGGTTTTCATTGTAGAAAAAAAAATTCAAGAATTTCAGAAGCTTGTTAAATGTGTGTGTGTGTGTGTGAGGAACCGAAAGTAAAACGAAAAGTTCATGGCTCGTTGGTCATTAGATAGATAGATAGTTAGATAGATAGAACACACACACAAAAATCAATGAGTGGTATAGGCATGCATTGCAAGCAAGCAGGCAGTCACATAATTATCGCCCATTGATTAACATACACATACACACAATATATATAACACATTATCGATTAACGAAATCAACCGAAAATGAATGAAAGTTTTTTTTTCGTTTTCATTCAATCATTCAATAATAAGGAATTTGAACGAATTTTTGCTTCGTTTCGTTTCATTGGAAATTCATGAATCAATTTTTTAGACGACAACGACAACAACGACAACAACGACGACGAATGACGCTTTTATTACCCATATATATAAAATATAATAATGAACAATGTTGACAACCAACCAATCAACAAGTGTTTGATTTTTTTTTTTTTTTTTAGTGATCACCTTGTGAGGCTAATGGATAAATCTCATGTGATGACCTTAGAATAGATGACACTTTGCATACATATACACACACACACACACACGGTACTAATTAATGAACCGAATCGAAATATTCCCGTGTGTGTGTGTGTATGTGTGTGTGTACGTGGTGACATTGATAATCCTATGCTTGCAGCAATAATAAAAGACAAAATTGACCCCTTCACATATATTATTGTCTCTCTCTTTCTCTTTCTATGCTGTATTCAATTATCATCATCATCAAGTGATTCTTTTCTCTTTCATATATAGTCAATTATAATGACCTTTGACATATGATCAAAAACGGTAGCCAAATCTGGCTAAATAAAAATGCATACCAAATGAAAAAACTTGTAAAACTTTATTTATAAAATTGGTCCTTGATCCATTATCATAATCATCAAAATCGATCGATTGATCAAATAAATATAAAAAAAAGAGAGAAAAAATTAATTGATTACAGCAGCAGCAGCAGCAGCAAAAAATACAATTTTCCAATATAAAAATGTTCTTTTCCGTTGTGGATGTGTGTGTTTGTGTGTTGGGTGCAAGTTGCAAATACAACATCGATTGATGATCAAAAAACAAACAAACAAACAAAATAAAAATATGTATTTTTTTGCTGCAAATGCGTGTAAACAAAAAAAAATATACAAAACGTATCGGATACGTTTTTGTATTTCTACATTTTAGATTTAGAATAAGGATAAGGATAACAGCAGCAATCGAAAAACGAACGAAATGAAAATTGGGCGCCAAACTTACGCCAACAGAATAGAACAGAAAAAAAACATGGATTTTTTTTTTGTTTCTATTTGTTTCTTTTGTTATTTTGTGTTTGTTTTTGTATTTTTATATTTTTGATTTGATTTCATATATAAAAAGAAAAAAACAATACGTACACAGTGAATATTTTTTCATCATCAAAAAAGGTCAAAGGACAAATGATTGAACAGAAAAAAAAACGAAAAACAATAGTACAGAAAATGTAAACTTACAGATAGAAAAAAAATAAGCATCCGGATTCATTACATTCATTCATTGAATCACGCGGTATTTTTTTTTATCACTGTGCACAGATTCATTATCTTTAAATATTTCCTATGATATGAAGTCTGTGTGTGTAAACAATAATTGTCAACCAATGATGATGATGATGATGTTTCAATGAATGAATCGAAGGAATTTTTTTTTCGGTAAAATCTTATCATTCGATCATCATCATCATTGATGATGGCCAAAAAACTACTACTTACTTGATTCCGACTTTGTGAAAAATAAAGCTGAAAAAGAAAACCCAAATAAACAGACAAACAAACAAACAAACGAAAAACCTGCCGATATAGCAACAGCAGCAGCAACCAAGAAGCTGGAAAAAAATATATGAAAGAATCATGTGAAAGTTGATGCGTTTTTTGTTTTGTTTTATTTATTTTTGTTGTTGTTGTTGTTGTTTCTCTGCAGAGACATACAGAGATCAGAGACATCTCATTGAGAGATGTATTCGTGAGATTTTTGTTGTTGTTGTTGTTGTGTCGAGGTCCGATATTCAAAAAGAAATGATTTTTCGAGAGAGAATGAGAGAGAGAGAAAACATTAAACATTGAGATGAGATAACAGTGTGAGAGAAAAAAAAAAAAACCGGCCAAATTTGCTCGCAATAGGGGTAATGATGATGATGATGGAATTTTTTTTTTTTTTTGATGAGGCTGCTCCTGGTAACGAAAGAGTCATATATCGAATGATGATGATTATTTGATCATCATCATCAGCATCTTCATCGTCGTCGTCGTCGTCGTCGTTTTTGGTTCTCACCGGCCGCTTAAATTTTTTTTTTTACCTTCAAATTTTCAATAGTTTCTATGATATTTGAATGCAACGAAAACGAAAATGATGAAAAAAAAAAAAGAATTTGACCCTTATAAACATCGTCATCGTCATCATCAAAAGATTGCGATGACTATGAGGGCTATAGATACTGTGTGTGTGTGTGTGTGTGTGTGCACTGGTGAGAAATTTGTTTTCACATCATCATCATCAATGCTCATGCAAAAACATAAACATAAACATTTCGTTCATTTAATCTTTATTTTGTATCAAATGATGATGATGATGATGATCGAATTTTTTTTTTGGCCAAGAAAGAAAAAGAAAAAGAAAACATTTGTGTGTCTGTGTGTGTGTGTTCATACGTATGTTATTCTCACACACATTCTTAATTACAGAATCACACAATGGAATGTTGACACACACACACACACACACAAAGAAACCAGAACTGAATTTCATCAAATTTTCAAGCCAACAACAACAACTACAATGAAAGATGATCAATAAAAGTAAAAAAAAATGACTGATGGTCAATGTTGATGATGATCATCATTTTTTTTTCATTCAAAAATTTCATGATTTTGTTTTATTTTAATCCTTCAAAAATATGAAAATATTCATTATGTGTGTGTGTGTGTGAGAATGAAATGAAATGAACCATAATAAATTATATAATAATAGCAGATGATGAGCTTTGTGTGCATATTTTCAAACGATTCATTCACTCACTAGACTGATTGATTGATTGGCTAGCCTCGAGGCTAAAATATTGTGTGTGTGTGTGTGTAATGAAATGAAATGAAAAAAAATTTAAATCCCTAATAATGATCCATATTTAAAAAATAAAGTGATTGACAATATGAATCGAGCTATTGAATGAAAGATTATCGTAATTAACTGAAAAAAAACTACCCTGACTGACCGGTAGGTAGGTAAGCAGATAGGTATGTGTGATTGATCATTGGGTCCCATTCAGATTTATTTTCTTTCTTTGTTAAATATTCCCAATGGATCGATTGATTTACATATATACGTTTGTTTTTTTTGAAAACATTTTGTACACTTGTTGCTGGTTATTGCAATTGATTATTGATTGATTATGGAAAATGGGAAAAAAAAGGATTTTTTCCGACATGATAATCATCATCGTCATCATCATCATGATCCATGATCAAACAACAAATCAATCAATCAATCGATCGAATTGGAAAATGAAAAAAATCTTTTCTCACTATCTCAATCTGAACACATACAAAATTCGTTGTTTTGATCACACACATGCATGTTTGATGACATATTGATCATTGACATGTTTTTTTTTCAGTCAGAGTCGGCTAACGAGTGAACGATTGACAACAACAAAATGATTTTTTTGTGTGTGTTCATGTTCATTATTGTGTCATGTACAAAATGGACAAGAAAACAAAAATGAAAAAGCGTGAAACACACACACACACACAAACAGCAAAATATCGAATGTTCAATCAATCAGCAGGAATCCTAAACGAAACAAGAATCATAGAAATTCGGTCCACCGAACAACAACAACGAGAACTGAAACTGGCTTGTTCACTACACCATAATTAGCTTGAATATGAAGAAATGAATGCAAAATAAAAATCAATTTCAATGAAAGTGAATAATATTTTTCTGGTCTTATTCTTATGAATTTAAAATATAAAAAAAAAATTTGATCAAAATTTGACCACTAAATCGATTTATACAAGATGAAAATGAAATCAGCCTTTTAATGGTCATCGTTATTTTTCCAGTGCACAATCTCACACACAATAACAAATTAATTGATTTCACTCTCTACACCGTGTACGCATCGATTATTTTTTTTTTCATCGTCATTTCAACAATAAAAAAAAGAAGAAGAAGAAAGAATCAATTCCATTCATAGGTGCGATATAATTCGTGAAAAAAAAAAAAAATCTAACGTGCGCCATCCACCATCACCACATCACAGGAGAGAGAGAGAGAGAGAAAAAAAAGGCAAGAAAATGGCTGAACAAAAGGGGAAAAAAAATGAAATTATGTAATAGCTCGACTACTGGCTTGATGGCTTGATGATGTATGGATGGCTGACTATGGCCAAATCATTAATTCGAGATCCATATTGCCATTATCATCATTCATTCATCTACCCAAAAAAAAAAAATATTGAATTGAATAGCCTATATAGCCACGATAATTGATGATAATTGACCAAGTAAAGACTTGACTTTTTGGCTTGGTTTGAAGGCCATTCATTCATTCATTCATGGGTTGTTGTTGTTCAAATGAAAAACCATTATTATGATGATGATAATTATAATCATCGTCATCGTCATTAACACATTCAATTCGATCCAAGAAAAAGAAAAAAGACCAAAATTCACCACAATCGTTCGTTCGTTCTTGTCAATCAATGAATAAAAATGATTCTCGAAACAATAGATGAGCAACAACAACAACAACAAAAAAAACGAAAAAGAAAAATTCATTTTGTTCAAAACATTAGTGTGAACAACAACAACAACAACAACATGGAAGAATTTTTTTTCTTCCAACCCATATTCCATTCGGTCTGGTTTTTTCTGTTGTCGTTGTTGTTGTTGTTGTTGTTGTTCCGATTTCTTTTAGGGTAAAAAAAAATGTGCGAAAAAAAACATCATGCTTAAAGTGATTCAAAGATGTGTGAATGTGTGTGTGTGTGTGTGTGTATGGCGGCAGACACTGAATCAAAATACAACGACAACAACAACAACAACAAATTCCATTCGAATGAATAACAAGGAACAGACAAAACAAAGTGGAACAAACACACACACACACCAATACATAACAATGTTCTGTTGTATATATATATTTGTGTGGTGTAATGAAAAAAATTGGCGATAATTTTTTTTTTTTTTGAAAGTTTCTTTTTCTCAAATCGATTTGTTTTTGTAATTTTTTTATTTTTAAAAACAAAAAATTTTCTCTCTTTCATTTTTCGCCACAAAAGTTGTCGGAAGTAATACGCATTTGATGACGATAATGACGAAGTATCACTCATCACTTATATATATATATAGAAAAAAGAAGTTAAATTTGGAATCAAGAAAACACACACACACACACACACACACTGAAAAAAAATTCAATCAATCAATCAATCAATTGATTTTATTCCGTGATTGATTGATTGAACTATTTTCCCATTTGCTATTTCGGTTTTATGGTCTATAAATACCTCGTTTTGAATTCAAATTCAAGTCGATCAAATAGATAATTTAAATTTTTGAAATTTTTTCATAAACAAAAAAAAATATAGACAGAATTTTTAATCGCGCCATTTTTTGTTTAAAATTTTTTTTAACCGATATAATATCGCCATCTATTGGCGTTTTGTGTGAAATAAATACATTCGAATTTTTTATTAAAATCATATATACATTGATGATATGTGCCATTGATTGATATATTCATCATCATCAATTCTACTATTCATTCGAGTTTGTAACATCGAAAGAATGTGACCAAATTATTATCATCATCGTCGTCGGCACGTTTTAGGCATGATCATCATCATTGATTATAATGTGCAGACACATTATCACATGTGACATATATATAAAAAATGGGTAGATAGTGCTGCCATCGTTTTTGGTGATTTTTTTTGTTTATAACCCATCGAAATTCATGTATGTCAAATGTATGCAATAACAACAAAAACCAGCTATATATTTCGCACATAGACACACAAAATTATATACAAATGCTCGAAATTTTTGGCTTGATACAAATTGTTCAATGCCGTATTACATATACGTTGTTGTTGTTGTTGTTGATGTTGTTATTGGTGGCATTTCATTAAAAAACGGACTCATTAAACATCATATGAGTTATAATTTTTGAAGAATATCAATGATGGCATACCGATCATGATAATTCAACCTTCATCTTTCAATCAATCATTCATTTATCATCATCATCATCATCATCATCATCATTTTTAGTAGTTAATATTCAATTTAGATTTAGAATCTTTTTTTTTTTTTTAATTTCATTTCACGTCTCAATATTCAAAGCAATCGTTTCATCATCAAAAGTTCAAGTTCATGATTGAATTTTTTGTTTTGTTTTTTTTTCATTACATTACATCCATCATTCGTAGAAGTTGTTGTTGTTGGTAGTAGTGGTGGTGGTGGTGGTGGTTTTTTCCCTTGGCAATAGATTTTTTTATTATTTTTGGAAATGGCCAATGAAACGGTATGGGTATTTGCTTATGGATCATTAATTTGGAATCCTGGTTTTGAATATAAAAATGTAATCGTTGGCTATATCAGTGGATATTCAAGAAGATTTTATCAAGGTAGTGATCAACATCGTGGTTCACCTGAATCGGTAATCTATTTTATTTTGTTGATTTTAAAACATTTCTAATGGAAATTTTTCATTTCGAAAATTATTATAGCTTGGTCGTGTGGCCACTTTGGTCGAAGATGAACAAGGTTTCACCTGGGGATTAGCCTATTTGATTGCAGATGACCAAAAAGCATTAGAATATTTAAAACAACGTGAATCCAGTATCGGTGGTTATACAACGATAATGACAAAATTTTATCCAAAAGATTCACGAATCAAAGAATCAATACAGACCTTGGTTTATATTGCATTACCATGTAATCGATTATTTCTTGGCCATAGCCCACAAATAGCCGCCGATATTGCTCAATCAAAAGGATTTTGTGGCCATAATGTTGAATATCTATCAAAATTGGTTGCATTCATGAAAATTGAATTGCCCAATATTGTTGATGAACATCTACAACAATTAGAATCAGAAGTGAAACAAATTTTACAACAAAATAATCCAAATTTACTAAACTATTTTACCGATGCAATCAATTCATGGCTAAATAGTGATATATTAAGTTTAATGGAAGATATAAATGATTCATTCAAGATGACCATTAAACCATCATTCATCAATAGACAAATGATTGACAATGTGCCTAAAAAACAACAATTACGTTGTATGATTAAGTATTGATTTAGGAAATTTATTTTTCTTCGTATACGAATTCATTTATGTGTGTGTGTTCAAACAAATTTAACAAAAAAAAATTATTTTTCAATTCTAAATGAATCTAATATGGATTAGGATTTTCCAAAAAAAAAAATTTATCTATTTTTTCAATTTTTCTTTGTAAAAATAATAAAAAAAAAAAAATTTTTGTGAATCTGGAAAATTTTTTCGGAAAGTACTTTTCGATCGATTGAAAAAAACTTTTCGGGAAAACCATGAAATTTTGTTTTCATATTTTCATATTTTGTCTTCATATTCGAAATTTTTTTTTTGTTTTTCAAATCATTGATAACAACCAGCCATGGATCATCATGAAATTAAAACTTTATTATCATCATCATTATCACCATGTCCAGTATTTGTTTCGAATACGAAAATTTCCGTTAAAGAATTTATTGAAAAATGGAAAAATCATTTGTCTAAAGAATTGTCATGGATCGATCATCATGATCAAACTGAATTGACCGTAAATCAATTGGGTAGGCCATTGCAATTTGTCAAAACATTGGAACAAAATCTTGATCTGGATGAATTTACCGATACATTGATCTAAAGATGGTGCAAATCTAAATGTAGCGGTTGGAACATCGGAAACGAAATTTGATGCTCAACGTCATTCGAAACAAAAATATCGTCATAAATGGCTAAATAAAATGGTCGATATCAAAGATAAACATACGGATCAATGTGATCACCATAATCCATTGGCCGTATTGACCGTACAAATATTTCGTCCAGTATATAAACATTCATCGAAAATAAAGCTACTACTTGATCGTGAATATGAAATACTTTCCTGTCAAAAATTGTCCGTTTTACGTGATTCTTATTTCTGTATATCCGATATGATACATCAGGCTGATTATAGTGAACATCCTGAAGTGTCGGTGCCAAAAAAAATGAAAACACATGAAAAAACTGGCTTATTCATCATTGAGAATACTTTTTATTATGATGATCGTTTTGAATTGGAATCATTCGACACAATTTTCGATTGGACCAAACAATCATCACACTCAGTGAAAAAATCCGATTGTTTTGAAAAAAAATCAATGACTAGCACACGTTTTGAAGATCTAGAAATTCGTCTAGGCTATCCATATGTTTATATGCATCGTGGTAATTGTGAACATTTACTGGTATTCACTGATATACGACTATATGTGCCGAAAATTGAATCCATCACGGCGGATAATTATCCACGATTTACAATGATGGAAGATATTATTACGACCAAATGTCAAATGTGTCAATTATATTCAGCCAAATGGTTAACAATGGATAATAAACGTTTGCCATTATCGCCATATTATTTTTGTCATAATTGTTTTGTTACATTTAATTATGATCAAGATTTACAAAAAATTGGTTCATTTCGTGCATTTCCATTACTTTGGGATATTAATTGAAAAAAACATTTCATTTATTCAATTTCTAATTATTTTTATTCAAAAGTGGATTATCATTTCAAATTACAAAATGTTTTTCAATTCAATCAAATCAATCAATTAAATTTTTTTTTTTGCAGATATTTTGGATAGATAATGAAATAGTGGTAAATGTTTGTTTTTTTGTTTTGTTGTTGTTTAAAAAGGTAAGTGGTGTGTGTGTATGGAGAATGAGAAAAAATAAAAAGTGTTTCTGTGTATTAAATGTTTGTGTGAAAGTTTAAATGAATGAGAAATTTTTAAAAAGCAAGAAAATGTTTAAATGAAATTTTTAATCAACTTCTTCCATACGTGAAACATCAGCAGCTTGAGCTTGACTATCCGGTACGGTTGGTTCATCGATAACATCACCACCATCATCGACAACAGTATCATCTTCATCGATACCGAGGCCAAGTTTAATCATACGATAAATACGTGAAGCATGTGTTTGTGGATCTTCCAAACCGAAACCAGAACAAAGCAATGCAGTTTCGAACAAAAGATTGACCAAATCTTTGACAGATTTATCATTTTTATCGATTTCAACTTTTTGTCGAAGTTTTTCCACAACTGGATGATCAGGATTGATTTCCAAATTTTTCTTGGCTGCCATATATCCCATTGTGGATGAATCACGTAGAGCCTGAGCTTTCATGATACGTTCCATATTGGCACTCCAACCATATTGGCTAGTAACAATACAACATGGTGATGATACCAAACGATTTGAGACCAATACTTTTTCAACTTTTTTATCCAAAATATCTTTCATTGCTTTACAGAGATCTTCAAAACGTTTTTTATCTTCTTCAAGTTTCTTCTTTTCAGCTTCATCTTCTGGCAATTCCAAACCTTCTTTGGTGACCGATACCAATGTTTTACCATCATATTCTTTCAATTGTTGTACACAATATTCATCGATTGGATCCACCATATAGATTACTTCATAGCCACGTTTGCAGACACGTTCAACGAATGCTGAATGAGCTACGATATCGCGTGATTCGCCAGTAATGAAATAGATATGTTTCTGATTTTCTTTCATACGTGAAACATAATCCTTCAGCGAACACAATTCATCACCCGATGATGATGTATGATAACGCAATAGATCGGCCAATTTTTTACGATTAGTAGTATCTTCATGGATGCCCAATTTGATGTTCTTGCTAAATTGTTCATAGAATTTTTTAAATTGTTCTTTATCATCATTCAATTCTTCGAACAATTCCAAACATTTCTTGACCAAATTTTTGCGAATAACTTTCAAAATTTTATTCTGTTGAAGCATTTCACGTGAGATGTTCAATGGCAAATCTTCACTATCGACAACACCTTTGATGAAATTCAAATATTCGGGAATCAATTCTTCACAATTTTCCATGATGAATACACGTCGTACATACAATTTGATGTTGTTTTTTTGTTTTTTATTCTCGAATAAATCGAATGGTGCACGTTTCGGTATGAACAATAGGGCACGGAATTCCAATTGACCTTCAACAGAAAAATGTTTGACAGCCAAATGTTCATCCCAATCATTGGTAAGGCTTTTATAAAATTCACCATATTCTTCTTGACTGATTTCATCGGGATTACGCATCCAAAGCGGTTTGGTTTTGTTCAATTCTTCTTCATCATTATATTTTTCTTTGATTGTTTTCTTTTTTGATTTTTTCTCTTTTTCTTCATCAACATCTTCAATTTTGGCTTCATCAGTTTCTTTTTTTTCTTCACCATCTTTTTCTTTATCATCATCTGCAGCAGTTTCTTCTTCATCATCAGAGATTTCTTTTTCACGTTCTTTTTGGACCATCAATTTGATTGGATAAGCAATAAATTGTGAATGTTTTTTGACAATTTCTTTAATACGACGTTCTTCACCATATTCAATTTGATCTTCTTTCAAATGAAGGATGATTTTCGTACCACGACCCAATTGTTCACCAGTATCCGGTCGAATAGTGAATGAACCGCCAGCCGATGATTCCCAAATATATTGTTCATCATCATTATGTTTGGAATGAACAGTAACCTTATCGGCAACCAAATAGCCAGAATAGAAACCGACACCAAATTGGCCAATCATCGAGATATCAGCACCAGCTTGCAAGGCTTCCATAAATGCTTTCGTACCAGATTTAGCGATAGTACCAAGATTATTGATCATATCGGCTTTTGTCATACCAATACCGGTATCGATGATTGTCAAGGTTTTTTCATCTTTATTCGGAATGATACGAATATACAAATCTTTTTGTTCACCCAATTTACTTGGATCAGTCAATGATTCATAACGAATTTTATCCAACGCATCCGATGAATTCGAAATCAATTCACGAAGAAATATTTCTTTGTTACTATAAAATGTATTGATGATCAAGCTCATAAGCTGAGCAATTTCGGCTTGAAAAGCAAAAGTTTCGATTTCTTGTTCTTCAGGCATGATGAAATTTTTTTTTAGACAGAATAGATTCGAGATACAATATATAAAATTTAAATCACGAAAAATTTTTTTAAAAATGATGAAGAAAAAACGTTTCAAATCGAACAATGGAGTGAAAAATGATGAAAAAAAAAACGAACAATGTGCAATCGAAACGAAGCAAAAAAGAATAAATGGTGGAAGTGTGCGTGCAGTGTGCATGTGCTTTTATATAAACGGCCAGATGAATGTTTCTAGAAAATTCTACTCTATTGTCGAACATTACATTACATGCGGTTTTCTATTGGCAACACATTCAGTCATCATCATATATGAATAATCTGTAATGTTGAAATTAATTGAAATTTACCGATTATCGATTTGTAATTATCATTTTTCCAATTGTCCTTATTATTCAAACATTTAATAATCAGTAGATAATTGATAATTATCAATAATTTTATTTTCAAGATAAATTTTAAATCACCAAATACACTAGTATATGAACAGGACCAGAAAAAGAAGGCGTAGACACATTGACAAGCAATGCTACTAGCTGTTGTACGTGTGTACTACTACTACTACTACAATATATACATATCGCTTGTAACATTTAAATGTGTCCTTTTCATATATGAGATGATGAAAATTTAAATTTGAAACTTGGCCTTCTGATTGATTGATTTTAGCTTTATAAAACATAAATAAATAAATAAATCGATCGATCGTTTTTTATTCAATTCTTTTTTTTTATTATTATACAAATAAAAAAATATATAAGAAAAAAAAAAATTCATTTCCATCCTTTTCACACAATTGTTCATTTTTTTTTGTTTTGTTTTGTGTTGAAAAAAGTTGTTGTTGTTGTCGTTGGACAGAAGAAAACATCGATGCTCGTAGTATGCAATGAATGAATGAATGAGACAAAAGAATTTTGTTGATGATGGCTCATTTCGATTGGATTGATTGTTTGTTTTGTTTTGTGTGTGTGTGTTTTTTTTCAATACATTGAAATTTTCTGTCGTCTAAGCTAAACGAAAAAAAAAAAAAATCAGACCATTATAATCATCATTGAAAAAAATGTAGAAAATAGAAAATTGTTACATTAATCAATATATGCAGAATGCAGAATAAAAAGAATAATATAATATTTGTATGTATGTATTTGTGTGTTTGAACAAAATCTTGTTAATAGAGAAAAAAAATAAAATGAAAAAGTAGAAATATAGAAGAAGAAGAAGAAAATATGAAAAAGTTAGAAGAAAACAAAATAGAAATATTAGTTTAGTGAGTAGATTAGGATTATTCTGGTTATTGTAAGGTCTGTGTGTGTGTGTGTGTGTAGAAATTTTTTTTTTTAAATATTTAGAAATTTGTAAATTTGTCAAGACAGAAAAAAAAGATAGGCACATATTTGTTTGTGTGTGTGTGTGTGTGTGTGGATGTGAAAATTTTTTTTTTTGTTTTTGTTTTTGTTTCAATATAAGATTTCAAGTAGATAAAATTGTTTAAAAAAATAGAATAGAATTGTAGAAATTGAAAAAAAATACAAGCATACGTGTGGCAACGAATCATTTCATTCATAAATTCGTTGTAGAATTTTCGTGGAGCAATCAGTATATATTATATTATAATTATAAAGATTGAGTATCTCAGGCATAATTGTTGATAATTGATTGTTGGACAGCAAATCGAATCAATTGATCGAAAAAAAAATTATTGTCTCTTATTGCTGCTATTTATCAATGTTGTTGTATTATTTTGATTTGATTTTCCTCCTCTCCATTTACGATTTGACATTGAATTGCTATTATTATTACCATTATTATTGTTGGATGTAGATAAAACTGTTCCGGTTGCGGCTGCATTCATCATAGCAGCAGCAGCGGCCGCTGCAGCAGCAGCAGCAGCTGCTGCTGCTGATTGTCCATTTGAATGACCAGCCGTACCATTATTAGTATTACGTCGATTATTATTCTGTGGTCCATTTGCATTCGCATTCGTTGGACAATATGGTGACATTGTTGTTGCTGGAGGCACTTGTCCACCGCCATTTGTTAGACCACCATATGCATTCCATTGGGAAGCCGCTGCTGCAGCTGCTGCTGCTGCTGCGGCAGCAGCCGAATTAGGTGGAACATTTGAACATGGAAAATTAAATTGATGATGATGATGAGGTGGTGGTGGTGGTCCACGATTTGGTGGTCCATACCACCAATCCGATGGATCATAAAACATAAGTGGATTCCAGGCATTTGGATCTATTAACGAAAGTATAAAACAAATGTTAGTTAATCACCAAAAAAAAAAAAATTCAACAATCATCAAATTTTACTTTGTCTATTATATGTTACGGGTAACATTGGATTAAAAGGCTGTTGAAAACGATTTCGAACATTTCTACTACTCATCGGCAGAATTGGTGTTGTAGCTAATGGAGGAATGGAAGGAATCGGTGGACGAATTTGTGATTGAGGCACTCTTGGATAAGTCATCATTCTAAAATTAAAAAATAATAATAAATGAATATAAGAATTGAATGAAAAATATAATGTAAATTGAATCATACAATTGTTTCTGTTGCATCATTAGAATCATTCTTCTTTCACGATTACGTAAAACTTCTTCTTTCTTTTTACGATCAGATGGTGGTTTTGCCAATGAAATTTCAATACATGAACCGCCAAAATCTTTATCATTTAATTCATTCATTGCATTCAATGCCTGTGTACGATCTTCAAAATGTACAAAAGCATAATCTTTGATTTTTTTCACTCTTTCCACTGCACCATATTCTTCAAATAATTCTTTCAAATCATTTTCACAAACATCATTTGTTAAATTACGAACATAGAGTACTTTAACTTTTGACATTGTCTCTTCATCTGGTTCTTCTTGTGGATCAGCCCAATCAACTAGAATGTCACTTTTAAATATTTTCATTCCAGTTGTTGTTAATTTACGTTTAGCAGCTGATGCATTTTTATGGCTATCGAATTCAAGAAAACAAAAACCACGATTCTTTTTACGATCATCCGGTGAACTATAAATTATTACTTCGGTTAACCCCTCTATAAAAAAAAGAACATTACCAATTAAAAATCAACAACAAAATCGACATACATACCGGTTACTTTATTAAATTCTGTAAAAATTTGTTCTTTACTCATTACTTTCGGTATATTTCCAATAAAGAGCCTTAAATTTGGCACTGATATGTTTACTTTAAGTGAATATGAGCCTTTCGAACGTATTTTGTATCCATTTAGCTGAAATAAATAGAAAAAAAAATTGAAATAAATGACCAATTACCAAATCATATGATTTTTAAATTTTTTACTTCTTGTACAGCTTTTTGTGCATCTTCTTTATTACAATAGGTAATAAATGCATAACCACGTGATTGTGATGATACCGGATCAATCATTAAACGTAGATCCCATAATTTACCAATCTTTTCAAATAATGGTATCAATTCATCTTCATAAACATCTTTTGGTATACGACCAACAAATATTTCCGAACCAATTGGTGGTTGTGCCATACTTTGCCAATCTGAAGGTGGACCACCATATTTTCTTTGACCCGCGGTTACTTGATGTGGATAATCTGAGATTTTTTTTTTCATTTCAAAAATGAATTCATTCAATCAGAGAAAAAATACTTACTTGTGCGTTCCAATATTGCTTTTAATTTATTTGGATCAGGTCCAGGTGGTATTGATGATGATGAAAAATTTATTTGTGAATCTGATGAACTACTTGTAGCTTTATCTTGTATACTATTACTACCATTTTCATTACAAGTTGTTGTTGTCGCCGATGTTGTTGTTGTTGTCGTAGATGTTGTTGCTGTTGTTTCTGATGATGATTTCCACATATTTACAGGATCCATTTTTTCCAAAAAAAAATGATGATTATTTTCAAGATGAATGAATGAGGATTCGATAAAAGTTTGAGTTTTTTTCAAAAATACAGGTAATAATTAATTTATTGTTGTGTGGCTTCTAATTAATTTCGTTTTTGTTTATCTTTTGCTACATTTGAATCGAAATTTTTTTTTTTTGCTGAATAACTAGTATATATATGGATAAGGCGCTGATGGAATCTGTATCTTTCAATGATTTTTATGTCATCTAATTTGAAAAGAAAAAAAAATAAAATGGTCATTGAAACAACAAAAAAAAAATGGAACACAAAAGTTTACCATTTTTTGATGATGACTTTTTGTTGTTGTTATTGTTGTTGTGGCCGTAGTATCGTCATATTAAACATTCGATTCGGAATTTTTTTTTGTTTTGTTTTGTTTTCGAAATAATCACCAATCAAAAACGGATGAGACAAAAAAAAAATATCACACACACACACACAAACACAAAATTGATTCACAGAAAAAAAAAAAAATAACAAGGATTCTTGGACGGGAAAGGAATTTTATTTGGAGCCAGAATTCTTTTTTTTTTCTTTTTATTGATGAACTTTTCTCACATTCATGCACTCATTATCAGCATTACCTTTTGCACTATACACACACACACACACACACATACAAACAATCTTGTTTTTTGTCACGTCGGCCGGCTCAAATGTCATACAAATAAAGCACACATACCACCATCATCATCATCATCATCATCATTTCATTTCATTTCATTTCATTTCATTCATTCATTCATTTTTACACACACACAAACACAAATCTTTCATTTATATTTTACCCATCACACGTGTTTGGTCATTTTCCGGTTTAACATTAATATGCTACATCATACGCATACACATAATAGTTTTTTTTTTTACATCAACGCTCGAACTTTGTAATGCATGCATGCATGTGTGTATGTGTGTGTATGTTTGTAGTAGTGGTGGTCAATGATATTAAAGGTGGTTGAAACATAAATACTACTACTACTACTGATTGGAAGTGGTATATAGATATGATAGAATAAAAAATTTTTTGAGGCGGGAGGATGACAAACGTCAACGATTTTTTTAAGCCAAAAGTTTTTTTTTTATTCGAAAGAAAAGAAAAAAAAAATTTGTAAATGAGAATTTTTGAGAAAAAAAAAAATTTTTTATTAATTAATTATCATATATTGAAAAAAAAAATTTTTTTCCTAGATTCATTTCTTTTTCGAATCAACCGGTGTTTGTTGTAGTTGTTGTAGATGATGATTGTATTGTTGTTGGCAATCGATAATTAGGTTTTTCAATACGTTGATAATTGGGCAGAATTTTGCCTAAAAATTCAATCTGTGATAATTGAATTGATGGTTTTTCTTGTTGCAAACGACGTTCACATCTTGTACCATAGATTACTGTATTTTCCGGTAATATTTCATCATAATTTATAGTACACATTGCACCAATTACACAACCATTCGTAATTCTAGTACGTAATCCAACATTACATTTAGATTCCATTACATTATGATCACCAATTTGTAATGTGGAAATATTTGAACCAACTTCAAATACATTATGATTACCAATGGTCATTGTATGGCCAGGTGTTTGATTTATAATACAAACATTTTCTTCTATTAGATTATAATCACCAATAATAATTGGACCACATTTAGCAATTATTTTCGCTGTTGGATGAATAACATTTTTCATGCCAATTATAACATCACCTTCGATTCGTGTATGTTCAGTACAAATAATCGAACTATAAGATATTTTTACACTTTAATAAAGAAAATAATAAATTCGATTTTCAGTGTTCTATGAGTATAAAAAAATTCTTTTTCTTAATACATACGTTTCTTTATTGATGGACATGATGATGATCAATAATTTTAGAAGAAAAAATCAACTGAATCATACCGAGAAATATAAGAGAAATTTTCCAATAAAAAAATAAACTTTCTCAACGTAACATCGTTTATGAATTGCACGAAACGCTAAATAGCCAATCAAAATCAAGTATTTCAAAAAAAAAAAAAAAAAAACAGAAATTCCATCAACACACACACGAGCTTTTCATTAACTGTCATTTTCATCACATTCAATATCTTTGCATGTGACAATTTTTTCAACTTTCATCATCCAAGACAAAAAAAAACTGAATATTTTTTTTGTTTCACGTATTTTTATTTTTAGATTACAAGTGAACAAATTTTAATGAAAAAAAACGATGGAAGATAAATCAACACCAGGTACTTGTTCAGGTACCAGTAAATCACGTCGATCAACAAAATGTCCATTATTCGAATCAATTTTGAAACAAGCAATTTGGCTGAAAAAACAAGGCATCACCTCACAAACATATGATCAACAAATTCTCGATACAATAATCGATAATTTCCATGAACATCTTGATTCTGGATGTTTTTGTGTTGCTCGTTCATTCACTTATATTGCATTGGCAACAACTTATTTGGAAAAATTTTATTCAATGTTTCAAAGTTCCGTATTGTTCATGACTGAACATGAAAGTCGATTGCATAAAATTGCCGAAGAAATTCGTAAAGAAAAAGAAAAAAATTTCATCAACGATTTAGATGTGAATGATGGAAGTTCATTCATTGCCGAAAATAATGATATTGTCAATGTATCGAATTTCAATCGTTTAATGGAACATTCTTTCAATGCATTTCGAATGTATGAAAAAGGTTTGCAGTTGGCCCGAAAAGAAGAAAACATTGTCAATTGGAAATTTCTTGATCGTTTTGGTTTTCTCACCAATATGAATGCATTGTTTCAAATATTTTCCTACTATCATCTTGATATCTATGCATTTAAAGTTTTAACATTTGCATTAACAACGATTGATCAATATTATCCACAACAACAACATTCATTATCAGGTACAGCATTAATAGCAGTTGGTGAAAATGAAATTTCAAATGAAAATATTGTACTAATTCAATGTAATCTATTACGTTTATTATTGAAATTTGGTTTCATTAAGATGGCTGCATCATATTATAAACGTTTTTTTGGCCAAATGAAATTTTTTGAAATGATAAACAATGAAGATATTGAATGGATTAATTCATTTGAACGTTGTATGATATTTCTTGTGTATTGTGAAATTTCATTACGTACACGTAATGGTAAACAAATTTCTATAAAATTGAAACAATTGATTCAAAGTAATTATCTACAAAAATCAACAATTAAACGTTTTTTAATCAAATCAATGGCTAATTCATTGGCCACACATTTTCCATCGATAAATTATCAATTTGAAAATTATATGAATGAATTTATTGAACCAACACAAATGTCTGTCGGTATGTGTCGTAGATGGAAATTTTTTGCAATGTTTTTTCCAAATACCAATACAAACCAATCATCAAATATCTATAATGATCTATGGTGGATACGATTCGCTGTATTGAATATTTTTTCCAATACATTTGAAACATTTTTAGATTTCAATCTAAATAATGGTATGAATTGTGATCCAGTGTTTTATTATAAATTAGCCGTCAATCTTTTCACTGTAACGATGAATTTGTTCAGGTTTGTAAAATGTTTTTTTGGTATTTTTCCATTTTTTTTCATTAATTTTGTTTATTATAGTTTAGGAAAATTACGTCTAACTGGAGCCATATATGATATCAATAATACATTCTATATGGATGCTAAAATCAAAATGATTTTGTTTAAAAAAATTTTCCATGGACATAGCAAATGTAATGATGAAATTTTTAAAATTTCACCAACACCAGAATCATTCGATGTGGAAAATGATTTAAAAATTGATTTAAAATTGAATGATTTGAACAATATCGATAATGATAATGATGATAATGAAGAAGAAGATCCAAATTCAATCAATGTAATTTATAAACGTCTTAGAAAATTTATTAATCATGCTCATCATAATGGTGATATGGACGATTTGAAAGAATCAAATTTTTATCATGAAAATATACCAATAGAAAAATTATCTTCATCATTTATAAAAGATTTTCAACAATCATTGATTCATCTTCAAAAAGATTCGATATTCTATCTATTTCAACTTTACATTTTACATGCCATCATTGTGAATATGTTGATTTATAATGAAACCAAAAATGCGTTAGTCATTTGCCGTGAACGTTATCTGTCATTGTTGAATTTTTTCGAATATTTCAACATGAAAATTGTGATTCCAGAATTGAATCGTAAATTAAAATCTGGTAATAATAATTCGTATAAAATCATAGTGAAAACAACCATGGACGAACAAATAATGAATGGACCGATTGAAAAATTATTCTGGATTTGGAATACATTTTTTATCGAAGTATTGATACAACACGATAAATATTTGGAAGCGTGGCCATTTTTACATCGTTTGATTGATATTTCAACATATTCCTATAGTAGCCGTATGCAACGTTCACAAATGTTTTATTATCAAGCTTTGGTACTTTATAAACAATTGAAACGAAACAAAAATAATGATGAAGAATCGAAAAAAATGTTCAAATTAATTACACATCATTTAGTTGTTGATAATTTTCAAAAAGATTTGAATTCATTGGAAAAACTATCAACACCATCGCCAAAGAATCGAAAAAAAGCTTCAACAATGACAAATGCTTCTGCCATTTTTGAAGCGCCAAAAAAACGTGATCCACTTGGTAGTGCTGAAAAAGAATATAAAAAATCATTGATGGACAAAATTCAATCATCTCGTCATGTTATTGAAGGAACACGAAGAATAAATGATTTTAAATTCGATGATGATGATGATGATGATGGTGATCTGGATCCTGTTAATGATAATAATAAAGACGATAATGGTTCAATAAATATTCCAAAGATAGAATCATCCGATTCTGTTACTACTACATCGAGAAGTCATACGAATAAAGAAAAGTTTAAAATTTTTATTGATCAAGATTGTCAAGATCATCAAGATTATGTCAATTTAAATGAATCACTTTCAAAAATTTTTTCAATGCTAACAATTGTTGATCGTAAAAATGAAACTACGAATACGACGACAACAACCAACGAAACGGCTACTACAGATTTATATTTTAATAAATTCTTCAATTTTGATAACGAAATGAATGATAATAATGGAAATTATAATCCTGATTCGATTACAAATGAAGATGTAAAACTTTGTTTGAAAAAAGCAATCAGTTATATTGGCTGTCATCCTGGTCATCGATTATATTCACAATTACATTATCTATTTTATAAATTATACAAATTAATGGCTAAAAGTAATCAAATATTGTGTTTTCATTTAGCGGAAACGGCACCATATCATTGTTTTCGTTATCGATTGTTATTTAATACATATAAAAAAATCAATTCATCAAAATCACCACAATATAATAATTTGGAATTGATTCGTTTTAAAAATGAAGATTTTGCCTATAATGCATATGTTTCGATTCTACCAAAATCGTGGAGATTTGTACAGGTGAAATTGATTGAAAATGGTAAAAATAATCCAGATTTACTTTTATGTCGATTTCAAAATGGATATCAGCCATATTTTTTGAAGATAAAAAGTGATCAACAAAAGGTTAGTGTGGTTGTGGTGTTTGAGTGGCAGATTTTCATGTATTTTTTCCCCATTTCTCTAGGACATTAAATTTTTTATGGAAGAATTTGCACAAATAATGAAATTGAATAGTATTTCAATACATGAAACTGATAAGAAAAGTTTTTGGCGTATGCGTTTTGAGACGGATTTTCAATTGAAAAATTTATTGGATATAACTGAGAAACATGTTTTTGGTTTAGCACGTGGATTTTTTATGGGACAAACAAATAATCGAAAATATATTGCATGTTGTACAGGTTTTCGACGATCATTGTTTGATTTGGCCAAAGAAATGAAAATTTCATGTCAAGATTATAATTTATTGAATATTTTCATTGAATCAATTGTATTGTTCACCGCTGAAGAAGCGGAAATTGCTGCACAAATATTGTTCACGACGAATGATGATAAATTTTTGAAACGATTTGAAGAATTACGGAAAAAATATTTTACAAGTTGGATGAAAAATGATAAATTGAAACAACTTTTTGAAGATATTGAACCAGTTGGATTAATCATTGATCAATCATTGAATCAATTTCCATTTGAATCGCTGCCAAGTTTACGACAAAAAGGGCAGCCATTTTTTCGTATTCCATCGATGAAGATTGCTGCTTTACTATATGAAAAATATAAACAATTAGTTGATGATGGAATAGATGATGAAAACTTTTATCTTTTAAATCCTGGATCTAATCTGGCAAGTACTGAAGCATTTTTTAAGCAAACATTTTTATCCATAAAAGAATGGACTGGTTTCGTCGGTACCGTACCAGAAGGCAAAAATTTGGCCGAAAATTTTGAAACAAAAGATATTTATGTCTATATGGGACATGGTTCGGGCAGTCAATATTATCGATCAATACCGAATGGATTCGATGTGGTCAACATTAATTCATTATCAATCGTAGTTGGTTGTAGTTCGGGCCGTGTTACAAAAGAAACGAAAACATCGGATGTTTTTGGTTCTGCTTATCGTTTTCTTATAAATGGTGCACCAGTATATATTGGTGCATTATGGGATGTAACCGATAAAGATATCGATATTTATATGAATGAATTTATGTCACTTTGGCTTCCACGTTGGAATCGAGAACAACAACAATCGCGTAAGAAGAATAATTCACTTTGTAAATCTATTTCATTGGCTAGAGATTCATGTAAATTACGTTATCTAAATGGCTGTGCTTCGGTTGTATATGGGCTTCCATTGAAAAATCGTTGCGGATGATGATTGAATTAAACAACCACTATTTTTGATTTCGGATATTTATAAATTTTTTAATTCCAAAAAAAAATTATTTCCATAATCATCATGTTGTATATGAACAACTCCTAACATGCTTAAATGTGATAAAATGAGAAAAAAAACAAACGAATTCAATTTATGATTTTTTTTAAATCTATCCTTTATAAATGATTCAATAAATTAAAAGAAAAATGATCAAACCAATTCATCGATATTCTTGTATATTGATTGATTTTTGGCATAAATTTGCTGAACGTAATTTTACAATAATTAGACGACAGAATTGTCTACATGCACCGAAATTAGTATTGGGTATTGAAACATCTTGTGATGATACCGGCATTGCAATCGTTGATCAAAATGGTCAAATTATTTCCGAAGTATGTGCATCACAAACAGCTTTACATGTATCGAATGGTGGTATCATTCCGCCGGTGGCACGTGATCTTCATAAAACAGTCATCGATCGTTGTGTTAGTAATTGTTTCCATAATGCAAATGTTTTGCCATCGGATATTGCCGCTATTGCTGTTACGGTTAAACCTGGATTACCATTATCACTGTTGGTTGGTTGTAATTATGCAAAAAAACTTTCAGCAAAATATAATCTGCCTGTGATACCTATTCATCATATGGAAGCACATGCATTGACCGCTTTAATTCAATATCCAACAAAATTATCATTTCCATTCGTAACATTGCTCATATCTGGTGGTCATTCAATCATTTGTTTTGTCAATGGAATCGATGATTTTCGTTTGATGGGCCAATCAGTTGATGATGCACCCGGTGATATAATGGATAAAACGGCAAGAGCATTGAAATTGAAAAATCTTGGACCACCATTCAATCTAATAAGTGGTGGTGCTGCTATTGAATTGATGGCAAAAAATGGTGATCCGTTTGCTTATTTTAGTCGCATTACATCGTATCCACTTTACAGTAGTCGACATCGAACATGTAATTTTAGTTTCAGTGGTTTTTAACAGCAATTCAACGAAAAATTCGTCAATTGGAAATTGATAATCAAACATCACCTGATGAAGTATTGACGGAAGCACCGGATTTATGTGCATCAATTTTATTTGTTATTTCATTCATATTAATCAAACGTTTACAACGTGCATTTCAATATTTGGATGAAAAAGAATTGCTACTACCAACATCGGATTATGATCAACGAAAATTAGTCGTCAGTGGTGGTTGTGCTGCAAATCGTTTCATTGCTGGAATGTTAAAAAATTATTGTTACCACGAAGCAATTGATTTATTTATTCCAACACCAAAATTATGTACAGATAATGGTGTGATGATTGCTTGGAATGGTATGCTGAAATTACAGAATGAAAAATTGTTTCCACATTTTATTCTTCGTAACAAAAAATTTATTCAAATGTTAGATATTGATTCAAAAGCTAAATTAGGCCATGATATTAGTAGAGATGTGACGAATGCAAATATTAAATGTGAAAGAATTGATATTAAAAGTTTTGTAAATTTTCTTTAAAAATTCAATTAATTATATCAATCGGTATCGATCGTTTTCAATGGTTCAATTTCAAATTGTTGAGCCAATTTATTCTGTAGGGTGGGAAAAAAATCAAATTGAATTCAATTAATAAAATGATTGATTTTTTTGGAATTTTTACATACAGCCATTTTAATTTGATTGATATGATATTCAATACCACCTTGATGGTCACATTTTTGCATATGTTTACGTTCTGGATCACCATGAATTAAAACCGGATTATCGGGATCAGCTGGTTTTTGTGATCGTAAATTATTCGCCAATTCAGTCATACGATTATCGAATCCAGGTGCAAAACAATCCGGATTTATGGCAACAAAACATTGGCCCTTTATTCAATGATAAAATGATTTTTTTTGTTGTTTCAAATATACGAAAAAAAAATTTCATACCAAATCTGCTTCAACATGATTAGCTGTCCAATTTCGAACGTTTGGAGCAACGGATGAACCACCAAGGATAGAGGTGAATATTTCGACTAATGCTGCTAGTCCATAGCCTTTGTAACCACCTGATAAAAAATTTTTTAAAAATTAGAAAATCAAATTGTAACGGTGATATACAAACTAGAATTTTCTGGTCCACCCAATGGTAATAATGCATGATAATTAGCTGGATCATCGATTGTTTTTCCATCCTTATCTATAGCCCAACCATTTGGTATTTTTTCCTCTTTCCGATGTGCTATTTCAACTTTTCCAAGAGCAACAACCGATGTGGCCATATCCAAAACAAAATCATCATTTTTTGAACTACTTGGAGCACTGACAGAGATTGGATTTGTACCAAAAAATGGTTCTTTACTTCGTGTCGGTGCCAATAATGGCGATGCATTTGTGAATGACATTCCCTTTTTTTGTGAGAATAATTTCATTAAAAAAATAACGATGATTTTTTGAAAATACGTTACCAATAATTTATGTGGAAGTGCCATCATACTATAATAGCCAGCGATACCGAAATGATTACTACCTTTAGCCACCACCCAACCAATACCGCATTCTTTAGCTTTTTTAATAGCTAATTCCATACAGAATTTACCAACAACAGGACCAAGTAATGCATTTCCATCTATCCAAGCTGTAGCGACGGTTTCTTTTAGAATCGTTGGCATTCCATCTTTTCGACATGAACCTTGTTGTATATCTTTTATATAAAGCTCTAAAAATACAAAAACAATGAATTAAATGAGCATGGATAATAATGGATATATAAATAATTACCGATACGATTAAGACCATGGCTAAAATGGCCACGATAATCACCGGTAACCAGAACTTCGGCCAAACATTGTGCATGTGATGGATTGACATCAAGTTTAGCCATTATATTACTGATGAATGATTTCATCACATCAATTGAAACAATTCTTGAATTTGTAGCCATTTTATTGAATGAATGGTTTTTTAAGAAAATAAAAAATAAATCAATTTTATCTCTCTTTTAAATGATGTAAAATCGTGACTTGATCGTTGTTTTGTGTGTGTGTGTTGCAAACAACAAGTTGATTTCGTCCTTCAAAGATGTAATATAAGATGTGTTGCAATGATGATGATAAATATAAATAAAAAATCGATTATTTCTTCATCGAACAAAAATTTGTGTGTTAAAATTTAAAAATCAATCACATGATAACGGTGTTTGAAATTTTTGACACAGGATGGCAGAGCACTCGGTTGTTGTTGTTTTTTTAAATGTTCTTTTTGTTTCTCTCCATCGATTAAAGTGAAAAAAATTGATTTTTTTTTCTAAAATTATCATTACAAATGATTGATTGTTAATTGATTTTTATTTAATCGATGTTTTTAAACTACCCATTCAGACAGATATAAACTCGTGATGATGAATCTCAATAATTTTTTTTTTTTTTTTTTTTTTTTGATCAAATGATGATAAAAAAAAGTTTTTTTTCTTTTGTTTTCCAAAATCTAAATTCAATTCAATTTTTATCGATAATTGCAACAACATTTATTCCCAGATCAAATGATGATAAATAAATTACATTATTATGGAAAAAAAAAATTGCAACGGCGGGGGAGTATGTATATTTTTAATGCATTTTACAAGTGCCAAAACAAAAGTGAAAAACATGGATATCTAATCAAATGCATCATCTAAATCGATATGCATCGATTAAATTCTGATTGACAATTGGTAAGTAAAAAAAAAAAATAGATGATGATGTTTCTTTTTTTAAACTTCAAATTTAAAAAATCCTGTTATATAGATCAATGATGATCAAATCAAAATGATCATTTACATTATTGTCATCATTTGGTGTATATGGAATGAAGAATATCCAATCCAAAAAAAAAAATGTCCGAAATTATTGATTTATCCGATTTAATCGTTAATGATGAAGACAATGATGATAATGAATTGATATATCAAAATCTTTTATATGGTGAAACAATTCCAAACAATACGATATTGTCATCACCATCATCAAGCTGTTCTGTTTCCTATCATCATAATGAACGTCTTACATCATCATCAAGTTGTTCATCATCAACTATCAACAACAATTATGACCATTTTGATGATGCATTTTTAATGCAATCATTTCCGTTTACATCACAACAGCAACAACAACAACAACAGCAACAGAATTTATTCAAATTCGAATCATCATTTTTTTGTTATTGGCTAAATTGTTCAAAATCATTCACCACATTGAAAGAATTGGTAATTATTTATTGTCAGAAAGAAAAATTTCTATAAAACAATATTTTGATATTTCTTTTGTCTGGCAAAAAAAAAAAAATGAATAGAATGACCATATTGGTTATGATCATGTTGAACCACAAAAATATCATGTTCATCAACAACAAAATTCTGGAAAAAAATTCATTTGTCAATGGTATAATTGTATGCGTGATCGTAAACCATTCGATCAACGTTATAAATTAATCAATCATATGCGTATTCATTCGTGTTATAAACCGAAATTATGTCAAGTAAATAATTTACATTACATGAACGTTTTATGTGAAGAAAAATGTAATTTTTTTTTTCGTTTTTTCTCTTCCTATTTTCGTTACAAGTATCCTGGATGTGGAAAAAGTTTTTCACGACAAGAAAATCTTAAAAATCATTATCGTACACATACCAGAGAGAAACCATATATATGTAAAATTGGTGGCTGTATGAAAACTTTTACCAATACATCGGATAGAGCTAAACATCGACGGGTACATTTTGATCCGGTAATCAGTCATTTGTTTGTTTGTTTTGTTCTTTCAAGAATTGATTTTTTTTTCTCTTTTTGCTTTAGAAACCATGTCGATGTAAATTTCCTGGCTGTACAAAAGCATATACAGATCCAAGTTCATTACGAAAACATCGAAAAAATAAACACGCTACAAATCGAAATCTTTCCGAATCATGGTCAATGTCATCATCATCATCATCGCCATCATCATCATTTACCAATATGAATTATGATAATTCAAATCTAGCACATTCGTGGCCGAATTCAATATTCACTAATTATGAATCAAATGAATTGAATTCTAATCAAAATGTTCAAAATTATGAATCATATGTTACGCAACCGATGCAACCAGAACAAAATGGATCTCAAAATCATCATCATTATGGTATTATTAACAACGAAGGATTGATGATTATGGCAAATGATGATCACCAACATTATTGTTCTGATTCATTACAATCACAATATAATGATTCATCATCATTTCGCAGTCAAATTGTTGAACAAAATTTTCATTTTAATAATTATTCAATCGATGAACAAGTGGATTATGGTAATGGAATAATAAACAATCACCACTACTATCAAGACAATGATCTATGGCAACAAAATAATCAAACTTTGTATGCTTATTAATCAATAATAATATAAATATTTTTAACTACTACGAATTTTCTATATACCAACATTTGATTACCAATAAAATCAAACAATAATACCGGTTAATATTAATGATAGATTCATTGTAGTATCGATGTAATCCATATTTTTTATATCCTCCTTTATCGATGATGATGATGATGATGATGGTGGACGATAACTAAATCGCCAATATTTAGGATCAATTACAACTATTATTAATGAAATAAAAAAAACAAAAGTGTAAAAGGGGAAATAAATGTAAAAAAAACAACAACAACAAAAAATATTGTGTTTGTACCTAAATGATTTGCTGGTAAATAATAATAAATCCGTTTGTAAGTAGAATTATTTTTTTGTTGTTGGCAAATATATTGACAATCATCGATGGCTGTATGTAAATCGAATTCAATATGACCTTGTATTTGTATGATAACCATAATATCTGTCTGTTGTGATGGTATTATCTATGATTTTTGGGGAAATCAAATGGGAAAAACAATGATAAACCAGAAAAAATAGTACATTTGATGATTTTTCATAGGAATTTATCATACACAACTACTACCGGTTTAAATGTCCGTTGATTAATCGTTTCTGATGATGATAATAGTAGCCAATTTGGTTTACTCATTTCAATCATTGGTGGCAGTATTGAAAGCCGTTTATATAAATGGCGAATTTTTTTCATTTCTTTTAGTCCACAATTTTGCCTGTAAAATACAACAGATTTTGAAAATATATGGAATCATGAATTTATGAAATAAAAAATTTTACCAATGTATAAACCAAGGCATATGATGAATATATGAATGACCATCATCATCATCATCATCAATTTCATTGAAAAATTCATATGGATCATTGACATTCACCAAATTTGATCGAAACATACAAATACCATAATTGTGATGATGATTTGTTTCATTATAAAGCTGTAAATTTAGTCATATTGATTTTTTAAACAAAAAAACAACAAAAATTTACCCTCTTAAAATCGATTATTCGTGTGAAATTCTTTCGTATTGGCCATGATCGTATTTCATTTGTAACGAAATGTTCGTCATGATAAATGAAGGGCAATTTCTGCGTAATAAACGATGTAATTTGATCATGTAATAAACGTCGTTGTTGTTGTTGTTGTTGATCATATGAATTGCCATTGATTTTTATTATTTGATTGACATTTTCACAATAATCACATCGTTCATTCGATTTTTTCACTGCTGTTGTTGATGATGTTCGAATATTCGATGATGATGATAATAAACAACGATCATAATATACGTCTAACCAATTCCAATGATTTTCCAACTATGTAAAAAATTATGTCAATCAAATTTATTTCAATCAATGAATCAATGAATGAATTTAATTTACTTGAAATAAAATTTTTCGACCAAATCGCATTCCATAACGTTTACATGTATTCGATGTCAATAGAAATGAAATCAATAATAAAATGAATGACAACCATATGATGAATGATTTTCGTTGTAAAAATTTAAATGAATGATTTAAATGATGATGATGATGATGATGGAAATGTTTATCGAAAATCGTAGCCAATTCATCATCTGTCATGCCAATCAAATGAGCTTCGATAATTTTTTTATCAAATTCATCATTCATTTTTTTCAATAATTGTCGTTTTTCTCTCACATCATTGATGTTTTTTTGTAACGAATTGAATTTCCATTTTATAAAATCAAAAATTTTGCCCAAAAACAACATTGGTCGTTCGTCGTGGTTCATGGCTGGCAAATGAACATTTGGACAATTTAATTTTCATCCAGCCACACCAACAACAACAACAACAACAACAACATTATGGAACATGTTTTTGCAAACTTTTCAAAGATAATAATAATAATTTTTATTTACATAAAAGATTTAAAAATTCCAATAATCGATATTATCGATAGTGAAGAAGAAAAAAAAATTAAGTAAGAAGAGTATATGATTGATGAGAGTAATCCATTTTTTTTCACCATCATTTTGTACCACTACAAATTAATGGGATTTACAAAACACACAAATATCAATATAATCAATCAATCAATAAATATTTAAGCTAATCGGATTTTTCAAAAAAAAAAAAAAAAAAAAAAATTTTGTGTTTCAGTGTTGAATCAATCAGCAAACATTTGATTTGATTTTTTTTAGTAATAATCTATTTACATTTAAAAAATCGTGAAGTGTGTGTGTGTTGCATAAGTATTTTGTAAACAATTCGCACCATTTTTTTTTGTTTATTTTGGTGAATTTAATAATAAAAACGATAATTTGGACGAACCTCTTGATAGCTATATGTTGGCCGTGGTTGATAATAGCTTATCGTTTGTTGTGGCATAGTAGTAGCAAATATATGTTGCCTATAAAGAAATGGTGAAAATGTTTGTCGTAATTTTTGTTCTCTCAATTTATCGATTGTATCGATAATTCTTTCATTCGAAATAACATTATTCAATGGTTGATGTTTTTTGTTGTTGTTGTTGTTGTTGTTGTTCTTGTTTTTCTTCTTCATTTGTTGTTTTTAAATCAACATTTTTATCCACTGAATTGGATACGAATGTTGATGGTGATGACGATGATTTTTCCATATTACGATCACGTATACGTATTACTGCCGGAATTGTACAGCCAAAATTTTCCATTTCCCATTGTTGACCATCGTTCATGGCATTCACTTCAACCGTACAATATAAAACATTCTGTGATTTATGGATGGAAAAAAATGAAAACCAAAAAAAAATCAATCAATTAATGAATAAATTATTGTTATGACAATATAGTTCAATATATACATACATTTTTAGCATCAACATCATCATTATTATTGATTCGTTTCAATGTAACACGAAGACGATAAATTGAATCAATTTTTTCAGCAGCTGTTAATGTCATTAATTTATATTTAATACGTTTATCGGACATTTGTCTTGATGCAAATGCTGCCATTTGCCATAAATATGGATTATCATCAACATTCAATTCTTCAATAATGTCATCGTTTATGAATGGATTAAAAATTGTCGATTCATTATTATTATCATCATTATTTAATGGCGATCCATAAACGGTCACATGATGATGGACCATTGTGGCCATTAAAAAAATTGAAATTTTCATTGTAAACATTGTTATTGTTGTTGTTGATATATTGATGATGAGTACCAATGGAAAAATCAATCAATGAATTTTATATTTGTCGAAAAAAAAGAAAATTGTTTATGTTATCATTCAACAAGTTGTTGTTCTGTTCACTGTTTATGTGATATTGTCATTCAATGATTTGATCATTGGATTTATATACAGAAAAAAAGTCATCATCATTCGATTGACGACGACGACGACGACTACGACCACTTGCTGCATGTTATACTTGTTGAATTCAAGTCTATGTGTGGTGGTGGTGGAAAGTTTTTGATTACTATAATCATAGTATGATGATGGTGGTGGTGGTGGGTGATAATGTTCATTGCTTACAATCAAATTATCCCCAAATTTTTTTTCCCGTTGTTGTTGAATAACCAGTTAAAAGAAAAAAAAATAATTTGTGATGATAAAAAAAGAAAAAGACGATTCATATCATATCTCGATTCGCTGACCTCTAATTGAATTGAATGTTTTTTTCTTTAGTTTCCAGAAAAATCTCAAACACCGGAATTTTTGATCAATAAAAAATAAAAATACAGCAAACTGGTATCACACACACACACACACACACACACACACACACACATATACCTGGATGTAAAAAAAACTATTCCAGTTACCAGGTGTATGTGTATTAATAATAATGTGTGTGTGTGTGTGTGTGTGTATATGCGTTAGGGAAAAACCTAAAAATTTTGTTTTTCTCCATCCATTTTCATTGATACATACAGATGCTAATGTCACGTAAATTCCATCATCATCATCATCATCATCATTTTGCATAGTTATGATGATGATGATGATTTGATTTAATTTGACGATGATGATGATGATGATGATAAAAATAAAAAAAAAAGAAAGCAACAACAACAACAACAACAACGACGACGACGAAAAACGAACGTTAAACGAATATTGAGACATTCCTGATATTGAAATATCGATAAAATTGTTTCATATATTGATAACGAAAATTTTTTTTTCAAGCTACCGATCATCATCATCATCATTATTGAAATAATTCGCGCGCGTGTGTGTGTGTGTGTGAAGAAATAATAAAGAGAGAGGGAGAGAGATTCAAAAATCTGATAAAATCAATCATTATCATCATCACCATCATCATCATCATCATCATCATCATCATCATTATTGAAAATAAAAGAAAAATTATAATTGATTGATCGATTGATCAATCGATAATAAAAAATAAAAAAAAATGATTGGATAGATAGGATAAATGGATGGTTTTTTGGAACAGCTACGGAATTCATTCAAAATGATTGATTATTATTTGGATTTATTTTGGTTGATAATTCACAAATTTTTCTTTTTCTCAATGATGATGATGATGATGACCAAATTCTTGAATTCTTTACATACAACGGAAACTTTGCCATTCCGATTTTATGATGATGACGTTTTCGACGTATAATTATCATCGATCGATGAAATAATTATATTACTAGTACATGACCGACGGTACATTTTATCAGCATCACCATCATCGACATCATCATTATGAATATGTAAATGTTTCATTTCCACACACACACACACACACACACACACACCCATTTACTTTTACTGAACAAATATTTAAAACAAAAAAATTTTTTAAGATTGATAAACGTGATAAACGTTTTTTATTTTTATTTTTTTCAAATGAAAACTAGATTAATAAATCACGCAAACATTCTTTTTGTTGTTGTTGTTGTTGTTGTTATTGTTTGTAGTTGCACGTATTTCGTATATGACTGACATCATCTTCATCATCATATCTGCATCATTGCATTTTACGAGGTGAAATGTAGATTTCTTTCAATTCATCAATTCAATGGGTGACTTTCTCTTTCTGTATCTCTCTCTATGTGTGTGTGTGTGTGTGTTTTATTCTCAAGAAAATGACATCAATGACGTATATATTGTTGTTATGTTTGTGCGCAAATTATTCATTCCTAATGATGATGATGATGGGTTTTTCTCGTTCATCATCTGTACAAAATAATGATATCGATCCGAATGGAATTGTATCGAAAAATTGAAATAAAAAATTCAAGTATTGCAAAATGTAGCCAACATTCATTCTGAATTCTAAAAAAATTTTCTATGAAGAAAAAGATTATGATCAGACAAAAAAAAAAAAATTGGATTTGTACCATGCAGAGAGAACGTTTGCACGTGTTATCAAATTGATGGATTTTTTGCTGTTTTTGCTAGTAATTTCCCAAGAAAACTCTTCATCGTCGTGAACATTCATTCATTTGTGATGACGTTTTATTTGTTAGGGTTTTTATAATCAAGATCAGTGATATTTGATTAGATAATGAGGAAAATCATCATCATCATCATATGCTATTTTTGGGTCCTAAACAACAAACAAACATCGACAACAGTGGCAAGAATAAGAAGAAGAAGAAGAGAGAGAGAGAAAAACCAAAACATTAGAAAAACCAAGAAAAAAAAAAAAGACGTCTTTGATCATGTCTCGAAACAAAAAAACTAAAATGACAACATTGTCGACAAACATGTTGTTTTTTTATCGAAAAAAAACATCATCATCATCATTTTATATATTGTTTTGTTGTTGTTGTTTTTTTTGTGGATTCTGAATCTGAATCGAATAAAATGAATTTTATTTCATTTTTCATTAATTTTTTAAAAATTCCAATCATTTTTCAACCATGTGATCATGATGCTTACTGCAGGATTTTCAACAAAAAACAACAAAAAAAATTCATCTTTACACGCACACGCATACAGTTCAGTCAGTGCCCCATTTTTTCAGAGTGTACAATAAACAAAACAAAACAAATCGAAAACAAAAAACAACAACTAAAATCAAACTAAATCTTCTTAATCGCCTAGCAAATGTACATTTTACACACGCAATCCACACGTTTATCATGGAATTTTCAGACAACAAAAAAACAAACAAACAAACAAGAACGGTAAAATTCCATTTCCATTTGTTTTTTTTTTCGTTCACCAAATCCAAACATTTTAATTTGTTGAATATTGAAAAAAAAATTACACGCACGCATTAATTTCATGTTTTTTCTTCCTTTCTCCATCTCTTTTTATCACCCAAAGGTCATAAAAAATGATAATGTTTGAAACGTGTTGAAACAAATTGATTACAATTTTGTTTTTCAACACGTTTTTTTTTGAAATATATGCAGATTATTTTTTTTTTTTTTGCTGCTTGTCATTCATTTAAATGACAACAACAACAACAACAACAACAACAGCAGTTGTTGACTGTAGCAGATTTTTAAGTGTTTTTTTTTGTCTTTTCTATATTCTCACGGAAAAAAACCCATCCACTTAACAAACAAACAAAGAAAAAACTTTAAAAAACAAATTTTTAATCTAAGTGGCCGATCAACTCTATAGTGGTGGCGTTGGCGTTTGTTTTTTTTTGTTGTTGTTGTTTTAGTAGACATTGACTGACTGGTAAACCCGAATTTACTGAATCTGAACAGTGGAAATTTGTTTTTTCTCTGTTTTTCTTGGGGAAATTCATCAAACATTTTTTTTTCATTTTGACCAAACATGGAATGAATTTTTAATGATTTGAAAATAAATGATTAAGGTGATTGAATAATTTCATTCAACATTCTTCCATTCATTCAAGGAATATTTTTTTATCAATCAAAATAGAATTTCTGACAAATTTTCAATCAATCAATCTTCATGAATGTTATGGCCAAATTTGGCCATAACATTCATTCAAATTGTGTATAAATTGTGTACAAAAAGCCTAAAGATTTAACGCCCACACGCATACACACACACACACACACACACACACGCATAATCAATCAAATATATACAAAAACAAAACAATAAAAAAACCGATGACTAAACCTTTCGAATTTTTTTTTCTTTTGATCAAATAAAATGGGTGATGATTGGGTTGTTTTTTTTTTTTTGTTTTTCCCTTCGTAATAATATTCAATGTTGAATGGAATTTCACACTAATCAGTCATGTAATGTATCAATGTCGAATGAAATAACGAAATGATCTCATTATCATTATCATCATCATCATCATCATCATCATCATTATCACAGAGCAGCGCATTCCATTGTGGAAAAGAAAATCCAGAAATTTGAAAATGATGATAATTTTGCGATTTATCGATCATTGCCGTCATACATACATCGTGTACACACAAACACACTGTTTTTTTTGTTGCTTGCTTGCTAGTTTGGCAGACAGATAATTTTTTTCAAGATCATCATCATCGTTGTCGTCGTCGTCGTTGTTGTTGTTGTTGTTGTCGTTGTCTTTTTGAAGAATTAAAATCACATGAGAAATTCCCAAAAAAAAAAAAAAATAATAAAAACATACAAATCATGTTGATGTTAAAGTTCAAAGAGGCAAAAAAAAATTTTTTTTTCGATGACCATGAAAGATCATTTGTTCTGCTATGTGTTCAACAAGTGTATGTGAAGCAGAAAAAAAATCACGTAATCACCAAATTATCATTAACCCGATGGTGATGATGATGGTAATTAAAAATGATTTTTTTTAAAATTTTTCGTAATTTTGGAATTAAAAAAATTAAAGTTCATTTCACCCCATGATATGTTTTTAAACTCGTTTTTTTCTGAAATTCAAACAAAGAAAATGATGAATTTTCGGTGAATTTGACAATTTTGTCAATGAACCTGTGGTGGTGGTGGTGATGATGATGATGGGGGAAATTTATTTTTAGAATGTTGTTGGAAAAATCAGATCAGAATAATTTTCAAAATGAATGTCAGAATGATGAAGATTTATATCGAGTTTTTTTTTCTTTTTTTGTTTTGTTTTTCTTTTTTTATTTTTTATGATGATGATGAAAATTATCTCAAATAACGCAATTTTTGAATTTCAAAAAAATCATATGATTTGGAAAATTTTCATCTTTTTTTTCTATTCGTTCATAAAATTAATTACGTTTGTTCACAGTATATATTTGTGTGTTGGTTGTACCAAAATGATGATTATCCTGATGGTTATTGATGATAACATGATGAATGACATTTGTCATTTATATCGAGTTTTTTTTTTTCGATGGTTTAATTTTTTGTTTTGTTTTTTTTTTTTTTATTTTTTTGATGATGATGATGAAAATTATCTCAAATAACGCAATTTTGAATTTGTCATCTTTTTTTCTATTCGTGTGTCGTGTTCAATCAATGATGACATTTGTCACATGTGTGTGTGCGTGTGTTCGATTATATTGGGAAGGCCAGATATCATTTCAGCTTCCGGTCTACTATTTCCATCCAGTCGATCAATCGATCTTTAATCACTTTTCATTAACATTCAGTTTGTTTGAGCGAATTCATTCACGTTCATATTAATTAGAAAAAAAAGAAAGGAAAAAAATCCTTGAAATGAAAAATGGCGGGCTCTATTTTTTTAAAAATAATCTCTTCACTCCGTTGACGGATAGATGTCGCTTATGTTCACACACACACACACACACATGGAACTCAATATTTACACATGTGCTTGTTGTTTGTAGATTTCGATTGTTCCAATTTGGGATTTCCATCAAATTTCAAAGTTTTTTCCATTCAAAATTCTCCATTTTTTTACCGTACGAATGCCATTTGGTACGCATCAGAAAATTGTTTTGGGTTGGTAAGTTTTTTTTTATTGATTCAAATTTAATTGATTCATTCATTTACCTAATCAATCAATTGCTAAAAATAGGTTATTTTTTGGTTCCATTGGTATCGCCAGTTTTGTTTACGTTAAAAGTGATTATTTCATCGATCGTGATGAAGCAATAAGAGTTCGTGAAGAAATTCGTCGTAAACTTGAACAAGAAAAATAAGTGAATCAGATAATTATCGTCATTCGACAATAATCAATACTTTATAAGCAAATAATCATGGCAACACCACAATTCAATCTAGATCCATCTAAAATGCAGATTATCAACGAATTAGAAGTGGAAATGGTTGCCGATATGTATAATCGGATGACACGTGCATGTCGTTTGAAATGTATTGTACGTAAATATAAAGATTCTGAACTTAGTAAAGGTGAATCTGTTTGTATTGATCGTTGTGTAGCAAAATATCTAGATATACATGATAAGATTGGCAAAAAATTGAATTCATTATCACGGATGGATGAAGAAGCTGCAAAAAAATTACAATTAGAACAACAATTACAACAAACCAAATGATTGTTGCATATCATATTTTACTATGAAATTAGATTAAATAATGAATAATAATAAATAAATATAACACGTTAGATTGTTGTTTTGACTTTAATTCAATCAAACTTGAAAAAAAAATTTCATAATTCACATAAATTGAATACTAACACACACACACACATTCCATTTATTTCGATTCATTTGACAGTGTTGTTGTTGTTGTGGTGGTGGTGGTGGTGATGATGGTGGCCCTTCTTTAGCTACTTGACGATTTTCATCAGGTTTCATAGCTGGAAAGAATAACACTTCTTTGATGTTATTTGTATTGGTTAGATACATTGTTAAACGATCGATACCTATTCCAACACCACCAGTTGGTGGCAAACCAAATTCTAATGCTGTACAGAAATTTTCATCAATCAATTGTGCTTCATCATCACCAGCTGCTTTATCACGAGCTTGTTGTTCGAAACGTTGTCGCTGTGCAAATGGATCATTCAATTCAGTATAGCCATTAACAATTTCTTTGTGATGAACAAACAATTCAAAACGTTCAGTCAGACCCGGTTTAGTACGATGATATTTCGACAATGGTGACATAACAATCGGATGTTCAGTAATGAAAGTTGGATGAATAATTTGATCTTCAATAAAATGACCAACCAATTTATCTAATAATCTGGCGCTTGTACGCGGTGGTGGACATTCAATTTCATGTTTATTACATAAATCGGTCAATAATTTATTTGCCTCCGGTGTATCTAATTCAGTGGCCGGTGGTAATGTTACATTCAATCGATTTTCCAATTCTTCCATCATTTGTACTTTTCGAAATGGTGGTTTAAAACTTATAGTTACCGGAGGGGTATCCGAATCTGGTCCATCTGGATGATATGAAATTTCATATGTACCAAACAATTGATACACTAGACCAGATAACATTTTTTCCACCATTTCCATTAGATCATTGTAATCAGCATAAGCAATATAAAATTCACATGTAGTAAATTCTGGATTATGTGTCAAATCGATACTTTCATTACGAAATTGACGGCCGATTTCATAAACACGATCCAAACCACCTACGACCAACATTTTCAGATACAATTCTGGTGCAATACGCATAAATAGATCCATATTCAATTCATTGTGATGAGTGACAAATGGTTTAGCTGTAGCACCGCCGGCAATCATATTCATCATCGGTGTTTCCACTTCCAGAAAACCCATACGATCAAGAAATTCACGAATAAAACGTATGACACAGGCTCGGGTAACGAATTTGTTACGTGTCGATTCATTGACAATAAGATCAAGATAACGTTGACGATATCTTTTTTCTTTATCTTTAAGACCATAATGTAGATTGGGCAACATGTGCAAACATGGCGTCAACAGGGCCAGCTTTTGTGGCATGATACTAAGTTCACCTTTTTTCGTTTTACATGGATGTCCAAGTGCACCGACAATATCACCACGATGAATTCGACCATTTATTTCTTGAAATTCCGTTTCATCAACATAATAACGAGCATTGGCCATCACCTGGATTTTTGTTCCTTCACCACGAAGATCATAGAATATAAGTTTAGCGCCAGATTCACGTTTTGAATAGATTCTTCCTGCCACCGATACTTTCACATCATCACGAATCTCTCCATTTTTCAATGATGAATATTTTTCAATATAATCAGTCAATGAGATTGATACATGAAATTTATGTGGATATGGATTTTCACCAGATTCACGCCATTCAGTAATTTCTTTAGATCGATTTTCATGATATTCATTCGGGTCCAATTCTTCATCACTTTTAGCTTTTGCTGCTGCTTTATCGGAATCAGCTGAAGGACTTTGTTGTTGTTGTTGTGGTGATGCCGGTTCAGTTTGTTTCGATTTAGCTTTTTCTTCTTTCATTTTTTCAAATTTTTGTTGTTTCAATCTTCGTTTCAATTCATTTTTACTCAATTTTTCTTCACCACCAGCTTGCAATGGTGGTTGCTGTTGATTCGAACTACTACTCATCATACGAACCGGTAATTGATACGATTTTTGATAAATTAATTCTGATTTCAAACAAAATCTATTGATTGATGAATTGATTACGGATTGATTAATGATGATAAATTTAAACAAACTAAATGTTCGACAATTACGTTTTATAAAAGTGACCAGCATCAGATTGTAAAAGAATAATTTCTTGAAAATTTTTCTTCACTTTTCTTCGTAAATCGACCATGTGGAACGATGAAGACAATGATGAGCATGAAAAAAAAATAACCAAAATCTTGGTTGTATTGAACGCGTGGATGGTAAAATTCTATACTATTTTTATACATTGAAAGTAGCCGAAAAAAAATCATCATCAATGTATAAATTTAGCATTTTCAATATATATATAAATTGTGTAAAGAAGGCGTTTAATATAATTATTAAGACATGCGCATAACATGCAATATTGCTATTTCTTTTTCTTTGGCTGCTGCTGCTGACTAAGCTTTTAGCTGCCTGAATGAATGTGATGAATTATGATGACGCGAAATGAGTGCCGACGACACTTTGTGTTTGTTATGTGTGTGTGTGTGTGTGTTTGATTCATGTTGTTAATTGGACACAATATTTCGATTTTAAATAATCATCATCACCAACAACAACAAAGTAAAATCCTGGCTTACACCAAAAAAAAAAAAAAAAAAAACACATACGGATGTTGATTAATCTTTGTATAACTCTCACTCTTTTGATACATTTTTTTTTATTATTATTGCAATAACTTGCTTGTGTTGTTCTCATATACATTTTAGTTAAATCAACATTTTTTTTTTGGCCATTGTCATCATCAGCTATTGTTATTGTTGTTGTTGTTGTTGTTGTTGTTAGAGGTGTGACGATTATAATACTGGTGGTAGTTTGTTAATGGTAAATACCACACCTAGAAAACATCATTCATTAATTTGGTGTTGAGATTATATTAGTTTTTTTTCTAATCTTGGAACATTGAAAGAAGAAAAAAAAAGAATTTTTAAGTTCACTTTTTTTTAGAGACTCAATCAACCGATAATTGTACATCATAATGGCATATTCAATGCCTGCTATCGTCATTGATAATGGAACAGGGTATGTTTGTTTGTTGATAATGTTTAATAATTCGAATCGAATAAATGTTTGTGATTTTATCTAGTTATACAAAAATGGGTTATTCCGGTAATCGTGAACCAAATTTCATTATACCATCTGCTATAGCTATAAAAGAAACATCAAAACTTGGTGATCAAGCATCCAGACGTCTGGCTCGTGGTGTTGATGATTTAGATTTCTATATCGGTGATGAAGCATTAGATGCAACAGGATATTCAGTAAAGGTTTGAAATAGTTATGGAAAGGAAATTCTGATTCTATATTGGTCAAATTTTAGTATCCAATTCGTCATGGAATCGTCGAAGATTGGGATCTAATGGAACGTTATTGGGAACAATGTATATTTAGATATCTACGTGCTGAACCTGAAGATCATTATTTCTTATTGACAGAACCACCATTGAATACACCAGAGAATCGTGAATATACTGCCGAAATTATGTTTGAAACATTCAATGTGCCTGGATTGTATATTGCTGTACAAGCTGTACTTGCATTGGCCGCTTCATGGACTAATCGACAATTATATGAACGAACATTAACTGGAATAGTTATCGATTCCGGTGATGGTGTTACACATTGTATTCCGGTAGCCGAAGGTTACATCATTGGAAGCTGTATCAAACACATTCCAATTGCTGGACGAAACATTACATATTTCATACAGAATCTGTTAAGAGAACGAGAATTCGGTATACCAGCTGAACAATCATTAGAAACGGCAAAAGCAATTAAAGAACGATTCTGTTATGTATGTCCGGATATTGCCAAAGAGTTTGAAAAATATGATAAAAATCAATCAAAATGGATCAAGAAATATACGGGCATCACTGCAATAACGAAACAACCGTTCGAAGTTGATGTTGGTTTCGAACGTTTTCTTGGTCCAGAAGTATTTTTCAATCCAGAAATTGCCAATCCTGATTTTGTTACTTCATTATCGGATATTGTCGATACATGTATTCAGAATTGTCCAATAGATGTACGACGACCACTTTACAAGGTAAATATATTTAGTGTACATATTTTGAAATACAAATAGATTTTAAATTTACAAATACAATTTTCCTAGAATATTGTATTGTCCGGTGGTTCAACAATGTTCAAAGATTTTGATCGCCGTCTTCAACGTGATATTCATCGTTTGGTTAATCAACGAATGAAATTAAGTTATCAATTAAGTCAAGGCCGTTTAAATCCGAAACCTATCGAAGTACAAGTAGTATCACATAATATGCAACGATATGCCGTTTGGTTTGGTGGTTCAATGCTTGCATCGACAGAAGAATTCTATTCAGTATGCCATACAAAATCACAATATGAAGAATATGGACCATCCATATGTCGCCATAATCCGGTTTTCGGTACAATGACATGATGATCAATGTTTTCAAAAAAAAATTTTTCTTTTTCTTCTATTCCAGACGTGGATTGCCTGTGGCAAGCAAAAATACAGCTCTATGAAAGATCCATTTTTACTATTAATTAATTGATTATTAATTTCAAATTTTTGAAAAATGGCTCTTACTATCAAAGAGCTTGGCCACCACTGTTCTATTCGGATGTTCCAATCACACCATCAATATATATTTAAACAAAAGAGAGAGAGAGAGAGAGAAAATTTTGGAATCATTTTGTCCAGCATTAAGCTTTTGTATTTGTAAAGTGTATCCTATTAATAAAATCTTCATTACATCAAAATGATTTTTTTTTGTTCGGTTTGTTGATTTACATTTTGTTTGATTATGTTGAAAGATTATTGTTCTATAATATAAACAAACAAACAAAAAAATCTTTGTATATTCAATATTTCAATTCAAATTCTCTGAATGCATTGATTTGCTTGTTCTACCAGATTCACGCATGTGTCGAATGATGACCGGTTCTCTCTGCTGCTGTCGTCTGGTGATGATTATGATGATGATGATGGCAGATGGCTTGTTTTTGTTGTTGATATTTACACGGCCAATTTATCTATACATTCGAATTTACACGTCGACTAAATGTGACTGGGTGTAAGATATATTGGTGGTGTGTGAATTGTTGTTTGTTTCGTTTCGTGTTTCATTTCTATATCTTCCCTATTCGATTTTGGATTGAATTGGAGTTTTATTCTTCTTCATTTAGTTTAATTCTAGTTCAAAGATTTAAATGATGATTATGGCAATAAACAAACGGTTGTCACTTGTCATCTTTACATTGATGATAATCACGAAAGGCATGTGTCAACAAGATGACCATGTATCAGCAGTAGCATCAGAGAGCGATGATCGCCATCTACATGAAAGTCAAATTCCACCACCATATCAACAACCCAGTCAAGATGATGTGAACACGATGTTGACCAAAGTATTTGAAACAATGGATAAGAATGATGATACAAAAGTGGATTCAGATGAATTGAAACAATGGCTTGATAAAATCCACGAAGGACTTATCGATGATAATGTTGAACAGCAATGGACTTATTATTCACCACCATTACAAGAGGTACATAGCTGGGAATCATATGATCCAGAAAAAAGAGAAGCATTAATCTGGGATCATTATATTAATACTACATATACTGATGATGTGGTTCAAGCATATCGTCAAGATGTAAATATTGATGAATTTAAATCAGATGATCCAAATTTTAAAAGCTATTATACAATGCTTAAACGTGCTGAGCGTCGTTGGAAAGTGGCTGATAAAAATAATGATACTGTTTTGATTAAAGAAGAATTTAAATTCTTTCTACATCCAGAAGAATCTGATCATACTAAACACCTGTTGGTAGAAGAGGCTATGGAAGATATGGATTTGGATGGAAATAAAGAAATTACATTGGAAGAATATATGAAACATATGAATGAAGTAACGCCTGAACAGGAAAAACAAGATCCTGGTTTTGAATCGGTAAATCACTTTTTTTACGCAAATAATAATATTTGATTAGATTACTTACCATTATTTTTTTTTTTTTTTTGATTTGATTATAGAATCATCAATCACAATTTCAGACCTATTTAGATAAAAACAAAGATGGTAATCTTTGTATGACAGAATTATCAGAATGGCTAATACCTAGCTATGATCGTCATGAAGCGGAAGCTACACGTATGATTCATGATACTGATAATGATCATGATCAAAAATTGAATCAACAGGAATTACTTGGTAATAATCAATATTTTTTGAGCTTGATACCAGGAGAAATGTGGCGACAATATTCTCAACAAACAGATGGTGATTCAACAACCGCAGCTACACATGATGAATTCTGATTGATATTCTTGGAACAACAAAAATTTACCTGCCAGAAAATTTTAAATAAAACAAAATAACTAGTTGAAAAATAGGGAAAACTCACAAAATTTTTATCAAATTATTATTTGATTGTGATATTTGTAACAAAAAAAAATTTTTTCGCATTTCAAAAAAAAATCGAATCTTTTGTTCACTTCCTTAACGGTAAAATTTCTCCTTTGACAACCAATAAAAAAAAAATTTTCCGGAATTTTTCTTGATGCTAATTAAATTAAAACAAAAAAATAAATAAATAAATAAATTCTTTAAATGCCCGTTAGCAATTTGAATTTGAGAAAAAAATGATTAAAACCAGTCCACCAATAAGTTTAAATGATTGGTGATGAATGTCTTCTAATTATTATCCTCATCATCATCATACAGTTCAACGAACCTCATAGGTTTTTTTTTATCTTTAGTCATAAGCAATAACAACAAAGGTCATACAACAGTAATACAAACCATGAACTTGTGAAGAAATATCCAAAAACAACAAACTTGTTCAAATAATCGGATGATTATTTGAAAAAAAAATAATAATAATAATAAATTAGATGGTCAGATCATTGGATGGAGAGGATTATTTTTTTCAAAAAAAATCGATCATTCTAAGAAACACATATTAATGAATAGGTATAAATTTCATTGAACATTTTGATTTCCAAGAATGATCGATAGGAATGATTTTCTTTGATCAAATTGATTATTGAGATACATAATTCGATAAAATGATCATCATTGATCATTGATGATGATTGATTAAGCCGATTTTTTATAGCAAAAGATTGAATTACAATGAATCTCCCGTTTTTTTTTGTTGTTGTTCGAATCTATTGTTCGAATGTATAAAGACATCAAAGTGATGGACGATTTTGTTATGACAACAATCGATCAATAATCGATGTTGAGCCAATTCCGTTTTATTCTCATCCATTCGAATGATTGTGTTTTACATTTTTTTTTGTTTTGTTTTGTTTTTGTTTTTAATGATTTCAATCCTAATTGTGAAAATCTTCAGATCATGAATAAATTCATCAAACAAATGTAATAATTTTGGATCGAAAACAAAAAAAATCAAATTCATTCATTTGAAAATCACGAGTATATGAAATAAATTCGAAACAAACTTTCGAATGTATTAAATATGTTTATATGGTTATGCACATAACCACCAAACCCCAAATGTATGTTTCTTTATTGTTAATTTTATTTCATTTTTTTTCTCAACACAATACAAAATACTTACGTTTTTTTCTGATAAAATCCATTTTTAGAACTATAGATTTGAGCACCTAATCACAAAAAAAACCAATTCAAATATGGTTCCATTATTATTATTATTATTACGAAAACCGAGTGAACAAACAAAATGTGAATATGCATGTGGTCAAAGACAACAACATGATAAGATGTTTGTGTGTGTGTGTTCGTGTTTGTATGGCGAAAGAAAAGAGGTGTAAAATAAACTTTCCAATTTTGAATTTGGTCGAACACACACACACACACACACACATTACCATCATCACCACCACCAGTTCACACCCTGATTGCCTCAATCTTTTTTTCTTCTCACTATAGTCGTCGTTTTTAAATCGCATCCATCAAACGAATAACGGATTTTCCATTTGAATAGATTGTGTAATGGATGAACATCATCCAAATAATTCTTAGTACTGAAATTTCCGATGAAAATTGGTTCGTTGAATGAAAAATTTTAAAATGATCATTTTCATTCGTACACAAATTAGGTAGGAAAAAAAAGCAGGTAGGATAGATGAATGAATGCTAATGGATGAAATTGATTCATGTGTCGTTGTTTTTTTTTTTTTTTGCTTCTCTATCTAGATTTTTTTCATTCAACAAAAATCCAGTAATAGCAACCTTTGTGTGTGTGTGTGTGAAGAAGAAATATAAGTAATTCAACCCGATTATATAACCGGGAAATTTTTTCGTCTTTATTCACAATGATGATGGTGAGCTGTGATTAATATATATTCAAACTAATATGTTGTTATTGTTGATGATCGATTTTTGAAAATATAGATCGATCACTACAATCGAATAATGATTATATCTCTGACCTTCCTGGTAAACTAATAACCGATTTTCAATGAACATCATGACTTGTATCAACTCAATTTTACATTTAATTTCATTAACAACTACAGCATCCTGTTTTTTCGATTGTACATATGCTTCAAGCGATTTAAAATCTGAAAAAGGATTGTTATTGATGAATGCACTACATGATCACGAATAGCCATTTTTAATTAATCAATATATTGATCCACATCTGATTAAGGGAGGTATGTAATTAAAATTCTGGGGGTCATCTACATCATCGGCTTGTCCATTTTTTTCTTCGTTTTTACACAGCTTTTCATATTAATTTGTAACTATGTTCATCATCATCATCATCATCATCATCATGTATTTATCACATAGAAAATTTTTATTTCTGAAAAAGAAAAATTATACATACATCAAATTAATATCACAAGACACACACACACACACAAGGAAGCAATTTTTTTTCTTTTCTTAACCATGAATAGATGTGAAAGCATTAATGGACATAACATATTATACAGCCAAGCGATGATTTGACATGTCAAAGCTTAAATCTTATAGTTTTGGAGAATCATCATTACAATACTATTGCACATGACATAGCTCATCATCATGCTCATCATAATATTCACCGACGATCATCTCATAGTCATAGATTAATTGAAATGTACACATCCTATTTGGTCAATACACTTTTTTGGTGAATACCAGTTACTACTATACAGTCAAAACTATTCCGTCTTTTTTTTCTCTCATTTTATCTTGTTTGTTTGTTAGTAGGAAAAGAGATGCTCTCGCATGTATATATATTTACTGGTCAAGTAAAACCAAGTGGCCAACCAACTAACCGATCTACGTATGGACAACCAACAGGTCGACCAACCTATCGATAAAAAAAAAAAAATACTAACCGTCCGATGGTGATTGTCCATATAGTTTGAAGCCACGATAGATTCAATAGATTGGATAAAGCATCATCATACTTTAAAAAAAAAACTTGTCCCGTTAGTTTTTTTTCCTACATACACATATAACATGATTATGGCAAAAAACATCATTGTTTGGCTATGTGTGTTTGTGTAGGTAGTGTACACAATAACCGCAATTTACCGCTACTACCCGTCTATGCTAAGTTATCATCTAGCCAGAAAAAAAATGTATGGATGTCCGACATAATGATAACACCATGTTAGTTTCCCTCCAATCGTTCGAATGATGATGATGTGATGGCAACAGCATCCATTTTATCATGTTTTTGTGTTTGTCTTTTTGTGAATGTCATGTGAATGTTTGTTGTTTATCCTCATAATCATCGTATTGGAGCGGAACAGAATAATTTCCGGCCACATAATTACCAATGTAAACATCATCAACCTGTTGAATACAGGTGAACAAATCACATGATCAAAATACTGTATCGAATCTCTGTTCAAATACACCATCATCATCAACATTCAAATGTGATCAAATATTGATCACTATTTTTTTTAAATAATACAACATGTATAAATGAGTTCAATACAAATTCTTGATTCATCCGGTTTCTCATCATTTTTTTTTTTTTGAATTTTGTTTATCATTTTTTCTATGTGTTGTTTCTCCATTCAATAATGACATGGTTTTCATAGATTATTCATCAATTCAATCATCATTCAAAATTGTTCCATTGTCATTTGTATGTCCTTCATCTATGGGTGTGTTTGTGTGTGTGTGTGTGTTGGACACCCTTTCAATGATAATGTGATTGATAATCATTTTGTTTTGATTTGAAATTGATTTTTTTATCAAATTTCAGCATTATTTGTGTGTAAATCAAACATTTTTTTCTTTATTGAATTCATCAATTATTCTCAACTCTCATCGATTGCCATCATCAATCCAGGTGGATTGACCGACCGTTCATCAATAATCACATTGGTTACCGAAAAAAAAGATGGCTTTCTTCAAACAATTACGTCTTTTATTAAGGCACAAGATTCTATTACGACGTCGACAACCGGTAATTATAAAATCTACAAATCTCGTACACATACACAACAGAAATTACTTTATCTAATCGGTTAATTGATTAATTTTTTTTTTCTTTCAGACAACATTGATACTCGAATTATTCTGGCCGGCATTTGTTTTTCTTACAATATTGATTGCACGATGGCAATTTCCACCAACATTTCGTCAAACATGTAGGTTAATTTCTGTCTGTTATTTTTTGACATTAACCAATTCAATTTTTTTTTGTATTGTTCCTCTTGAATGATTCTACTATCATACACACACACACACACACACACACTTACAAACAAACAAACAAACAATAGGTTATTATAATGCAAAAGCATTACCATCTGCCGGTATGGTTAATCTTATACAATCATATATTTGTTCAATGGACAATCCATGTTTGAATCGTGAACAATATGAAGAAGTGCCAAATTATCCAAATGCAAGGTATGATTTCCAAATATAAATACTTGACACTTATATTCCCTATATCACTCTCTTTCTTTATTTATATTTTGGCCATATTTTCAATTGATGATAGACACACATATACACACACAATGTTCTAGTACTTTATAATTGGTGTTTGTTTTTCTCGCCTTTTTATTTGAATTTTTTTTCTCTGGTTCTCATATATAATCAATTAATCGGTAATTTTTTTTAAAACCAGAGTTGTTCCCATTTTTTTTGTTCGTTTGGTTTTTAGTGTTTGTCAGAATTGTTTATGCCGATAATATGTTATGCACTTGGTCGATAATTTTTATTTTTTTCTTTTTTGGTCTGCCTTGTTAATCAATTTTCATTAGGATTTGTTTCAATTAATTGTTATCAGTCTTTCAAATACACACCCAGAGGGGCTTGTGTTTAGTTTCAGTTGATCCATCATATACACAAACATATAAAAACACTGACATTAATGATTATGATGATGATGGCTATAGCATCATCATCATCATCATCTATAATTAGCAATCGTCTGGCCATATAAAGTGGCCGACATTATGGTTTTATTTCATCATCATCATCTAGATTAAAATAGCAAACATTTTATTTTTCTTTTAAACAAATTCATTTCATTTTTGTCTTTTTTTTTGAATGTATAAGTACTATATGCAGCCAGAAATTAAATCTACCTATGCTTTAACCAACGATTATTTTCTTTTTCCTTTTTCACCCTTTCCCTCTTCATCATCATCAATATAGTATACATGCAATAGTTGATCAAATATTACCATTATTGACCGATAAAAATGTCACGAACGTAATCAATGATCTACCAAAAGGTATACGTTTAATTGCTGCCATAATCGATACATTATCAATACCATCTGTACAACGATTATTGGAAGATGGATTCCCGTTACGTTCAATGTTACGGCCATCCGGTTGGAAATATGTACAACAAGAATTGTATCGTCTTGAATCAACATTAGTGCCATTCTATCCGGATATGGATTTAATTATTGAACATTCATCATCATCATCATCATGGGACGATCATAATAATAATCAGGTAAAACAATTCAATCATATATTCTCATGCATAATTATAAATAATTTTTCAAACGATATATAGAGTTTACAAAAGGATTCAAAAGGTCGAACCTATGATATCCTAGTCAATGCTCATCTAAATTTAATGCGATTCGGTATTCATTCAGATGATAGTGGTAGCCATCAATCATTTCGTTCATTTCGTGATGTTATCTGTGATCATAATGAATTGGAAAAATTTCTAATCATTCCTAATCGACGACAATCATCCGATGATGATATACGTTTTCTATCTCGACATTTATGTCTACTTGAACGTAAAGATCTTTATTATCTATTCGATCTTGTACAGGAAAATATCGATTTTGGTAACATTCTACAGCAATTATCATTGGTTTTTCATTCAGTCGGACTTGATGAACATCAACAACATCTTAATAATATTCGTTCAATGATTACAACCATTGATCGAGCAAATATTTTTCCATCTATGACTGCTTTACGTAATACATCATGGCTTTATGATCTTCCTAGCCTATTCGACGTGCTTCGATCTGGTGAAATAGATGTTCATACATTGTTGAAAATCATCAATGATATTGAACCAATTTTTGGTGGCAACAATTCTGATGATGAAAATGAACAGCTCACAAATCAGCGACAACGTCAACGTATTGAATACCTAATGCGTCTTTACGATTCTGATGATTCGACATTGAAAACAATCGCACATTCCGCTCTTGGTTCAATTTCGACAGATGATGAAACCATTGATTCGGTTGATGAAGATTATCCGTTCGATGGTGAAGACGAATTATTTTCCTCGACAAATGATACCGATATTCGAGCAGAACATAAAGAGATGACTATTCTGCATAGTATTGATGATTTGGATACAAGTGAAACGGCTAATGTCAATCTTTTATCTATTGCAGCTACAAATTATCCAACCGATAGCATAGGTCGACGTTTCTTACCCAAACTTTTGGCCAACATGGACAAATTCATTGATGGAGCCGAAAAATTTACACGTACACCACAATGGAATTCATTGCTTAACGCATTTCAAGGCCTACAAATGATGCTCGAAATGACCGATTCAAATGGACAACAACAATTCTCATCTACCAATATCGAACAATTTATCATCAATTTCCCGAAAAACATACAAGCATTGACAAATTTTTTCAATTCAATTGTACCGGAAAAATTTCAACCACTTGTATTGCCATTGTTTAATCTCATACAACGAATTACCGATTCAATGTTACAACATTTAAGCGGTGCATTCACTCGTGCTTTGAATGAGGATAAAATCTATTATTTTGACAAATTGGTTCAATTGTTGATCGCATCAATGAATAATGGAACATTACCAAGGAAATGTTTCGATATGCAACGTGCAATGTGTGATTTTGATCAATTTCAATCAGTTTTTGTACATAATGTTGATGATGAAACCGGTGAAGTAACTGTAATGGTCGACGAAGATATTGGTACATTGCAAGGTATTCAAGAATTGGGTTGTATATTTTTTGGCCAAAATTATCTAAAACAAAATGTGGAAGAATCAACACCAATTTTAGCCAAACTTTATTATACATTGTCTGCATTGAATGATACGAATCAATTATCATCATCTTTAGCTGCATTGGGTAATTCTACTGGTAAATCTAGCAATGATGATGATGCCGTTTTTTGGAATAATTTTACAACCAGAATGCTTGAAGTATATCTATTGGCCACTAAATCTGTGAATGCAAATGCCTGGTCAGCAATGATGGGACAAATGTCATATGTTTGGAAACGTAATCGTCTATTTGATCGAATTATTCTTGCATCTCGTGTTTTGCAATTGACAGCCAATTGTTTTACACCTGAACGTATTATGAATTCACCAATATGGTTCCATATTCAACGTAAAAATATAATTATTAATGAGATTGTGAATTTGGTTATGGATGAAATCAATCAGGCTGTCGAAAATGAAGCACTACGTGTTCAACAATTATCAATGGGTTCACCAACGTTGCACGATTTTCTTCATAAAAATCTTCATCTTTTACCCGTTTTGATGGACTCGGTGTTCGATACATTGTTTCTTAATCTGCCACGTTTCGTCGAACATATGTTTCAATCATCGAATACATTTATGGCCAATTGGCCATGTAATCGATTCAGTCTTGTCGATCTATTAGCCATTCAAAATGAACAACATCGTGCTGAAATTTATGCAGTCGAAGATTTTCTATGCCGTCAATATCACATGAATGAAGGTGATTATGGCCGTATTATAGATGAATTAGTTGCTCCTGCTAACAATCAATCACGTGGTGCACCATTAATTCGTGTTCTGCAGAACAAATCAAATAATCTGAGTATGATTTATGAACATGTACCACCATTGGATTGGGTTGAAGCTGCTCACAGTGTATCGATGATTAAAGAATCTGCGGAAAAATTAATTTTTGCCGATAATAATTGGATTTGGTTTCCCGAGGTTGATGAACTTGATTCATCGATTCGTAATTCATTTGGTCGTGCACATATTGTATTTCAACAATTCTATAGCCAAGGAATGGCCGGTCTATTCACCTATGTTGGTGATATAATCACACCATTTGCTATACGTTACATGTCATTGAATGAAACATTTAGCCAGATCTGTGATTATGGTGTATCCGGTATACTTATGGCACCAGTTGTTAATGATAAAGAATGGCGTTGTTTTTTTGTATCCTCAAAATTTGCCAGCTATTCGTTACAACATTTGCTCGAATTACTCAATCAAGTAATGACCAATTTTCTTCATGATGATCATAAATGTCAATTATTCGATATAGATGACAATATTAAATCATCGAACAACAATAGCCATAATCAGATTCTATTTCTAAGTGATCATATGGCTGAAATTATCGAATTAGTCATGAATCAAATATTGCTTGGTGATATGAATCGATTATCAAATGCAACATCATTACAAGATATCATCTGTCATTCGAATCTAAATTTTAATATTTTCAGTGAACATCGAGCTTTATATCTGGATATTCGTAATGCTTTATGTGGACTACCTACACAATTTGCAAACTGTTTTCGTTTGACAATACCACAAAAATGGATTGAAGCTTCTGATCATTTGAATTTTACCTGGTATACACAATCATTGGCTGAATTATCCAGTAAATCATCATTTGTTGATGCATATCGTAGTGTTTATCGTTTTCTAACATTATTTGGTCAATTTTCGCCACGTTTTATGAATCGATTATTATCCAGATTTCAATCAAATAATAATGGACAACAATTCGTTCAGGATGTATTGAAACGAATGAATCGTATGGAACAATTTCGTGGAAAACGATTTACTTATGTTATGCAATCAATTTCATTAGAGCTATATGGAATTTTATTCACCAATGGTAAAGTTCCTCATGTACCTATTCATAATGAAGAAAAACGTGATCTTATGATGGCATTAATATATGCTCTTAATGAATTACCTGTTCGTTTACGGCAACGATATAAATTGGGTGGTATTCATTTTCGACAAACAATCAACTTGAATAACAACAACAACAACAATGATGATGATGATGATGATACTCTTCTACAAGTGGATTTATTGGATTCATTACTTGATTGGATTGATAGCCATCTGTTGACTGTTACAGAGATGGTGTTACAAACCATAACATTAGATCGTCAACGATTAAATCGGCTATTTATCAATAAATTCGATACAGTATCTGTATGGCGTGCATTTTGTCGAGCACCAATTAGCCAATATTTTATTGTTGATAATGAAATTTCACCATTGTCTCATAAAGCTAAAGATGAAATCTGTTCAATGGATTTTAATGCTGTTTATAATCAATGGTTTCGAAGAGCTCGACATTATCTAAGCAATTATAGTAACCATGAATTAATCGGATTACTAATGACCGAAACAGGATCCACTATTGATCTGATACTAAACGATCCCATCTATAAAAATGATTTACTCAAAATGAATGATTGGCAAGTAATTATGACCAAATTGAATCGATTAATGGATCATTCAGAAGATAATAATGGCTCAAATAATTATAATCATAAAATCCTATTATCGATTGAAAATTTTCTTCATGAATTTTTATCACCAACTACAATAGAATCAATACATCGAATCATTGTCCACTTGAAATGTGGTTTGAATGCCGTTCCATTGCAAGGTTTAAATTGGGATATCATACCGAAAGTATATGCCAATAAAACAGATGTGATGGCTTTATATTCAACATTCAATTCAGCTTTCACATTGGCATCAGTTGGATTGAATACATTTTTAACACAATCCAAATTCTATAATCACATTCAGTTGTCTCTGAAATATGGTGGTCATCGTCGTGGTTTTTGTCATCTGGAAAATGAACAAGAATTTCAAGAAGTTTTTGCTCTGGTTCCACAATCATCGGCTAATGAAATATTATTCGCTTTACGTAATCTACAAACATTGTTATGTGGTCAAGAATCTGGACAATTCTGGAGAAATCTTAATCCCATTTCACAATGTTTATGGTCATCGATTCAATCAGCTGAAAGTTTTTCAAATGATTTACAAAAAATAGTTCAACATTTTCAATTAGCATTACAAAATCGTAAAATGGATCTGTATAATGATCGTGAATCAATTCCACCAATTCTAGACACAAAACAATGGAATCGTTTTTTTAAATGGTGGCAAGAAGAAATTGGTCCATATCCAAATAGTGGTCGTACTTTAACGATGATGAGAGCATTTCAATTGATTGATTCATTAGCCGATGGACATGTTATATGGAAAGCATTCTATCGCCTTACGTTTTTAACATCGGAAATGTTTGCCTATAGTTTACGTGCATTACAATTAACTGATGCTATGTATCCAATGCAACCGGATATGAAATGGCAAACAAATCGTAACAATCGATTATCAATAAAAGTATCTTCACATCATCAATCACCTAAAAAATCATTATCATCATTACTTACATCAACTGTATCGAATCTAATATTTCCAGAAGTTAATCATTTCATTACATTCGCCACTTTTCGTCAGCTTCGATGGATACGCCATATTAGTCATTATTTTGCACAACATCCAGGCATCTTACATGATGAACTATGTCCAACATTGAATAATTTCAATAATCAACGTGATAACAATTCTTCGTCAATCCTCGTCGGTGATTGTTGATGAAGATTTCAATGATTTATTATTACTTTTATGTCATAATCATCCATCCGATTGGATCTATAGTCTTACGTTTAAATCGAATCTATTCAATATTAAAGCATCGCCAAGACCAAAATTTATTTCACATCGTAAAATACGTGAAAGAATTGGCAAACTAACACAAGTGCTTGCTCGTATGCTTGATTATAATAGTGATAAAAATAATCAAAAATTGGATCATGTTATCAGATTTTTGAAACTCAAACAATTGGAATCAATTGAAAATGTAGCCGGTACTGGTGATATATTGATCGAAACAATGTTAGCCACCAGTCATCAGAATAATCGAACTGCCATTACGTTTAAAGAATTGTTACGAACAAGTTGGCATTCTGTACCCACATTATTGGATGCTGTTGATCAATACATCTGTAGCTATAAACAAATGGATCAACCGAAAAATAATCAAACAATCGATGATACGATGGATATAGAATTTCGATATCAACCAAAAGCACCAGATATGAAAGTGGTCATGTGTGAAATGCCTGGTTGGAATTTTGATCAAGCATATACTTATCTATCGAAACATTTTGATTTGAAAAATATGTTGGCTGTGTTTGCTGCATCATCTGATGTTGTTGTTGTTGCAAACGATTCTCATAATCGATTGTCATCATCATCATCATCATCATCATCATCATCATCATCAACATCGAAATGTCGTACACAATGTGTCACACCACTTCGTTTTCTATCTCGTTGGATCGATGTTGGCCAGGATATATTCCGACAAATGTATAGTAGCTCATTTTGGTCGGAATTAAAATCTTGTCGTAAACGTCGTCTTATTTCATTATTAGCATCGACAAAATCTTCCAATACATTCCTATTGAGGCATTCATTAAGATATGTACGTTTTATGAACAAACTATTGACAACGATCGATAAGTTTTCCCATGAAAATAAGGGCGTTTCATGGAATAATGTTCGACAGCTATGGCAAACATTTAGTTTTTTCATTTTGAATCAAGTACCAGCATATGTTCCAATCACTGATATTGTACGTGATGATGTTAATCTACCGGAATATCTGAATGCAACTCTTGATCGAATATCGACATTATCACGTTCAAGAGCTAAACAGGCCATCCGTTTATTGACCGATTCAATGTTGGATGTGAATGCAATTTCATGGCATAATTTCAGTAATATTGCTCTCAAAGAAATGATCTGCAAACAAAAAGAATCAGTAAAATTTTTGGATTCAAAAAATCATTATTTACCCATTATTGTTAAATTATCGGCAAATCAAACAACACAATCGAATATTGATACTTCTGAACAGGAATCTTTGTATGATACATTGTGTCATAATAACAATCATCTGATGCCAATTATTGATTCTTTAATGGCTATCATTGATCATGATTCAGTTACAAATCGTTTGTCACGATTACAACGAACAGAATTGGCTCGTTCTAATTGGATCAATGATGTATTGATACCGGAATTGACTGAAATGTGGACGTCTGGTTTACTGTTTGAAATTGGCAATAAAATGGGCATTATACATCAGCAAACAGATCCATCAAAATCGGAAAGCTCTAGCCAAAAAGGAATTAATCACTTGTTGATATCATTTGTATCGATGACAAGAGCACGAAATTTCAATACACTTTATGATACAATCAAACAGGCGGTTGAAAAATTATCACCAAAATTTCATCAAGGTGCCATTGTTGATTCATTGAATCGTATATTGGATGGTCTTCAAAGTCTTCGGCAACTAGCTGAACATGGTCTTTTTCAGATTAAATATCAAATTTCTGATTTATTGGTCAATGCTGATAATGTCAAAATATTTTTAGAGAAAAATCTGGCCATCAATCGATCTTGGGTAGAACAAATAATGAACGCATCGATTGATTTAAGTGAATTTATTCAGATGTCTGCACGAGTTCGATTTGATTCCAGCGCCTTCTGTAATCAAACATTATTGTATGATGAATTAAAATTACAATTGCCAGATGTTGATAGTGATGACATAGAAGCAGCAGCAGCAGCAGCGGTTCCTAATGGTCAATTAGTCACCAATGTTCTTTGTACACTGAGCGTGACTGAAGATTTCAAATTCAATAATCAAATCCTCAATCAATTGGTCATACGTCGATTAACATTCAATATTGTCAATCTAATACAAAATAGTTTATTGAAAAAAGCTAAAATCGATAGTGATCAAATACCGAAAGCATTGAATGCCATAAAAGCTTCATCTGAAGCAATGCCCTATGTTAAATCATATATTAAAAATATGACCATGTCATTCGATCATCTGGATGAATCGATCACCAGTACAAGCCTGCATAATCTAAGCCTATCGTATGCATCGGATTTGATTGGAAAAATTGTCTGTGGTGGTTCGAATCCATCATTGAATCGTGAGATTAAATTACTCAAAGTTAAAGTACAACAACCAAAAATTTTATCAGCAAATGAACGAAATGCTTTCAGTTCAGATTTTTGTCTCGATGGTTATAGACAAATTATGCAAATTCAAGGCGGACCTGTCATATGGAATTTCCTAAAACCAATATTAGTGGGTAAAATTTTATACACACCAAAAGCACCGATTACCGACATGATAATGGTTCAAATGAATTCAACATTAAAATTTATGCCACGAATGGTTGAAATGCTTCATGCATGGGCACAAACATTATCCAATTTGGAAAGTTTTTATCATCAATCCGATGTTAATAATCGTATGAATCATGTGAAACATTTAATCCAATCGGTTTTCATCAATGGAGAAGCTGATGGTCTTTTCAACGATTTCGATACATTCGATTTGATTGAAAAATTAATAAAATCTGGCAATATATTGGCCATTGTCAAATTGATTGGCCAAGTTGCCAATTGTGCTTCATTTGATCGTTTTGTCGGTGTAAATGATGAAATTGAATTGGAAGAAATGGCTAGAAATCTAACTAGATCACATCAATTTATAGCTGGTATTGTGTTTGCTGGAAAACAGCATGATTATTTAAACAAACATACATTGCCCAATAATATTGAATATAAAATACGAATTGATATTGATTTTGTACCATCAACAAAAGCATTGAAAAGTCGTATATGGGAACCAGGTCCACGTGATCATTATCTTGATGATATGCAATATTTACATGGTTTTGTTCAAATTCAAGAAATGATTGATCGTTCAATAATGGCATTATTAACAAATCAAACCAATCATCAACGGCGATTACCTATCGATCCAGAAGTACATCTTCAACAACAACCATATCTATGTTATGGTAGTGATAAATATGGAAATTATATACGATCATTAGCTCCATTAATTACAACAATGGCATGGATATTTTTGATTGCCTATCTGATTCGTGAACATGTTTTGGAACGAGAATTACATCTGGAAGAAGTAATGCGTGTTATGGGTTTAAAATCAGGTGTTGCATGGCTTACCTGGTTTATATTGGGAATATCGATTATGGCATTTGCAACAATATGTGCAATATTACTTCTTTTTGTTGGCCAATTAATACCGGCTTCTGATCCGATACTTCTTTTCCTGTTTTTATGGTATTCAATGTATCATTGTTAATGTTTTGCTATATGATTAGTTCATTTTTTCGTACTGCTACAATTGCAGCATTATCCGGTATTGTCGCATATTTGGCTTCATTCCTACCGTTTATGGTAGCCATTACATTAGAGAATGAAATGAGTTTTACACAGAAAATTTTCACCTGTCTATCGATGTCGACATCATTTTGTTTCGGTATGATGTACATGACAAGATTTGAAGTTCAAGGTGTCGGTATGCAATGGAACAATCTTTGGCATAGTCCAATGCAAGGTGATACTATGAATGTTGGTACAGCTATTATTATGATGGCCATCGATTCTGTAATCTATTTTATAGTGGCATGGTACATTTCACATGTACATCCACCTGGCAATAATGCACGAAGATATCCAGCTTTGTTTTTTCTTTCGTTTTCATATTGGAAAAATGATTTCTTACGTGCATTTGGCTTCGGTGAAGACCAGAATTCATCATCACCATTACGTGTCAATCAAATGAATCATCATCAAGATTCATTATCATATAGTATGGATAGATATGAAGATTGTCATAATAATGATCGACTAGGTGATAAGATAAACGATGTAGATAATACTTCAATCACATTGGAAAATGATGATGCATTTAATATTGTCGATCCTGAAGAATGGAAATCATTGAGTAGTAAAACATTTTTTAATTTTCATCATGATGATAATACCATGATTGCTGATGGTACATTGAAAACTGTATCGGGTACGTTGAAGAAAGCCATTCATCATCATATGGATTGTACAACGTTAACACGAAAAGCCAGTCAACAATCAACTCATTCATCAACGACAGCATCCACAATAAGTCAGAATCCATTAGGAATGGAAATCAATGGACTTTATGTTATCTACAATGAACGAAGTAATAGTTTAAAACATATGGCTGTATCAAATTTGAATCTTAATTTGAAAGAAGGTCAAATAACTACAATATTGGGAAGAAATGGAGCTGGAAAAACTACCACAATTAATGTACTTACCGGTCAAATGCCACCAACATCAGGTACTGTCACAATATATGGTTATCGAATACCGGATGATTTTAGCCATGCTAGACGTTTACTTGGATATTGTCCACAATATAATACATTATTTGATGATTTGACCGTTCGGGAACATTTATTATTTTTTGCTGAACTGAAAGGTTTGCTTCAGGATTCAAAAACCATCGAGCATGATGTGAATGAAATCCTACACAATATGGGTTTATGGAATCTACAACATCAAATGGCCAAACATTTATCCGGTGGCCTAAAACGTAGACTTTGTGTTGCATTGGCTTTTCGTTGGTGGTAGTAAACTAATCATTTTGGATGAACCAACTGCCAGTGTTGATCCTGTAGCAAGACGAAGAATTTGGGATTTAATTGTTCAACAGAAACGATCACGTACAATTTTACTTACCACACATCATATGGATGAAGCAGATATTCTATCGGATGAAGTGGCCGTCATTTATCGTGGCAAATTATTATGTATTGGTTCACCATTATTACTTAAATCTAAATATGGATGTGGTTATCGATTAACGGTTTCTAGACAAGGTGGTCTACTGGATTGTGATTCAATTGCAAATCTAAATCATATCGAACATAATGAAGAAGAAGAATCAAATGTAAATAGTTTTGATAGCCGCGTAACAATTCGTCCAAGGAGTGAAGTAGAAAAATTGATGGCATTCACCAAATGTCTTATACCGAATGCTTCATTTGTTGAAGATAACAATGGTCAGGTTATTCTTTCATTGCCACATTTAGATGACCATGGTATAGCACATGATTATGCTACATTTTTTCGTTGTCTTGATTCAAACATACGTACACTTGGATTTGGAAGTTATGGAGTTACCAGTACGACGTTAGAAGAAGTATTTCTTACACTTTGTAGTCTTGAAGAATTAAACATGCCAGTAGATGAGGCAAAATTGGCTGTAGCACGTCGACTAAGTCACCAGGCTACGGGCAGCGGATCCTACAATAGCCGGAATACCGATGATCCAATCCAATGTTCAAATACCAGACGACCTGATATTCAAATAGATACAGGTATCCGATTAAAATCTCGACAATTATATGCATTATTTAAGAAACGATTCCTGCATATGATACGTGATTGGAAACTATTGTTCTGTACACTGTTTTTACCTTGTTTATTCATTGCTTTCGCCATGGCCATGACATTGATCAAACCATCGTTTGCTCCAGATCCAGCATTGCCATTAGTACCACACATATATGGCTCTTCGACCGTATCATTTTTGCATAATCATCCTAGACATGGTAATTTCACTGAAAAATTTCATATGATTGAGAAAGAATTAATCGAATCAAATGATAATGAGCAATCAGTTGTTGATTGTATGCGACCACGAGATAGATGGCGTACAGCTAAATGTCCTATTATGAAAAATAAATTTGAATCACCATTGCCTTTACATCTGATTACATTGAAAGGCGCTGCTTGGCATCGTAATTCAAGATCATCATGTAAATGTCCAGATTGTTTTCATGATATTCATACAATGTCACATTTTATACCAATGCCACAACAAAGCTCTTATGGTTGGATCTATAACCTCAGCAGATTGATTGATATTAATCAATTTTTATTGCGAACACAACCCGAATTTATGGATCGTCGTTGGGGTGGTTGGAGTTTTCGTTCACTGCGATCACAACATCAAAAACAACAATGTCTAAAAGACGAATTATTAAAGTTTGGTATGATAATAATGGATTTCATGCTATGCCTTCCTATTTGAATGCCATCAACAATGCAGTGCTTCGTGCCAATTTAAAAGCTTTGGGTCAAACGAATAGTTCATATCGGATAACCACGTATTCACATCCATTACATGTACGATCCAATCAATTGGGTGATCAATCGGTTATGCAACAGGCAGGTGATGCAGGTATTGCCATCATTATATTGGTTGGATTCATTTTCATACCAACCAGTTTTGTATTCTACATTGTACGAGAAAGAATTTGTGAAGAGAAACATTTGCAGAAAACTTTTGGCGTTGGTCCAATACTGTATTGGTTATCTAGCTTATTCTGGGATCTAACCATATTGATTATTGCTATCGGATTTGCATCTGCAATTATTGGTTTCTTTCGTTTACCGATCTATATGTCACGTTTGAATTTACCGGCCATCCTAATGCTTTTATTCTTTTTCGGTTGGGCTATGATCAATCTAGTTTATTTGATGGAAAAATGTTTCAATGAACCAAGCATTGCATTCATGGGTATCTATTGTCTTTCGTTATTCATTGGCATACATACGATGGTCATGCGATTGATGATTGATGTTTTTAAATTAATTGAAATCACACCCACTATATATCAATGGTTCGAGAAGATTGCAATATTTTTACCACCATATCTATTACTTAGCGGTATTGTTGATGTTCATCGTAATCAATTATTTGCTGATATTTTTAGCCTGTTTGATCAGGATACCTATGTGAATCCATTTTCATTTGAATTGTTGGGACGTCATTACACTATTTTTGCTGTACAAGGCTTGCTGTTTTTCATCATCAATTTAGCCATTGAATGTGATCTCATTTGTAAGCTTAGTGCCATATTCAAATTGAATCATCGTCGATCATTGCCTAGCGGGCTAGGCCATCGTTCAGATGATCAGAATGAAGACAGTGATGTTGCCGATGAAAGACGTCGTGTTCATATGGCATTTGGCCTTCCAGTACCTGTACAAAATTTTTCTTCTAATTCACCAGATTCCAGTCGAAAAGTTTCATCGGATTGTCAATCAACAACAAGTTCCATTTCGAGCAACAGTATGACTTCACCAAGTTCCGATATACTTCGAGTATTTAATGTGACCAAATTGTTTGAAAATATGTTCGGATATCGTAGTGCTGTGAACAATATAACTTTCTCTGTGCCTAGAGGTGAATGTTTTGGATTATTGGGAGTGAATGGTGCAGGTAAAACTACATTGTTCCGTATAATAACCGGACAGGTTAAAGCTACGACCGGAGAAACAATGTTTAATGGCCGAAACATACGTGAAGCATTGGCCAATAATTATCATAATGAATCTATTGGATACTGTCCACAAGCTGATGCATTGGACGGTTTTCTTACACCGGTAGAACATTTAACAATATATGCACATCTTAGAGGAATACCAAGGCATCAAGTTTCAAAGGTAATTTTATCAAAATTCATTTTCATTGTCATGTCGTCTTACTAATTATTTTTTATTGTTTACATAGTTTGTGAAAGAATCGATTGATAAATTTCAATTACAAATGCATTCAACAATGCCCGTTCAAGCATTAAGTCGTGGAAATCGACGAAAACTTTGTCTAGCTATTGCTATGATAGGCCGACCACAATTGATTTTGTTGGTAAATTTTTTCCTTGTATCTTTTACCATCAATTTTCTAAATATTTTCTGATTTAACAGGATGAACCGACCAGTGGTCTTGATCCGCAAAGTCGTCGACATGTATGCCAGAATATTCAGGATGCTATACGTGATCGTCGTTCAATACTGCTTACATCGCATAGTATGGAAGAATGTGATATACTATGTTCACGTTTGGCCATCATGGTTAATGGTCGATTTAAATGTATTGGTAGTCCTCAATACCTCAAACACAAGTGAGTATTGCATTAATATTGAAAATTACATAATATCATTGTAAACTGTTTATATTCCATGATCTTATTTTAGATTCGGTACCGGTTACATCATTACGCTTAGATTATCAGAAATAAAGGCCAATTTTAATGAAGCCATTGAATATATCCATGAGAATTTTCCTCAATCAATTCTCAGGGTAATAATCATCATCATCATGGATTTGATTTAAATAAATTAACTTTTTTTTTATTCAATTCAACAATCAGGCTCATCATCATACAATGTTGGAATTTAATTTGCCCACGAACGAAATACTCTTGTCGACCATATTCCAGGTGTTACAAAGTGCCCAATCATTATTGTCATTACAGGACTATTCGGTCAGTCAGACAACTCTTGATCAGGTAAACATTTATTCGGTCCTATTTTTTGTTTTAGTTTTTTGACTCTTTTTTCCAACAATTTAACCAGGTGTTTGTCACATTTGCCAGCCAACAAGTAAACGATTTCGATGGCCAAGGGGATGGATCCAATGATAAAACTATGACAAATAACAAAAATGACGAACAAGATTGTCCAAATTCGAAACGTTCTTCGTTTTTAATGGCACATGATGCTAGACATCAGATTAAACGGCATGCATCAATGTTGGTATCATTGTGTCGGGAATCGCCTTGTACTAAATCGACAGCCGCATGCAATAACAATAATATTAATCATCAAACAATGAAAGCTTCCATTCCATGGCAATCACAGCATCGACATGCATCTCTTGGTGCTGATCGAAGAAATTCGCCTTTGGCATCCAAAGTTCTACACAGGCGTCAATCGATTGAACACCAACAGCGAATTAAATCAAAATCTCCAACCTCAAAGATATTGGACACGGTTGATTTGAATGCACATTCTATCAAGACAAATTTTATAATGAATGGAAAAAACAAATTAATGGTCAATAGATTAGTCCATAGACATAGTTTTCGAGATTCCATGCCATCTATCATTTGGAGGGATCATCATTATCATCGCTATCATCATAGGCAACCACCTACAATTCCTACAATTCACAATGGCAATAGTCATCTCTATCCAAGTCTAATGTATGAAACGCCTATATCAGCTTGTCGATATTGTACGAATTCAACGCACAATCATTATCAACCACATCATCATCATCATCATCATCATCATCGGCAACAGCAAGTGACCAAAAATAAATCTAGACATCGACAAATGAAGCCATCAATCTGATTTTTTTTCCCCATAGATTTACATGTTTTTGTTATTTGTACAATTGCAATTCATCATTATATAACTTTCAATTTCTTTTTATTAAATATGGTTTTCGTTGAATCGGTTCAATTGATTAAAATCTAACTATATTCAATTTGATTGTGTGGTTCAATGATTTTATTTTTATAAAAAGGATAATACAGAAAATAATAAAACTTTCAATATGGATACAGAGATTAACATTATACATTCAAACATTAAAAGATATTGTTGCCATAACAATGAATAGACAATGTTTAGCATTAAATTAAGGGCATACAGCAGCGGTATCGATAAATGTCGATGTCGAAGTAATGCCAATAAATTGAATTCGGTTATCAGGATTGAAACGAATAACAACATCTCCAGCCAAAATATCAATGTACGATAGGTGAATACAGATGCTAGAAATAGTATAGAAAATGAAATGCAAAAAAAGAAATTAATAATTTGAGAAATATAAACTTTAAGGTTAACTGACCTTTATAGGAAAAAATGATTGATTGAACAATCCCGTGAAATAATGTTAAAATCAGAATGAAATTGATCGACGATTTAGTTATGATTGTCATCTTGGAGTTTCTTTGAAAAGTAGGCACCATTTTGTTTCTTGAATAATAAGATTTTCTATACTCGAATAAAATGATGACCATAAACAATTCAAACGACAATCACCATGGTAACCAAAAAAATGTGTTTGGTCAAACAAGAATATTCATCTTTTCATCTTCAGGTACCTTGTTAATAATTAAACGTCCGTCATAGCTTAATGATGCAAAAATCCATGGATCATTAGGTGACCATTCAATTGCATAAACACTATCAGCATGATCTTCAAACTTTCGGATAAGACCATCATCATTTCGAGATTGTCGTTGATCAGAAACTAATAAACGTTTTATGGTTGAATCCTCTTCTTCATCTAATAAATCTTCCTGTTCGATAAGTTGTCCATATGGTTGTGATGCAATTGATGATGCTCTTAGTAGATTGACATTTCCATCACTACTTGATGATAGTACAAGATGATCATGGAATGAATTATAACGTACGGACCAAACCCAATGTGAATGATGTAACATTTTCAATACCGGTTTCGTTGTATCACGAATATCCCAGAATTTTACCTCACAATCATCACCACATGTAGCAAGATAATGCTGTGAATTTGGATTGAAATCCATATCACGTACCATTTGACTATGAGCTTGTGATATTTGCCAGGCATGATTCGATGATGATCGTAAATCTTTTGCATATATATTATTATTACAAACAATGGTGACAATATTTGAACTAAAATGTGGACTCCAATTACATGTAGATATTTTTGACAAACGACTGGTTGTTGTTTTAGGGCCACCGGGATTATCAACGGTAATATAACGTTTCATTTGTCTTGTTTCCAGATCAATGTAGGCTAATTTGGTTTCCAAACATAAAATCAATTCATCCTCTTCTTCCGGTTTTAATCGAGCTAATCGGCCAGAATTTTCATCAAAATCATTCCGGTTGAATGTATGACATTTTTCCAGTTCCAATGAGGTGGCATTTTCATTTTCATTCAGATTTTCCGTCACATCAATGGGTATTCGCCATAATGTAAAACGATTCTCAATCTTATTCGATTCGGATAATGATGAAAAACAGGTTAATAGTTGTTGTGGTTGTTTTGAAAATGATATTATATGCCATATCTCACCGGAACGATGTTGAAATACAGCTTTCAATAATGAATTACTTTCTTCAATATATTCCAATAGATGAACTTGATTTTCATTCGATTTTAATGATTGTGTACCGATAAAGAATCGTGATGGAAGATGTTCACTATATTGTGAACATAATGCACGACATTCATGATCTAATCCATAGATTAATGATGGATTTTCTGATACTGAACGCATAATTTTTTTCAAACAAAAAAAAAGATTAAATCATCCAAATATTTACGTGTTCGATTTTTGCATTGATATACGTACATTATGATGGGTTCAAATTTTCATGTTTTTAAAAGACGACATGTGATTAAAATTTTTTTTTAGATGACAAATTATCAACAAAAACAAAAATTAGTTCATCAATTCAAACGAATGATATGGAAGAAAAGGATCCAATCGAAGAAATGTTAGATCGTACCGGATGTAAAACGATTCATATATCTTTACAGGTCTCATTTGTTTTCATTTAATTGTATTTTTTTTTTTTTTGAAAATTTCTTAATCGTAATTTTTTTTTACTGTTTCTTCTTCTACCCACCATCAATTCAATTCAACAACAACAAAAAATGTATGCAGGAATGTATGTATGAATATAAAGATTGGCGAAAATGTCAACATCTAGTCAATGAATTACGTGATTGTATGTTGAAACATGAAAAACAGAAAAATGAAGCTGAATTTCAAAGTGAAAAGAAAAAAAACTAAATTTCTTCTTTTCAGAATTTTTTTAATTATTAAAAACAAATGAAAACAAAAAACGACAACAACAAACAAATTCATCTTTTTCTTTTGAAAATAATAATTTACATTAATTAAAATAATTTCTAGAAATATTAAAATAAAAATTAGGCTCTGATTGTTGTTGTTGTTATTGTAGCTGTTGTTATTGGTGTTGGTGTTATTATTGTTGTTGTTGTTGTCGATGTTATTGTTGTATTATTATCACAAACAGCATGATGATTATCATATTGAAAATGTTTTGATGATGAATTCTTTAAATGATGATTTGCATTTGAAAATTTATATGTTTCACTTTGATGTACAACGAATGAACTATCATCATCATCATAATATTCCAATTCTTCATTATAGATATGATTATCTGGAATTAAAAATTGTTTATTATTTGTTGTCCACATAATTCTAGTCAATATGGCAAAGGCAAGAAAATCGGCTGTTGATGAGAATCCTAATTTTTAAAAAGAATTTTCAATTTAAAAACAATGAAAACAAACTAATAATATATTTACCAGTAATAATTTTACAACGCCACATAAGATCAATATGTATGGCTACCATTGCAACCAATGGTAAATGTACGAACCAAACAAGCATACCGGCACCAAAATGTAAATAAAATTTTAATCGTCGTGAATCCTGTTCCAACATCATTGTATGCCGTAATTCATATATAAACCATAACATTAATACGATACGAAAACCGAGACTAATCCAACCGGGTACCGTATGAAATTCATCCACTTCTTCAATCATGTTCAATGAATTTTTCATCCATATAAATAACAATATATTGATAACAATATAAATGGTTGCCATAATTATCATTAAAGTTTTGGAGAATGTTTCCGGTTTAGTGAATGGCCATCCTTTTGCTATGACCAATACGAATAAAATTAACAAGGCCTAGGAAAATGGAAAAAAAAATTCATCATTATCATCATCAATCATCATCAAATTTAAAATTTAAAATGTTTACATACGATTGACATAATTTTCATCACTTCAGCAATAATGAATAATGTTTCCAATCCTTTACCATTTTGAGCGAAAACAATTTTATGTAAACAAATGAAAAAATATGATAATGAATGTAGCAATAGAGAAATGGTAAATAAATAATTTAAATTTTTCATCTTCTTCTGCATAGATAGTAAATAGATTTGCATCAAGAACAGTATAATGTAACCAAAATCAAGTAGAATATAGAACCAAAAATTTTGTTGTTCATATGAAAATTGATAATCTGAATCAATTAGACGAGTAGTTAGACGATTATTAGGATGACCATTTACTATCCATAAATCATATGAAAGTAATGTTTTTGTATTTGATTTTCTTGTCCATATAAATGATGTTTGATTTAAAAATTTTCTACGACATGGTAATAATAATAGATACCAGAAACTGGCATCTTTCTGTTCATCAATAACATAGGTCAATTGATAATTTGGTATATTCATTTCTTGGCATTGATTATCACAGGTACCACCAGTGGGGCATGGTACATAACGAAAATATTCATCATCATCATCATTATCATCATTTGAGGAATTATGACAAATTTTTTCAGTATTTTTCGGATGAATAGCTTTGAAAATATCGGCACAAAATTTTCCACCCAAATCATCGTCAGTTTGATTACAATTCATATGAACATTTTTAGTTTTCTTATAAAGTTGATAAATATGTTTGAATAATGTACGATTTGCAAATAATAATATTCCCGAATTGAAATATGGATTCGATGAATCTAATATTGTTGAATGGTTATTATTGTTTTTATTCAATAAAATTTTTCTACTCGATGATGACGATTGATGATTCAATAAGGTTATATTGCCAAACATATAACCACTAGTTTCAAGCCGATGATTCTGATCAGTACGTTGAAAACCAAATCTAGTTATCACCTGTGTAAACGAAATGAAAAAAAATTCACCAAATGTCAACAACAGCAACAAAAAAAAAATTCATATCAATACCTTGAACAAAGTTGTTGATGGTGACCATATTCCCTGTACATGTATGCCATCGACCAATGTCCATAAAGAGAATAATGATAAAATCAATATATAGAATAGCCAAAAATATGTCCCCGGTGAACATTTTGACCGAGGCATATTTTTGAATCTTTCTTTTGTTTAATTTAGAAAGAAAATTTTGATTTTATAATTATGACAATGATGATGATGATGAAAATATGGCTACGTTGTTGCAATTCAAAGCATTTTTTGGCCTTAATAAGTAAAAATTAGGAAATTGTCAACGATGGCAATATATGAAAAAAGTGACAAATTTTTTGTTCCCACTTTGTAATGAAAACAATCAACTATAACTCAACTCAATGGATATATAATCGATTCGATCATGGTATAAACACAGCTTTTTTTTCACAAACGTATCTGTTCTATTGATATTTTTTTCCGGTATTAAGATCTTTTTCATCGTTAATATCATTAACAGGATTTCTGGGATTATTTTGCCCCATATGAATGTTTGATTTATGTCATATTTTTGTTGGTCAAATTTTTGTCAATATTCAAAGATAAACGACACGTTTCCTGTCACGTGAATATTACTTGTAACGTATGAATTTGTTTATCGAAAGTTGTCGAAAATCATGCCTTGTGATTTTAATCAAAAAAAAAAAAATTGATTTAATTTTGAAAAAATGGCCCGAAAACATGGAATCAAACGAAAAACGGTTATTAGTGATGATGATAAAAAATTACAACGAAAAGAGGCAAAACATTTGAAAGATTTTGGTGAAGAACATCCGATTAATGATAAAATTCGATTAGAAGATCGTTGTGTTAAACGTGTTTATGAAAATGATACAATTGATGATGATGACAAAAACAACGAGAAACATGATGATAATTCCTCGGAAATTGTTGATAAATCCGATATACAACCCAATTATTACGAAGAATTATTGAATGCGTAAGTATAATGCATTTTTTCCTACATTCATTGATTCTATATTTATCTTTAGATTTGGTAAAAAGAAAAATGTTGATCCACAATCCGATTCTAGTAGCGATGATGATGATGATGATGATGAAGTGAAGCTACCATCAGAAATTGATGAAAACGAAGATTTTGATGACGAAAATAATGATATCGATGATGATGATGATAATGATGACGATGAGCAGCAGCAGCAAATGAAATCGGAAAACAATACCGACGATAATTTTGCTCGACATTTTTTCACCAATTTTGATTCAACCGATATAGAATCATTAATGACATCGAAACAAATGATCAACAAACAATACTTGTGGCCAAACATTGGTTCATTTGTTGAATCACGATCGGATCGAAAATGTTTTGATTTAATTCAAATTGATGAACCGCCAAAAAATTTGGATAAAATTCAAGTGAAACCATTATTACGTGAAAATATTTCAAAAACATTGATAAAATCAACAAATAAAAAACAGCAAACATTAACAGCATTTCAATTGGAATTATTATCACTGTTAACAACGTATAAAAATCTATTCTATCCAGAACGAACCATAGAAAATGGTGAACAAATTCGTTTGGTCTATTCATTACATGCTTTGAATCATATTCTTCGTACACGTTCAAGAATCGTTTCACATAATGCTAAAATCAAAAATAATAATCAAAATTATGATAAAGATGAATATCGTGATCAAGGTCTTACCAGGCCAAAAGTATTGATCATATTACCATTTCGACATTCAGCATATTTAACGGTGAATATAATGGTTGATATACTTTTTGGTGATAACAAAGATTCGGATGAAAAAAGAATACATCTAATGAATTATAAACGTTTTCTTAAAGAATTTGGACCAGATTCAGCGGATGGATCAAAGATTAGTTCACGAAAACCAGATGATTATAAACAATTATTCGCTGGCAATATTGATGATTCATTTCGTGTGGGATTATCATTGACAAAAAAATCATTGAAATTATATTCAGATTTCTATTCATCCGATATAATCATAGCATCACCATTGGGTCTTCGTTTAATTATCGGTGCCGCTGGTGAAGAGAAACGTGATTTTGATTTTCTTTCATCCATCGATATGATCATTATGGATCAGGCCGATATTTTTCTTATGCAAAATTGGGAACATGTTCTTCATTTGTTTGATCATCTTCATCGAAAACCTAATGAAACACATGGAGTGGATTTTTCTCGTGTAAAATTATGGGTCTTGGAATTATGGTCAAAATTTTATTATCAATTATTATTGTTCACTACAGTTCCATCGCCACTGATTACCGGATTTTTCAATAAATTTTCAACAAATTTTAGCGGTAAATTAATCATCCGTAATGAAATCCAAATTAATCGTGCAGCAATAAACAATGTTTACATTCAATGTTCACAAATATTTCATCGATTCGAATGTCAATCATATGGACAAATGGCCGATGCTAGATTTGAATTTTTTACGACAAAAATTCTGCCAAAATTTCGTCATGATCCAATGATGATTCGTACAATGATTTTTGTACCATCATATTTTGATTATGTTCGTCTACGTAATTATTTCCGTAATGATGATATAAGTTTTACACAGATTTGTGAATACTCTAAACCGGGTAAAGTGGCAAAAGCTCGTCATATTTTCTTCTATGGTGGTCGTCATTTTCTTCTTTATACTGAACGTTATCATTTCTATAATCGGCCAACAATCAAAGGTATTCGTCATTTGATTTTCTATGAACCACCTGTTTATCCACAATTCTATTCAGAAATGGTGAATGCAATGAATCATGCAAATCAAGGTCAAAAAATGTTGACCGATTATAGTTCAATGTCGGTCACTGTTCTTTATAATAGATTCGATACGCCATCATTATTACCATTGGTTGGAACTAAATCAATGACAAAATTATTATCAAATGATGATTCTTCTTCAAATGTTCATATGTTTCTTACGGAAAATGTTTTACATTGATCATTGTAATAATTGATTTTCAATAAATTTTTCATCGTTTTTTTGAAGAACAAAAAAATGAAAAATTTTGTCTCAAATGATTGATCGAAACAATTTTCTAATTCAAATGATGGGTGGGTGTGGCGTCAATAATGGCTTAAAGAACAATATTTCAATAGTGTCCGTTTTCCAATCATAGCTACGATCATAGCTTATTATAGTGTCAAGATGCCCGAGTGGTTAAGGGGTTTGTTTCAGGCGGGTGTTTTTTATGGGTGTGGTACGCGTTGGGTAACATAAAAATTCTTAGTAACCAGAAAAACACAACTAATTCTCGCGAGAATTAGTGATTGTTGTTTCGTTTCAGGGGACAACATTTCTGGTTACCATTTGATTATTAATCATTAATTAAGAACTTTATGTGATGATGAACATACAAATCGACGGAAGTCGGCGTGGGTTCGAATCCCACTCTTGACAAAATGGTTTTTTTGTTGTTCATAGAACCGGAATTGAATAACACATTAGATCGATTTAGAATTGTTTTTGGAAAGGTCGCCAAACTGCTTGTGCTGACATCTATCCACCGTCATGGTTAGTTCAATAGCGCAACGAGCACGGCCATCATTCACATGTGTGTGAGTGTGTGTATTTCGTTTTTTGAGATTTTCGATCTTTTGTCAATTTTTTTTTGTTTGAAATAAAAAAAAAAAAAAAAAATGGCTGTTGGTAATGCTGATATCAAACCGAACAACACTATCTATATTCGTAATCTTAATGAAAAGATTAAAAAAGAAGGTAAGTGCACTTTTCGTATCATTATTTTCTTCGTATTGATTTATTCTTTTTTTTGTTGGTGATTTTATTTTAGAATTGAAAAAATCACTTCATGCCATTTTTTCACAATTTGGAACAATTTTGGATATTCATGCAAAAAAATCATTGAAAATGCGTGGACAAGCATTTGTCATATTCAAAGATATTAACAGTGCATCAAATGCTATACGTTCGATGCAGAATTTTCCATTCTATGATAAACCAATGGTTTGTTTGTTCGTTTTTGGAAATATTTCCGTAATTGATTCTAATTCTTTTTTTTCTTCATTATAGCAAATCCAATATGCACGAAAAGATTCCGATTTGATTGCCAAAATGAAAGGTACTTATATTGAACGACCGAAAATGCCACGTTCTGATGAACCGAAAAAGAAGAGAAAAGAAAAACGAACAGCACCGATAAACACTGTAAATGCAGCCGGTATTCCACATTCAGCATTAGCTGAACAACCACCAAACAATATTCTATTCTTAACGAATTTGCCACCAGAAACCACTGCACCAATGGTACAGGTATTGTTCACACAATTTTCTGGCTTTAAAGAAGCACGTCTTGTACCTGGCCGTTATGATATTGCATTCGTTGAATTTGAAACCGAATATCAAGCCGGTATGGCCAAGGATACATTACAAGGATTCAAAATAACACCCACACATGCTATTAAAATTACTTATGCTAAAAAATAGAATTCACATCATTATAATTATCAACCATCAATCATCATTATAATTATGGATATATTGTTTTTTTCCCTCATATTTAATAATAAAATTAAAATTTTTTTTCTTTACGAGCAAATAGTTGTGAAAAATTTCTTTTCCATTTTTTTAGAATTGAAAATTGACAAAATCAAAATTAGAAGAGAAAAACGTTGATAAATGTTCTGTTTTGTTTTGTTTTGTTTTGCTTGTGTTATATAATAATTTCTCTTTTTATGTTTTGTGTGTGTGTGTTTATGTGGGTGTGTGCCCGCCATCCGCCGCACAGTAAATCGATAGAATATTCTTTCACATTCAATGTTAATTCAGTTTGTGAGTGTGTGTGTGTGTTTCAAAGGAAACGGATCATCAAAAAAAAAAAATAAGATTTCATCATCATCATCAATCAATCATCATCATCATCATTGTTGTTGTTGTTGTTGTTTTTGTTTGTGGGTATGTGTTTAGTGTGTATGCAAAAAAAAGAAGAAGAAATGAAAAAGAAACAATTATTTAAAAATTTTTCTTGAAATTAATTCTTTTTATTATCAATTGCATCTTCATGTGCTTTTTTAACGATTGCCAATTTTGAATTATCATCCTCTACAGGTAGATCTTTATATGGCTGTTCTTTTGTACCATGAATCATTAGAATCCATTCTTTTATAAAACCATGTTGTTGTTCAGGACCAGAATGTGCTACCTCTAAACGCCAAACACCGCGTGGATTTTCACCCCATGTATGTGTGGTCATAAATGGCCATTTAACAAAACCATCATGTCCATCATCATCGTTTGGTCTACGGCTCAATATCATTGATCTAATTATTTATAGCGGAAATAAAAAAGTGAAAATGAATTCATTTAATTAATTTATCTACTACAACTTACTTGGTACCCATTGGTGATATAAGATATAATAAAACATCACCACGACGTGTTGAATTCAATGTAATCACTGCCTGTACATGTTCAATATAATTCACTTCAGTTTCGGTATTTGCACATGCATTTGTTTCAATATTCAATGTAAGGCTTCTATTCGTTGGTATTGATAAATTATCCGATACAATTGAACCGGCTTCACAATGATAACGTGGTGGTACTGTTTTCCATTGTTTGGACAATGCAACCATTGCACCGGCATCGAGTACACCGTAGCCAAATAAATGATTAAATTCTAAACCAACGCCATTCATATTCCAAAAGAAACGTTTCTTTGAATCATATAATGAATTTCGTTTTGAAGTCAGAACACACAAATGTTGTACATCACGCCATGTTAATGATGGGCTATTGTTTTTATTTTGAAATTGGAAAAAAAATTCAATTTAAATAATTTATGTATATGTATGATAAGGGCATCACACACACACAAACTTACTTGGCTTCCAATGCTAATGCAAATACACCAGCAGCTTCGGGTGCAGCAGCCGATGTACCTGAATGTGTTTTCGTACAACGTCCATATAGATCGGTAGTAGCTACACCTGTATGTGGATCTTTAGCTCCATTGCTAAAAGTCGATGCTAATGTACTTGAGCATGACTCATCATAATGAGCATTCTGACCATCATTAATAGCTGAATTAATTGAAATGGTCCACATTGATGCTGCATAACCATCACAATTACAATCATCATCTTCACCACCATCACCTGATGCCCATACATAGATATTACCTAATCCACGACGACCCTGTTTAGGAAAATTTTATTTGAAAAATGTTTACATTTTCATCATAATTTTATATAATATGACAAACCTCATTAACACCACGAACAATAGCACGCATCGTAGCATTTCTTGGGCCATCAACTGTTTTGCCATCATCAGTTGGTCCCCATGATGCACTATAGATATCGATCAAATCTGGTTCATGTCCCATTGAATTAGCTTCAATCAAATCGGTCATATATGGTTGATCAAGCATTCGTATACCGGCCACTTTAGAATCATATGCAACACCAACACCACAAATGCCATTATCTCGTTTAGCAGCCACTTCACCAGCACATCTAGTACCGTGGCTATTAAACCAATCATCCGTATAACGTGGATATGGATATGGATCATTGCTACTAAAATCATAGCTTGCTTTTGCATTCTGTTTACATTATCGTTGTTATATAGCAAAAAAAAAATTAAACAAAAATTTAAAAAGTCAAAAGTCAAAAGGCTTCATAACAAACTTACATAATTATCTTTAAGATCTGGATGCATATAATCAACACCATCATCCATAATGGCTGTGGTTACATTTTTACCGGTTATACCTTGCGCCCAAGCTATTTGATTATTTGGTTAAAAAAAAATTAAAATTTAATCGACACCTACACACATTAAAAAAAACAACATACCAGCTTCAACATTTAAATCTAAACGTGGTTTACCACCATTTTGTCCAGTATTCTTTAAATACCATTGATATTGAAAGAATGGATCATTTGGATCATTTTGTAGTTGTAAATTTTCAATTTCATCCAATACTAATGATTTATAGCCACGTTTTATACGACGGAAGCCTAATTGTTGTTGTGCCGATTCAATCTGAAATCGATTTGATCATCAATATTTATTGGTATTTGATTATAGGAATAAAAGAATGAAAAAGTTAAAAAAAAACACGTAAATGAATAATAAACGAAAAAGTTTATCTCTCTCGTTCTCTCTCATATTCATTGCCACTAATCGGATTTATTATCGAAAAAAATTCGAACACAAAAACACAAACATCACATACCCACACGGTAGAAATAGTGTTCATTAAAATTTTACTAGATTCCAACTCTTTTTTTTTCTCATTTTGTTTTCAAACACCAACATAAAATGTTCAATTATCCATCGTTTTGTTGTCTAGTTGTTGTTGTTGTTGTTGTTTCATGAAATGAAAATATCAAATTCAAACAATTTAGGATTAAAATCGAATCGATTCGACTCGACTCGACTCGACTATTTGACTAAATTAACAATGCAATGAGTCAAAATTAACAAATTTTGACAGTGAAGCAAACTTTTTTTCCCTTCTTTTCTTTTGTTTTCACTTTTTTCCTCAACAACAACAACAACAACAACAACAACAAACAACAAAAGCAATCAAGAATTGCAAATTTTTTTCTTTTCTCAAAACACACATGATTATGATTCTGGTGATATCATTTGTCTTATTTTGGAAAAAAAACTTTCCGAAAATCAATTATCTTTCAGTAAAAAAAAATTCTCAAACATTGCCAGTAAATCATTTATTATTTGGCCGGCAATTTAGTCATTTAGTCATCTATTGGATTAAAATTAATGATGTTGATTTTTTTCATCTTGATTCTTTGCATGTGCTACTACTACAACTACTACTACTGCTACTACCACGTAAATGATAAGGGTCATGACGATCATTTTAATTCATTTGAAAAAAAAAAAAAAAAAAGAAGACAACTTACCAAATGATCAGATCGAAGTTTACGATAATGGCCAATACTACGTTTATTACGTGCATGTGGTAATGCACGATGTTGAAAATGATATTCACGCTGAGAGCCTAATATCTGTTGTTGTTGTTGTTGTTGTGTATGTGGTGTGTGTGTGTGTGTGTGTTTTGGTGGTCATGATGATAGAGAGAGAAAAAATGAACAAACAAAGATAAAAAACAAAATGAGAAAATAATAATGATAATAATCATCAGTCATTTTTTTGAAAAATATAATAAGCCAACACAATACACAGACAGACACACAATCGAAAGAAAAACGAATAAAAATTGATTTTGATCGATCGATTTTTTCTCGTTCAACTTATATATGAATATATCGATCAATTTTTTTTTTGAATCCAATTATTTTTATTGTCATTATATATAATTGACATTTCCAGTGCTGTTGACGAATTTTCATTTTCATTTTTACTCTGATAGTGTGGTGTATTGTATTTTTATTTTATTTTTTTTTGTTGTTCAATTCTTACCGGACCAAGATTTATAAATCCATGTTTTTTGGCTATCTGATGGGCTAATTGTTGATCAATATTACGACGAAATCTAATTTGAAATGAATTGGTAAACACTTCATTTTGATGATGATTATGATTATTATGATTAAACTGTAATGATTGTTCTACAGTAATAATCATTATTATTAATATGGTCAACATGATCATCATGAACATTTTTGATGATTTGCATAAATAATTTCGTCGCTGCAATAATAATGGCCACCATATTGATGATTTCGATGATGATAATGTTGATAATAATAATGATGATGATGGTGATCGATGAGATTTTGTTACAGATAGCCAATCATATTTTCTTGTTGCAGTTGTGGTTTTATGATTTTTATTTAAAAAATTTAAATAATCATCATCATCATCATTGTTGTTGTTGTTGTTGTTGACAACATCGTGCCTTAATTTCGATGTTGTCGTTGTATCATCATTCTTCATATGATGATTGTAATTATAATGATTTTTATCGTTGTCGTTGGTGTCGCTGCCGCTGCCGCTGCCGCTGTTGTTGTTGTTGTTATTTTGATGATAACATTCGAATATGCTGGATCTATTGGATGACATGACACAAAACAATAGTAAAAATGATGAAACGAGCTAGAAAAGAAAAATCACAATGAAAAAAAAAATAGATAGATGGATGATTGTTGAATTAATCGATTGATTTAATCGATTTTTTTTCCGTATTCAATCAATCGATGATAAGCCAGCCATTCGGGTAGAACCAAAAATAAAAAAATTTCAATTTGAATTGAAGAAAAATTTTTGGATCTAAACAATCGGTCGTAATAATCACATACAAACAAACTGAACAAAAATCACATCACATGATTTAAAACAAAACAAGCAAACAAGCAAACAACAACAACAACTACGATGACAACAACAACAACAAAATACAAAAAATGTCCATCACTGTCTGTCTTTCACTTTTATTATACACACGATAAATGTGAAAAAAAAAATTTTCCAACAACCAAAAATGACTAAAATAACAATAATAACGAAAACGACGACAACAACAACAACAACAATAACAACAATCTGATTGAACAACTAATGAATACTCAATGGAAAATAGATGAATAGAGTGAATGCAAGAAATATGAGTGAAAACCGATGTTCGACACACAAACAAACACAAACACAAACGAATACGAATAACAAAAAAAAAAAAAAAAAATTCTCGACGTCAAACGTTATGAGAATATTTTCCATTCTCTGTTGTTTGCCATCTTCTAGTTATATATATAGGCCATATTTTTCTTCTAATATAGGGTATTATTTGTATGATGATGGAATAGTGGTACCAAAAAAAAAAAAAAAAAAAATCGAAATTCCTGAAAAAAACTAGAATTTCAGAATCGTTTGCGTTGAATCTAGTCTATAGTCTTTCTTTCGTTTTTTATTATTATTATTTTGGACCATTTAGATATGCGCACATTGATCATCCTTGGCACTTTTGGAATATTAAAAGAATGAATGAATCGATTTTGTCAGAATCGATTTATTCTATATATATATACAGATGTATTTGAAAAATATCCAAGAAATTTTTTACACACACACACACACAGTGAGATAGCAATTTGAGTGATTCCAATTCGTGAATATCTATTTTTCCCCCTTCAGTGAACAGGGCAGTCTCATATTCTCATGAATTTATACCAGAATATTTTTTTTTTTTTTTTTTTGATAGTGAAGAATTTCGGTTGATGATGTGTTCCATTTTGTATCCGACACGAACAAAATTCAATATATATTGTTGAAACCGGAATTCCAGTAGGTGGCATTACTTGTCACTTGGAGGTTATCAGTGGTTTTCAACCGTTTTTGTTTATTTGGGTTCGCTCGGATATATAATACCAGTGGATATAATTCCTTTATCTCTTCTTCAAGTGGCTAATATCTAAAAATATCCGTGGACAAGCATAATTGATTGTAAACACAAACACACAGCATTAAATATTTTTCTTGTTGTGTTGTCGTGGCAATAATTCAATATCCGATGAGAGAAAAAAAACGAACGACTAACCATCGATACAATCGATTCGAATGTTAATTTTTCATCAATATATTCGATTTTTATTTTTTATTTATTTATAACTGCTGCTGTTTTTGTCACCACAATCCACTTTTTTTTATGGAAAATTATTATTTATTTCCATGAAATTATGCAGAATTCACATGATGATGATGATGATGATGATTAACGATTCTATCAACGTTTTTTTTCTGGTTGTTTGGCTAGCTTATCGTAGAAAAAAAAAAAAAAATTCTGTCACATTTGTAATTCCAATCAATATAATTCGGCCAATGGAATTAAAATTGATTGATCATCAGCATCAATGTCGTCATCATCATCAAATTCAACATAATCGATGAGTTCAAATAATATTGCCTTTTATTTAATGGAATGATGATGAAAAAAAAACGATATATTTGTAATTCTGTTGATTGAATCGTTGGCACATAATGTAGGATTTCTTCATCGATCAAATCGAATCACATCGAATTATCATCATTTCGCAATAATAAAATGGATTTTGCGTTCTTTCAAATCAATGCGTAGGTGTTTTGGTTTTTTGATTCGTTGAAACTTATTGAGACTATGGCTGCCACAATCAATAATGATTATCGTTTTGTTTCAACAAAAAAAAATTCTGAATTTTTGAAAGTTCAAAAAGATTTCTATAGAAACATAAAAAAAATTAATTCAATTCAATCGATGGAATTTGAACATTCGGAACATTTTTCCGGTTTGATTTTTTTCCACCAAAGCTGCACTTTGCAAAAAAACTTTTCATTTAATGAAAATTCAATGGAAAGGGTTCAGTTTTTTTCATTTTTTTTCCACATTCCACATATTTACATTTTCGATGATCAAGTTTGATTTGATGGAAAAAAATTTCATTCAATTGTCATTCATAATCATCACATTACAAACACACACACACACACACACATACCGATTCATTGTGTCAATCTAAAATGAAATTCATTCGAATTTATTCAAATATTCGATTCCACTATTTTCATCCAACTGTGTGTGTGTGTTCAAATGGAATTTGAAATCATTTATATTCTTTTATTTCCCTATAGTGTTTCAATGATGATGATGGATTTATTTGCATTTTACATCTACGTTTGTTTGTTTGTCTATGTGTGTTTTGCATTTATAATTCTTGAAAATTCTTGAGAATATCTCAACGATCAATTTGTGAACAAACAAACAAACAAAAAAAAATTATTTTGGGAATTGACCATCATTGCCACCATTTTTATGATAACAAGACACACAGCAGCAGCAGTAAATGGCAAATATATTAATATGCAACAGACATGTGAATTTTATTTTTCAAAAAAAAAAAATCCAAATTCTTGTCGTCGTTGTCGTTTTTATATATTATCATTATCGTTTTATTCGCACATATTCTGTTTATTTCATCATAAATTTCAAACAAACTAGTTTTATGGTTCTTTTCTGAAAATTCTGAATGCTGAAAATGTTTGAAAAGCAATTTTTTTTTTTTTGCTATATATAAATAAAACTTTGTTAAATGATGATAACGATGATGAGTTTGAATTGGCTGGCCGGTGGTTCCAAAAAAAACTACAACATCATCAACATCCAGGGCAATGAAAACAAAAACGCCATGATGGAACTTTCTGCTTGAACACACACACACACACACAGAATAATTTTTTCTTTCCATCTCTCATGGAGTGATTGACGTCATTCGTTGTTGCCTTTATATATATAGTAGTTATTATATAAAAAAATAATTGAAAAAAACAGCAGCAGTACTTAGAAGAATATAACAACAATCAAGCATCGTGTGTACGTCATTCAAAGAATATTGAAAGAATATTCTTTCGTTTGTTCATTTTTTTTTTTTTGTTTTGTTTTCTTTTAGGCTAAAATAAAATGATTCTCATCTTTTTCCATTTGATGATTGATATATTAAATTCATTTCATCATTTTGTTGTTTTTATCTCTCTATATATAGTATGCTGCCCGGCATTTATATTCGTTTATTTAATCAAAAATAAAATTTAATTGCAATAAATATATGGACAAAATTATATGTAATTCATATGCAATAATGTCTATATAAATTTTACCTGTGTATCATGCACACACTTGAAACCTGTTATATCATCATCATCATCATCATTAATAGGCCGGATGGAATGTCATGTCTTGCAGCGAATCTAGAATGAATTCTGGATGATCAATTTTTTTTTATTCATCATCATCACCACCATAATATAAAAAAAAACAACGGCAATAAAAGTATCAAAAAAAAAAAAAAAAAATTCTCTGAAATGACAAAAATTCATTGTCATTTCATCATCATCATCATCATCAATTTTCTTGTTGTTTTTGTTTCTATTTTGATATAGCCAAATTGAACATCTGATTTTTTTTCCCATACAGCTTCACATTGTCTTTATCAATGATAAAAAAAAAATTGGCTGTCAAATTGTATGGAACGATTTGGGCAAAATAATCTGTTTATTGCCGTAATTTTTTTTTTTTTTGTTGGTCAACAAACAAACAGAAACTCGACTTTTTTTTCTGGAATGTCGTTGGCTATTCGTCGTATATTTATGTTTGTCTTTGTTGTTGACCAAATTAATAGTGTGTGTGTGTGTGTTTGTCTGTAAACTTTCACGATTTATCTTATTTTACACAATTATAAATCTTCATTCATTCATTCATTCATTCATTGAATTTGAATTTGAATTGAATGTTTGTTTTAGCTGCTTTTTTCACTCTGTAATGGCTATTCTTTAATTTTAATGTTTATAGATAGATAGATTAATGTCGATATAATATAGTTTGAGTATCGTGGCGCTTGGCGTTGGTGGTGGTGGTAGAGATAATGTTTACATTTTAGTTTTGTTGCTGTTGTTGTTGTTGTTATTTTGGCTACACAGGAAAAAATCCAATTTTAACATTGACATTTACTACTACACATTCGCACACACACACACACACACACAAAAATTGGGATTAAATTTCCGAATACATTTTTTTGTCGGGTATTTCAAAAAAAAAAAAAAAAAATGAAATGAAATGAAATGAAAAAAAATTTTATTCTCCGTCATCTTGTGATTCAATGAAAATCAGTCAGTTGGTTGGTTGGTTATCCAATTTCATCATCATTGAAATGAATGAATTAATGAGCGCGTGTGTGTGGGTGTAGGTAGGTGGGTATATATGTGCGATAATTAACACGTATCACACCAATTACATATATGTGACAATTGGAATTCAATTCATGTAAATGTGTGGAATATATATATATAAATATAAATTATATGATGATATATGATAATTTGGGCTGTTGTTGAATGTGGCATGTATGATAATTAGTCAAATTTTGATGATTTATTGTCGTTGTCGTTGTTGTTGTTGTTGTTGTTGTTGGTTTCAAAGTTCTTCATGACATTTATATGCTTTACGACAATCGGCACCATTACGTCCAATACGTATGGCTTCAAAACTAGCACCAAATGGTAGTGAACGTTGATTTTCCAACATATAACTGGTTGCATATCTATGTAAAAAGAGATTTTTTTTTTTTTTTTTTTTTTTTTTGGTATTACTTCAATCAAACTTACCCTCCAACCTGTGCAATTAGATTACCCAATTCACGACTTTCACGTGCTGCATTCGATGCACCTTCACAAATGGAACGTTTTATACATTGTTTATCGGTGGCCAATACCGATTTAACATAACCTTGTATCATTGATATACCAGCTTGTGCTGCATTATCCATTGTATCTCTTAATCGTGATGTTGTTGATGTTGAACGTGCACGTTGTCCAAATGATGATTTTAATACTTCTAACATCTAGTAATAGTAGTAGTAGGGGTAAATTTTTTTTTTTTTTTTTTTGAAAAATTTTCAAATTTAAACCACACAACATACCTTGACAAAAACATTCAACACTTGACGTGAAGTGACCATTGATTCTTCATTTGTACCGAATAATAATTTTAACATTGTTTTCACTACATTTTTTGTATTCAAATATTGTAATATTTCACGTTTATCTTGACTTAGCCGTATGTTACGATCATCGAGAAAATTATCAGCATTTGATGTTGAATTTGTGAATGAAAAATTTATTTGTGGCTGCTGCCGCTGCTGCTGATGTTGTTGAATTGATGATGATGATGATGATGATGATGAATGTCCATTTGAATTATTTAGTTGTTGTTGAACGTATTGGCCATTGGTAAGCCAAAGAATTGATGTAAAATTAATGAGAAAAATAAACAGATTGAATGAATGCATTTTTTTCGGTTTCTTTGCGATTTTTTAACAGAATCGACAAGAATTGAAAATTTTTTTTCCTTCTACTTCAACACGTTGTTATATATCCAATCGAACAAACCGTTACATCGACACTACTGTTTGTGTGTGTGTGTGTATGTCTTTGAACAAGACGTCAAGGAAGGTAATGAAAAAATTTTTATTATTGAGGATATCAAGGTAGGTCATCCATCCAGATAATTCTTCTTATACAAAACATTCGTTTGCTCTTTTTTTTCAACAAATTCATTGTGAATACCGGTTTTTTTTTGTTTGGTTGTTCGCAGCCAATCTATGGTATCAACCTCAATCATCATCATCATCATCATCATCATGATCATTTTTTTCAATTCGACTGGATTCTATTGAAATTCATTTACCGTTACCTTGTTGTTCAAGTTTTCCGTTTTTATATAAAGAGTTGCCGGTTTTTAAAGATTTTCTTTACAACAAAAAAAACAAAACAAAACAAAACAAGTCAATACCAAATACCAGATGCAAACGCATAAGAAATACTTGTTTTTATTTGGCCACCACTACTACCTGGTGATGATCATTACTGGTCACAAGAACAAGTTCAAGGTTCAGCATTTTCTGGAAAATACGAACAACAAACAAACGAAAAAAAAAATGTTGGCCACACACAAAAAAAAACTTGTCGAACCATTTTTTTTTCCTTATTCGTTTGTTGTTTGTGGCCAACATTTTCGCCCATATATACTGAACACACGGATGAATCACACACATGGATGGATGGTCGAAAATAATAACAAAAAAAAAACAGATCAATTTGTCATTGTCGGGGTAATGCTTTCGGTTATTTTTTTTTCCATCATCATCATCAAATTGATATCAAAAAAAAAAAAAAAATCACTGAACTGGTGAAATAAAAATTTAGGCCACAAAATTAAGAAAAAATAAGAATCACATATCACACACACACACCAGTGTTATTATAGTGGCTATTTTGACATTAAAATAGCCAGAAAAAAAAATCGAACGTTTTAAAAGCAAAGAAAATTACATTATCCCATTGTGTGTGTGTGTGTGTGTACGGGAATTATAGACCAAAAAGACCGTTTTTTTTTCTTTCGATAATTGAATTTTTCCAACAAATAAACACAAACAAACAACCATTTCATTGTTTATTTAGATCAAAAAAATTTTTTTTTCTGATTTAATCACCACCTGAGAAAATTTTTACCTGACAATGTCACCTGTTTCCGGTAAAAGTTTCAATCATTTCATTTCATTATTATTATTTAGTTTGTGAATTGAATAATCTTCGAAGATTGGAGATGTTTTTTTGTTTTTGTTTTTATATTACGAAAATTGGTAAGAAAGAATGTCATTTATTCTTAGAAATTTTTTTATATGTAAAATAGTGATTTACAATCGAATAAATTAATGATCACAAAGAATGGAAAATGACGTGTTATCCCTTTTTTTTGCTGATATGAAAATTTTTTTTTCTCATCATTTGTAATGATTTATAATGATAATCCTACTATTACGAAATGCGTTTTCGATTCGTGTGTGTGTGTGTGTGTATGTACGGTATGAACGTCATACAAAATTTGGTGCTCATAAAAAAAAATCTTAAGCCCATGACAACATCATCAACAGAATCTAATCTAATAATTCAGAAAAGGAAACAACGACAGAGAGAGAGAGAGTAATGTAATTCGTTTTTCTTCTTAATAATAAGAAAATAAAATTCCATGAATAACATCATCATCATCATCATCATGGAATCATCTTGAAAATGAAGTGAAAGAGAGAGAGAGATGGCCACAGACACAAACACAAACACATACGATGTGTATATGTTTGTGGATTAATTTAATTTTATTCTCCTAGATTCTATCTAGTCTGTAGATATGTAGCATAGTGATTCTTTTTTTTCATTTTTTCATTTTTTTGGTTCTGTTTGTTACATCATAATCATCATGTTTGGATTTTTTTTTTTCTTTTGAAATCAAGATTTTATTGTGTTTATATATGAATCATAAATTTGTAATAATAATAAGAATATATACAGAATATATAATGTAATGTGACCTATTGGGACCTTATAGGATAATGAATAATGAATGAAACAGAATTTGCCACACACACACACACACACACACACGCACAAAACTCAATTATAAAATCAGCATCATCATCATCATCATCGTTGTTGTTGTTCAAAAACAATTGAGAAAAAGTAAAAAGTATGCATCACGTTCAAAAATGGACCAATTTTTTTCATTTTTTGTTTTATTCGAAATAAAATCAAAAAAAAAAAAATCGAAATTTTTTTTTTTGTGTGTGTATGAATGATGTAGTGGTAGTGGTGAAAAACATGGAATTTTTTTTTCTTGAGAATATATCGCATACACACAAAAAAAAAACGCGATATATTTTCGTTTTCAATGATTTTGATTATTAATCATTTGAGATTGGGGTGATGATGATGATGATGATGATGATGATGGCAATACATGTATACCCTCGTGTACGATATACGATTATTGTCTTGTAATATGAGATTTTTTTTTTGTCCTCTTACAAAGATAGACAAATTTTTTAATCTTCAATCTATCGATTGGTTGATTGACTGATTGATTGATTGATTGGAGAAAAAAGTACAGAGTTTTTTTTTTGCACGTGAGGAGATGTTAATTTTTTTTTCTATCACCAACTCCAACACACATATTTATATATCGAACTGATTGATTTAAAAAAGCCATATTAATACAGATTCTTGAAATTGTCTAGTGGTGAATCGAAGATCATATGATGGTAGAAAATATTCATAACCTTTGGATGCATTTGTACCAAATACTTCGAGTACATTACGATTAATGTATTGTAAACGATTTTGACAAATAGAATCCAAAAAACGTTTATATGATGGTTTCATTTGTGATGGTTCCAATATGGATGCATAGAATATTTGTGAACATGCAATGGCATAGATTATTGTTATCCATAATCGATCACATGGTATGTATCCTTTCATGACAGCAACGTTGAATAGTGCCTGTTATTTTTTTGGGGGTAATGATTTAAAGAATTTATTAATAATCAAAACATTCGATAATTGCTGCTAAACACACAAACCTCAACACTTTTCCATACTAAATACAATGACATTGATGTATTTGGTGTGGAAAATAATGAAAATGATGCTGTTGATGCTAAAATTGATGACAATAAACAATTCCATGATCGATGATGAATGAAATGATTCAGCATACAAATGGATGAATTATAAACAGTAGAAAATGATGATATAAACAATGCAAATGACAAATATCTAGATGATGAAATCAAATGATTTGGTCGAAAAATGTTGAATGCATCATGAAAATGGCCAGCCATTAATTTCGATATGAAACGTAAACCAAGCTGTGAAAACCAACCAAGTGTAAATGATTTTAAAAAACTTTGAAATAAAATATTTTCAAAACAAGAATATCCTAGATGATGATGACTGCAGTATGGATGACTAAAGGCTAGAATTGGAAAACGATTCTTTATTGTAAACCACCAGAATCGACCGAGATGTTTTGGCCACCACCACCACCACCAACATTTATTCCAGAGATTTTTGTTCGATTCAATTATTGATTCTTGATCATCATCGTCATTTTCATGTTCATGTTGTTGTTGTTGTTGTTGTGGTTGTTGTCGCCGACTATTTCGATTTCCAATTACCAATTGAAAAATAAAACAAATCAACGGATCACGTAATAAATTGTTTTCATAGATGAACAACAAAATGCTGATTGCCATTGTGAATAATAAATATTTTCCATTGGGCAATGGCCGTATATAACCACGTGATATGGAAATTTTATATGTAATTTCTGAGGCAATATTTGCAACATAAAATGCCAATGCTTTACGACGTGATGGCCGTTCATTCAATATGGCCAATAATGAACCAAAAAAACTGGGTAAATATGCATTCAATGGATAATAAAATCGGCCCGAAATACGTAAACTAAGACAAAGAAACAGAATGACAAGAAATGCATTGGCGCCCAAAAATATTGATGAACGTAAAATGCTTTGTGTGGTTTTCATTAGATTTTTTTGATCAAATTTTTTCTGCAATATTGTTTGTCCCTATATAATGATGAAGAAAAAAAAATTAAATTTCAATCAATCAATCAATCAATAGATAAAGTGAACAAACCAGATAAAGTGGTGCATAAAGTTTCAATGATTGTTGAAACACAATCAATCCAATTTCCAATGCCGCTGCTGAACAATATGGTGTCCATCCATGTCCCATTTCATAACAATTGTACGGTACATTCCATTCGGGTGAGAAAAATTTACTCAAAATTGAAGGCATTTTGTTTAATTTGGATCAAAAACAAAAAATTTTTTTTTTTTAAAAATTTACACACGTAATTTACACACAATTTTTCGGCAACAGCGAAAAAAAAAACAATATGTGAAAACTCATTCAACAATGGAAAATGGAAAAATCAAGGTAACAATGGAATAAAATAAAGCGGTTATACCAGCGAATCATCCATAAATAATAATACAGTTAGATGAAAAGATGGATCAAACTTGTCAAACTGGCTAGTATCCTTGTTTAGTCTGTTCGAAAAGAAACAAACTGATGATGATGATGTGAAAAAGATGGCCAAAACAATATTTTTTTCCATATCTCTCTCTCTCTCTCGTTTTCTCGCCTGAAATTTTGTTTGTGAAAACATTGAAGTTGGAAAGAAAAATGATGACAAAACGAAAGATGAAAATCCCCCACCCCCCATGAATATACACCTGTTGAATGTACCTGTTGTTGTTGTTGTTGTTGTTGTTTACCTAAAAAAAACCATACTTGACATATATTTTTATCATCATTGAATTGATGTTGTTAAGATTTGAATTTTATTCATTTTTTTTGCTTTTCCAAAAATAAACGATTGAAATGGAGGAAAAAAATTGATTAAATTTTCAATCATTGATTAATTCAATCAATCAATCAGTCAATCAAACGTCATCGATGATGATGCCTTTTTAAAAAAAATTCAAGTGAATCGATAATAGCCTTGATTACGATTTACCCGGGTTAATAATAATCTCTCTCTCTCTCTTTTCATTTTATTTTTTGTTGTTGTACAGACTGAAAAAAAAGGACTGGCGACAAACAATCAGCAATGAACCATCGGTGAAATCATGTCATTCAAGAGAAAAAAAAAAGATGGACGATAATTGTAATACAAATGAACAAAAAGTTTCTCTCTCTCTCTCTCAATCATCTATTTTCTTCTTCGCATCAGCAATTTTTCTCAAGGATAACAACAATTGAGATTGAAAAAGAGACGACGACGACGATGATGATGATGATGGAGGGAGAGAGTTAATCAAAAAAAAAAAAAGCCACATTGTACACATACACAAATCCCAGATTGGATACCTGTTTCTTTTATTATTTGAATGTATCTATCTCAAGTTCCAATCGCACACACACACACACACTCGTACAGGTTCCCATTTTTTTTTCTTTCTCTCACTTTTTGTCTGTAAAAAAAAAAAAAAAAATTACTTTCACTCACGACGACAGAATTGTAGATTTGTTGTTGTCAATATACAATTGATAAACTGGCAAAAAAACGTCAGAGTGCCTTGTTTGTTTTGTTCTGTGCTCTGTTTTTTGGTATGAAAAAGTCCAAAATGGAATTTTTTTTACCAGTTTATAAATGGAAAAATCCAGACACTTGTAAATGTTGATATGAAACAATATCCTGTCAAAAATTATAATGAATGATATTGATAGCAAAAGCAACAAACAAACATTCGATAAATGAAGAATTCATTTGTGTTTCATTTCCTTGTTGTTGTTGTTGTTGTTGTTGAAATCTGGCCAATAAAATTTCCACAATGTGAATCAATGACCATTAATCAACATATATATTAACACAACCACCGCCATTACCACCAAATCGATAATCAGCCACCGAGAAAAATTTTTTTCTTTTCTTTTTGTCATCAAATATCAAATAATCAACGACAACGACGACGACAACAGAAATGTTACACTACTGACTTCCTTTTGTGATTATTATTGTAGTGTTGTTGTTGTTGTTGTTTTGTTTAGGTTAGAAAATTTTTTTCCATTTCAAAATTACCAATAATAACATAAACAAACAAACATTGTGTGGTTATTTCGCATATTTTACACCCAAAAAAAATTAATTCATTAATGGTACGTGTTTTGCTTCGTTTTCTATTTATTTTTTTTTTACATTTGTTAATAAGAAAAAAAAACTATTGCAAAATATGTTGCCAAGGCACCGTAAATCAACGATTTAGCTAACCAGAGAAAATCAAAATCAAAATCAATCAACATGTACAGTGAGTTGATCATATTGCGATAAATTGACAAAAAAAAAAAAAAATTTCATTTCAATTTTTTTCTGTACATTTTTTTCTGGTTATTTTCACGTGTATGAGGCGATGTTTAACTGTACACACACATACACATTAACACTGAGAGAGATAGAGGGAGAAGAAAAAAAAAATCTTAAAACTTGTGATTTATTTGTCTGTTTGTATATATCGCTGATGATGTCAGATCATTCAGAAGAAAAAAAAACTGATCAATGAAACAAAAAAAATTGATAAATAAACAAACGAATCAAATTTCAATTTTGATTCCTGGATCAATATAGCCTAAATAAATGTTTACTAATGATTTAGAATCGTTTTCATTATTTTGTTCCTGATCCTGGTTCATCATCATCAGCAACAGTTTGTTGTTGTTGTTGTTGTTGTTGATGATTGCAATTTTTTTTTCTTTTTTGGTGTAATAATTTTCCGCTATACAGATTTTTAGCTACTGAACATTTAAATTGTGAAAAAGTGTGTGTGCGTGTGGAAAATTTCTTGATTTGATAAAAAAAAAAAAAAATTTTCAAAAAAACAAAAAATTCATATGATATGGCGTAAGAGGAGGCAAAAAAAAACTATGTGTGTGTGTGTGCACTATATCGACACACATATATATACGCATATGGTGGAGGGGTAGAAAGATATTTATCTCGAAGAAAGTCATAAAAAAATATATATTTGATAATCAATGATAAGAAGACTTGTGGTAAGAAGATTTTCTTCTTCAACAAGATAATGCCGACTGTATGTGTATGACGATACCGAACACACCGCACACACACACACACACACAGCAGATCGATAATTAATTCAATAATAGCGAAAATTTTCCATATAAATTACAGACACGAATATGAATTGTATCATTAGTTCAATTTTTCAACAAAAAAGTGTGTGTGTGTGTGTGTGTGTGTCCACGAATGAATCACGAATTTATTTGTCTTTGTTTGTTTATTTGTTCATTTTTCACTATACAACGCAACGGTGAATTTTTTTTTTTTATTATTATCATCATTCCGGAATCATTCAATTTTGCCGGTTATTCAGCCAATTTATTGTCGTCAGATTCTAAAAATAATAGGTATGTCTATCATTTCAAAAATTTTTTTTTCATTGTTTTTGTTGGTCCAAAAAAAAAAAAATTAAAAATTTGTCCCTTTGACAAAAAAACGGGCGTTTTTTTTTCTTGGCCACCAACAAGTCGAATGACCTGTAAATGGCTATGATCGATGATGATGTAAACATGTGTGTGTGTGTGTGTGTGTGTGTGGCTGTGAAATAGAAACAAACAAACAAAAACAGAAAAAATTTATTCGATAATATAAATCAATGGTAATCGAAATAAAAAAAAAAGTTTGATGATTGTAAAAATCAAAGTCCATCATCATGATCATCAACCATTCTCAAGATGGTGATAAGATATACAAATACATGGTACGGGTTGACCAGAAAAATCTTATCAATTTTTCTCCATGATTGATATCTCCGTTTTTTTTTCTTGGATCAACTTTCTTACCTTAAAAGAAGAAGTAAAAACTTGATCAATGAAAACGGAAAAATTTTCTTCTTGTTAATCAATTTGAAGAAGAAGAAGAAAAGGAAATTTTTCCATTTCAGAATTTTTTTTCTGTCATTCGATAAGCAGAAAAAAAACGTGATGGAAAAATAACCAAAACCAAAACAACCGCAATGACAACAACAAATGTATGTACAGGTTGTAGGAAATAGGAAGCGTTATCGAATCTTATTTATTCAATTTATCAAGTTTGAATTTAGAATGATAAAAACAACGACAACAACAACAACAACAACGACAAAATGTACAATTATTTATCATCAATAATTAGCAATCATATCGAACATTTGATTTGATAGTATATATATATATATAAAGAGTACAAAAACATGAAATGAAATGAATAAAAATTTTTGATCTCTTTTTTCTCACAGATTTAATAACAAAAATTCCTACATGTATTCGATTGATTAATCGATTGTATCGAATCTATTTTGACCTAAGAAGAAAATAAAACCAAAATCAGAATTCATGGCCGATCATCCAAATCGAATATTTGTCAATGCACAATTAGCTAGTGGATTGAAAAAGAATGGCAGCAATTTTATTAATAATAAAATGAAAAGATCTCAATATAATCAACTTTATCCATCATTGTTTCCATCATCATCATCGTCATCGTCATCTAGGAAATCAAATAAATTTATAGCCACACCATCATCATCATCGGCAGCAATACATCATTTACATGGAATCCAACAACAACACCATTATAAACATCACCATGATGAAAATTATCATCAACATCAATTTTATGATGATGATAGCGCTATTGGTATGTCGGAAAAACAGCCATTAATCGACAATGAAATTACTACTACCGGAAATTATTATGATGATGATACTGATGATACATTGGCTAAAACGTATAATAATAAATATGAAGTATCCAATTATGAAAGTGGAAGTAGCAGCAGTAGCAGCAACAATAATTCAAATGATGATGATTTTAATCACTTCAAGGTAAGATTTTTTTTTTTTTTTTTTGTACTTTTTTTCACCCATTGTCTGTAAATCAAGAAAAAAAGAAATCACCAGAAAATGAGAGCGAGAGAAAGAGAGAGAGAGAAAGATAAGAAAGTGCTGATTAATTAATTACCGATTATCATTTTTAGGTGAATAATAATTTATTATATATAGTACGCATTAGATAAAAAATTTTGAAATTTTTTTCCCTTTTTGCACCTGTTTCGCTTAGCATAGTTTTTTTTGCGCTTAAGATTTCAATAGATTAATCGGTTTTGATATCGATCAATTTGTGACCGAAACAAAAGACAGAACAGTGAAAAAAAAATCATAGGAAATAACAGATTTTTCATTTTCTCATCTCCAAACAAAATATCGATATCGATCAGTGATTTAATTAGTGTCAATTACCGATTGTTCTTAAGATTTATAGACATATATAACGAAAACAAGTTTTTATATTTACTGAATCCATTTTCATCATCATCAAAATTCATCTAAACATTTTCATTTCTATTATTGCACACAGTACACACAATCAACAGGTGATCAAGAACAAAAAAAGAAAATGTTGGTAAAAGAAAAACGTACAACAAATATGCAAACAATGATGCATATTATGAAGGCAAATATTGGCACCGGAATATTGGCAATGCCAAGTAAGTATAAATGATCAGAATTTTTAATTCCATAAAATCTAATCTAATATTCATATATATAATAATAATACAGCTGCATTCATGAATGCCGGTCTCTATGTTGGTCTAATATCATTGCCATTACTTTGTATACTTTGTACACATTGTATGCATATATTGGTTAGAGCCAATAATATATTATCAACACGTTTAGGTACTGGAAAACTTGAATATCAAGATGTAAGTTTGTCTGTTGTTTATTTGTTTTTGAGAATTTTTTTTCAAAAATTATAAATTACTACACTAATCAACAGGTAGCATCGAATGCCTTTACAATTGGACCACGACCATTACGGCCTTTTGCGCATTGGGCTGCAAGAATTGTTAATCTATTTTTATTAATAACACAATTTGGTTTCTGTTGTGTTTATTCATTGTTTGTTGCCGAAAATATTAGTCAAGTAAGTTTATTGATTGATTCACAGATTGATTGATTGTTACTAATCACCATTTTTTTTTTCAATTTTCAGTTTTTCAATGAATTAACACCAAAAGAATATCATTTTCCACCGCTTACATTTTTGGCATTCTTTTTACCATTGTTTATATTGCTTTCATTTGTTAAAAGTTTAAAACATCTTTCATTGGCTTCCAGTATGGCAAATCTTCTGCAAACTGTTGGTCTATTTATTGTCATGATTAATCTAGTACAAGATCTGCCTAGTCCGGACCAGGTAACACAAGTTGGTTCAATAGCAACATATCCGCTATTTTTGGGCACAGCTGTTTATGCATTCGAAGGAATTGGTTTAATATTGCCATTACAAAAAGAAATGAAAACACCAGAATCATTACAAGGTTATGTAGGCGTATTAAATAAATCAATGGTACTTGTTGCTTCCATTAATTTGGCAATCGGTTTTTTTGGTTATCTTAAATTTGGTGATAATGTCAAAGGATCTATTACATTGAATTTACCTGCCGAACCATTGTATCAATCTTGTAAAGTGATATTTGCATGTGCAATATTTTTATCATATGCAATACAATTCTATGTACCTGTGACAATCATATGGCCATGGGTTTGTCGACGTTTCAATCTTAAAGAAGGTGCCAAAAAAACCAATACAATTGAATATTTTTTCCGTGCTGGCCTAGTCATATTTACAGGTAAAAATCTCATTCATTCACCTGATTATTATAATCATTAATCGATATTTTCTTCTTCTTCAAAAAAAAAATTTCAGTTGCATTGGCCGCAGCGATACCAAAATTAGATTTATTCATCTCATTGGTTGGCGCCATTTCATCCAGTGGCATTGCATTAATGTTTCCACCAATTATCGATATTTGTGTTTTATGGAACGAAGAAAAAGGTTTCAAAAAATGGACATGGATTTTCATTAAAGATGGTGCCATTTTCTTATTGGGTATTGCAGGCTTTACTACCGGTACTTATGCAAGTATTGAAAATATTTTAATTCATTTCAATGATTGATTGATGATAAAAAAAAATCTATCAATCAATCCAATCGACATTCAAATGAACAAAACAAAACGAAACAAAACAGAAACCGCCTTTCAATTATTCGAGTCAACATTCAGTCGTTTTTCATTCATTTTTTTTTACACTATGTTTTTAGTTGATCTCTACTTTTTTTTCGTATACAACAAAATTAGTGATTGAACTAATACTTTGATCGATCAATCAATCAATTTTGTAAATATCGAATTTTTAAATTTTACTTTTTAAATTTAAAAAATTGAAATAAATTTATTCTTTTCTTCTTATTAAATGAATAATATAAATGCTAAACATTAGTTTTTTGTTTCAATTTGTTTGCTTTGTGTGTGTGTGTGTGTGTGTGTGATAATAGAAAAAAACGAAACTCACGTGTGTTGTTGTTTGATTTTGTCCAAAGAAAAAGTAGGGGGCAAAATGCATCCCAATATAATATACTACAGTGTGTTGTTTTGGATGACCATATGATGTTGTTATGCTAATTTTCCATCAATATATATCGAATAAATAGAAATCATGTTGAATTTTCCAATTGTTTGAGCAATAATTTACGTTGTTTTTCCAGATCTTCAAGATCATCAGAACCATTCAGACCAATAGAATCTAATGGAATTAAATGATTATTAGGATCATCATCATTATCATAACGTTTATTGTTATTATTTCGATTACGTCCACTATTGCTACTTGTTGAACTGCCAATATCATATTCCTGGTGTTATAGAATAAAGAAATAAATAATTAAAAATTCAATCAATTTATTTCAACTTACGGAAGTATGTTTAACTCGTTTCGTCCTTGATCGTGTTGGTGATATACTTGATGATCGACGATGATATGATGATGATGATGAAATTCGATGATGATGATTAATTGGTATTGGTGATCGACTACGACTATGATGATGATAACGATTCAATGCTTTAGATGATGATGATGATGATGATGATGGTGGTGGTGGTGGTGGTGATGATGTTGGTGATTGTGATCGATGATGACGATCAATTGATTTCAAGTGACGTTTTTGTGAACTATGTTGATGATGATGTCGTGAATTATTATTACGATTATTTTGTAAATTACTACCACTACTATTTCGATCATAGTGGCTATTATTTTCATCATCATCATCATTGTTGAATGATGATGATGACGTAATAGGTGTTGTTGGTGATCGTGAATGATCCGATATTGATACATCATCATCATCATCACCACCACCACCACCACCGCCATCAATTGATTCATTTGATTCCGATATCGATGATGATGATTGATGTTGTCGACGATGATGATGATGATGATGTTTCGATGAACTTTTCTTTTTCAATTTTTTCTTTTTATCCTTATTAGTATTAATAATAATTTCTTTTTCTTTATTTTGACGTTTAATTTGACGTTCACTACTACCACCACCACCACCACTGACACCATCATCATCATTTGTTGAACTACGACAACGATGTTGTTGTTGTTGTTGATGTTGATGACGATGTCCAGATTTATGATGATTATGATGATGTGAACAACTTTCTACAATTGAATTAATAGCTCTTTCAAATATCGTAATACGTTCTTGTTCATCCGTTATGGACACAAATGCTTCTTGATTACAAATTAATGGTCGTATATCATTCCATTTGGAATTTTCATCCAATGATGGTGATATCCGTGATAACATATCCAAAAATATTGATTCCATTCGTTTACGTTGTTTATTTTCTTCACGTTTTTTTGCACGATATTTTTCACGTTCTTTTTCCAATAATTTTTCATGCATTAATTTTACATTACCAGAATCCAATTTAGCACTTCTGGTATCTTTGCTTAGAATTGTAACAAATTCGGAAAATTCTGTATTCGGTGTCATAATGAAATCCGTTGCTTTTTGCAATATATCTTTGATGACAATTTTTTCATCTTCATAACGTGCTTTCAAATCATCAACATAGAATTTAAACAAATCCAATGGTGTCGATCCAGATAATGGCTGTGAAAGCATTGAATCAAATCGTACATCTGATGATATATCCGGATAAAGTGTACACCATTTTGACAATGAATTCAATTTACCTGAAGCATGTAATTCATCAAGAAATTGTATGAATGATTCACGATTCAATCGTTTCTGTCGTTCTTGTATACGTTTAGCACGTGCTTTTTCTTCATCTTCTTCTGATTCTAATTGTCTTATATGGCGTTCGAAAACAATCAATGCATCTTCTTTATCCATATTTAATAATTGAGAATCTTCAGCAAATGTTGCGTTATCCAATAATAATTGCTGCGCTTCTTGCCATGTAGTACGAAACGTAATTTTTGGCATTGAATCCAATATTTCACTCAACACGGACATATTACGTTTTCGTAGCTGTTTGGCTTCATCACGTTCTTTTCGGGATAATTCAGCTACAGCATCTTCAAATATTTCACGACGTTCTGTTTCCGGTACAATTTTCCAATGTTCATGATCACGAAATAATTCACATGCATGACGATAACGTATCATTGAATTCATACGATCAGTACGGCGAAGAAACGATGCCAATGCTTCTTTAGCACGACGAATTTTATTTTTCATTTCTTCTTTTTCCTCTTTAGCTCGTTGGATTTTATAAGCATTGAAAAATTGTTTCCTTTCTGGATGTGAACGAAATTTTTCAAATCGTGAATCATTACCAACAATTTTCAATGTATTTTCCCAACTTGCATTGCTTGAAATATTTTTTTCACGAAGAATATCTTTAAACATTTCAAGAAGATCACCTTTACTTGGTTGTTTTGGTAAACTATCGGGTAATGAATCAGATTTTGATGATGATGGTGGTGGTGGTGGTGTTTCCGGCATTGAATTGGAATTATCATTCGAATCTGTATCATACGATGATGATGATGGTAATTGAGAATTGACATTTTCATTTTGAATGTTTTCATCATTGGTTGGTGTTTGATCATTATTATTCTCATTATTATTATTATCATTGGTTGAAATCAAAGTTGAAGTCTGTGAATTGATTGATTCAGAAGCAGACTGAATGGTACTATTATCGGATTGTTGTTGTTGTTGTTCGAATGTCGTATTATCGTTCGATTCTGCAGCTGACGTATTATCATTCGATTGTTTTTTCAGTTCTTCCAATTCTTTTGGCATGGTCCACGAAGAATTTTTCGTTACAATATTATGATAATATATTTTTCCATCCTCGGTTTTATATTCTTTCCATGGGCAAGAATCCAATAAACGTTCAATGTCACTTTTCAATTCATCAGGCTTTGTCCATGATGTTTGTTTAGTGATGATATTATAATAATATGGACTACCATCGGGTGTTTTATATTCAACCCAATTATTATTATTCGATGATAATGATGATGATGATGTTACCATTGGTGTTGTTGTTGGCAGCATAGTTTGTGGCATAGGTGTAAGTTGTGTAACTGGTGGCATCGGTATACCACCAGCAGCAGCAGCAGCTGCTGCTGCTGCTGCTGCTGAAAATGGATTAAATGGTGGTTGGAATGGAATGATTGGTTGACCAACACCAGCACCAGGAATCATTGAAGCTGTATTTGATGATGATGGCATAATAATCGGTGGAAATGGTGCCGTTGGAAATCCGGATGGATTTTGCATTTTTATTCTTTGACAATAAATTTGAATATATATCAAATATGAATGGGCGTTTTTTAAAAAATACGGTGTGCGTGATTGTGGTTATTTTTTTTTTTTTTTTGATTGAAAAATTTTTATCGTTTCAGAAGACGAGCCAATATTAACAAATCAATTTGTAATCGTATTTTGCAATGCTGATTATTAATAATGAATGGCAAAAAAAAAAAAAGATTATTATGACTATTAAATGAAGAAAAAAAATGTTTCAATTAATTTCAAGGCAGAAACAACTAAAAAAAACAAAAGAAAAGATGTAAATTTTTGATCGAATCTTTATGGATTTATGGGATATATTGATGATGATTGTATTTGTACAATGAACACAATCAACACACCGCATTAACAATAAACATACAATACACACACACACACACACAAGGAACGAATACATTTCCACTATATCTACTCAAATTGTTTGATCCATACTTGGTTATGTAATTTTGGTTCTAATGGATAAAAAATTCTATATGCACACACACACACACAATGCTACTACTACTACTACTACTACACTGCTACATTTATTTTTGCTCGCGCGAACCAATTTTGATTGATTTTGGAAATTTCGACTGTTCCAAAAAAAAAATATGATCCACAATGAAATCATAATGTGAACCAAAAAAAAAAAAACAAACAATCAAATGGAACAAATTCTAGTCATTTGATAAATCTATTTCCATGACGACCAAAATACAATATACAAGAAATTCAAACGACCAACAACAATTCGAAAGTTTGAAAAAAGATCACCAATGTCATCGAAAGAAGATAATGTACGTGTTGTGGTCAGATGTCGACCATTATTACCGGATTTAGAATCAAATGAAGAGATTATTGCAAAAGTAAGTTAATAATGAATGAACGTTTTCGATCATCGTTTTTTTTCTGGTGTTGTTCAATTTTCAGATTAGAAATGATGGCCAAACACTACAGCTAACAAATCGTCAATTTACATTTGATCGTGTTTTTGGTGCAGAATCCACCGAGAATGATGTCTATACAAAAGCCGCCAAACATATTGTCGATTGTGTATTACAAGGTTATAATGGTACAATATTTGCATATGGTCAAACGGGTACGGGAAAAACACATACTGCCTCAGGAATAATGCAACATAGTTTCGAACATATATTTGATCACATATCGCGAAGTAAAAATAATCAAAAATTTTTAGTACGTGCTTCATATTATGAAATTTATAATGAAGAAATACGTGATTTATTGGCCGGCAATAAAAAAACAAACAATGGTAAAAAAAATGAACGTGGTAACAAAACATTAGAATTGAAAGAAAATTCGGATGGAAAAATTGTGATAAAAGATTTATCAAATTTCATAGTCAATAATGTAAATGATTTGAAAAAATTAAAAGAATCCGGTGATAAACATCGTCAATTTGGATCGACAAAAATGAATCAACGATCTAGTCGTTCGCATACAATTTTCACTATTACTATTGAAACCGAAATCGGTGCTGATAATCCAGATACATCTGTAGTACGTGTTGGAAAATTTCATCTTATTGATTTGGCTGGTTCCGAAAGACAAACAAAAACCGGTACAACTGGTATACGTTTGAAAGAGGCGGCAAAAATTAATCTATCACTTACATCATTATCATTGGTGATAGCCGCATTGACCGATCCGAAAGCTACATTTGTTCCGTATCGAAATTCAAAATTAACACGTATTCTTTCGGATTCATTGGGTGGTAATTCAAAAACATTGTTGATAGCTTGTGTAGGACCAGCAAAAGTGAATTTGGAAGAAACAATCAGTACATTACGTTTTGCTAGTACGACGAAAAATATCAAAAATAAACCAATAATCAATGAAGATAGTAAAGATGCTTTGCTGAAACGTTTCGAAGAACAAGTAAAAGAATTACGTGCACAATTAGAAGAACAAGAAAAAATAATAATAATAATAATAATAATGTAAATGATGATGATGCTACTACGACAACAACATCCAACAAAATAATTCCGGCTGAATTATTGGAAAAATTACGTACACTTGAAGCAAAAATTTGTGTTGGTGGCGAAAATCTTATTGAAAAAGCTGAAATACAAGAAAAATTAATCGCCGAAAGTGAACGTGAATTACATGAACGACGTGAAAAAGAATCTGAATTACGTAAAGAATTGGAACAAAGACAAGCTGAAATTTTGGAAATGGAAGATTCATATGCATCATTACAAGAAGAGGTTGTGGCATTAAATCGTAAAATACGAAAAGCATATGGCTACCTGAAAGATGCCCGTTCCGAATTGGATGATATGAATGTTGAACATGAAAAATTACGTAGTGAACTATTGGATTCCATAAGAATATCGGAAAAAGAATTAAAACTAACCAATGCATTGATTAGCCATTATATACCAGAATCATGTTTGAAATTGATTGAAGAAAATGTTAATTATAATCAATTAACAGGTGAATGGGAATTACGTTGTATAGCATACACTGGTAATAATATGCGTAATGAATATGAATTATTCAACGATCATACAAATGATGGTGATGGTAATGGATCAAAATATCAACAAATTTTACAGCATAATTATGATAATATCTATCTATCATATTCAACACTTAATTTAACCTAATAATCAGACTCAATTCGATTGTTGTGTTGTGTATGGAAATTTTTTTTTCATTTTATTTAAATTCCAAAATAATCAAAGCTCTCCAGATAGACACCGACACACACACACACAAGTTCCATATATTCTCATAGAATTTGAAAATAAATTGATTTAAGAAAACAAAAATGATGAAATGATGTGATGATGAAAAAAAATTATGCAAACATTCAACATTGTTGCTATTGATGTGATGTAGTAGTAGCTGTAGATGTTTTGTTTAAAATTTTTGAAAATACACCCGATATCGATGATTTTAATGCTGCAACTGGTGATGAATTTGTTGTTGTTGTTGTTGTCGTCGTTGTTGTTGTTGATTTTGATGTAGCTACCGAATTATTATTTTGTTTTGGTTGTTGTTTATTCGAATGTGCATCCAAACATTTTTGATAACGTAATTTACAAGCTGCTTCAATTATTTTACAAAGTGCACCGGCACTAGGTTCCACCTGGAAACAATGGCAAACAAATTCTTTTTCATTCACTTGCATTATGAAACCACAACGTTTAACATTATCAAGACTGATGCCTAAAAATGAAAGATATCTGGAAAAAGGGTAAAAAAAAAAACACAAAAATTAAAATTTTTGAAAAAAATTCATTTAAAAAAAAATCACAAACCTAACACGACATTCAACCAAAGTGGCACCGGTTTCTTGACATTCAACAACAATATTTGATGGCGATATATTGACCAATACTGGACGCATTAATTCTATTTCATCATGATTTTCGTTTGTTAATGACATTTTTAATGAATTTATTATTTCTTCAATTGCCATATTCAATATATCGACACCCATTGGTTTTGTAACTGGTATGAAACCAATATATAATGCTTGAATACATTTTTTTGGCTCTTCAATTGGTGTTGGAAATTCAAAATTATCCATCATTGTTATCGAATTATTGTTATTTGATTTCAACAATAGATCATTTGGACGTCGTTCATTACGATTTTGTTGATGATTTTTAATTCGTACTAATGCATCCTTAAGATATAGTGCTAAACGTTGTGCCGTTTGTTGTTGTTGTTGTTGTGTTTGCGTTGTGCCACAATTATTTTCTTGTTGTTGTTGTTGTTGTTGTTGATCATCATCACAATGAAATATATGACATTTAACTGTGCCAGGTTTACCAGATTTACGATCTTTAACAACATAAGCAAAATTATTATTATCATCTACGGCCCACATACGTATTTCACGTATAAGCTGTACGGTTAATGTTGTCGATGTGTTCGGTTCCAGCAATGATATACGTTCATTATTAATTTTTAAAATCAATGATTGTGTATCACTAGGGCCCCAACAACGTGCAGCATTCTCTGCTCGAGTGGATAGCTCATAAATACAACGTTTTATGACCATTGATCCAGTCTGAGAATTTATCTGCGATTCATCAACATCTAGCCATCCTAATGAATGAACAATGAAGGATAATTCTTTTGCAATCGATGTAGAATCATCATCATCATCATCATCGTCATCATCATCGGTTGTTGGAAATGTTAATTGCATATTGGCAATAATTTTTTTACGATTTATCAATGCTTTTGTTTGTTGCCGATGTTCATCTTCTTTCATCATCATCATCATCATCATCATCATCGGCAACATCATGATTTTCAGTTTCTTTTGATTCACCATCTGGATTCTCTTCAATTGAATCGGCTGGATTATAATCAATGTTGATGGCTGATTTATCAAGAAACACCAAAGAATCACTACGTATCATTGATTTATCTATGGTATTCAGATATGGTCGTTCACGTTGTATTGTACCAGTTGGTATATGCCAAAAATATGAACCTAATTCATCTTCATGTCTTTCCCAGCCATCTGGTAGATCGATAGATGTTTGTGATTTTTTCGAATCATTCGATTGCTGTTGTAAAAGATTTTGTTTAACATTTTCATCACCAGATGATAGATCTTCATATTCATCATCATCATCATCATCTTCTTCTTCTTCATTGGCAAGTGAATCATCATCATCGTCATCTTCGTCTTCACCAAAACTAAATGGATTCATCTCTGCATTATCATCATGATTATTATTAATGGATGATGATTCATTCGTACCAATCATAGTATTCATTGATAATTTTGCATAAAGTTTACGATAATTTGGATTTTCATAACTTTTTTTCACATTTTTGGAATGTTGTTGTTGTTGTTGATTCGAAATCAATTTATCAACATTAGTAATCGATTCATTTGCGAATTGATCAGTATCGGCCATCATAATTTTGATGAAATTTCAATGAACCAACAACAAAAAAACCGAGGACATGAGGAATGATTTGATTTCAAAAATTAAATCAACACGAATACAAACATATCCGTGGTCAACAACGTATGAAATGAAAAAAAAAAAATCAAAACATTGCGTAGGATGAACTTTAATATCCTTAAATGGGTATATAAGAGATTCACAGTAGAGAGAAAAAAGAAAGAGAACAACAAAATCAAAATTGATATGGATTGGTTTTGGTGAATCACAAACAAACAAACAAAAATGAATTCTTTTATTCATCAATTCATATGTGATGGAACCTGAATTCCAAAATAGGAGGACCAAGCGTTGTTTTTTTTTCTGGGTTGTTGGGAAATTCCCAAATTCAAGCGCATGATTTTGATGACGATTATTAGATTGTTGTTGATGATTGAACATTTCTTGATTCCATTGCGTGTGTGTTCCAATTTTTTTTTTTTTTGAACCTTTCTTTTCTTTGTCTTTTGGATTCAAGTTATTATTATTATTATTACATAATGATCGACTATTTACACGCATAGAGCCAAGAATTTTTTTTTTTTTTTGTTCAGCGTGTGAGCGCCACCACTATTTTAACCATATAAAATAACAATCGGTTCTCAAACGATATAGTGTATGCCGTGTTTTACTCGTTTTTTTCAATTTCAATTTCAGTTGATAAACATTGTTCATGTATTCTATTGAGGCGGCAAATCAAGTTAGAAATTGGATCGTTACTACGCATGTCCAATGTTTTTATTGAAAACGGCCATTGATTGTTTATGGTGGTGTTTTATATGTATTGAAGTGAAGATCAGAAAAAAAAATGCATGGACATTGTCAATGCGCTTTTTTTTGAAACACCGCAAAATGTGATAATTTTTTTTGTTTTGTTTTGAAAACATCAAATGTAAAATTGAATTGATAATTGTTTTTCATCATCATCATATCTTTAAAATTCGATCCACCATAACAAACAATAATGGCAAGTAAAATGGATGATTCAACACCAACACCAACAACATCGACAACGGTGACAACGAATACATCGGCTACAACACCAACGAGTGAAGATTTTTCTCTGCCACCACGTGATCCAGAAGAATTTGATGAATTAATATCAAAATATCGTAATGCTATAGTTAGGCTTAATGATCTTAAAGATTCGAAAGAAGAAATTGAAATGAAAAAATTGCTACAAGAACTAAATAATAATTTAGAGGTAATCATCATCTTATTTGATTTTGTTGTCAATTCACAAATTGATTAATGATACGAAATTTTTTTTTTTTTGCTCTAGATTTATTCATTAAATAATCGATTCAATAGTTTTTTCGCCACCGCATTACCAATCATGTTACAATATCTGAATTGTGGACCAAAAAATTATATTAAAGAACACAATGATAGCCAAATACGACAATTGGTTCTTGAACTGTTGACACGTTTTCCATTATCGGTGATGAAAAATTTTCTCCAACAAATGTTTCCAGTTCTTTACACAATAATGGAATCAGATAATGAAGATAATGCTTGTATTGCATTCCGTATTCTGATTGATCTACATAAACGTACACAAAAATTAAATGATGATGTGAGTATTCGAATCGAATAGATTCTCGGATGAGGCTGATGAAATGATGATCGAAGCGATTATGAGATGATTTCGTTTTTTTGTTTTGTTTTTTTTTTTTGTTGTTGTTTCTGATACAATCAAACAAAAAATGATGATCATCTATGAACCTTGCTGATAAGATCTGATTTATTCCTACCGATTCTATTTTTTTTTCGTTTGATATTTCGAGATTATATTTGACACTTTTCTGTTTATTTTTACAGGCAAAAAAATTTCTCACATTGATCAAAAAATTTACCTGTATGTTGATGCAAAATTATCAGAAAATCTTTCAACCATCAAAACAATATCAGGTTCAAAGTATGGAAGAATTGGATCTTGAACCAATATTGCAGGAAATATTTGTTGCCACATCATTACAACCGGATAAATCACATTGTTTCACATTGTTGCCTCGTGGTATTAATTCTTTGAAACTATTGATCGAAGTACCAATCAATATAATAATGTTAATGCAAGTTTATCGTAATCAAAATGAAGTAGAATATTTTGAACTATTGCAATTGGCCATAAAATTAGTGGATATACAACCGACAAATGAACAGAAAAATAATGAAATGTTTAATTTGGAAATTTATTCAGAATTTCTTACCGTTCAGATCAAGTATTTTTCATTCATCGCTTTTATGGCACGAACACAGGAGGAAAAATTTCAAACACTAATGGTTGCTGAACAATTGCCTGCGATTGTATTGAAATTTTTTCGTAGCTTACCGGATGAAATGACAAGTCTACGAAAAGATTTACTTTATTCAACACGATATATTGTCGGTACAAGATTTCGTACATATTTCCTGCCATATATTGAAGAATTTTTTGATGAAACAATTATTATCGGCAATGGATGGGCAACACGTGAAACATTACGTGCATTCGCTTATACCGTTATCTATGATCTTGTTCATCATCTTCGTGATTCATTAAAATTACGTGAATTGAATCTAGTCGTGAATATTTATTCACGTAATCTATATGATGATTCATTAAGTCTTACCAATCATGTAATGTCTTGCCGTTTGTTGATCAATATTGCTGATGCTTTCTGTAAAACGGGTGAAAAAGAAAAATGCCTAACAAATGTTCCACAGGCATTGATTAAGATTCTGAAAATTTATGTAAACAAAGTTGCATTGATGGCAAAATATTCGATACCGAAAATAAAATCAAAATTAAACAATTCCAACACTGCATCATCAACATCATCATCAACAACAACAACAAAAGAATCACCGAATAATGAAAATAAAAATAAATCACAAAAATCTTCCACCAGCAATGATGATCCTGATTATAATGATAATAGTGCCAATTATAAATCAAATATTGAATATTTGACATCATCATTCATTGATAATGATGATTATCGTTTACATTATGGCATACCGGAAGGCCAGAATACATCCATAAGTGAATGTCGAATGTTGGCCAGAACATTATTTAATGGTCTGAAATTGTTATCAATGAAATTACATGATATGAGCCAGAATATTCAATGGGCAACATATACTGCATCGATACAATCGCCTAATAGTACTGGCCATCCACCGATTCGTAGTGGTTATTGTCGGCCAAATGATATTCATATATTGATACGTTTATTTCAAAAAGGACTAAAATTATTGGAAATTTTCAATCTGAATACATTTCCATATTCACCACCACATCAAAATACCAGCACCAGTTTTTCAATTCTAATCAATCGACAACAACAACAACAATCGAATGCCTCACAGAATCATATTGCCCAGAATTTTAATGCACGTACAAAAGAAGAAAAAGAATCTGTGGAATTATTCTGCAATATATTCACCATTCTGACACCGCAAACATTTCGTGTGATAATTAAATCATCTATCGATTATCTTGTCCAATGTTTACATGAAAATAGTAATCTAACACAATTGGTACATTATCTACTATCACAACAGAATACATCAAGAGTATTTGCCGACATTCTTACTGGATATCTGGTCGAACGTATGGAAGTGATGGGCAACAATACAGAAATGTCAAGTTTATTTTTGAAACTTTTCAAATCTGTATTTGGTTCAGTGTCATGTTTGCATTTTGAAAATGAACGAATGCTTCAACCACATCTACGTAAATTGGTGAATAATTCCATGAAAATGGCATTGAATGCACAAGAACCATACAATTATTTCATGTTATTACGTGCATTATTTCGTTCAATCGGTGGCGGATCACATGATCAATTATATCGTGAATTTTTGCCAATGTTACCATCATTATTACAGGGTTTAAATAATTTTCAAACCGGTATTCATCGTCAAAATATGAAAGATTTGTTTGTTGAATTATGTTTAACGATTCCTGTACGATTGTCATCATTATTACCATATTTACCGTGGTTGATGGATCCATTGGTTTCAGCATTGAATGGTGCACCAAATTTAATTGCTCAAGGTCTTCGTACACTGGAACTATGTGTGGATAATTTGCAGCCAGATTTTCTTTACGCTCATTTTCTACCTATCCGTATTGAATTAATGCAATCATTGTGGAAAACATTACGTTATCAGAATGATAATATTGCTCAGATTTCATTTCGTATACTTGGAAAACTTGGCGGCACCAATCACCGGATGATGAATGAACCACAAAAATTGGATTATATTGAATTTCGTGATCAATTACTATTGATGGATGAAAATAATCGTCCAGATAATCATCAGAATCAGAATAATCGACAAAATGATTACAGTAACATTGTTATACCATCACATGGATCATGTGCATATATGGAACTTCGATTTGATGATTCCAATGTATCGATACATTTACCAGTGGATAAAGTAATTGATGTTGCTTGTAAAAGTTTACGTTTACCAACAACCGATTCATTTTATCGTCTACAAAGTTGGGAAGTTGTAAAAGGATTTCTTGTGGCAAACATTCAAAATTTTCATAATAATGTTGAAGATTATGAAATACAACAAATGCATAAATTATTTTCACATCCATCATTTTCCAGTGGTACAGATTTCGGTTATTGTAGTTCGAATGCCATTCTATCATCATATTCAACAATAAGTTTTTATAAATTTAATGATGAAAAATTACGTAAAGTTCATGAATCAGCATTGATTGCTATGTTGACTGCATCGGCCATAAAAGAATTACGACAAACAGTATTGAATTTTATGGTACCATTAGTTCGTCATTATATTCTGGTTGCCATTTGTCAACAATCTGGTCCTATTAATAATTCTGGAAGAACAGTACGATTTTATGGTATGGATCCATTGGTTTTGATTGATGCAATGACTACAGTAATGGGCCAAGAAGAAAAAGAACTCTGTAAACCATGTCAATTTGTTTTACGTGTTATCATTGAAACAACCACTAGTGTATTGGGCAGTATTGATCGTGCTTGTCAATTACCATTATATGAATATATATTGGAACGTGTTTGTGCTCTTTGTTATGAACGTGCTTGGTTCTCAAAATATGGTGGCTGTGTTACTGTTCGTTATCTATTTGAACGTATGTCATTACGTTGGCTATTTAATCATCAATTTATCATACTAAAAGCAATGCTTTATGTAATGATGGATCTATCTGGTGATCTTTCCAGTGGTGTTATTGAAATGGCAAAAGATAATATGGAAACAATGATAAAAATTTGTGGTCAACCATTAACAGCAACAACAAATTCACAACAACAACAACAGAAAGATTTGGCTGATTTACAACAAAAATCAATGGGTGATGTTGTACAGGAATTGTTACGACAAATAACATCAAGTAATACAGCTGTACGTGAACAATCAATGTATCTATTGGAATGTTATGCCCGTATTGCTGATTGTACGGTAACCGATGTTATAAGGCCACATAAAGAAATGTTGGAAGATATGGTACCATTTAAAAAACAAAAATTATTTCAACAACCAATACATGTACAAATTGGCATCCTCGATGGTAATACATTCTGCATTACATTGGAACCACAATTATTCATCATCGATACAACAATACATGAACATCAGGTATTTTTCAATGATGTTTATTCCATTTGTGAGAATGATGATTCAACATTATTGAAATTACCATGTTATAAAAATGTATCGTTAACAACATTACGTAAATCAGCATTACGTACATTGTCCGCTTGTCAACATTTGAAAGCAATGTCGCATAAAATATTCAATGTTCTCTATAAAGCATTGATATCACCGGATACTGAACTACAAGAATGTGCATATGATTGTATGAAGAAATATAAATATCTGAATGATGTGAATCCAGAAGTGATCCGAAATACAGTGAGAAGTTTTTTGATCAACATCAGTGAAATACGTGTATTATCGCCAAAAGATCATCTACTCATACAAAGGCTTAAAAATTTGGCTCGTTTATTTGCATATTTATTCAATGATAAATTGTGTGAATTAATGTTTCAACATTTAAATCGTTGTACAGATGTTTGTTGTCAATATCTTCGACGGCAACGTGAAAAGAATATGAATTTCGTATAAAATCTCAACAACAACAACAACAGCAGCAACAACAACAACAACAATCTGAACAACAACAACAACAGCAATCAGAATTGCTTAAATCAAGTCAAATCAATATAGAGAATCAGATTCCATTATATCTAAATCTTGGTGTGGATATCATCTATTTGTTTTGTGAGATTTCTGCTGCCGATGTTAGTTATGTGGAATTATTATTGAATCAATTAACGAAAGCTGAAATATCAATGGATATCTATGTATACAAAACGTATTATAAACCAATTCAACATTTTATGAAACGTTATCCAAAAGAAGCAATTGCCCAAATGGAACAGCGACAAAATGAAAAACAAATTTTTCGTTTTTTCCTATACATACTGTCTGGTGATGAAGAAAGTGATCCATTTCGTATGGTTTTGTATGAAAATCCAGTACGTTTAATATCGATATTACAACAAAGTGTTAAATCATTACAGCAACAAAATTCCAAAACGCAAACTGAATCGACTTCGATTTCTTCATTAATAATTGGTGGTGCACAACAATCACAATCACCACAACAAGTGCCGGCACCAGCATCAACTATTGATGTAACATCATCGCCAACACCGTTGGGCATAAATTCATCATCCAATTTGATTGCATATCAAAGATATCAGGCCATAAAAATTGTATCCATATTGGTGAAACATAATGCACAATGGTTGGCCGCACAACCAGAATTGATAAAATCATTGAAAGCAATATGGCTATGTAATTCATTTCATATGGATCATAAGGAAAATTATCAAATTGATAGTAAACAATGGGAAGAGCCACGTTTATTAGTAAAATGTTTACTTAGCTATCTCAATCAGAATCAGCAACAAAAACAACAACAAGAAGAATATGAAATTTATTTTCAATTATTACGTGCATTTATTGGAAAATATCATTGTGATTTTGAATTTTTACGTTTATTTTTTGCCAATGAATTACCGAATAATTTCTCTATCGAATGGAAACGTAATGCATTCATGAAATTTTGTGATTTATTCAATTTGGATCAAACAAAATTTCAAACATCGGATTCTGCAACAACAACAACAACAACAACGACCACATCGATAATGATGATGATGGAATGGTCACAAGAGTTGAAGGCAAAAATCCTTCAATACATAATTATACCGATATTTTCAAATGTATTTAAAAATGGACAAAATGAACAATTTCTTGGACCACCAATGGAAGATGATACAGCAGTAGTAGTGGCTAGTAATCAAGATTTTAATGCCACAAAAAATCTAGTATCGGTTTTCATCAATGTTTTGGTAAAAGAAACATCCGTATCGGATTCGATAAGAATTTTAGTCATGCAACTTGGTTGTTTAATTGTCGAACATGCATCCAATTATATACGGCCATCACAAATATCCGAAAATGATCGTTTTCCAAAAAGTAAACGTGAAAATTCTGAAGTTCGCCAATTAATGTCATATGCATGGCCAGGTATGCATTCAACAAAACGTCAAGATTCGGTAAAAAAATATTATTGCCATCTATTATTGGCACATATTATATCGAAAATATCGATACATAAAAAAATTATCAAACAAGTGTTTCTTAGTTTATTGAAAGCCCATTATCAAGAATCACGTGCGATTGTTTTCAATGCTTTGGAAATATTGATACCAGTGTTGCCGCAACGTATCACTGATGGTTATCGTATGTTACGTCAATTGACAAAAAAATTAATGATCGAAGAAAGTCATGTATCAGCACAATTTAATCATCTATTACAAATTGTTGTACGTTATTATCGTATCTATTATCCAACTCGTCATATTTATGTACCACATATAGTGAATGCAATTCAACGTTATGGTTTATCACAGAATTCAGTGATTGAATCACGAAAATTGGCATTGGATCTAGTTGAAGTGATTATACGTTGGGAACATGAACGACTTTCAGTGGAACAAATGGATAAATCCTATAAATCAACCGATGTTGATTCAAGTGATAGTGAATCAAGTTTTGATTCAAAACAAGAACCACATCATCAACATAATAAATCAACAAATCAAGCAACATCACAACAGCAGCAGCAACAACAACAACAACAACAAGATACAATAACTCAATTATCACATGGATCAATTGAAAAAGAATATTCCGATGCAATTCTACAGTTTTTATTACGTTTTATTTGTATGTCACCAGATTTTAGTGTTACTCCTGGTAGTAGTTTAACACAGAATTTTTTCCAATGGAATGCTTCAACATTACCGGAATCACTTTGCCGTCGTGCATATTCATTGCTCAAGGATGCATTACAAAATGAATTTTGGCAATTGAATGATATTAAATTACATTCATTAGAACGTATTCTAATGTTGGTGGCAAATAATGAAAATTCACCGCAGCCATTGCCGCAGAATACTGTCATACAGATTTGTCTTGCTTTGGATCTATTGATTTTATTTCTACAAACAATGAAACGTGATTTAGCCATACAAATGTTGATGCCATTGCAACGAGCAATTTCCACTTGTTGTACGTGTACAAATCCAAAAATCGTTTCTACTGTTCATAATTTATTGGCAAAAATGATGTCAATAGTACCACCATCATGTCATTCGAGTACAATATCACCAAAATGTGGTCAACAGCCAGTAAAAGTTGATACATTGGAAACATTTGAACAACTTTACACTGATATTCATTCATTAATTTTAAATGGATTTATGTCTTATAATAAAATTGGACAATCATCTGGACAATCGATTATACCTGGTGGTGTTGGTGGTGGTGGTGGTGGTGGTGGTGGCGGTAATGGTGGTGGTGGTCAAATGATGATTGGTGGATCGCCAGGAATGTTACCAAATCTAAGTAGTTCAACAACAACTTTATCACAATTATTTAGTGTTTTAATGTGTTTGAAAGCCGCCTGTTTAAATGAACCAGCATATATTGATCGGCTATCGACACCATTTTTGGTAATGTTACAAAAACTGGTGAAAGAACATACAAATATACCGGCTACACAAATTCAACCACCAGATTTCAATGCATCATTATGTGCTGACATTATTAATCTTTGTCTTGAATTAATCAAAAATCGTATTGCATTCGCCAATCCCGAAACACGAAGAACATTGATCAATAGTGTATTTTTCATTTTGATTGAAAAATCACCTGAAGTTAAAGTGATGAAAACATTATTGAAAATATTTGAAGAATGGATCAAACAACCATTATCAGCTGGATCAACTAATTCCGTTAGTGGTAGTGGCGGCGGCGGCGGTGGTGGTGGTGGTGGTGGTGGTCGATCCACCAATACAGGAAATTCACAAACATCAATGGTTTCAATGTTGAGAGATAAAACAGCACTTGTATTACGTATTGGACATAATATTGAAAAACGTTTTGCCGATGATATTGAATTGAATAATCAATATTTAGAACTGATCCACTACATTTATTCGGATGATGCATTGAAAACACATGATATTGCAACGAAATTGGAATTTGCATTTATGGCCGGTCTTCGTTGTCAGCAGCCACAAATACGGCAAAAATTTTTCCAATTACTTGATTCAAGTCTACGAAAACGTCTATATGATCGGTTATTATTCATAACGAATTCACAAAGTTGGGACACAATTTGTCTACATTATTGGATCAAACAGGCAATTGAATTAATGTTAGCCACATCAAATACGGTGGAAACGTTAAAAACGGCTAATCATAATTCCAAATTACCATTGCCAACAGCATTGGTACCGCTTAGTGAACATCAAGATAAATCATCACTATTGACTAGTTTTGTATCCAATGGTTTGAATTGTACACCAACCGATATGTTGATGAATATGGAATTGATGAATTATTCACAGAATTATAATAACATTAATGTAAACAATAACAATAGCCAAAATAATGTCGAATTGATGGATGTTTGCCATACGGATGGTAAAAAACATGATGAAAATTTTCTTAACGATATATTCAATGATCAAACATCGAATAATACTACATCTTCTGTGGATGGTGGTGGCACCAAACAACAAGATAAATCAAAAGATATTGTCGAAATTGTTTGCAATTTTCTTCAATCAAATCATAATTATAAAGCATCACCATTTTTCAATGCAATTGCACAACTATGTCATCTGGATAGTGAATTAGCACATCATATATGGATACAGCTATTTCCACGTATATATTCCATATTGAATGAACGACAACAAATGATGATAGCTTGTGAATTGGCACCATTTTTTGTTTCCGGTGTTCACACTTATCAACGTGAAATTCCTTATAGTGCAGTGAATACATTTTTTGAAGCAGTATCATATTGTGAACCATCGATAAAATTTCGTCCATCAATATTACGTTATTTGAGTAGAAATCATAATCTTTGGCATCGTGCTTCACTATTATTGGAAATGGAAATGGATAATGCTTTTTCCACTAGATCGGCATTCGGTTTAGGTGGTTTAATTACAAATGAAATTGCTAATCAATCAACAACAACAACAGCCACAATGTCAACGATAAATACACCGAAACATACACGTAATAGTAGTAGTAGTAATAGTGTTGTATCATCATCACAATTAAATGGTGGTATTGTTGGTGATAAACATCAACATTCAACTAATAATAGTATGAATTCATTATCAGCAAATATTAATGATCTTTTACCGACCGAATTACCATCATCAATGAATCAACCATATAATCATGAATGTATGTCTGCATTGGCAAATATTTATGAAACATTGAAAGAACAAGATTATTGGTCTGGTGTTTGGCATAAAAAATCATATTATAAAGAAACTTTGATCGCCATTGCATATGAACAGCAAGGATTTTTTGAACAAGCTAAAGGTGCATATGAATTGGCAATGAGTAAAGGCCAGAATGAATATAACAATACACCGATACCATTATGGCTTAATGAAGAATATCTAATTTGGGAATCACATTGGATACGTTGTTCAAAAGAATTGAATCAATGGGATTTTTTAAAAGATTATGGTAATTCATTAGAATTGCCAAATCCATTATTGGTATTGGAATCAGCATGGCGTATACCGGATTGGGATTCAATGAATATGGCCGTTACTTGTGTGGAACAAAATCTGCCAAAAGATTTTGCATGGAAATTGGCATTATATAAAGGTTATAATGCCATTTGTAATCCAAATCATCGTGATATGGATACAGCTGAACGTATGGTTGAAGTGGCAACAAATTTTTTATTAAAAGAATGGCGTAAATTACCGAAAATTGTTTCATCAGCACATATTAATATATTACAAGGTGCACATCAGGTTATCGAATTGAATGAAGCACATAATTTGAATCACATTTTATATAATACAATCGGTCCATATCAAAATGATAGATCACCATATGAATTGAGAAGTTTAATTAAAACATGGAAAAATCGTCTGCCAATTGTTGCCGATGATTTATCACATTGGAGCGATATATTCACATGGCGACAACATCATTATCAAATGATTGTATCAAGATTTGAACAAGAAAATAAATTACAACAACAACAAGGTAATCAACCATCACAAGCAGCATCATCGAATATATTATGTGGTGCACATGCATCTGCTCAATCGTTGATACATTTGGCAAAAGTGGCACGTAAACATTTCCTAATGAATGTTTCATTAGATCAATTGAATCGTATCCACACAATACCAAAAGTACCGATTATTGATTGTTTTCAAAAAATTCGTCAACAATTAAAATGTAATCTATTGAAACATTCTATGCAGCCAACTGGTGAAGAATTACAGGAAGCAATGTCCGTCATTGATTGTACACATTTACATTTTTTCAATAATGAAATGATTGCCGAAATTATTGCCATCAAAGGTTTTGTATTGATGAAAATGGATCGTATGGATGAGGCGAATAAAAATTTTTCAGCATCATTACAAATATCCGATACGGTGGTAAAATCATGGGCAATGTGGGGTGAATTTCATTATGAATTATTCACCAGAACGGCACATGAATCATTTGGACAACGTAACATTCAGGATGGTAAAAATGCAATCATTTCATTTTTACATGCTTCACGTCATCAAAGTGATTCGAAAACCAGAAAATATTTATCACAAGTATTGTGGCTACTATCGTATGATAAAGATCAACAATTAGCACAAGCAGTGGAACAATATAATACCGGTGTACCGCCATGTAATTGGGTACCATGGATTCAACAATTACTTCATTGTCTAGTTCGATCGGAAGGTCATCATATGTTGACCATACTATCACAAATTAGTAAACTATTTCCAGAAGCTGTTTATTTCCCAACACGAACGTTATATCTTTCATTACGTTTAGAACAACGTGAAATGAAATATAAATTCAGTGTATTCTCATCAGCAGTTGGCATAAATCAATCATCAACAAACAATATGAATCAACAACAATCCACTGATCCAATTCAAGCATCATCAGCAACATGGCGTTGTACACGTATTATGCATCATCAACGTGAATTGCATCCAACTTTGTTGACATCGATTGAAGGTATATTGGATCAAATGTCATGGTTTCGTGAAAATTGGTTTGAAGAAATATTACGACAATTGCGGCAAGCATTGGCCAAATGTTATACAATTGCATTTGAAAATCGTGATAATGTAGCTGAAACAATAACATCGAATCATACATTGAGCTACATTCGAAAATTGGTCACAACGTTTGGTATTGGAATCGATAATGCTACCTGTAGTGGTGGTGGTAGTCAATCATCATCACAATCATCAACAACTACGAATACGTCAAGTAATTATTCATCAGGTGGTAGTGGTACCACGAATAATGATTCAAATCAATCGACAACGAATAAACAACCGGGAAATATTCGTACATCCAATACAACGGCATCGGAAACATTGGCTCGTCGTGCACAATCAACAGTGCAGGATCCAGATTTTCAAAAAATGAAACAACAATTTGCCAATGATTTTGATTTCAGTGTTCAAGGTTCACATAAATTACATAATCTTATTGTGAAATTTAAAAAATGGATCAAAATATTGGAAGCTAAAACCAAATTGTTGCCTAAATCATGGTTACTTGAAGAAAAATGTCGTTATCTAAGTAATTTTTCCAATCAAATTGTTGAAGTAGCATTACCAGGTGAATATTTTCTTCCAAAATTGAATGCAATGTGTATCGTACATATTGCACGTTTTATGCCACGTGTTGAAATTATAACCAAACATAATACTACTGCACGTCGTCTTTATATTCGTGGACATAATGGTAAAATATATCCATATCTTGTATTGAATGATTCATCATTAAGTGAAGTAAGACGTGAAGAACGATTCTTACATTTGTTGCGTTTGTTAAATCTGTATCTATCGAAACATAAAGAAACGGCACGTCGTGTTATTAGTTTTACCGTTCCACGTGTAGTACCAATACATGGACAGATGCGTTTTGTTGAAGATAATGTATCATCATTATCATTGATTGAAATCTATAAACAACATATGATACGACGTGGATCGGATCCAGATGCACCGATAGCTAAATATTATGATCGATTACTTAGTCTACAAACCAAAGGATCACAAGTTACACTTTCACAATTGAAAGATATTATTGCCGATATACAATCATCGATGGCGCCTAAAACATTGCTTAAAGAATGGGCATTACAAACATTTTCAACGGCAACAGAATTTTGGCATTTTCGTAAATTATTCACATTACAATTAGCCACGGCTGGTCTTTCTGAATTTGCTTTCCATCTAACACGATTGAATCCAGATATGATGTACATACATCGTGATAGTGGTCTAATCAATATTGCTTATTATCGTTTTGATTTGAATGAAGAAAGTGGTGAATTAATTAGCAATCAACCAGTGCCATTCCGTATGACACATAGTGTACAGAATTTGATCACTGAAATCGGTATACATGGACCACTTACGGCAACAATGATTTCATCTGCAAGTTGTTTAGTATATCCAAATTATAAAGTACGTTCAATATTGTTGGCCATATTACGTGATGAAATTATTAATTGGCATAAACGAATTAAATCGAGTGAAAAAATGGCATTAATAACAGCGGCAATGACTGCTGTAGCTAATAATCAAACGGCTAAAAATTTATATCAAAATCTAAAAGATGATTCCAGTATGGACACTAATAATAATAATGATCAACAGCAACGAAATCAGCAGCAGCAACAGCAACAATTTACTCAACAACAATTGGCCGATGTAATCAATTCACCAAATATGAATGAAATACCTGAAATGGGTGGTGAAGAATTGGTTAATCTGGTTACAAAGGCAGCCAATGCTATCATGTCACGATTACAAAGTATGTGTGATTTTTCGTTCTCTTGTTTTCATTCATATTCATTTTTTTCCCCCAACAAAAACACAGGTCTTGCCACATTTGATGGAGCCGAAAGTAATGTTGCCACATTGATTAATGCAGCAATTAATCCGGATAATCTTTGCTGTATGGATCCTGCTTGGCATCCTTGGCTTTAATTTAAATCAAAAAAAAGAAAAAAATGTACAGATATTTTTGTTACCTAATTTTATCGATTATCGACTAATCATTTGTCAAATAATTCACTCAAAAATTCACTTTCATCTTTTTTTTCGGACGTAAATAAAAAAAAAATTTAAAAAAAAATTCAAATAAATATACATTGTATATGAATGGTACTCGCGCGTGCTCATTTTGTGAGTGTGAGTGTTTTTTTTAGATTTTAGTATTTAGCGCCACTTGTACAACGGTCATTTATTTTTACTGATTGATTGTTTTGAATTTGGTGTTTTTTTTTTTCTGAAAAAAATTTCGATAATTACAAATTCTATATATGTTTCAATAATGCATCGATCAAATGGTAATTATAATGAATTTTTTAAAACAAAACAAATAAAAAATGACAAAATTTTTTCTTCCACCATAAATAACAAATTCTAGCATATTCATATTATCAATTCAAACAAATGCGACAAAAAATTCATAACCAATCAATAATGATTAATAAACTTTTTCATATGATTGAAAAAAAACATTCATATGATCAAATTAGTTCGGAATCTGAATCATATTTATCGATCCTCATGTTGATTGCCAAACATAAGGTATGTGATGATAATGTTGTTCGTTTTTGTTGTAAATTTTTTTCCATTATTTTAGTGTGCTCTTCCACCACAACAAGAAAATGCACAAGAATTTGTAAGAAATTTATTGAAATTATTTTTCGAATCATTATCGAAAACAACGAATAATCAACACAGTACATTGGATAATTATCAAATTAATCAACAAATTCGATTAGCTTTAGATAATTGTGCCGAACCTAATGAATATGATTTTCATTTAAATGATGATGATGATGATAATGATAAACTTTTTTGTAATGAAGACAATGATGATGTTTATAGAAATGTCGAATCTACCAATGATAATGTGAATAATAATTGTCCAACAAACACAAATCATCATTCACCGGATTCAACATTGGCTAATGATGATGATCAAACTTTATTACCAAAATCATCTATTATTGAAAAGCCAATTCATCCATCATCATCATCATCATCGGATGCAACATTTATTGCTGATAATAATCAAACCATTATCCAACGAAAACCAATTGAAAATGGCAATAAATGTTCAAATGATAATCAGAAACATGAAAATGAAAATTCACCATTGGAATCTTCTTTATTGTTGACTCCACAAATTGACACAACAAATCATCGGTTAAGGTCAGCGGTGATGCCAAAATTTTCAGTTATTTCATCAACACCAATGATTGAAAATGAAAGGTTAAATTTTAATTCATTTTCACGGATTTCAAATTTTTGTGACAAATTATCAACGGATATTTCCAATTCTTTTGACGCAACACTAATGGCCAAAAATGATTCAGTTAACGAAGAACTTACGATAATTTCTTTGGAAAATGATAATCATAATAATGTTTTCAACGCTAAGAAACAATCACAGTCGATAAAATCCAAAAATCATGGACAATTGAAAAAAACAATTGTAAATGGCGACATTAGCAATCATCAAAATACAGTTAAAATGAAAAAGAAAAAAGCTCCATCATCAACAACATTAAAAAATAATACAATCAACAACCACAACAACAATAATGATACAACAACAAACGAAACATTTCATACGGCCACAAGCAGAACATTATTTACCACCAATACTTCATGTCTAAACGATTCTTATAGATTAAGGGCAAGAACTAAAAAAATTAATTATAAATATTGAACACACATCATCAAATGAAATGAAATATAAAAACAAAAACAAAAATATTAACAACCTCAATAAATAGGACGTATATATTCATTATTATACCACCGTGGCCACATGGATACGTGAGGATATAAAAAAAAAATGGTACGCGCGTATCCAAAGTAGTCCGTAATTTGTTTTTTTGTTTTGAACCGAAAATATTGATTCGACTTTCATTGAATTATAATTGATGATGATGATTATTCATCTTCAAAATTAAACAAAAAAAAAATTTATTGTTCATCACACACACACACACACACAAAAACAATTTTTAAATAATAATTAAATGATGATGATGATATTTTAAATACATTGACATGAATATTTTTTAAATAAATAAAAAAAATCGTCGTCGTCGTCGTTTGTTGTTGTCGTTCGTTGTATGTATGTCAAGTTTATGATGATGATGATGATCCAGATTTAATTTGATTTTCCATAACAGCACATTATGTTCGTATTTTAATCGATATTTTAATTTTGGTTGATTACGGATAATTCATTCAATCAACAATAATTTGGCCTGAATACAAACAAAAAAAAAAAAAGAAGAATCAAAACAAAAATGATGATGGTCGGTATTTAGAAAATTTTTTTTTTCGCCACTGCAGACACAGAAAATAGATTCGTTCGAATTTTTTTTTTTCGTCGTTGTGTGTGTGGTGTGTGTGTGTTTTGCATGTCATGCAAAGTCACTTTTCATTCATGAATAAATGTGACCCGAAAAAAAATTTGGCCGCCGGTTTTTACAGGTAAAAACCACAGAACGATGATTGAAATCTAATCATTTTTTATTCAGTTGTTGTTTTGTCATCGTTTTGTTGTTGACTTTTGTGTTTTGAGAATCCTGCTGCTGCTGTTGTTGTGTTGAAGAATTCAAATGCTAAAAAGAATTTGTTAAAAAAAAAACAATCAACAAAATGTTATTATCAAAATCAAGAATTATATTTACCTTAGGTTTGTTGACCTTTTTTTCAATTATTTCAACAACACTTGATTCCGTTTATTTATTTATTTATTTATTTTTTTTTTGATTGTTTTCCATTATACAGTAGTATTGATTTCAATCATTGAAATTATTGCCTGTATCGAACATGAATCAAACAACGATGACACGACATCATTTTCAATATTGGATATTTTAGCTGCTGTAACCTCACCAACATCATCGGCAATGACGACGACGACGACAACGACAACGATTATGCCACCGACAACAATATCAATATCAAGATTATCAATCAATCAATCAGCATTAATTGGCGATTCGAATAAATCGAATAACACAACAATTTCATCATCGCCGCCACCATCAAAGGCCAAATCATCGAAAACGGAATTTGTTTCAATAATGGACGGTCTTTTGCTCGTATTCAGTAATCTATCACTGTTACCGGCCATTTATATTGCAATCAAAGGACAATTTTATGCAGAATCCATAATCTATTGTTTGACAATGATATTTTCAGCGGTATGTAAGATTTTTGAATCAGAAAAAAAAATCAATGCTTACCCTTTTTTTTTTGTTGTCATCATCATTAAAGTTATATCATCTTTGTGATTGCCATGGTTTTCATTATTGTATATTTCCATATGATATGTTACAATTTGGTGATTTTTTCACTGCAACATTAACACTTTGGTGTACGGCCATCATCATATCGAATGTTCCATATCAATGGATTTCATCATTCCATTTGGTTGGTGCAACAATTTTCGGTACATTATTACATTTTTGGATGACCGGTACCTGGAGTTTTGTTGTGCCGGCCATTTCAACACTATTATTAATAGGCTCATATTGGGTATGTTTATTTATTTATTTGTTGTTGTTGTTTTTTTCATTTACCAAAAAAAATTATCATTTCAGGGATATCGTTATTATCGTGAACGTACATTACCAGAATTGATTTATTCAAATAATTTCTATGTAGCCATTGGTCTGATGGTTTTAGGTTCAATATTGTTTGCATCACAAACAATATTCTATTTTCGTCGTCTTTATGGTATTTCACATTCATTATGGCATATTTCAATGTCATTGGCAATTGCATTGTTATTGCCTCGTTATCAAAATATTGATTCATTTTGGACAGAAAATCTAAAAATTAATTCAACAAATGAATCGAATCAACCGAAACCACCAATAATAGCGATTGGTAAATCAATCAATGAAATAATAATAATCACAATAATCATTCAATGGTGAATGCAAAAAATTTAGCACCAGCACCACCGCCACCAACAACAGCATCATGTCAACAGCATAATAATAATGATATTATGAATTTTAATTCACAAGTAAATAAAGCATTCGCACTATAATCGATTTTTAAAAAAATTTAAATAAATCAATTTTTTAATTTTTTGAAACGAAAAAAAAAAATATCACAATTAGATGATAACGACGTATATGAACGGAATGTTTTTTTTTTTTTTTACTGTTTTTGAATGATTGATGTAGCAGCATGTGGTGTAGTAGAAGCATTGACCATTGGCCTTTTGAAATGTCCAGTTGTGTGCATGTATGTGGGTAATGGAGAAGTGGTTAAAAAAAAAAAGAAATTTCCAAAAAAAGAGTGTGTGTGTGTGTGTGTGTGGAGAGAGATGAAAAAATTGACAGATTGAAATGTTGGCTGCTTTTGTTGTTTGTTTGTTTGTTTTGTTGTTGTTGTTGTTGTTGGACAGATAAATGTTTTCAACAATTTCAAAAAAAAAAAATGTGAGTTTCCAAAATAAAAAAAAACTTTGAATTTTCGTTCCAACAACAGAAGAAATTGAAAAATCGAAATAAAACATTCGATCGTTGTTGTTGCATCATTATATGCAAATAGCCGCCTTGTTGTCATTAATTCGTTGTTTTAGTTCATCAACATGAACATCATTGACATTCCAATTCATCATTTCATTTTAATTGATTTCATTTTGTGTTTTTGTGACAATATTTTTTTCACATCGTCAATCAACATCATCGACCATTTTAACCATTAAAACGATAAATTTATCGATTTGATTGACGCCCAATGTTTTGTATTGATATGTCGATTTGATTTTTTTATTTATTTATTGTCAAATGTGTGTGTGTGTATGCATTTTACCCTTATATATCGTATCGATATGTTGACAATGATGATGATGATGAGAATGAATGCAAATGTGTAAACACAGCAACACGAGCACCAAAAGATAATAATTTACGTTGTGTGAAAAAAAAAAAATTTCTTCCACTCTATTTGAGATTTGAAGATCAACAATTGTGGAATTTCCAATATTTTTTTTTTTTTTTGTTTGTTTGTAATCGATCGGCAGGGTCGGTAAGTATCTCGTGATTAAAAATTCAATGAATGAAAATTATTAATTATTCGAAATTGTTCCAAATTGTTTAGCTGATGAATCTGGTTTTTCGCAACAACAGTTTTATTTTTTTTTTTTTTTTTTTTGGTTGTTGAAATGATTTCTTTTTTTTCTGTACTCATCACACAAAATAAATAGATCTCTTTGAGATTTTTTTTGTTGTTGTTGTTGTTAGCAAAACACACACAGAGAGAACAGCTCATCTTCAGCAACAGCATCCTTATTTTTTTTTTTTTTTATAACTCGCCAATGCCCATTTATTACCCAGTGATGTGATGTGTGTGTGTGTGTGTGTGTCTATACTACGCAAATTGAAAAAACAACTCTCAATGTGAAAGAAAGAAGAAGAAGAAGAAAAAACCACCACCTGAATGTAAATTTGGTTATAACCATCAAAATTTGTTTTGTTTGAAGGAAAAAAAATTTGAAATTTTTCAAATTCAAACAAGGCTGTTTTTTTGTCATTTTGAAACATCATCAACAACAACAACAACAAGTGGTATATTTCAAATTGAATTTGAATAAATGAAAAAAAACATGACAAGCTAGAAAAAAAATGATTTTATTTGATAAAGCAAGATATTAGCAAGCATCCTAAAAACATGGATGTTTCTTATTTATGATGAATGACAATTGAATGATAATGATGGCCTACATTTCTACATAATTCAATTCACATACATTTATTGATGTTGATGTTGATGCCAGTAACATTTGAAATTTGATTGTCATCAAATTGTTGTTGTTGTTGCCGAATGAATGCATTGAATTTGATATTTTTACGGCCATTCGTTTTATCATCCATTTTTTTACGATTATTGACTTTATTATATTGTGCCATTGTCATTAGAAATTCTATGGCTACAAATATTCTTCATCATTGTAATAATAATTTCATCACCATCTGTTGTGTGTTTTTTTTTACTTCGTGATACATTATGCACGTGATGCATATATTTATTTGATTTGATATCATTACCATCACAACACAACTCCTACATTCATCAAGAATAAATTTAAATTTTTTTTTATTTTGTGATTTTCACAACACACACACACACACACACACCTACACACACAACCTAAAAAATCAACCAACTGTTCATTCCAATTTTTCTCCATTGAATCATCAACGATAACAACAACAACAATAACAAAAAAGATTTTGTTTGCAGCAATTTTTTTTTCGTTTGTACAAAGTTACATTCTGTTTTTTTTTTATTTTTCATTGTTCCATTCATAGATCTTTGAGAAAGAAGTTTGGAATAAGACTTTTTTCGTTCTGCCATTCATTTTCATATAAGATTTTGATTCAAAATAAAAAAAAACGTCTTTCGAATACAAAATGAGCTCTCCAACTTCAATTCCTCATCCACCACCACCGCCACCACCACCATCATCATCATCATCATCATCATCACAATCAAATTTGTTGACCAGTAAAAATTTTCATTGTATTACATCAACAACATCAACACCTACGTCATCATCTACAATCATCACTAATAATAATAATCTACAACAATATTCACCATCTCGTCGTTCGAGAACATTGTTGAATAATAATACAGCATCATCGGTAACAATAACACCGACAACAACAACAACGTCAAATAACCTGTACAATGGAAACAAATCTTTATTGTTGACCAATTCATCTGTTGAAGATGAAGTACTTGGTCAAATTACAAAAGAGGTATGTATTGTGTGTGTGTTTTTTTGTTGTTGTTGTTGTTATTTTGATTTGTCACTCGAATCTTTTTTTTTTAGTTTGATTGAAATGAATTAGTAATGGCTGATCAAATTGTAAATTAATTATTAATATGTTTATGATGATGATATATTTTTTTGAGGTCAATGGTAAATGGTCATTGATAAATTAATTTATTTCCTTGATGATGATGATGATGATGATGAAAAAATCAATGTTTATGAAATTGATTGTGGTGATGTGTCATGATGTTGTCCACTTGTTGAATATATTTGCTGTTTTTGTTTACGGTTATATTTTATACACATGCTTAATTATTTTAGCTTCGGATGATGATGATGATGATGATACACCGGTTACCATTTTTTTATTAATATAATAAATGCAGGGAGAAATGTACAAGAAAATACCGGATTTTCATTTTTTTTGTGATTGATAATTTTAACCATAAACTTGTTAGCAATGTTTTATGTGGTTTTTATTTTATTTTTATTTTTGAAAAAAATGATTTTTCATCATGAATCAGGTGTCTATGTCTGTATGTAGTAGACGGTTTGCTATTTCACATTTTTTGGGTTAAATGATGAAAAAAAAAATTTCGGAAATTGAAATGAAATGACACGACAAAAACCGGTGTGTGTGTGAGAGAGAGAGAAAGAGATGCTTTTATTAATTATTCAATTTTTTTTTCTTTGAAAATTCTGTATTGCGTGCATTTTTCTCCCTTCACTACTATATATCTAATCAACAATTACCTGAAGAAAAGTTTTCTTCTTTTTTTTTGTTGAATAAATTTTCATGTGAAACAATGTTGTTTACAATTTACCCTAATCCGTTTCTTCTGTCACAATTTTTTTTCGTGTTTGTTGTTTGCATCATTCATTTTCAAAAAAAAAAATTTAATTGCATGACAGATGTAATAATAATAATAAAAACCCGTATAATAATAATGATAATAAGCAATGGAAATGTTGTGTTTTGGTGATAATTTTTCCATTGGATTTTTTACATTATTATAACCCGGATAAATGCGATTATTATGTGTGCGTGTGTGTGTAATTAATGAACAAAACAAAGCAAAAAAAAAAATTCACATGATGATGATAAACTTCACCATGAGTCTATCTGTCTGACTGGCTGGCTGACTGGCTTAATTTTTGGGTTAAACATCATCGCACACGAAAGATTGATAAAAATTATTTTGTTCATTCTTTTTTCATTTCATCACCAAAAGGTGTCGCCTTGTCATCATCATCATCACTTGTGTTTTGATGATAAAATGACAAGATTTTCTTCATTTTTTTTTTTTTTATTTATATTGTTGTTGTTTTTGGCAAATGTCGTCTGAATCGTGAATTGATGATGTTAAAATATCCAAATGATTATTATTTGCACATTTGTTTTTTCTTTGAAAAAAAAACAAGAAAATTTTGGCAAAATTTACTCGTTTTTGGCAACCATACAAAATGACATTATTATTATCAACGATATATATATAGAAAAGAAAATAAAAAAAAGATGAATGTGAATGAATATAAATGAGATGCGCACGCACGTACTCATAATCATATTTTGAATAATTTTTTTTAATTAATTAATTGGGTTCAAATTTCGCAATTTTTTTTCTTTTCTTCAATTTGAAATTCATGAAATTCAAATTACCTGATGATAGCGAATCACACACGCATTTGATTTCTTGAAATTGATGGATAGATGAAATCCTTTCTTTACGAGCAATAATAATAAAATAAGAATAAGAATATATTGCCAAAATGTTGAGTGGTGTTACACTTGATTTTTGAAACTTTACAAAGAAAGAATATTCCAATGTGTTGTCTGCTTCTATTGCCGGGTATTTTTTTTCTATTTTTAATTGAATACTAAGAATACTTAAGAATTATCAACAACAGCAACAAGTCATTTGCATACGGAACATCATCATCATCATCATTTATATTATTACATCAATTATGATGCATATATGCAACTTGTCTGTGTGAGTGAATAATATAAGGCACAATAATCATCATCATTCGTATATCATACAGAATCGTTGTCAGCAAAATTCTGTTCTGGTTTTTTTTTACATTCTGATTTGATTCTGTTTTTAGTCTTTTTTTTTGTTTCTTTATCCAACTTGATTATGTGTCTGATTAGTATTCTGTAGAATTTTTTTTTTGTAAATCATCATTCGTATCTTTTTTGTTGACGACTACGACCAGGACGACAATTTCGGATGTTGAAGATATTTTTCTGTGAATTGTCGGTTTTTTTTCTGTCGAGGTTCATTGGTGTGCGTATGTGTGTCTGATCAGCAACAGGATACAGAAAAGAAGATTCGATTTGGTTTTTTAATTTATGTGTTTTCAATAAATCACATTGTTAAACAAAATGCCTGTCGGTTCACAATCACGTCGTGCGTCAATTTATCTGGCCACTGGAAATATTAATGTTCATGATGATAATAATAATAATAAATCATTGATTATTTCACCATCATCAACATTGAATAAAACAATAACACAGCCATCGACACCAATAATAATGAATGGTGGTAACATGATTGCCACTGGTAGTGGTATTTCTCCATTGATAAATCCATTCGATACAGTAATGGCCAACAATAATAATAATGATGGACGTCGAAATTCAATCTATCAGCCAAAAATATCAACATCATCATCATCATCATCATTTATAACATCTGAACCATCGTCGTCATCATCATCATCATCATTAATGGATAATAATAAAACAATGAATCTTTCAACAACAACTACAACATCATTTTTTACAAATCATCATGGTTATCAAACAATTGAACAAATGTTAAATCGTAATGATCAGAATCAATTACCAATTCTTTTATATATACGTAATTATAATGAATATCGACGACATAAACCGGTAAATGAATGAATGAATGAATGATTCCATTGCTTTTTTGAGTTCAACCATCAAAAAAAAGGTGTATGCATGTTTGTATGTGTGTAGTTGGTGATATACCAAAAACAACGACAATAATAATTATATATCATCAACTATAACTGATTGATTGATTGATTGGTTTTAATTTGATGACAATTTAATCTTTTGTTTGTTTGTCAATTGTTCCTGATAGTATACTGTGAAAATATTTTTCCTTTTTTTGTTTTCTCATTTTCCCTTTTTAAAATCCCATATCCCATATATATATATAATTATTATTTTATTATTTTACTATATCATTGTTGTTGCTGTGATGATGATGATGATGATGATGTTGGAGAGATACCTTAAGTATTTATTTATTACCTAGTATTTTTTTTATGTTGTTGTGTGTTTTTTTTTTTTGTTGTATTTGCGGTATTATTAATGTGTGTGTTTGAGCGCAAGAGTGAGTGTTTTTTTTTGGAAATTGTATGAATTGTTTACTTGTTGTTTTCTGTTGTTATTTGTCTTCATATTTTTTTTTCTGAATGAATCGGCAAATGTTTGGTTTTCTATTGTTGTTGTCGTTGTTGTTGTTGTTGTTGTTGTGGATTGAAAGTTCAGTTTTTGTTGTTTTTATTATTGTAAATTCCGTGTTTATTCCATTTGTAAATGAAATTTGTTTTGAATGATAATAATGTCACAAATGTTTCCATCATCATTATCATCATCATCATCTGATTCAACATTTCGAATGATTGTGTGGCAAAATTTTTTTTTTTTTTTTTTTGAATATTTTGCAAATTTGCATATTTTTTTTTTCATTTAACTAATTTTTTTTTGCTATGGATTCAATTCAATATATTTATTTTTTTAGGCCGAAGCACGATTGGCAGCTAGGCGTCGTGAAAGAGCTGAAGCACGTGAAATACGTTTACGTGAAATTGAACGACAACAAAAAGAAATGGATGAACAAGCTGATAGACATTATGAATTGATGAATAGTGGAGGCAGCGGCGGTGGCGGTACTGTTAATCATATCAATAATAATAATAATAATAGTGATCATATTGGAAGTTTTAGATCACGAGCAACACCAATCATTTCACGTGAGGTAAGTTTGTTTGTCTTTGTGAGTGTATCATTTTAATGTGATCCGTTTATTGTTTATGATGATATAAACAGAGTCGTACATCATCATATACCAGTTCTAGACGAAGTAGTCAAGAATCATTGGATATGTGTGCCGATTCTCCAAGAGAACTTCGAGTAAGTTTAATTTTGATTTTTTTTTATTGTTTTTTTTTTCTAATGAAAAATTTTCCATTTTCATCCACACATCAATCATTCATCATTAGCATTATGCACAAGAATTGGAAGAAAAATTTCGTAAAGCAATGATTAATAATGCTCAATTGGATAATGAAAAACAATCATATGTCTATCAGATTGATTTATATAAAGATGAACGTGAAGAATTGGAAGAAAATTATTTAAGGCTGCAACGTGATTTTAAAGAAAAATCTAGAGTATGTATTTTTGTCGAGTAATTGTTGTTGTCAAATTTAAGAATTGTTTTTTTTTCATTTTCATTTAGAATTTTGAACAACTTAAACGTGATAATGAACGATTACAATTTGATTTTAAATGCTATAAAGAAGCATTGGAAGAAAGAGAACGATTAATAAAGGTAAGTTATTGTTTTTGGATTTGTGTGTTTAATAAAAGTTTTATAAAATTATATTTTGTATATATATATGAATCAATAGGAAGCTGATCTCGTTATAATCTGCAATAATGGTAATCGAAATGCCAAATTATTTAATAAAAATAAATTGATGAATAATCCGAATGGCTTTTCAAATGGCAATATAATAATGAATGAAAATCATCGAATAATCAATGGTGATGATGATCATAATGTCGATGATGATGTTGATGATGATGATGAAGATTTTCCCGTTTTATTGGCCAATAATCTTTCATTAATTAGTAAAGATGCTTCACTTTTATTGGAAGATGTATCGGGTAAAACATTGGAATCAAAATTAAAAAATCTAATGCTTGAACGTCGTACATTACAATCAACGATTAATGAATTAAAAAGTGATCTTGATGATGAACGTAATCGTGCCAGTTCGATGAATGAAGCCATTGCAAATAATTCATTACATTTAACAACAGAAATGCAAACTGAAATACAAAGTAAGTCTTGATTGATTTAAACTGATTTTCTATTAACATCTGTCTTTTCTACAATCAAATTAGGAGAAGCAAATAAAATGACCAATGATCTCCGATATAAATTTAAAAAATGTGAACAAGATAATGCTACACTTAGTTCGACTGTAAATCGATTAGAAAATCAATTGGCACGTTGTAAATTGGCTGCAGATCAATCTGAAAGGCTTGAAGAAGAATTAAAATTGGATAAAAGAAAAGCACAACGTGAAGTAAGTTTACATTTTTTTTCTTTTATTATTTTTCATGTGAAAATTTTTTTTCTCTTTTTTTTTAGCTACGTGAAGCATTAACAAAAATTGAAGAACTTGAATCAGCAAATGCTCATCTACAGAAACGAATCGATAAACTTAAATCTAATCGTAATATAATTGGAATAATTACGAATGGTTGTTCCACGAATAATAATAATGGATCGAATACACCACCGGGATCATCACACCATCAACATCAACAATCACCACCACCATCATCATGTGCATCGGATATATCATCTACATTATGTTCTACATCATCAACGAATGACTGAAATTTCATTATTTCATTTCCAAAAATGTGATAGTCAAAATATTTACCAATCATTAGACTTGAAATCAAGTCTTTGTTGCGCGTCCGTAAACATTCGAATCTCGAATAACAAAAACGTTTCCTTAACACAACAACAACAACAACAACAACGAAATCGAAACCGAAACCTGTGCCAATTCATAATCACATCCACCCAACCACTCATCAAAACAATCAAAGTGAAAAAAATGACAAATTTTATCAATTCAATGAAATTATCAACTATTTGATGTGATCGCCTGGATATTCAATCATCATTTACCTTTATTAGAGTGTAAAACTTTTTTTTTTTTTTTTTTTTTATATTTATTTATTATTAATTAATAACTATTAACTATACAATCAACAACAACAACAACAACGACAACGAATTTTTTTTAAAGAGAAAATTTAACTATTGATTTTGAACTAATTTTCTTTAAACATTTTAATTGATAAAATTAAAAAATTGAAATTAAAAAATTGAAAAAATAAATTTGTAACGTCATCTATGAATGAATTTTTCGAATCCATTGAAAAAAATCGATACAATTTTTTTTTTGCAAATACAAAACAAAAATTTTTTTTTTATGTCTGGTTTCGTTGACAATTTAATTCATCGTCGTCGTAGTCGATTATTATTTTGTTTTTATCCACTGGGTTTCTAAGTTTTTCGCTTTGTTTGTTTTTATTGGCTCGTTTTTTATTCAAAAAAAGTCAAGTCATGACACTTTATTTCACAAAATCCGTTCCATTAAATCAACGATATGGTGGTGGATAAACAACGACAACCAAAAAAAAAGACGTCAAGAAAAAATTTTCATCAGTAAATTATTTTGATGATTTTAAAGACTGGAGAAACTCCTCATTTTTTTTGTTTTGTTTTGTTTTGTTTTGTTGCCGATTTTTCATTGTATTAATTGTAAACATCATCATCATCACCATCAATGATGAAAATGAAAAAAGAAAAAAAATTTTCGTTTCATAATGACGGTCATCATCATCCATTATCGTGTTTTTAATCATCATCATCATCATCATTATTGAGGTCAATCAATCCATTGTTCAATACTCTTGTTGTGTTGGTAATAATGTTTCAACCTGATCTGACCTGAGAAATTTTTCGAATCAATCATTGCAAATCAGTCATCCAGTGTTTTATATTTTTCTCCAATTTTTTTTTTGTAATAATAATTGTCATCTCTGGAACCATTACGCAAAAGTATGTATTTCGTTTAGAAAACAAAAAATTTTTTGACTTTTCTGCAGAATTTTTCTTTAACGGAAATGGGTGGTTTCTACCAAAAAAAAAAAAAATTACCGAAAAAGAATCCATGTAGATGATGATTTTGTTTTGTTTTGAAAATTTTAAATGTTTAATGGGTAAATATACATTTTCTATTCGTTTCTCAGCCACATACACACACACACACTATTGTGTTGGCAAGCCAATATGAAAAAAAAAAATTTTTCCCCAGAAACAAAATAAAAAACTTTTCGATCTTTTTTCACTAGAAATATATGCACACACATACCTCTTTTAATGAGTGAATTTTTTTTTATTCAAAAAATTGACATTGAAAATGATTTTTTGTTGCTTAGTTATTCACATATATATTCTTGGGCATTGTGTTTTGTTGGGCAAATAGATAAATGAGGAATGTGGAATACCAACAAAAAAAATGACGACAATTTAAAATCGATTCCGTTGATGATGATGATGATTATTCCACAACATTCTGACGTTATTACCTACCTGTGTGTGTTTGACTGAATGACTTAATGGTGGTTATTATAAAAGTAAAAGATTCATTACCATTTCGATTATTTACCCGTTTGATTTTTTGTTGTTGTTGTTGTTGATGAAATAATGGAACATTTTTCTTATTCATTTTGGTTTTTTTTTGATGGGTGCAACAAAAATACCATACATCTAACCAGTTAAATTTCGATAACGATGATTTCTGATGATGTGTTGTGTTGTGTTGTCAATTTTTTTTTCTCAAATTCATTCCATTGTTTTATTCCATAATTAAATTGGCTGCACAGGTGTGTCCATGTTCATTTTCATAATAATAAAATGACAATAAAAACAATCGACCAACTGAAAACAACTTATCAATGGGCAAAAAAAAAAAAATAAATAATGAATACTTTCTATAAACGAATGATTTGTATGTTTGTCATTCATTGTGAAACATACATATTCATTATTCATTACCAGATTTTTTTTCTGTATATTACAATAATATAAATGGACGTTTAGAATTATTATGATTATAATGTGAACAGGAGGAACATTCTGGTTTTTCTACCTTGACATTTATCCATCTATCTACGATCCATTTTCATATTTGTGTGTTTGTCTTCTTTTTTTTTTGTTATTTTTGGGTGTATGTGTTTATTCTTGTATTGTGATTCGTTGGCATTTTTTTTTTCCCAAACTAACCAAACTCATTTTCATCTAATAATATTGTCATTGTTTTCATTTCTATGTATGATTGGTGTGTCAATGAAAAGAATATTCTGTTGTTGTTGATCGACAGAAAAAGGAAATCCGTAAATTTTTTTTTTTTGTAATTATTCGTGATTTTTTTTTATTTCTCTGATGGTTGTTGTCTTATTTGTTTGATGAATTCTGATATATACACAACACGCAATATACCATTATATTCATATGATAATGGACAAGCTGCTTTCATCATTCATTCATTCAGACTTCAGCGGTGGATCGATGAAAATGTGAAAAAACAAATGCACTAATCTTGTCCTGAAAATATGATAAAAATAATTTTCATAATAATTCTCGCTTTCTTTTTTTTATGGGGGCGAATCATCATCATTTTACGTCTTGATTAGTTAATGTTAAATTTTAAATCGCCCACGTTTTTTTTTTTGTTGATTTACAGAAACCTTGATGAAACCTTGTTGAAGTGTGAAAAAAATTTATAAATATAAAAACATTCATAATCATCATCAATCATAATGCAACAACGACAGCAACAAAATTCATCAATGACCAAAGGTTTGATTTGAGTGAAAAAAATATATCAATTTCTCTATATCGTCGATTTATTTATATTGATTGATTATTCTGTTTTGAGTTTGAGTGTTTTTTTGTTTTGGGGTGTGTTTAGATTTGTGATATTTTACCCGTATCTATGTGTTATATATTATCGTCTATAGATAATGATGATGATGATGGTGAAATGGCAAAAATTGCATATTTGGTGTTGTGGATTAAACTGAGTGTGTGTGTGTGTGTGTGTGTGTGACAAACACGTTTCCATGTTTTTAGTGATTAAAAAAAAGAAATTTTTTTCCTGTTTGTTTTCTGGTTATTGTATCAATATATCAAATGTAATTTAATAATCATAACGATGACTCAGTTCGATTTTTTTTCAATGATACCTGATTATTGTAAAATTAATTCGATTGATTGTTTTGTTTTTGCCAATAAAAGTTCAATCTAATCGATTATATAAATGTGTAATATTTTTATTTAATTCGTACAGGAAAACTTGATGATAGTTGGCCTATCATAACGTCATTACAATCCGGACAAACACCATTTTCATCATCATCATCGGAACGTTTTACAATTGATGAACGCGATTCTATTGAACAAAAAATTGGTGAAAAAAACGAATATAAATATAAAAATAATAATAATAGAAAGTTAGCAACGGCAACAACAACAACAGCAAAAACGAATCGAAAAATTTATTCAATCAATACTCCAACGACGTCAACAACTGATCAACGACATCGTATATCACGATCACGATTGATAAAATCACCATCAACAACAACAACAACAACGTCAACTACTACAAGAACAAAAAAATCTGAATCAATGTCACCAACAATTGAATTACGTCGTCTTAGTAGTGACCAAAGAAGTTTAACTGGTCGAAATGGTGGCGGCACTGGCGGCAGCATTTGGACAAGATTTTTTCGTCGTGGTTCTAATCCATTAATGAATTATCGTATAGTCAAAGTTACTGGTCCAAATAGATATGATGATAATTCAATAGCGACAGCAAAATATAATATCGTTACATTTATACCAAAATTTCTTTTTGAACAATTTCGAAAATATGCCAATATATTTTTCTTATTCATTGCATTGATGCAACAGATACCAAATGTATCGCCAACAGGTCGTTATACAACACTAGTACCATTAATATTTATAATGGTTGTATCGGCATTGAAAGAAATGTTTGAAGATCTGAAAAGACATCGTGCCGATCATAAAGTGAATAATAGTCATACAGAAGTGTATGAAAAATCTTCATTTGTACAGACAAAATGGAAAAATCTACGTGTTGGCGATATTGTTCGTGTACGGAAAGGACAATTTTTTCCAAGTGATCTAGTTATATTAACTTCAAATGAACCAAATGGTAAATTTTGATGGAAATTTTTTTTTCACTTTTGCTAAAAATCACTTTTTTTTTGAATACACACAGGTATCTGTTATGTTGAAACTGCCAATTTAGATGGTGAAACGAATCTAAAATCACGTTCATCTGTTGCCGTTACTGATGCCATTTGTACGACAACCGATTCTGATGGTCGAAGAAAATTAAATATACAAGCATTTGAACCAAATAAATTATTATCATCAATAATTAATTGTGATCTACCGAATAAAGAGCTGTATGAATTTATTGGAAAAATTATAATCGATAATCGTGAATATCCAATATCACCGGAAAATATATTATTACGTGGTGCAAAATTACGAAATACTGAATGGATAATTGGCTGTGTCATCTATACTGGCCATGAAACCAAATTAATGATGAATTCATTGAACAAAACAATATTGAAACAATCATATGTTGAAATAATGACCAATCGTCAGATATTGGCATTGTTAGGCATTCTGATTGTTATTTGTTTGATATCAGCAATATGTTCAGTACTATGGACACAACATAATCAATCACATTGGTATATAGCCGAATTACAATCACAAGTTACAGCCAATTTTTTTCTCATATTACTTACATTTATTATACTTTATAATAATTTAATACCAATTTCATTGCAAGTTACATTGGAAATGGTACGATTTATACAGGCTCATTTTATTAATAATGATCTGGAAATGTATGATGCCGATACCGATACACCAGCAATGGCAAGAACATCAAATCTTAATGAAGAATTAGGACAGGTTCGTTATATTTTATCAGATAAAACTGGCACTATGACTAGAAATATAATGGAATTTAAAAAATGTTCAATCAACGGTATAATTTATGATGAAGAAAATTTCAATAATTTATTGACAATTATTCAACAAAAACATGATGGTTGTGAAAAAGTTCGTGAATTTCTTACATTATTAGCCGTATGTCATACGGTGATACCGGAACCTACTACACAGCCAACGGAAAATGGATCGAAATTCATTTATCAGGCATCAAGTCCAGATGAAGCAGCATTAGTGAAAGGAGCACAAAAAATTGGATTCGAATTTTTACAGAGAACACCGGCAAAAGTTGTGATTGATGCAATGGGAAAAATTGAAAAATTTGAAGTACTAAATATACTACCATTCAATTCGGATAGGAAAAGAATGTCGACAATAATTCGAACATCAGAGGATAGGATAAAAATTTATACAAAAGGTGCCGATTCAATTATTCAACGTAGACTTTGTGAACAATCATTGAATGATTTTTCACAAACAGAAATCAATCTAACAATATTTGCCACTGATGGATTGCGAACATTATGTTGTGCTTATAATGAAATTCCGGATGATAAATATGATGATTGGGAAAAACGTTACAATAAAGCAATACTTATGCCAGCCGCTTCGTTGGATGAAAGAACATTACGTGATCAAGCATTGAATGCATTAATGTCGGAAATTGAAGAGAATCTTACATTACTTGGAGCCACAGCTATTGAAGATAAATTACAAGAAGGTGTACCAGAAACTATTGAAACATTGATGCGTGCTGGTATCAATATTTGGATGCTAACCGGTGATAAACTTGAAACGGCTACCAATATTAGCTATAGTTGTCGTTTGTTGAAAAATATTCAAGCATTAGAAAGTTATCATATTGTCAAAGATGATACACTTGATTCTTGTCGTGAATCATTGGTAAATGCTGAAACAAAATTGTATGAACATCCAGAAGATTTTACTTTAATTATTGATAGTAAGTTTTTTTAAAGGTTAAAATTCATCATTCAATTTAATAATCAAAAATATCGCTATTAGGTAAACCATTGGGTTTTTGTCTACAACCACAATTAAGACCAACATTCATGGAGGTGGCATTAAAATGTCGATCAGTAATCTGTTGTCGTGTATCACCAGCACAGAAAGCAGAAATTGTCGATGCAGTTAAACAATCGACAAGTTCAATTACATTAGCCATTGGTGATGGTGCCAATGATGTAGCGATGATCCGGCTGCTAATGTTGGTGTTGGAATATCAGGACAAGAAGGTAATTATATCCAATTGATTAATTATTTTTGATTATAATTCGCTTAAAATTCAATCAGGTTTACAAGCCGTACATTCATCGGATTATGCAATTGCTCAATTTCGTTTTCTTGCCAGATTATTATTAGTTCATGGATCTTGGTCATTTTCCCGTGTATGCAAGCTTATATTGTATTCATTCTATAAAAATATTGCTTTATACGTTATTGAACTTTGGTTTGCATCGGTTTCTGCTTGGAGCGGTCAAGCGGTTTTTGAACGATGGTCAATCGGTCTTTACAATGTTATATTCACTGCAGGACCACCACTTGCCATTGGTCTTTTTGATCGTATATGTTCCGATAAAGTTATGCTTGAAAATCCTGAACTTTATCGTGATCAATCAAATATTTTCAGTATCAAATTATTCTGGTTTTGGATTGCTTCAGCTATTTGGCATTCATTGGTTCTTTTTTGGCTAACATATGCTACAATTAGTCATGATGCATTATGGGTCAATGGAAGATCTGATGGTGGTTATCTTTGTTTTGGAAATATCCTATACACCTATGTAGTTGTCACTGTTTGTTTGAAAGCTGCATTGGAGACAAATTGTTGGACACTACCCACACATCTTGCAATATGGGGATCAATTGTTTCTTGGTTCTTTTTTCTTATCGTTTATAGTCGTGCATGGCCAACGTTTCCAATTGGTGCTGATATATCAAATATTGACCGAATTATCTTCACTACAACTATCTTTTGGCTTGGTTTGGCCATAATACCATTTGTTGCATTACTAGTCGATATCATTGTCAAATTAGTGACACGTACCTGTTTCAAATCTTTAGCCGATCGAATTATTGAATTAGAATTGCTCAAAGAAATGCGTGCACGTCAACATGTATCAATCAGTGAACGTGCACGTTTATTGATAAATAATTTTCTACCAGCCAGTAGAGATACACCACAACAACAAACATCATCATCACATGATCGTGTAATTGTTTCTTCATCGATCGAAAGGATAGAATCATTACATCCTAATGCTACAGATATTGAAAGAGATGCATTACATGGTTATTCATTCTCACAAGAAGAACGAGATCCATCTAGTGCCGTTTCACATTCAAGTGTAATCAGATTATATCCAAATACAACCAAAATGTAAAATTTTTGATCATCATCAATTCATCAACATCATCATCATCAACATCATCATTCATCAACTATTCATTGTCATCATTATCATCTTCATTGTTTATCATCATTTAATTTATGTCCAAAGTGTTTATCAATTTATTATTCTATATTAATCAATTATTATTTGTATGATGATCATCATGTGTGTTTATTAATTTGTGTGTGTTGATCTTGTGTCCAAAAAAAAAACAAATGATTTTAAATAAAAATGTTTTATGATTTGACTGATAGATGTCGCTCATGTTTTCCATATGATACTCAATGTTTATATTTTTCGGGATTTAAAAATTCAATTTTTTTCAGTTTTTTTCGTTTTTTTTCAAAATATGTCATATGATGATGATGATGATGTGGGAGTTATTGGCACACCATTTCCAGCATTAGAAGCAGATGAAATTGTCTCTCGAAGATTAGACGTCGATCAAACTGTACGAGATGAACGAGGAAGACGACGATTCCATGGCGCTTTTACCGGTGGTTTTTCTGCCGGTTACTGGAACACTGTCGGTTCAGCTGAAGGATTTACACCGAAAATTTTTAAATCATCACGTAAAGATAAATTCAATAAAGATGATTTCAGTTCAAAACCAGAAGACTTTATGGATGATGAAGATTTTGGATCGTTTGGAATTGCGCCGAAAAAAATTCATACTAAAGATGATTTTGTGGAAAACTTTACACTATCAAGTAATTGAAAATTTTGTTAAATATAAAATTATTAATTACATTTTTCTTTCTAGGTTTAAAAGATTCTCATCTAACATTCGACGAAGTGATAAGATCAGTTTTTCAATCGAATAAAGAATCGATTGGAAAACGATTATTTCGTAAAATGAAACGAACTGCTAAATTGGAGCAAAAAGATTTATATGATGATGATGAACCTGTTGATATGAAAACTGATGATAGCCATTCGGCGACGATGATATCATCGAAAATTAATCGACATGGTCTTGGCTACAAAGGAATGTTGAATTCAAAAGATTTGGATTCCACAAGTGACAATAAACGAATACTTGATTCAGGAAATGCTGTTTTAGCCACAATGAAAAGTGGAAAAAGATTAAAAATTACTGGCGAAGCTTTTGGTTATGGAGCGTTGGAAGAAGATGATGCTATGGATATTTATTCACATGATGATCTATCACGATATGATTTTGAAATCGGACCTGTTGCAACAACGAATAAAACAAAACCTAAACTGAAAAAACCTTTTGCTACCAATCAAAATGCCACTGAAATTGATGGTTTCAAACAATTTAAAGAAAATTTTAATTTATTTCAAAATATCAAACGTAAATATGCACCACCAGAATTGCCCAATGGATGGAAACCAAGAAAAATTGTTGAAATATCAAATTTGAATCGAAAATCTCGATGGGATAATGTAAAAAATGATACAACAATTCAATCTGAACCTAAACAACAAAAAATACTGAATGCAAATCTAAGAGCCGTAATCCTGGGTGAAAATGTCGTACATAAAAGTGGTGTGGCTAAATCTGAACAAAGTAAAGAATTGGAATTTTCCAAAACGATAAAACCAGCTATTATAACCGCAAATGTACCAATTTCAAAAACTCCTCTATCTGGATATTTTGCATCAAAATTCACACGAAGTTCATCCACAACGATCGACGAAGATCAATTGACAGCAGGACTAAATACATTTGAAAATGTTTCATCGACATCATCTTTATTATCAGATAAAAAATCAACAGTGGAAACGAATCAAACAGCTGAAAATTTAGTTCCTATCCGGACGGTTTATGAATGGCATCCACATAAAATTGTATGTAAAAGATTTGGTGTACAAAATCCATTTCCACAATTTCCCGATGTAGTCGGTATTGTTTGTATGCGTGAAAGTGATAAATCACTTAATATGATTGCTCGAACCAATTTGAATCAAGAGAAAAAATCTTTATTTGTGAATATTTTTTCTGAATTAAATTCAACAACAACAACAACAAATGATATTCAACCATCATCATCATCATTATCGAACAAAACTAGTCAAAGTAATGATGATGATGATAAAACCGTTGATGATGATAAAAAGAGACCAGCAACAGATCTAAGACCTGAAATAGTAGAAAATACAATAAATGAAACCGAACAACAAATGCAAAAACCGAGACCACCAATCGATCTATTTAAATCGATATTTGCATCTGATGAAGAAGAAGAAGAAGAAGAAAATCCCACTGATTCGATAGAGAATGATAATTCAATTTCTAAACAACAATCATCTGGTGGTATATTTGCAGGAATTGATTTCGATCAATTAAATCAAAATTTTGATCCTCGTTTGGATTCAACAAAGTCCAATGTATCAATAGATAAAAATGATAAACAGAATGTTGATGAAGACGATGATGATGAATGTTATGGACCAGCCTTACCACCCGTATTATTATCTAATCCTGAATCAACATCTATGGCTTCATCATCGATTCATATGATCAATAATGATAAACATTCGAAACATAAAAAAATAAAAAAATCTAAAAAGATGAAAAAATCCAAAAAGAAAAAATCATCATCATCCACATCAAAACATTATTATCATCGAAAAAGAAAAAGGCATCGATCACGATCATCATCTAGTTCGTCAGACAGTAATAATGATGATAATAATTACAACGAATCCAATATTGATCAAAATGTGGAAGATAAATTAATTGATTTTATCAAAAAAATTAAACATCATTAATTATTAATGCCAATTAATTGGCATTAATTAATCACATCTTTCATCGAAAAATTCAATCAAATGCATCCTGATTAAGAATGGAAAAAAAACATGATTGAATCTTGTGTCTAAAATGTGCGTGATATTGATTAAAAAAAACATTGGCAAGCATATTTCAACAATAAAAATACCATTTTGGCATGATCAGGCACGATAGATGATAATTTTATTTTCGTCTTTCTTCATGTTAATCATGTCACATCATGATAATGATGATGATGACCACTTTTTTTCGGGGGTTGAGAAATTTGTGCATGTGTTTGTGTGTGTGTCTGTGATTATCGTTGATCATGATTTATATCAATTTTTGATTCTGTGCCATATAATGTCATATGCATTTTATTTGAAGAGATAAAATTATATGTGTTGACTGTATAACGTTTGGTTGTTCGTTGTTCATTCAATTCAATATAAAATAGAACGTCTAGAATCCAATTTTGTATTCATTATTTCAATCAATAACTTGTCCAAATCATCGATCAATCAATCAATATCATCACATCATGAATGCTGAAAAATATTATGAAGAAAATTTCGAAACTCGTGCCATACATTGTGGACAAGATGCAAGTCAATGGAATTGTCGTGCCGTTGTACCACCAGTGGTATTAGCTACAACATATCAACAGACTGGTCCCGATGTTGATTCGGTTTGTTTTTTCTTTTTTGGTTATAAATTCTATGTTCTTATTTATCATCATTATTTTTATTATTAGGCTTATGTTTATAGCCGAAGTGGAAATCCAACTCGTCATTCGTTAGAGAAATGTATAGCTTCATTGGAGGATGCTAAATATGGTTTGTAGATCATATGCTTGTTATTGATGAGTTTTTATTGGATTTTTTCCCAATTTTCTCATTGTTAATTCAACAGCTTTAACCTATGCATCGGGATTATCCACACAGATGAGCATTACATATTTGCTCAGTGCTGGTGATCATATCGTTGCCGGTGATGAACTTTATGGCGGTACTAATCGATTTTTTCGTACATGTGCATCAAAATTTGGCTTAGAAATTGAATATGCTGATTTTCGTCAAGTCGATCAAGTTATCGATACAATTAAAAGCAATACAAAATTGGTTTGGTTCGAAACACCAACAAATCCATTGTTAAAAGTTAGCGATATTCGAGCCGTTTGTGATGCTGTTAAGCAGAAAAATCCAAAAATAATCATAGTTGTGGACAATACATTTATGAGTCCATATTTTCAAAAACCATTAAATCTTGGTGCAGATATTTCGATGAATTCTATTACCAAATACATGAATGGCCATTCCGATGTTATTATGGGCTGTATATCGACAAATGATGATGAATTATTCAAACAATTGAAGTATTATCAAAATGGTATGTGTGTCTATATTCAATTGAATCTTAATCGTTTTAATAATTAATGATTTTTAGCTGTCGGTGCTGTTCCATCACCATTCGATTGTTTTCTAGTGAATCGTGGATTGAAAACATTAGCTGTACGTATGGAACGTCATTATAAAAATGCTTTGGCCATAGCAAAATTTCTTGAAACACATAAAAAAGTTAAAAAAGTCATCTATCCAGCATTAGAATCACATCCAGATTATGAAATAGCCAGGAAACAAAGCAATGGTTTTAGCGGTATGATGGGCATGCATATTTGTGGTGATATTGAAAATGCCAAAGAATTTCTATCACATTTGAAAGTATTCACGTTGGCTGAAAGTTTAGGCGCTGTTGAAAGTTTGATCGAAATACCCAGTCTAATGACACATGCATCGATACCGAAAGAAACACGTGAAGCATTAGGTATATGTGATACATTTATTCGAATTTCGGTAGGCATCGAAAATGTTGATGATTTAATCCACGATCTAGATCAAGCATTGAACAAATCAGAAATTGTTATACCAGAAGGTGCTTAATTGATTATTAGAATATGAAAAACTCACATTTGTAAATTTTTTTCACAATAATTTTTTTTAAAAAAAATTTTAATTAAATAAAAAAAAATTAAAATAAAAATCATCAAATAATTTTTGTTATCATGTTCTTCTTTGAATTGAATATTTTTTACTATGTAAATCATTCAATGTAACTTTTATCTTTGTTGAATTACCGGAATCATTGGATTTTTTCACTAGAATTTCATTACTGCCAATTTGTACGATAATCGATGGTGTAATCGTACCATCTAATGATGATTCAAGTAGAATATTTTGTCCACGATGAAACCATTTTTTATCGTAAAATAATTTTCCATAATCGATTCGTGCATCGATGCCCACAGTATCGGATTCGGTATAATTTTTTTGGCTATTTGAACTATTACGATGATGGTTATTGGATGATTTTGAAAATAGTATCTTACTGATGAATTTTAAATCTTCATTGATTTCTGAGTCTTCAAGAAGAAAATTTATTTGTGCTGGTGATGTTCGTCGACGTCTGTCCGGCAACGGTGTTGGATCATTTGGACGACGTCGTAATTTTCTTGTTGTCAATGTTTTCGGTTCTGATGTATCATTCACTAGTTCAAGATTATTATCGGTTTCCATAATTTTTTTCTTCTCTTCAAGATCAGAAATTAAACTTTCAATTAATTCATCTTTTCGATCACGAAATTCTTTAATGGCAGCACTTTCTTCAATATTATATTCATTTTCAATTAATTTTTGTTCTAATTTAAAATTACATTCAATAAAAAATGAACGTTCACGATAATCGAAATCAATATTATCTAATTGACGTAAATAATCAGGATGGCTACCATTTTCTAGATGTATTAATTGACTTTCAAGATGTGATAATTTATCTTGATAAATTTGTTCTTTAATTTCATATGTTGAATCAAATTCATCGATACCACCACAACCACCACCGCCATTGCCACCAATATAACCACCATCATCATTATAATATTTCATTGATTCTGTTTCACTTGCATCTTCAGTATCTTCATCTGAATCACCATAATCATGGTTATTATCAATATCATAATCATAATCATTCATCATTTTTGTTGTTGAAAAATTTCGTAGGTTTTAAAAAAAAAAAAAACTGTCCGAGCAAACAAAAAAATTTTTGTTGTGAAAAAAAACCATTCACGTTCATCATTCATAAAGTACATTATCAATGTATTATTTTGATAAATTGAACAACAGATGGCAGTGGCCGTATTTCGAACGAAATCTATCGATTGTGTGGATTATTGACTTGATTAAAAAATTGGAAAAAAATCAATTTTTTAAACATTGATTACATATTAAATATTTGCCAATATTTTCCATCCATTCACAACGACATTGATAAATTATCATGATAATAATAAATGAACTTTTCTTTTCAAATCATTATCATATAACAAGAAAAACATTCTACATGGTCATAAATATTATTTCGTCATTTTGTTTCAATTTTTACCAGCCCAAAGAGACCAGAATTGTTCAATTAATTAAAACGACTTTTTCTTACATCTATCCATTCATTCAAATGGTTGGTTGGTGGTGGTCAATACTGTCAACAAGATAATCAACAGCTTGTCTTTTTTTTTTTTTTTTTTGGTTCACATTTCATCTATTAAAAGAACAAATCACGACATGAACATGACAGTAGCACAGTGAAGATCATCTTTATTTCTCATTGAACATGATGAACACACACACATTTCCATCTTGGCCAAACATTTAAAAAAAACTGTCATGAGATCCATATTGATGGATCGAATGTCCAAAACGAAAGAAGAAGAAGAAGAAAAAAATGCATGTATAACACAATGTCAAATTCATCGTTTTAATTTTTTTTTTTTTCTTCATTTTAGGTTTTTCAATTTGCGGTTCATTTTAAATCGTATCGAGAAGCATTTTTTTTTTGCCTCGAAAAAATTCATTGAATGACGAGAATGACAAATTTTTCATTTTCCTGTCGGTTTTTCCATTTCTAATTCTTGTTTTTCTCCTTTGATTTGATGGAAAAAAGCTTCTTTTTTTGATTATTATTGGCCATCATCATCATCATCATTATTTTTAAATATGATGATGATTGACATTGAAATTTCAATTTCAACAAAAAAAAAAAAAATAGAAAAACATGACGATCAATTTTCGTTGTCATTTGAAAAATTATCATCATTTTTTATTGAAATTCACAATTTATAGCTACTGATCACATCTCATATCGATTTCGAATGAAATCGATAATCTCGATTATCATCCTATAATCATCATCAATTTTTTTTGTTCTTTTCTTTTGATGCAATTATCTTCTATCTCTCTCGCTCTATTTAAACAATCGAACATCAACTGTCATCAAGCTATCATCATCATCATCGTTACCGGTCTATTGTTTTTTTTTCCACCATCCTCCAATTGTTCAAAAATCTATCGATCGATCAATCAATCAATCAATAAATCCATTTTGAAAATGATAATAATAATAAATAAGCATCATCAGTATCATCATCATCATCGAATTGTTATTGTTAAGCGCGATTTTTTTGTTTGATTTGAAGTATAAACTGTATATATTTGTATAAATGAACTTTAAAATGTAAAAAAAACTAATCAAGAATTTCTATTTTTCTTTCTTTTTTTTCTCTAAATCTCTATAGATGCTGAAAAGTTAATTTATTTTTTTTCCAGAGAAGAACTATACCACTCTAAAATAGATACACTCGCATCATATACAAACAAACAAGCCAAAAAAATATTTATAAACAAAAAAAAACTGACTGACTGGCTGACTGATGGTTTTGTTTGTCTATTATTGAAAGCTGAAGAAAAAAAAACATCAACATCGTAAATTCCATTCCATTCCATTCATTGATTGTGAAATAACGATTGGATTCTTCGATATAAATTCGAGAAACAAAAAATTTTTTTTTTTGAAAGTTTACACTATTACAGCATATGTGTATAAACGAAAAATCGAAAGTGATCATCATCATCAACTATAGATTTGTTTTTGGTCATCATCAAGATAATCTTGACATTTTCGAACCACACTACTATCATCAATTTATATGTGATAAATTAAAATGGCACAAATCTAATAATAATAATATAAACTCTCAATATGTGGTGGTTGGCCATTTATATATAATGAATTGATGATGATATTGATTATGAAATGAAATGAACATTTTATTATAAACAAATAATAATTTTAAAGATTATCTTTCCAAATAATAATAATTTGTTTAAACAAAAAAAATTTTTTTTTTTGTAAATTTGATATTTTCAAAATATTAACGGTTACTACTACTGTGTATGGATCATATGATGATGATGATGATAAACAAAAAGTGACCGTTCGAATTTTTGTTCGAATGTTTGTTGTTTTGAATCAATCTCTCTCTCTCTCTGTGTGTGTATGTGGTATTTTTATCATGCTGTGGTGGTTTTATTTCAACTGATTCGATACTGAAATATAAAATCAGCCACCATTTATTAAAGTCGAATGGTGTGTTTTTATTTTCTCTTATCATTGTTCCAAAATCGATGATGGATTCAAACAAATTCTGTATACAACCACCATCACCACCACCAACACCACCACAGCCAGCCGAACGAAGAAGAAACCAAGCTAATCGAATAAATGTTTGTTGTTTGTAAAGAGATCCAACAACAACAACAACATGTCATTTATTTTCGTCATATTGGTTAATAAAAACGGGCAATTTGTAGAAATATAACAACAACAACAACAACAACAAAATCCAGATACATCCACCTCATCATCATCATCATCATTATTATCATTATGATGATTGAGATCATATCGAAGAGGAGTTGGTTTTTATAAAAACCAGACCACAAAAACAACAAACAACCACATCATCATCATATGAATGATGATGATTGCATGTCCGTACTGTATACAACAAAGATCGGGAAGAGAAATTATTCAAAAGCATCCAATGAGAGAGAAAAAAAAACATTATTCAATGGTATGGTATAGAAGAAAAAAAATCAATTAAATTAAACGTGAAAAAAATAAACTTTTTCTCCACCACAGCAAATGTGTGTGTGTGTGTGTGTGTTTGGAATTTTTCTCAACGAAATTCTTCGAAATGAACCAAGAATTTTTTTTGAAAATTGTTTGTTTGTTTGTTTATGTATCCAAATTAACTTTTTTTTTGTTGTTGTTGGTTCGTTTGCTGAAATTAAATAATTATAGAGTCAGAATTGTTTGTGTCTGTGTGCGTTTTGAGATAATTTTCTGTTCATCTGATAATTCAATTTCATCTTCATTTCCAGTGCTTCATGATAGTTTCCAATGAAAATTGTTGTTTATTATGTTGGATTTAACCAATATTTTTTTCCACTTTAATATTGCCCATGACAAAAACTTATTTGTGACTTACAAAACAATTTCCAGGTTGTTGTGTGATGATCAAAACATGAAAACAACAAAAAAATGATTATTGGTTGTGCCATAAGAAACATCCTTCTATTTATTTCTTCCTACTTTTCATCCGTATTTTATATATATATAGAAACACTGTGTGTGTGTGTGCTGACGATAATAATAATAAAAAAAGTCTGCCTTTTTCATTCAAAATGGTGCCTAAGCCACACACCATTGGCGGTGACTATTTTCGATCGAAAAAAAAAATAGCATACAAACTGAATGAAATTGATTGTGGTTTTTTTTTCGAAGAAAACATCCACACTTGTGTATTTCGTTTGTTACATCATGTTGATATTTTTGTTTTTGTTTTTGTTTCGCCGTTATATTCATGTGATGTGAAGATTTAAATTTTTTTTTTCGCAAATATCAAATATTTCGTGCGGTTATTTATTTATCCATCCAATAAATGAATGAATTTGATGATTGTGTTTTTTTTTTTTTGATGATCAATTGATTGAATTCGTGAATTTTTTTTTGTTGATATTTACATAGTAATAATTTTCAAAGATAAACAAAATGGATCTAGGTTTTTTGCCAAGTTTTGCACAACAATATTCAAATATTTTATCCAATTGTTCAAATTATCATCCATCAAATATATCATCATCATCATCGTCATATCCATCAACATCGATTAATTTGAATCATAATCATAATCATCATCAAGAAGAATCAACATCACCATCATCATTAACATATTATCCAACAAATTATCATGTTTCAACAGTTAATAATAATAATAATGATCATAATTATTTACCAATAACTAATTCATCATCATCATCATTTCCGTCTGTATATCATCATCATGCTGCTCAACATTATGGTTATCATCATAAACCATCTTATTCATCATCAACGTATCCACCGCCAATACATCCGGTGGATCATCATCATCATCATCATCAACATCCGGATCATTGGAATTCAATGGAAACAACAAATAATTTCATTTCGAATACAATTTGTATGGAACCAATGATGACAAATAATAATGATAATAACAATTTTGATTCACCACCAACGGCAACAACAACTTCATCAACATCAAGTTATTGTTATCTGGAAAATAAACATAATGCTCGTCCACAACAAACGATGAAATGGTCAACAACAACCGCATCATTGATGGAAAATGATAATGATGATGATGAAAATGAAGATTGTAGTAGTAGAAAAAATCATGATCAAAGATTAGCCGCTTTAACAACAACAACAACAACAACGCCGACAGGAACAAAAACCGAAGCTATAACCGGCATTGATTCAGAAAAATTTAATTATTATCCACATATAACCGATAAAATGAGCGATGATGATGTTAATAATAAGAATCATTGTTGTTCATTTGAACAATCAAATTCAATGGAAATATCTGATCATTGTTGTAAACAAACAACAAACAACGACGATCATGTTGATGATACTGTTATTTGTGGCGATGATGGTATTGGTGTTGTTGGTGATGATGAAAATTATATAACAATAACACGAACAACATCAAATGGTCAAATTATAAAAGTGGTCACAAAACGACGTTCAGCAAATAAAAAAGAACGTCGTCGTACACAATCGATTAATAGTGCATTCTCAAATCTACGTGATTGTATACCAAATGTACCGGCGGATACAAAATTATCTAAAATTAAAACCCTACGATTAGCCACTAGTTATATATCATATCTAATGAAAATATTGGATAGTCCATATGAAAATTGTACAAAATTATTAACAGAAGGTTTTCGTGCCGATCTAACCAATGCCAAACGTTCAACACAACAGAATCGTATTGAAACACAAAATGTAAGTAAATTCTTTCAACAATCAATCAATGATTGAAAAGTTTTTGTTGTTCATTTTTAAGAAACAACAAAAAAAAAAAAATAATTAAGATAAACAAAAATATTACTCCCCTGTATGTGTGTGTGTGTGTATTCGTATGTTCAATGTTTGATTTTTGTAATGGTTGTAGGACATATACACAAACACAACAAGAAGTATAGAAAGATTATCAAGTTTGTTTATATTATATGAACATGTCAATCTTTTTAAAAAAAATCTTTATTTAATATAATGATGTAAGATTGAAAATGAAATGCATCCATCAAGAAAATGTTTGTGTTTTTTTTTTAACTAAAAACTTTTTTAGAATGAAAAATTGATCAATTTTATGATGATAACGATTTTTTTTTTTTTGTTTGACTCTGGATATCAAGGTTATCATCATTAACCATCGTCTTCAATGATGATGATGATGATAATGATGATGACCTCGAATATTTTTTATTTTATTCTATGGATTGATAATGATAATTTTTTTTATTATTATTATTCAATTCATTCACATATCATAAGATTGTCAACACTAATTTTTTTGTCATATATTTGCAACAAATTTGACATATCGACATTCGATGGGAAAATTTTAATTGATCTTCACCCACCATCATGATCGTCTCCCTAGAGAGATTGAGTGATATATGATCTTTTTTTTTGTTTGATAAAATGTATACATTATTTCGAACGATGATGATGATGAACGATTCCATTCCGTTATTCGATAGTTCGTAGGTCGTTCATTCGTTATCGAATCAAAGATTGTATAACAAAAAGAGAGAGAGAGAAATAAAAAAAACGAAAAAATCAATGATAATGAAATATTTGTGAAAGTTTAAAAAAAATGATAAGATGCTAAATGTTATTTTGTTTTCGATACAAAATTTTCACAATTTATTTGTCTGGCCATGTTGTTTGATTTTGTCCATTTGTCTGTGCATTTCATATCTCTCGTCTGGACATTGGTACATTTTATTGTTTTTATTAGATTCAGACAGGAAACCGAAAAAATAAAAACAAACCTATTTTTTATCAAAAAGTTCGTTAACCCTTTTTTTCTTTGGGTTTAAGAAAAATGTCTATTGAAGAATGAAGAGATGACCCTTCTTTTTTTCTTGGTAAATGCGATTAAATTTCATCGAAGAGCAGAGAGAGAGTAAGGACAAAATACAAACGATACAAACGTTTAGAATCTAGGGTACTATAGAGATAAATGTGAGACAACAACAATTTTTCCCAATTTAAAATCACGTTGTTACATGTATTACACACACACACACGTTTTACTTTTTTTCGCATTGTGACAATTGTGATTTCATGAATAATTTGAAATTTGAAACTTTAAAATAAAAAAAAACGACTATAGCCACAGTATGTAATACATACATGTGTGGCCTCGAGACATTTGTATTTGTATATGTGAAATAGATGTGAAATGTTTGTTAATCAATATGTACATCTGTTATAATGTCTATTTTTTTTTTTTTTTTTGAAAAAATTGTTGCAATTTTTTTTTTGATGATGCACACATATGACACAATGTTTCAATCCTTTCCTTCTTTTGTTATTTATTTATTTTTTTCAATTTTTTTTTTACTTTTTTTCCAGGAAATTCAACGACAATTACGTTTACAGCAATATAAACAAGCAATTGTGACGAATAAAAAACGTTCATCAAGAAGTCATCACCATTCGAGTAATAATAAAACAAATATAACAGCATCATCATCATCATTTACAAATGAAAATATTATCCACCATCATTCACATCATTCAATCGATCCACATTATCGTCATCTTTCTCATTATAGTCATCAACAACCTTTTGATCTTAGTGTGGAAAAATTATCATCATCCACAACAACATTGGATAGAAATATTAATCCGATTGAAACATTATCATCTTCATCAGTAGCAGCAGCAGCAGTAACAACAACAACAGATGAATTATCATTGGATAAAACAACAACAGCAACAGCAGCAGCGACAACATCTGATACAATATATAATTCATCTACAATAGCAACAGAAACAACACCGATACCAACATCAGCAATTCATAATGATGGTGATGGAATGACAACAACAACAACAACAGCAACAGCAGCAACAATGATGATGATGGTAACACAACAACGACCACGTTGTCGTACCGGTTGGCCACAACATGTTTGGGCATTAGAACTTAAAAATTATGATCAATGAATAATAATGAATCAACTAAACACATAACACACACACACACACACGTGCGTGCTTCAAGTTTTTTTTTTGATTGTCATTGAGAACATCTCATTTTCCTTCTCATGGTAAATCATTTTTTTTCTTTTTTCTCTCCATTAACAAATTTGATTTATACGGATAATTAGGTTATCTACACGTGTGCAGGAAAAAAACAAACCACAACGCCAATCATGTAATCAAATTTTGAAATTTTGTTGTAACTACTACCGGTCGTGTAATTTGAAACCAAACGATACATGGTGAATGTGAATTCTATAATCAAATACAAATTTTTTGGCTAATCCATCATCAATTTTTTTTTTCGTTGGAAAAAAATTTTTCATTTTTCTGTGCAAAACTTGAAAATTGATTTTAAATTTTTTAAATAATTTTTTTTAATAAATTTTCTTTTTCTTCCTTTCAGAATTCACAAAATTAGAAATTTTGATTTTAATTTGAAAAATTTTTTGCCGCCTCAATTCCAGATAGAAAAGCTCCATGTACGGTGGAAAAATATTCTTTATGGGTCGCTTCACCACTGAAAACGATTGCAGGCTATATATGTGTGTGTGGGGAAAACAAAAACAAAACAAAAAAATTAAAAATTGCAAAAAAAACACTACTTCGGATACATACCAATTCATCATTTGGTTGTAGATAGATTGGTTTTGATAATTTTTCAATATCATCAGGTGATGAATGTTTATGTATGAAACTATATGATCCAAATGAAAATGGATCCATTCCCCAACGTGTTACAATCACATTATCGGCCATTGGAAATTGTGGATTTCGAAATATTCGACGAAATTGTTTAGTCAATTGTTCATTGATTTCATGTTCATTCAATTGTTCCAATATTCGTGCTTCATTACCAGATATCCAAAGTTGTATAAAATGATCTGATATACGATAAATGGAATAGATTTTTTTATACCATGGTTGACTATGGTCACTTTCGTTGGTTTCCGTTGTTTTCTCCACATTCGAACCATCATCATAATCATCATCATCATCATCATTCCATAATAACATCATTTCATCGATAGTGACGCCATCTTTTGTGAATACATCGAATATTGTACTTTTAGATGAATATTCCATAAAAATTTTATCAACAATATCGATACCCATCCGATTGATACATTTGATTTTATATTCAGGTAATGGTGGTTCGAAAAAATTTTCTTTTACATATTTTTTCAAACAACCAAGTGTTATTGTTAAAACTAAATGTTTACATTCAAAAATCATTCCATTTGAACATTCGATTCGAATTGGATATGAATCATCGGCAATTTTTTCAACAGATTTTCTACTTAGTCCTGGCCAACAAATTTTTCGGACAGGTGAATCAAGAAAATATTGAAATCTATTTTGATCCAAATCAATTTCTTCAATATCATCAAGTAAAACATTTATCAATGAATCATAACCTAATGGAATTGTAATATGTGGACCTAGATATTCTTTATATTGATCAAAATATTGTAGACTAACATCATCCATTGAATTACAGCCACTTATGCATGTTTCACGTTTTATTAATGAATCAAATAAGCTACGAATAATTGTTCGATGTGTTGTCGATTGATCCGAATCAATTGCCATCAATTCATTTTCAATCCATTTATTAATTTCGGCATCAATATATTTTCCCATTGAATCATTGTAAAATTGGATTTCTTTTAAAGTTTCTCCATCATCATCATTATTATTAAATCGTGAAGCTTTTTTTAGTGTCGATGAATAAACATCATATACTTTACGTATCCAAACGGTATCGATATCATCACCATTTTGACATATTTTTGCTTGAATATTATGAATAGAATTATTTGATTCAATATTTGAATCGATAATTCTTTTTTGATATAATAATTCATATATTGGATTATTAATGATACCATGAATCCAATTGGCACCGATTTCAATTTTTTTCTCTTCAATTTTTGTTTTCATGGTCCATATACGACCACCAAGACGATTTCGAGCTTCAATGAGTCCAATTGTTCCTGGAAAATTTTGTTTCAATAAATGTAATGCTGTACTTAATCCTGAACATCCACCACCGATGATGATTAGATTAAATTTAAATATTTCAGACATATTTATCACAAACAATTGATAGATATATTCTATATAGTTAATAAATCACAAACACTGATCACAATTACATGAGAATTTTTTTTCAGTTCACACGGTACTTTTTTTTGGGAAATATTTTCGAATCATTTTTTCTGACATTCGGAATAAATTTTCTAGAAAATCAAATCTTTTTAGCTGCTGTTTTATTTATTGATTAGCGATGATTTTGAAAATAAAATTAAAACGAAAATTGAAATAAATATTGAATTGAAAAATTACATAACAATCGAAAAACAAAACACGGACTAGGCCATCCATCAACCGAATATTAGTGATTTAAATTGTTTCCAGTGATGTCGTATTTGCCCACATTGGTAATGAATCCAATGAAAACATTGGAACACCAAGAATAAATAGATTGCAGAACATTATTGTAATGCAAATCATTTTCGTCACAAATCCTGGTAATACCTGTGATTGAAGATGAAATTATTCGGGTAAGTAAAACAAACAAAAAATGATGATTCATGATAATTACCGTATCAAATGGTTTTAATTTAGCATGTGATGCAACCAATGCATTTGCCGGTGTTCCAACTGGCAATACGAATGCATATGAACATGATAATGTTACCGGTATGATGAAAAATAATGGATTTTTATTCAAAAATAATGCCTGTGAAACAAAAAGATTCGATTATCATCAAGTTTTTTTCACCACCAAATTTTTGCCACACTTACAATTTGACCTGAAATTGGAAGAAAAACCGACGCAATAGCTGAATTACTGGCCAATTCGGTTGTAAATGAAGCTGTCAAACTGATAATCACCACAATAGACCAAAAAGGTAATTCATTAATTTTAACTAATTGTTCACCGATTAATCTTGTTAGACCAGAGCTCTAATGAAATGGAACGAAAAACAAAAATTTCGAATCAAGATTATTCAAATTGAAAAATTCGAATCTAACCATTGCAGCATCAGCCATTGCAAATCCTCCACCACGCAACAAAATGACACCCCAAGCTAATTTTGATTGAGCAAATTTCCAATCCAATAATGATTCACTTGGAAATGGACCAAATGGGTTACTTGGTATACAAAACAATAGAATGACCATCAATATAGCTGGTGTTGTATCTTTGGGAATGCTGTGGCATTGAAGAAAAAAATGTTTTAATCGTCATTCAAGACAATTATTCTAACAATACTCTTACATATCATGTCCTAACATTCGTGCCCATCCAGTCAAGAATTGTGGATCACGAAACATCCATAATATGATCAATACAACGAATGTTATGCATACAGCAATCTCATGAAATGTTATCGATCCAAGTTCATTATATTTCTGCATCAAAGCTGTTGTGGATGTATTTTTTACCTGTGCATTTATTCTAGGCCTATAATCAGACGTTTGAAATATAGCAAAAACATATTGATCAACAGGAAACTTACTTCAAATAAATCATTGTGATATAACACCAACAAAGAAATACGCTCAATATGGTAGCAGGAAGACAAAATAATAGCCATTTAGTGTAATCAACATCTGGTACATTTCCATAAAATCTGAAGAAAAAAAATTACACATTTAATGGAATTTATTTTCGAAATGTCAAATACATCACTTACTGATCTAAAACAAATTGAAAAACTAAATTCGGTCCATTACTGGTCAATGTTGATGTACCGCCGATTGTGGCAGAAAAAGCGATACAAATATATAGCAGCCTACGGATATAATCTAATTCGGGTGAGATCTTTTTTGAATATTTACGTATCACATCTGATCTTTGAATTTCGATTGTAGGATTTCCATTGATCATTTCTAATTCGGGATTTTTTTCTCGATAATTATTGAATATTTCATTGACAACCACATCAGCTATTGGCAATATCATTGCCGTTGCAGCCGTATTAATGATCCATATGCCTAAAAACATTGTAACGAACATGAAACCAGCGAAAATACTACGTAAATCATTTCCAATGAAAATCAATACACGAAATGCGATTCGTTTATGGAAACCACTTTTTTCCATTGCAATAGCAATAATTAAACTAGCCATGAAAAGCATATTTGTTGATTTTAAATATGGTTCACATGCTTTTTCAGTGGTCGCTAAACCGAACAATGGAAATAAAGCTACCGGTATTAATGCTGTTACTGCCAATGGTATTGGTTGAAATATCCAATAAATGATCATAAGAAGTACGACAAAGGCACATCTTGATTCCTGATTCAAAAAACAAAAAAAATCAATCAATCAATCAAATCATTTATTTCATTATACAAACTTACCGTAGAATGATAATTGAGCCATAATAATGGTGATAGTAATAAAGGTGTTAACAGCAGAATAAGACCATCTTTACATCTTACTAGAATATTTGGCAACATTTTTTTTTCTCTCAACAACAACAAGAAAAATTTTCAAATGGTTCAAATATCAGCTGTCAAATGATGAATTCTTCAATCAAACAACGAAAATTCTTCGAAGTAAAGTTGGATTTTTTTTTTTTTTTTTTTTGGTTTTCGTCGTTTTCGTTGATGTAAATTTATTTATTGTATACAGTTGTAAACTATTGCCGTCTTAATTGTAAACTGTTAATGATGATTATTGTCACATATAATAATCATATTATATCGACTTCCTATGGCATTGATGATGGCATGGATTTGTTCATACAAGAAGAAAAACAGAAATTTGCCCATTAAATTGGAAATCATCATCAGTCAAAAAAAAAAAAAAAAGAAGAAAATTTCATTGAACGTCATCATAATCATTATTATATTCAGTGCATCAATATCCATATATCAACAACAACAACAACAACACGCGAACTAGAGAAAAAAAATCAAAATCAAATCGTCGATGCAATATAGAAATATATCAATAATACATCCATATTCCTTGTATCTTTACGTTATATATCGTCAAAGTCCAATGTCGAAAACTTTTGTGTGTGTGTGTGTTTTCATTTATATTCAAAAAAGAAAAAAGTAATTTGATGCTGCTCCTGATGATGATGATGATCAATCAATCAATAATTATATCAACAAATATTGAAAAGTTTTGCCGTGAAAAAATTCCAACGAAACAATTTTGAATTGTTGATTTATATTTCACAAAAGTGTTACGATCAAGATATGTTTGTGTATATGATTTGATCGAAATGATGACGATGATGTTGATGATTGTTATTATTGATTATCAATAACGTCAACAACGACAACAAAAAGTTTATGAACATCATCTTCATTATCAATGTTAAAGTCAAAAAAATTTTCTTTTTTTTGAACTCATCTAGAACATTGAATATTCAGCCAGATTTTATCATATTGATTTGAATTGAGAAATTATCATCATCATCATCATCATCATCATTGTTTCATCATCTTTAAAGGTAAGAAATAATGTTCAAGTTTAATTTCAAAATTGAATCACCAAGTTCTTGAGTGAACATAAAACAGATATATACTCTTGGCAACGTGCTTGTCTTTGTTGTTGTTGTTGTTGTTGTTATGATGATGTTGTATATATATGTTGATTCACTATTTTCATATAAAACTACATAATCACTATATAATCATTCTGGTTCAGTGTTTTTTTTTCTTCTTCTTCACTATAGTTTCACCATGTTCACCCAGGGGGTACGACGGTTTTTGTTTGTTTGTTTGTTTGTTTGTTTATTTGTTTGTTTGCTTGTTTGCTTGCTTGCATTTTTTTATATGTCTAAAATAAAATCTAGTTATGTGTATTATGATGATAATGGATATGTCTAATACATAATTGAAACAGTGGAATCCCGCATGTAAATTCAAATTAAGTTCACACATGCATGCATGTGTGTGTGTGTGTTTTTTTTTGTATATGTAAACCTGCTATGATTCCTATCATCATCATCATCATGAATCATATGATGACGATGATAATGATAATTGACCATCTTTGACGTTGTTGTCTAATATTTACATAAACAACACTTTATGGCTGAAATGAAATAAAATGAAATAAAAGTAAACAATGAAAATAATTCATAACTAACTAATAAAAAAAAATTCAAGTTGATATATGGAAATACCACATAGATAGACAGACAGACAGATGACTATCCTATCTCATCTATAGATGAATAGCCTGTATTGATCTTGATTGATTGATTGATTGATTTGTACAAGTATGTTTACCTATTCGCGGTCGAAAAAAAAATAATTTTCAGATGATCAACAATTCTTTTTTTTTTTGAAATTACATAATTTATAGGAAGAAACTGTTATAATAACAAGTGTTTGAATAACAAATTCTTTATTTTCACCATTTACGTTAGAATATTTCTTCGTCAATAAATATTTTTTTTGTTTTATTACAAGTGTAATTATTATTATTATCATCATCATCATCATCATCATTTCATTATTACATTGGAAAAACAATAGATTTTGACATTTTGTGCGTTCAAGTGTGTGGCATTTTGAATTTCCCGTGTAGATGTAATTTTTTTTTTTTAATTTTTGTTGATGTTTAATGTTTCATGGTGATGGTTTGGTGTGGTGTGGTGTGGTATCCATAGAAAATACCAGGTAAAAGAGTAATTGAGAGAGAGAGGAAGAGAAATGAATGAAAGGAAAGGAAAACGAATTGAACATTTTTTTTTCTTATTTAAACAGGTATATATAAAAGGTATTTTTCATTTCATAAACATTTTCAATCTGTTGTTTTTGTTTCACTACGTCCGCTTGACAAAATTTTGAAATTTTTTTATTTTGTTTATCGAAATTTGATTCGAAATTCATTAAATTGATTTCCTCATTTTTTTTTTGATTAATTAATTAGCGATAAATCATCATCATGTATAATCGTAACGTAAATCATCATCATCATCATCATCAACAACGACGACGACAACTACAACAACAACAACAACGGAATCATCAATTGGTCATTTGTTTTACATTGTTCATTATCATTTCCACAACAATGATACAAGCAAATGAAGCACGTATTGTACGTAAAGAAAAAATGTTACGCCTTTGTCTTTGGACACCATGTAAATCGATAACGACGACAACAAAAAAATGTCCATCATATCTGGAACAAAGTGCAAAAAGAAAATGTAAATTATCTGACGATGAAATTGGTTTCTATTCCAAATGTTGTCTATATGAAGGAAATTTACCGGCAATCAAAGAAACGCCAACAAATCATATTGATTGATTGATGACAGAAATGAAAAACAAAAAACTACACGCGTTTACATCATACAATCATTTGTATCCGAACAAAACAAAACACGAAAACAAAACAAAACAAAAAAAGAAGAAAATTTTGCTTATCTCTCATTGAAAAAGCTTTGATATTTTACATTTTTTTTCAATTAACTTAATTTATTTTTTTATTTTATTTTTTTTCATTTTTAATATTAAATCTGAAAAATGAATTATTACCATTTGCCAATATCATGTTGTCGTTGTTGTTGTTTGATTTGTTGTTGTTTTTTTTTAAAGATGAATAAAAGTGGCAAATCATTTGATTTTGTTGTTTTTTTTTATTTCTGATCGATCGATTGATCGATCACTACTCAATTATTCGATTGTTCAAATCATCGTCATTGGTCATCATTGATCATCATCATCATCATCATTGTTGAATATAAACGTGAACGCATTGGCCATTTCTTTTCATTTGAATTTTTTTTTTTTTTTTTGGGCAAATTTAATCGATAGATGAGTTGTGAAAAAAAAAAAAAATTTGATTAAAAAAAACAAAAAATTAACAAAGAAAAATGATTTTTACCTTGATTGGACGATAAACCTTGGATGATAATGAATTTTCAATTTCATCAATGTTCAACAATGTTGTTGATTGTTTATAATCGATTGAGTGATGATTGTGTTGATGAATAATGTATTCTGGAGTGGTGGTGGTGGTGTTGGTGGTGCTATTTTCACCATTTTCATCTACATGATTATTATGATTATTATTATCAAGTATTTGCATCAATATTTGAATATAATTTGTTGCCAAAATCAATATATCTAGTTTAGATAATTTTGTATTCGGTGGCACTGATGGTAAACATTGTTGTAATGTTTGAAAAGCATTCCGTAAACAACGAACACGGCCACGTTCACGTTCAGCATTTTTAGCAGCCGGTATTGTTGTTGTTGTTGTTGGTGGTGATTTTTGTTTTTTATTTTTATTATTAAATCTAGCCATGGAGACCGACAGCCACCAACAAAAAAAAATGGATTAAATCGAAATGAAAATGGAAATTTTTTGGCGAAAAAAAAACACCAGTTTGGTTTTATTTATATCAGAAAATTTGTCATTTGCAACTAGTGTGCAAAAAAAACAAAACAAACATTTGACTACACTTGACCATTTTATCCATTCAAAAAAAAAAATCATCATTAATCATTAGACTATCATTGATCATTTGGCAATAGAAATTTTTTTTTTTTGTAATTTGATTCATAACCTGTTGTTTTTTGATGGTGGTGAACCAGAAAAAAAATCCACCTACTTTCATGACAAAAATCGGACAAGATTCATTCATTTTTTTCATTTTTGATCATTTTTTAAAGCGAATTGAACAAGACAATTTGCTTTCATATGAATTTCTACCTCCGTTTTAATAACGGATGATGGTGGCGGTGGTGGTGGTGGTGGTGGTGGTCGGCGGCGGTTGCAATCACACATTATAATTATTAATATAAAGATTTTTCATCATCATCGGGATTTTCCCCCCAAAACATCATAATTGATGCCATTTTGCATTTTGAATGTTTTGTGTGCGCAAATTTTCAAATTGACGAAAAAAAAAAAATTTTTTCTAATGAAATTTTCTTGGTTGGCGACTATTTCGTAGTAATAAAAATTTTTTTTTCCATTCATTTGCACACAATCATATATGACAAATTGAATTGTCATGTTTGTATGGCTTTGTGTTTTGGTTGGTTTCATTTTTTTTCAATCTCTCTCTCTCTCCCTGTGTGTGTGCCTATATAGGATGACAAATTGATTTTGTTTTTCATGGATAAATAAATCAGATATGAAACATACATTTTGTTTTTGTTTTTCACCAATCACTAAATGGTGAGAATTTGTCTTGTTTTGTTTTGTTTCGTTTTTTTTTTTGGTATTTAAAAAAACTTTTTTTGCTCGATACATGAATGATGCTGATAATGTTGAAATCAAACATAAACATGGGGATTGGAAATCGGGAAAAAAAATTACATCACTTGATTGATTCAAGATTCTTTGTCGTATGATAATGATGATGATGTCATAATCATTGTCTGTACACATTTTTTTTTCTTTTAATCCGCTTAACAACAACGACAACATTGATGACGATTTTGTTGATCGATCAATCAATTGATGGATAGGTGGATGCATGCATGGATGATTATTCATTGTTCATTTTTTGTACACTAGAATTATCTTTGTATTGAAATTTTTAATTTGATTATCTGTTTGATTGATTGGCCGAAAGCGATTCTTGAAATTTCTTTTTTTTTTTTTTTGAAAAAAACCAACAAGTGTCATAAAGACATTTTATTGAAATTGTTGTTTATACGATGCAAACAGTTTTTTGATAATGCACTTGCAATGTATTAACCGGGCTATGGAACTAATATTCATGTGTTTTTTCATTCTGCGGCAAAAAATTGTAAACTGAAAACAAATTTTAATTTCGTATTGTTTTTTTTTGTTTGGTTTTGAAAACTTTAAAAATTCGTTTTCAAAAGAAAACATTACAATGGCAAATTCCAATGCTCAATCCAATGTAAATGCATCCATTTTTAATGCATTCAATGATGCTTATAATAGTACGAAAATAACCAAACGACAAATATATTCAAAAGTTGATCAGATTAAAAAAATACGTGATGATTTTGAAAAAATGTTCCTTGTGGATACGGCACAATTTTTTACCGATAAATTAATCACTCTTGAACATAATGATGATCATGATAATGATGCTGATTCAGAGATTTATCGAATGGCTAAATTATTACATCAAAAAGAACAATATCATCGTGCTGCATTGATGATTATATCGAATAATTTTCATCTGAAAAATCTTTCCGCTCGTTATTTGGCTGCTAAATGTTATGTATGTCATTTATTTGTTGTTTATCAAATCATAAATTGTATTTTTCTCGTTCCATCCATTATTTTCTAGTTTGATTGTAAAGAATATTCGAAATCATTGGAAATACTGAATCTTTCGATTGATAATTTAACCTTTGATGAAAAAGGTGGATCTTTTAATCAGGTATTTCCAGCGTTTTTTTCAATTTGGTAGATACTGTTGACTAAAATTTATTGAATTTTTTTTCATAGTGGAAAAGTTCCATTCAATTATTGAAAGGACATATACATGAAGCATTGAATGATAAAGAATTGGCTAATAAATGTTTTTTCGATGCACTTGTATTGGATCCATTCTGTTATGAAGCATTTCAAGCATTGATTAAATTTGATATGATTAATAAAGAACAAGGTATGTTTTTTTAAAAAAAAAATTGATTAAATGTTGAAAATTAAAATTCCCCATCCCATCCTGTTGTAGAATGTCAATTATTGGAATTTATTTCAACAAACAACAACGACAACACCAACGATGATGAATCGAATGCCATCAAAATGATGAAAGAATTGTACAATCTTCAATTTCGTCATCATCATCATCAACAACATGGAAAAGATGATGATGGATTGAAAAAAGAAAATGAAAATGAACAATCGAAACCGAAATCAACCATAACATTGTTGAATGAATCATTTTTCAACAGCAGCAGTGATGACGTTCGATTAATTCATGCTGAGAATTATTACAATGATTGTCAATTCAAAAAAAGTTATGCAATCCTTTCCGAGTAAGTGTACCGATGAAGTTTTTTTTCTTGAATTCTTACTAAAAAAAAAATTTTTTCTACTCCATTTTCAAGAATTCATTCGAATGATATTTTAAATCAAAAATGTTCATTTCTTATGATCGGTTGCCTTTTAGAATTGGGCAATCATATTGTATTGCGAGAAATATCACATAAATTAGCTGAATCAATACCGGAAAATGCCATAGCATGGTATGCTGTTGGTTGTTATTATTATTCCATCTTAAATATGGATAATGCAAGAAAATATCTAAGTAAATCTACATTGATTGATCCAAATTTTCAAGCATCAATGCTCATGTATGGCCATTCATTCGAAATGGAAGCACTTCATGATCAGGCGATCGCAGTATATATGGATCTAAGTAAAATTATGGCCCATTCATATCTACCACTATTATATGTTGGTGTTGAATATTGTCATCTAAATTTTCCATCATTGGCTGAACAATATCTGAATCAAGCATTGGAATTATCACCAGATAATCTATTCGTACTTCATGAATTGGGAATAGTTTTTTATGAGAAAAAAGAGTATGGATTCCTTTATATATCATGTTTATGATTGATAATTTGTTTTTTTTTCTATTCCCGCCTCAAAAAAAAAAACAGATATGAAATGGCAAAAGAATATTTTGTAAAAGTTTATAAAATATTGGCCGATAAACAATTGTTGATGGAATATCCAAAAAAATGGGAACCATTGTTGAATAATTTGGGACATGTACATCGAAAATTAACCGAATATGATGATGCTATTAATTATTTTAAAATCGCTTTACGAATGATACCGGAAAATTCATCAACATTAGATGCATTAGGTTTAGTGTATAGTTTAAAAGGTGAACGACAGATGGCGAGTGATTATTTTCAAAAGGTTTTTTTTTTTTAAAAATATTTTTCTCCAATCAATACAACAACAAAAAAAACTTTGAACACACACACACAATTGATTTAAAGCCTTCGGCCTTTTAAATTAGTGTGTGTGTTGTAATATTTTACTAATATATGAAAAATATCTTGTCGGCAACTTTCTTTTGAAAAAAAAAAAATTTTGTTTGCTCATTTTTTTTCTTTAATTTTTCTTTTTCTTATTATTTAGGCCCTTAGCCTTAAACGTGATGATGCATTCGCATTGACAATGTACCATTTATTATCGGTTGAAAAAAAATGACAACTTTCAACTTTAACTTTGTTCAAGAAGAAAAAAAAAGAACAAAACACCAAATTGGATTTCTACAATTGTGATTTTGCATTCATCTTTTTTTTGTTGTTGTTGTTTTCATATGTAATAATAATCATGTAACATGAATATTCATTAATCGATTTTTTTCCCGGCTATATATCATCATACAATGATTAAATGGTGTGGTTAATCTGATTTTAATTTTATGTAATTAAATTTAATGAATGAATTTAATGTGTATGTGAATTATATTTTTAAAAAAATCACAAATTCTTTTCTATATACACAAGTTAATCAATGTGGTGGTTAAAATAGACAAAAAAAAAAAATTTTTTTGCTATGAGAAAAGTAAAAAATAAAAATCACATATAAGATTCACACACACACACACACACACATTATTGGTTATTATCCAGAATATAAATTTTTTTCTCTCTTCATTTTCGTTTAAATAAGAATAATGAAGTAATGGTAACTAACTTCAGGCTGTAAAATGTGGAAGAAGAAGAAAAAAATTAATTTGATTTTCATGTTTTTCCTATTCCTATAGGCAGTTCCTATGATCGATCAATGAATGAATTGTTGTGTTGTTGGTTTTCGCCAACAACAAACATAAATGAGATATATATAAATGAAAATGTGAAAAATTCAATAAAATTGAATTTTTTTTTTCGCTTCATATCATAGGATTTGAAACCTTTTTCTTCATTCAATTCCGTCTTTGCGTGTTGGTGACAATCGAATATTTTCTTTTCTTTTTGCCATTGATTCCACATGATGAACGCACACGACACACACACACACGTCTTATTTTTTAAGTGATATGCAAAAAAAATGCGAGATCAAAAAAAAAATTTTTTTTTTCTCAGAATATGAATCACGATGATGATGATGAAATGAATTCTTTGCAAAGGGAAAAAAATTTTTTCTTTCTCCATCCATGGAACTTACTACACTGTATGCGTACATTCAAAATGTACATGGTTGATGGATGAAAATTTAGAATATTCTTGAAAAGCGAAAAATAATAAAGAAGAAAAAAAAGTCTGTGAAAGTGAACAAAAAAAAAAATTCAAATGTATAATACGGGATTTATGGCCAAAAATGATCCTACATCTGTGTGTGTGTGTGGTAACCGATTTTTTTTTTCACATCACATAATGATGATAATTTTGGCCATCTTGTGTCATCATAACCAGTCTGTGTGTGTGTGTGTGTGTATGTGTTAACCATTAATTTAGTTAATGGAAAAAAAATTTTTTTCTTATTCAAATTTTATGAGATGAGATTCTGAACAGATTTTTTTCTTTCGATAATCGTTTAAAAGCGCCTCTTATGAAATGAATCTTTCAGGTGTGAAAAAGTAGTTTTTCTTTTCTTCACGACACACACACACACCAATTTGAAATTCTTTGTAACATTCAGTGAAAAATTTGGAATAGAAATTCTTCAAATACCTGGCAATAAAAAAACGAAAAGAAATTTTTTTTTCTTTTCAAATCCAAAAAAAAACTTTGGAATGGAATAATATAAGGAAAAAAATTCCATAAAAGATGATTCTTTTCAATACAAGTTCAATTTTAATTTTGATTTGCATTGATTGTGTGTGTGTGTGAAGCTTTAGAATTCATATACACTTGATTTGTATATAATCATCAATGATTATGCGCATTTTTTTTTCATTGTCGAATTGCCTTTATCCTTTCGTTTCGTTTACTTTCGATTTTGACCGAACGAATGATGATGACGATGATGATTCGGTTCAGTTCACGGTTCGACCTCCAATATATATTATATATTAGTTCCACTAAAGTTTTTTCTTTCTTTTTTTTTCTTTCTGTGTGTGTGTGTATGATGGTGTTCCATATGAAACTATTTCGTTGGTAAAAAATGTTTACCACTAGCATCCATATATATTATACGTATATAATAAAAAAAAAACAAACAAACAAGCAACATCAACTGCAAAATTGAATGGTGCATTGTTTTTTTTTCTCAATGATGATGGTGAATGAAAATTCTGTACACTGCAAACCAGAAGCCAGAATTATATAACACACACACACTCGCATACACACAGACACACACAGGCAGAGAATCATCGAATCTTTTTTTTTCTACTTTATCGAAAGAATTTTCTTCGTTTTTTCTTGTTCCTGTGTAGCAGTCCAATTTCTCGTCTGTTCATCTTTTTCATCATCATCGGTGAAATTTTTTTTTTTGTGTGTGTGTGTAATATATGCTGCTGCTAAATGAAAATGTTTCATTCGATTGGGCATTTTTTCTCATTATTATTTGTGTGTGTGTGTGCGTGCATGTGAATATCTATGAATCCAACAGAATTCTAACATGGACATGTATAACTGACGAAAAAAAAAAAAAAAATAAAAGTCTCATTTTTTCACGTCGGCTGGTTGGTTGGTTGACAAAATAAAAAAACTAGAATGAAATGGAATTCTGGATGCATCATCATCATCATCAACGTCAGTGTCAATGTTTTTTCTGCCCTTAGAGGTATTTCAAATTCCTGTGTTTATGTTTATGTTTATGTGCCGCATCCAATAAATGTAACACAAATAATTATTTGTAATAATTTCCATCATCATCATCGTCATTATCAATCAATCAATCAATCAATCAATGCACGAATAACCAATGGCAAAGGTCATCAAACTTTTTTACTTGCATTTCAAAACTATTGATGGACCAATCAACCAACCAACCAACTGATCAAACAAGCACGCACGCACGAATAAATTTTTACAAAAAAAAAAATGAAAAAAATTTTTTTTTTTGAAATTCAACAAAAAAATGAAAAATCATATCACATGACAGACAGACATGTATAAATCCTCAATGGAACTACAATGACGATGATGTGATGATACATGAATTTTAACAGAAAAAAATATTTGATATTTGAATGAAGATTTTGTACATTTTTCAATTATTTATTATTATTATTATTCGTCGCTCTTCAAATTCTTTCGATATTCCGTGCTACAATCATCATCAATATTTCATTGCTATATTGAAATTGTCTAAAAATTTCAAATTCCAATTTCCACATCCAAACGATTCAATTGAAATAGAATCACCGATATACTACTACTGAAATCACCGATTTATATTTATTTATTTGTTTGTTTGTTTGCTTGCGTTCACTACTTCTGTTCAACTGAACACATCCACCTTTTTTTTGCTACCCCAAATGGTAAGTGCATTGGATTTTCATTGAATTCAATTTCAAAATTTCGATTCGATTCGATTAGATTCACCGAATCATTCATTTCTCATGAACGAAAAAAAAAAGGAAATTGTATTTTTTTTTGCCCGTAAAAAAAAGTACAAATGAAACTTTATGGTGATGGTAACAATCGAAAAAATTCATTCCACACTCACTCTCTATTACAACAACAAAATGACATTCGAGAATTGCTGTTTGAAAGAGAAAAAAAAATCGCTTAGCTAAATTAGATTAAAAATATTTTTTTTTCTCACCATTGTATTCGTTGTTGTTGTTGTCGTAGTTGTCCATTTTCGATTCGTGAGCCAAATATTGATGATGATGATGATGTCAATAGAGACAAAAACAATGAAATGAAAAAATAAATCGATCATTTTTCAATGAAAAAAAAGTAACAATTTTTTTTCTTCATTGCTGTTGCAGAAAATTTTGATTGAATATTTATCATCATCATAAAAAAAACAGTCGACGACTACAAATCAAATTGTCATCATCATCATCATCATCATTGGAGTTCATTGAAAAAAAAATCTAATTGTATGTTCTATTAATTCAATTTTTTTTCTCGTTTTGTTCATTAATTCATTAATGTTAATTAATTCATAAGTGTGACACACATCGAGCAAACATTCAATTTAACTTTTAATTAGATGAATGTTCACATTCATGATGATAAATCAAATGTAGATCGTTGCTATTGTTGTCGTTGTTGTGGATAAAAAACTTGATCGGTCGGTTTAGTTGGTAGGCCACACAGATTTATTTATTACGACTACGGCAAGATTCATTTTTCATTCACCAAGGAAAAAAAATGAAATTCTTTGATTTTTATGTCCCATTTGACATTCTTATTTTCGCAGTCATCATAAAATAAATATAAATAAATAACAAACACACAAACACAAAAAAAAATTTTTGGGAAGTGAAAAAAAAGATCCATCATTTTTTTCTATTCCAACCAAGCCGAATTCAATTCAATTAGCTGTTTGTTGTCATGTTGTTGTTGTTTGTTATGTTTTTTTTCAAGAATTTTTTTTCTCTCGTTCTTTTCATTGTCAATAATTTGAAAATTCATCATCATCTTTTTTTTCTTGTATGTGATGTGCAAATGTGTTTACGATTCAATTTCATTCACTAATAAATGATAACTATGTGAAATGTTCTTGACATTCACAGAAAAATGAAGTTCATCATATTCTAGAAATGAAAAAAAATTTTTTTTTCTTCTGAATTCAATCACAAACAATGAAAGTGTGAATGATGATGATGAAATACAAATAACTATAAAGATAATTGATGATTCTTAATGTTGAATTAAATTTACTATTGATGACGATAATGACAATGATGATGACAATGACGATGACAATGGCATAAAAAGAGAGATGATGATGACAAAAAGATGGGAAAAAAATCATGGAGAAAAAAAGAAAAAGAACCAACATGTTTATGTCTATGGATGTTTCATCCATAAATCATTTCATTAAAAGCATTTTTCTTTTGTTATAAGTAAATTGAAATTCTATTTTATATACGTTGGGTGTGTGGGTGTTTGTGATTGTCTTCTATTGTGTCATCCATATTCTTTTTCTTCATGTTCTTTATTTTTTTTATTTTCTTTTTTAATATTCTAATGTTGTTGTTGTTGTTGGCGGTGGTGGTGGTGGTGGTGGTGCAATTGTTTAGTTGCCTGATTCAAGAATGAAAAAAAACGTTGTGATGTGATGGCTGATTATTTTTTTTTTCTTCGAAAGGCAAGAAAAAAATCAGCAAAAAACTAGAAAGAAAGAAAAAAAAGAGATTAATCTGGTGTTAAAAAGTTCACATTAACATCACCCGATAAAAGTCACAACATTGTTATTGTGTGATTTTGAAAAGCCGAAAAGTCTTTCTCATTCTCTTTCATTTGGTTATTATCATCACACTATCGAATACTATGATACGAGATAATAACAATGCTTGAATTTAAAGGGAAAGAGATAAACAAGAAGAAATTCCATCATTAATTAGAGAATTCTGTAGGAATACCAACAGAAAGCCAAATAAAAACAAACTATAAACAAGAAAAAAAATGAACATTAGCGATTACATAATGTCTTTAGCCTTATGGATTGGTCATACCGTTTTTTGTTGCTGTCGTTGTTGTTGTTGTCTTAATCACTTGTTTCATTCATTCATTCATTGTCATCAATCTGATTAATCGTGACTTTTTTTTGGCCAATAAATTCTGAATGTAGAATTTGAAACAAACGAAAAAAAAGAAAAACGATATCATTTTTGTTGTTTATCTTTTTCATCCTTGCAACGGGAAACAGCTTGTTGAGAAAAAACTATGGAATGGAAAACAATGATGATGACGGTGGCCATTTTTGTTGTTGTTGTTGATTCCAAAATTAGTTGAAGAAATTGGATACCGTATATTTAGATTTTCGTATTGGTTGTCAAGTTTTATTTGTTTTTTTTCTGTTTTTCATTGTCGTCATCATCATCATCCTATCCTAAATAGATGATCACCATATTTACACATAAGATTTTCACATTGAAATATTTGATGAGTGAACACCAACCAAACAAAACATTTACAAAAACCCACACACACATACACACAAACAACAAAGTTGTTGATGATTATTTGGTCGAATCAGAAAAAAAAATACTCATGACCATTATCACCTAGCAATTTACATTTATTTTGAATCGTTTTGAGCTTCAGTATTTTTGTTTTTTGTTTTTGTTGTTGTTGTTGTTGAAATGAATACATCCACAAATACACAAATGGTTAGTAGACACACAAATATAATTAAAACGAACATACAAACACATTTTCATCACAAATTCATTCATCTATTCAAAATGAATGAAAATAATTTGGCAATTTCTCGTTGTTTTCGTTGTTGTTATTGACAATTCGTTGTTTTGAGATTCATTTATTTTGAAGTTTTTGTTTTGTTTTGTTTTGTTTTCTTCCATTTTAACTGTTTTGTTTAATTGGTTTATGTATGTATGTAGATGGATGATCATTAAATATATATGTGTGTGTGCGTGGGTGTTTTTGTTGAATATATATCGCAGAAAAATTAGCCAGAAAAACAAAACTTTTCAATATGAAGATTTTTAAAGTTAATTTTGAAAGTTAAAAAATTAAAAAGAATCGAATTACAAACAGCGATGACTATCATCATTGATCATCATGTAATTCATCTTTCTATTTTTTTTTTTCTTCATTTCAAAAACACACACAAATAAGATTCGAACGTGATGTGCATATTAATCGATAGTATCGAATTTTGTTTTTATTTTTTGAATAAAACATATATTCGATCACGATTGTTCTATGCATTTGTCGTTCAAGTTTGTTTGATGATAATCTTTGAGTGGAAAGAAGAAAAAAATTTTCAAAGTTTTTTTTTCTCATCACTTTCAATGAATTATATTGAAACATATGCAACGCATACACCTGATGATGATAATCATTGTTGTCGTTTTCGTGCAATATGTTCAGCCAGAATATTCACTGTGATTACGATCCTTGTTATTGTTGTTGTTTTTCTAGTTAAAAAAAATTGATATCATTAATATAAATATTAATGAAAAATGTTGTTGTTGTTGTTGTTGTTGTTTGCTGTTGCTATATTGTTTTCTGTTTTGTGTTTGGGTTGCTGTCAAAAAATGCAACCACAAGAAAACGAAAATTACTTCATAACATGAATCAGCCAAACTAGCTATATATAGAATGAAACATGAAAAATGAAACAAAATTTTTCAAATTATGGTCACTTATCTTTTCTCTTTTTTTCCGTTGATGTTGTTGTTATTATTTTTCACAAGAATTTTTTTTTCTGTTCTGGTTTTGGAGAAATGTTCTTTGAAAACAAACCAAAAAAAAAACTTTGAAAATGGTGAGTGAAAGTAATATTAACGGTTGATTTTAGCAGAGGAGAATGAAAAAATAATATAAATAACAAAATACAAATAATGAATGAATGAACGAACCAAACACAAAAATGAGCTTGCTTAACCAACCAACCAACCAACCAACCAACAAGAATTGATGATCATCAGATAAATGAGCTCATTTATGTGATGCTGTCATCATTTCCATGATGATGGTGATCGAATTCGAATTTTGTTTTGTTTTGTTCATACCAAAAGATGATGATGATGATGATGACGATGATAATGGTGAACCATTACTTTGAAGTAATACTTTTTACAAATGTGAGAAAAAAAATGAGAAAAAGAATGTGATTATTATTATTTTCATCAAATGAAACCTTTTACCCAAATACTCTGATGTGAAAAAATAAAACTGATAATTAATTCACACATACACACAAACACTCAGGTCTCATGGGTGTGATGATGATGATGATGATGATGATGATCAATATATAGTTTATTTCAAGTTTTTTTATCATTTTTTTTCATTTTCCAAACAAAAAACGGAAACCAAAAAAAAAAAAAAAATGTTCGAATATTCGAATCGAATCTTTTGTGCGCATGTAACGTCATTTTTGAATATTTTTTTTTTGCCTCAATTTATTTTCAATTTCGATACAATTATTCTGGATCACTGGTTGTTTGGTTCAAAAAAAAAAAAAAAAAAAAACATTGCACATTATTAGCCATCATCATCATCAACCAAACAACAACAACAACAACAACAAAACAAAAGAAACAAAAGAACCAGTAAAGATAACAACTCATTTAATCGTAAAGAGTGCAATAACAAAAAAAACAAAACAAAAATGAAAGCAAAAAAATTGTCTCTCACGAGACACACACACACACACACACACAAACAACAAACATCAAGACACAGAGAATCAAAAATTCAATGACAACGCACACACACACACACACACTTGAATTTCCAAATGATTTCCTCTTCATTCATTGTCTTTTTTTTTTTTTTTTTTTTTTTTTTGTTATTACTTCCTACACCATTTTGTTTGAGCGTGTTTGTTTTTTGTTTCGTTTTTTTTCTCATTCTTTTCAAATTATTATTATTATTATTAACAAATCACATTCATACAAAACAGATGATTTTTTTTCCGCCAACACAAGCAAAAACAAAACAACAACAACAACAACAACAACAGCAGCAAAAAAAATCTGCTGAAACAAGCTGATTATTTTCAATCAAACCAACTCTTTGTCAATCGCTATACACAATATAGAAAATTTAATGCGTGCAAAAAAATTGTTAATAATAACGAGTTGATCAAAAATTATGTAAATTTTTCCTATTTTTTTTTTTTTTTTTTTGAAAGAATAGAAAATTTGATCCAGGAAAAATTCAAATTCAATTTTGTGAGCGAAAAAAAAATTCTGTGTGTTTTTCAAATTCTTCAAGATTAAATTCAACCATTTTTCACGTTCAATTTGTTTCATAATAATAATCGCTTCTCATTTTTTTTTTTGGTTGCTTTGCCACTTATTTTGAATTTTTTTTTTGTCACGGATGAATATCGGTGTGTGTGTGTACCAGTGTGCAAGAATCGTTTTTTTTTGCTATTTGAAAAAAAGAATTTAACCTCCGAAAAAAAAGACTGCACACACGCACACACAGAGAGAGAGAGAGAAAGGGAAATTCCCGAGGAATAATGGTGGTTTTTCGTTTGAAGCAATGAAAAGAAAAAAAAAAGTTTGTTCAATGAAACGAAATGTAATGTTAAGTCTCCATTCTCTCTCTCTGTGGGTGTGCATTACAATAAAGTTTATGGCAACAACAACAACAACAACAACAACGACAACAAAAAAGAATTGAGCGTAAATAGATGCGGAAAAAAATGAAAATTTTCTAGTACTCGAAAAATCTTGAACATCTGTGTGTGTGTGTGTGATTGAATCATTGTGATTTTCAAAAAAAAAAAAAATAAAAATAAAAAAAAAAAAATTTTATTTTGCCATAAGAATTCAGTCAGCCATTCAATGGTCATCATCTTCAAAATCGATCCAATACACGATATTAGAGAGGGAGAGAGAGAGAAATGATAAAAATTGACATTTTGTTTGGTTTTGGTTTTTTCGTTTATTCAATCAATTTGTTGGCCATAAATTTGTTGGGTTGTTTTTTTTATTATTATCTAGAACCTGGATGATGATTTTTTTTTCTTGAATATCCATAATGAATGAATGAAAAAAATTGGCTGAAAGCACGAATTTTATATATCATGATGATGATCTTTCATTATGAATTTGTGTCTAGTTTAAATAAAATAAAATAAAACAAAACAAAAAATGAGAGAAAAAAAACCACCGACCAAATATGAAGAAAATTAAGTAAACACACACACACATGACATATCTTCTCATATATTAAATTATTCATATATGTTATGTTACCAACCAACCAATATATAGCTTAATTATATAATCTAGATTCTTGATTCTGGCTATATATATTCTCTGTGTGTGTGTGTGTTCCAACATTTTGTTGAATCTAATATATTGCCATTTATTATTATTACTAGCCAGCAAAAAAAAATAAAGATGTTTTCTTTTGTAATGTAATAAAAAAAAAAAAACAAACAAACAAATGATTTTCGATGATGAAAAAATCGATTTTTCATCAATTTTAAATTATTTTTTTTAAACAGGAAAAAACATCACATACAAATCAAAGAATGAGAAAAAAAATACGGGATTTTAAAAAATTAGATAGATGTCCGTTTTTTTGCTTTGTGTTTTTTTGTTTTTGTTGTTGTTGTTGTTTGGACGAGTGAAACCAATATAATCAACCAACCACCGTAATCATTTGTAACATGATCATTGTAAATTATTTGATAGGCTTGTTTTTTTTTTTTTTGTTTTTGTTTGGTCACGGTCAAATTCATGTTGTCTTGTTGTTTCGTTTCTTTGATTTTCAGAATTTCATGATCCAAAATAAACACGATTACCACCATTAACGTCATCATCATCATCATCATTCACTAACAATTTGAATTGTTCAATTAAATCCACAGGGAAATCATTGTATTCGAGTAATAATGTTATTAGACTAGAAGAATCTATGATAAAAAAAAAAAAATTCAAATAAGAAATTTAAGAAAAACATTTCATTGTCTAGTTGAAATGAAATAAAAAAAAAAATACAAACAATGCCTCGAGACTAAAATTCTGTTTTTGAATGAATATAACAATTATGATTTAGTCTTGTTTTCGTTTTTGTTCTCAGTCAAAAAAAAAAAATTTTGTTTTGATTTTTTTTTTGTCACTAAGTATACTTACTCTTGATTGAATCGACAAGAAGACTGTTGTTGTTTTGTAAAAAACGTTCCGTTAGATCACATGCAGACAGATTGAAGTGTTCCAATTTACGAAATGTTATTATTATCTGTGCTACAAAAAATGTTGTTGTACAATCATCACCAAATGGATTGTAACTGATATCCAATTTCTTAAGTGATACATTCAAATTGATCAAATGTTGCAAACAATTCGATGACATTGATACATTCGATAGATTTAGTTCAACTAAATTCGACAATGTTGTTATCATTGAACAGAATGCATTATAATTTTCTTTTGTTGACAATAGATTTGTATTGGATAGATCCTTAGAGAAATCAGAAAGAAACAAAATTATTATCCTGTCAATTTTATCATCATCATGGCAAACTTATACTTACCAATTCTTTAATATTCTGTTGCAATAATGCTTTCATCATCAATGTATTCTGTGTTTTCGATGGAAAATATGAACCATTCAAGTTTAAATATAAATTTTTACATGATTTTCTTAGTAAATTTTCAATATTTTTATCAACAATGGTTTGTTGTTGTTGTGCACATAATTCACGATAACGTTTATCCGGTTGATCAATTGTCCATTGTTCAATAATAGCTTTTATATTACGTTCATTATTGCCAACAATATCGATGACTAGATCAGAATCAAGCAATATAGCATCATCATTATCTGCTGTACGTAATGAGAATCTTGGTTTCATTCCATAATGAATAAAATAACGACGTATCAATTCTTCTTTAAGCCATTGACAATTGGAATTATTTTCAATGAAAACAATGAATGAACTTTTTTGACTATCATCAAAATGTATGGTCAATGCTTTACGATTTCCATTATTATTTGTACGATGATTGTGATGATGATTGTTTTTATTATTATTAGCTAAATTTGTTCTTGACAAAGCAGCAGCAGCAGCAGCAGTAGTAGAAGAAGTAGTAATAGTTGGATTTGATGATTTGACAGTAGAAGAAATTGTTTCGATAATGGGCATATAATTTTCGGATGTTTCAACAGCGGTGGATGAATAGGAAGGAAAAGTTTCAAAATTATCATCATCATCATCATCGACCGGATAATTATTATGGGCTATATTTATTTCCGATATATCAGAATCTCCAATAATAGCTTTACTTTTATTTGATTTCAATTTTTTATTTATATCATTTCGTTGAAAATATTCATTGCCATCTAACGTTCGTTTTCTTTGATGATGATGATGATGTTTTCGTCTGGTGCTATCATCCATATCATCAATAAGCCAATCATCTCTTGGCATATCTTCATTTTCGTTCAGCAAAGCATTTTGTTGTTGTTTTTGTTTCAATGGAAAAGCCACAGAAGATGATGATGTAGTGGTGGTTTTTTTCGTTTTCGATCCAAAATAACGAATCGATTCAATTGTATTACGATATTCTTGACGGGCTTTTTGTGCCATCACCATTGAATCTCTTTCAACATCATCATCAGGAACGGTAATCATATCAGTATCAGCATCACGAATAAATTGATCAGAATTTTCGCTTGAATAAATATGATCTTTTACTAAATTCCTTTTTCTAATAATTGTAGCAGCAGTTGTGGTAGCAGTATTTGCATCACTGTTGTCACTATTGGAACGTTTGAATAATTTTGTTGGATCAAATCCTTTATCCTTCATTAAATCGATCATACGTATTTCAAGTTCGAGACATTGATCAATATCTTGTTTACTCAATTCATTTTTACAACGTTCACGCCAACTTATTAAACATTCGATGGGTGTTTCATCATTAGAATTTCGGGCCAATACATTGGCATTGTAATTAAGTAATAAACGGATTATATCAAAATGTCCACAATTACAAGCATCATGTAATGGCGTAATACGATCACTACGATTATCATATGCTTCAATATTGGCACCCTTTTTCAGCAGATATTCCACTATTTCAATGAATCCATGATTACATGCTTCATGTAATGGTGTCCAACCACAAAAATCTTTGGCATTTATATCAACATTTTGATTGATTAATCGTTCAACTTGTGTAAAATTTCCAGCAATACAAGCCGTATGTAATGGTGTTTCACCAAATTGATTCAAACGACGAATGGATTTATTCTGTGGATTTCTTTTTGGTTTTGAATGAAAATTTTCCGGAATTTCTTCATCATTTTCATTACCATCTGAATCGAATTCCAGTGATAATAAATCAATATCATATCCATCATACATATCATTAATGGTTTCCATTTCTTGTTGATCATCTTTGCCATTATCATCATCACAACAGATTACATTTATAGGATTTAAATTTCGAAACAATTCTTGTAATTCATCTTGTCGAAAACGATTCAATTTGTTTGTCTCGAGAAAATTCAAATAATTTCCAATGGCTTGTTTATAATGTTTGAATTTTTCATTACCATTTTCAATTCGAATGTCTAGATCGATTCGTTCATCACCATCATCGATTGGTGGAAATATTAATATTTCCATCAGATCGGAAAATAATTTCAAACAATTTTCATAATTTTCAATAATCTCTTTTCTCAACACGGCTTTTTCATCATCAATATCTAAATCATCATCGATAGAACGATATAAACATTCCTGGATTTCAGCAATTTTCAATAATGATGTACATTGTTCACAAGTGTTTCCTAGTTGAAAATTATATTCATGTTTAAAATATTCGATCGCTTTTCGATACATGCCACAATCAAGATATGTTTGTCCAATCGATACGTAAATATTGGCGACAAAAGTATCCGATTTATTTGCTTCATTTGCATATAATAATTCTTTTTTATAATATTTAATTGCTTGTTGAAAACATTTTACAATGACAAAATGATCGCCCAATCTATCGCATAATAATATACGTTGATCTAGATCCTGATCATCATTGGTTTCATTGAATTTTTTCAAATCACAATCAATTGCCATCGTTACTTTCAATAATTGTACGACACGTTCTTTATCATCTTCAACATTGATTTTTAGACCATAAGCTTTTTTCAAATATGATTTCACACGATCAATTTGTCCGTCCTGTGTTAGCCATGCCATTGCCAGACAAATGTATGCATCAAATTTTTTTCGTTTCGATTTCAATAATTCCGCTGTTTTCAATGCTTCTTCATAATGATGAATAGATTCCATCATCGTTGTTGTTTGTGAATCATTGGCAATTTTTTCATTAATCGAACCCATTGAAATTTGACAACGAAAAAGTTCATCATATAAATAATTGGCTCTATGAATAACGGTAATCAAAGTTAGTAATGAAATGAAAAAAAAAATAATCTCATTTCCACTCACTTTGTCAATGTAATCGAATCTTTGATCAATTTTTTACACTTGTCAAAATCATGTCGATTTTCATATACAAGACCTAGATTAAGTAAAAGTCTAGATTTCATTTCAGCATATTCTTTTGGTTTTAATTTCCCCGTAGACCTAAGACTGAATGGTACAATGTTATTCATTGGAATCATAGAAAAACAAAAACAAAAATCAATAAATCATTTGGAAAACGAAAGAAAAAAAAAGAAATCTGATATACAAATCTATGATAATTACTTTTCACATAAATCCATTGCTTTATGGAATGAATATTCAGCTTTTTTCATTAAATTATTCTTCTTATCCAACAACGACGACGACGATGATGATGATGATTCTTCTTGTCCCCAAAGTAAATATGTACGACCAATAGTTGCATGTGCACGTTGTATTTCGATTGGATCATTAATTTGTAATGTTAAACGTAAATACAATTCATGTTGTTGTAATGCATCGTCATGTTGATTCATTTCGGAATAACATTCGCCTAAAGCACGACGTGTAATAGCTTCCAATTCACGATTGATTGTTGAATTTTTTATTTTTGTATTACAAATCATAATGGCTTCCATATGTTCATCCATTGCATCATTGTAATGGCCTGATTCACGAAATTTATAGCCCAAAAGATTGGCAATTTCTACACATTTTATTGGATCATTTTTAAATTTAATTTTATCCGCTTTTAGCTCTATATAATTTGAATGATGATTGCAATGACAAAAAAAAATTTCAAAAGCGAAAAAAAATAAAAATAATGGCCAACCTTTAATTGAGGACATTTTTTTTATTGGAAATTTTTTTTTTGCTGAGCAAACAAAATTCTTTTTGAAAATTCTGTTTTTGATGAAAAAAAAATGCTGAAAACTTTAAATGTTTATATATCGCGCAAACACACACACACACACAAACATATTGCTTTGATTTTGGCGGTTTTTATCACGTGAATGATCAATTCATAAATGACAGTACACAATTTTCATTGTCTTCTTTTATTCTTAACATGTCACATCAACATGTTGATTCTGACGACCTATGAACTTTGAGCCACAAAAATTCTGTCACTGATGTTTTTATCATAATGTTTACCGATTAATTGTCCAAATTCTTCAATTTATTTCAGTGATTTTGTTTTGTTTTGTTTTCAATTGATTGATGATACTTTATTTCCAAAAACGAGAAGACCACAAGGTTTGTTCGAATTCAGTGATTTTTTTAAAATTCATTTTTGAAAATACAATTTTCACACGCACACAATGTCCATCGTATTACCTAAAAAGTTTCATTTTCGATTGGTAGATTATTAGTTTTAAAGATTTTTTTTTATCGAAAACAAAGAAATCGATTTTTTTGATTGCTGTTTTTTTTTTTTGTTCATTTTCTCTCATTCATTCATCTACTGATCCAATTTATTTTTCATTTTTTTTTCGTCGTTTTTGGCTTTCCCTTTGTTTATTCATTCCAATGTTTGTTTTAGTTTTACCAAACTAATTCTGTGATTCTCGATAATACAAATTGAACAAAATAGTGACAGGATTTTTTTTTTTATCGTTTCAGAATGAAAACAACAATATCGAAACATGGCTTATAGAAGTCTCAATTGTTGTTGTTGTTGTTTTCGTTATTTTATTTCCTTTCTGGTTCAATTCTGTTTGATACACTTATGTGAGACTGTTCCTTGGAACAACAACAACAACAACAACAACAAAGCAAACTCTGAATTAGGTGAAATACATTTTTTCCATTCTGTGTGGATTAGTAAATGTTCCATTTTTTTTTGTCTTTCTCAATTTATCTCTGTGTGTGTTTGTTTGTTTGATAAAGATGGATCAGATTTGGATCCTAAAAAAAAGAACGAAAAAAAAAATATATTTCGATTCGATACTATCGATTCCCAGAATCGAATAAAAAAAAATGAAAGAATTTATTTTCAATTTTCTTCTCTTTTTTTCTTTTTAGAGGGAACCATCTGATGATAAATGCTCATCTTCAGCTCATATTTCGGTTCTGGATGCCAAAACTTTTTTTTTTTTGTTTTGTTTTCAATTTTCGGAATAGAAATGAAATGAAATTGATTTACACATTTCATTTCTATGTGATAATCTTTTGTTATGATGATCATTGTGATGATGATGATGAAAATTGTTTTCGAACAAACACTATGACTGAGAGAGTAATCTATACTAGAGAATTATGTCTTTTTTTTCTCATTTTCCCAAATTGATTAACACACACACACACATTCTGTTTTTCCACGATGAAAATGGTTTATTCCATAGTTTTCCATGTATGTTTTTTTCCATGTTTTTTGAATTTCCAGATCAATGAAACAACAACAACAACAAAACAGAACTTTTTTTGTATTGAACTTGAAAACATAATCTCCCTGTTTTAGTTTTACTACAGCTGACATATAGAATATTGTGAAGAATCTTTCAAAATATCCATAAATGCTTGTAAATCATTCTGTAAACATCTATATCATAATGTTCATGTTCATTTTTTTTTCTACATCGGTAAAATAGGAAATCAATTAATTTAATATCAAAAAAAAAAAAACAAAACAAAAAAAAAGGAAAACAATCAATTTCCTGTCGATTGGATTTTGAATAGTTCAAAATTTCTCTTGTTTTTCAAATTTGAAATTTTTTTTTCAAATCTAAACATTATTATTATTATTATTATTATGGCCATAAACGAGAAAAATGGCCATCGTCGTCGTCGTTATCCATTTTGTTTTTTTTTTTTTTTGACATGACATTTGTCACTAAATCACTTTTGACTAAATGACTTCGAATCTGGATTGGTTATTGTTATTGTTTCGTGTGTGTGTGTGTGTGTGTGTGTGTGCATGGAAAGCCCTTCGGTTTTTTATAAATATATTTATTTGTTTTCGTCCTCGAAATTATTATATCAACAGAAATAAAAAAAAAACAAAACAAAATCAGTTTCAAAGTTTGTTTGTTTGTTTGTTTATTTGTGTGCGAATGACATTGTCGATTTTTCTATTTTTATTTTCATTTTCATTTTTTTTTTTTTTCTCATCCAAATTGCATTTATCTGACACACAGATATATATATTTCAGTAGTAAACAAACAACTAAGACGGCCATGATTTTGATATTGGTGGTGGTGGTGGTGGTGGTGACGATTGAAAACAAAAAGATTTATTATACAGACACACATTTTGAATTGATGAGTTTTTTTTTTATTTATCTATAAAATTTTCGATGAATCGATAGATATCATTCATTGATAATGTTTGTGGGTGTGAGGGGGGAATCCACTTTTGTTGTTGTTGTTGATGCTGATAATTTGTTCGTTTTTTTTTCTTCGTTTCTATTTTGACATTGAAGTTTTTTTTTTTTTTTTTTCGGCACCATTTCTATTCGTTGTTTGATCATTATGTTTTTGTTGTTGTTGTTGTTTGATTCTGATCGACCAATAGATTTTTTTGGGTGGTTTTTTTCTTGTTACATAGGTAATTATCATTCAAAGGTCAAAGGTAAGAGGCGTGTGTGTGTGTGTATGTGTGTGAAAAGAATCAAGAATTTTTTTTTAATTATTCTCATTAATTAAAATTTCTGATTGGCCATATAAACTTGGTGATGATGATTACATGCATGCATGACATGATTATTTTTAATCATATTCTTGCTCTATATTTAGCGTCATATTCTATGGTTAGAATTATTCGAATGAAAGAAGAATCCTCGATTCTTGAATCATCATCATCATCATCATCATTTTATTATCCGCATTAAAAAAAATTAAATAAATGATGATTCATCATCATCATCATCATCATTTATGATTATGATTGGCAATGAGAAACATTTATTCCATTCATTGCAATACAATCTGTTGTTGTTGTTGTTGTCATGTCTTTTTTTTTTTTTTTTATTTCTTTTCTCTTGTTAAATTTACATTTACATTTAAAAAAAAAAATTTCAAGTCAATTTTGTCCGCTTTCAATTCTGAGTATATGGAAAAATTTTTTTTTTTTTTCACAGTTGTAGGTGTGCCTTTGCATATTGTCAAATTTGAAATTAAAAAAAAAAAATTCTGGGTGGTTCATAGAAAAAAAAGTCGAGAATCGAATCCGGTTGTCATAAAATAAATTCTGTGTTTGTGTGTGTGTGTGTGTATAAAAGTAACATTAATGTAATGAGGAAAGAATTTTTGATGATGATGAAAAAAAAAAACTAATGTCATTTTCTCCCCACCCCGATAATTCACGTCATAGGTGAATATATCAAACATACACACACACACACACATTACATTTATCATTATTTAATTCAATTCTCTCTCTCTCTCCATTTGAATGTTCACATTTTTTTTGTTGTTGTTGTTGCCGAAATGTGTTTAATAATAATGATGATTATTTACCGGCTATAAATATGTTTTTTTGTCGCTGTTGTTGTCGCTGTCAATGTTGTTGTTGTTGAACAAAATTTACATGAATTTTTTTTTCTCTTATTCTCATTTTTCATATCCATATTTGTTTTGTTTGCAATGCACGATTCTGTGTGCAACTGAGAGAGAGAGAGAATGAGAATGAGAGAATACAAGAAATTTGTTACAAGGTTTTTTTTCGGTTCCCGATCGGTAATTTTTTTTTTTTTGTTTGTTTTCATTTGACAAATTCTATATATCGTGATTTATTAACATTGTTTTCTCTTCGTGATAAAATCAAGAAAAATTTTTGTTTGTTACGTTTGTTTTCTGTTTTTTTTTTGTCTACCTTTTTTTTGATTTATGCAATCTGTAGGCAGTTTGTGTGTGCCTAATTATCATGTTTTTGTTGTACCCAGTAAAATTTTCATTTTAAATTAGATTTGTGTTTGTGTGTGTGTGTGGGAAGTGGGGTTGTATGAAGTGATTTGATTCGAATTGACATTGCATTTTTGTGTTCGTGTGTGTTGTGACTAGTTAATTAGCTGTAGAATAATTTTGTTTATTTATCTCGGTTTATTCTGATTAATTTACATTTTTTTTTTCATCATCATCATCATCATTCATCATCCATCAATCGATCACTAAAAAAAAAATAATTTCATTTTTTTTCTCTTGTTCATACAGTTAAATTGATCTGTGCGAAAACAAACACACAAATTCTGCCATCGAAAGAAGAAAAAAAAATCCACCAGAATCTGGCCAAGCTTTAATTAGAACAGTAAATCACAATCATGGATCATTCAGTAAAAGTAATGCACACACATCGTAAAATTGCCTTTTCAAGATTATGGATATTTCAACAACGGCGATTTGAAAATCAAGAACTAGAACAATTATATCAACGTTATATATTTAAATTACAACAAACATCGATAGTATCGGCATTATTATTATTATCACTATTATCGATATCGATTGCGCTATTACAATTCTATTACATACAACATACAGTCACATTGATTGGTATTTATTCACTAATACAGAGTGTCATTTTTTTATTATTATTTTTATCATCATTTCGTATGCACGATACACAGCTATTGGCATTATGTTATGTGATTATATTTTTTTGCATATTATTCTGTTTATTATTATCACCAATTGATAATAATTTACATTATTTATGGAAATTATTGATCAAATGGTCATCATCATCATCATCATCATCTATTGATAATGATACAGCAACGTTAATTTCACAACAAAAGCCTTCCGATGGTTTATGGGCCATTGTATTTGTCATATTTCTTACATATACAATGTTACCGATAAAAATATTGATCTCATTCATGTTTGGCCTATGTATTTCGATAACACATTTATCGATTACAATAATTAATTTGTCGATTATTTCAATAACAACAACAACAACAACAAATACTTCATCAATTATTGCCGTACATGAAAATTTTATTCATAAACAAGTAAGTAATTTCTGTCTTGTTTTATATATTTAATTAATTTTCCATAAATTTGTTTGCTTGCTTGCTTCATCATTATCAATTGAATATGATGATGATTTCATTACGTTTTCGTTTTTCCATGAAAAACTACTATCTATCTATCTATCTAATCTAATTACAACAAAAAAGAATGCTTGAAATCTATGAAAGAAAAAGTAGTGGTAGTAGTAGTAGCAGATGAAGAACCGCGAAAATTATTTATCAGTCATAATTCATAACAAATTGATATGGATGGATTCTTGTATTCTTGGTTGATTGATTTTTTGCGTATCAAGAAAAAGTTTTTTTTTCTACGGCTAAAACACACACATACACACACTCAATTCATGTCTTATTTTCACATTTCCACCATTAAATTATTGATTTTCACCTGAAACTTTGTTTTTTAGCCATATTAGTTTTCTAGTTTTTTGTTTAAACAAATAACTTTTTCAATGTTTGAAAACACACACACACACACACACATGCACCAACGGAAAAAAGGCGACAAAAAGTGAGAAATTATAATAATTTTGAAATGATGAAAACCAAAAACAAAACGAAAAAAAATTTGAATTTCAAACACTCACGTTTGTACATATAAATATACTGTGTTGTTCACCAAGGCATCATTTTCGTACTTTTTGTTTTCTCTCACTGACTGGTTTCTTATCCCCGATTCTTTCTGTGTATTAGATAATTTATGTGTGTGTGTGTGTTAGAAGTAAAGTTTTTCTTCATTTTTTGTCGGTTTGATTTTTGTTTTTTTTCCTTTATTTCTGTAATAAAGTCAAGCTAGGGACTAGAGTTAGTGCATCCAGCGGGAATCGGGAACTTTTTTTCTTTCCACACACACACACAATGATATATTATTCTCGTTGAATATTTATGTCAATGTTTATTGAATACGAAGTTTTTCTTTTTCTCCGGACAATGAAAAGGAAAAAAGAATATTCCCGAGAACCACTAAAAACCAAATGGAATGGTGTTGAAACCACACACACACACACACACAGGAGAGAGAAGGAATTTTTTTTTCGTTTAATTAGTAATTCAAAATTCAAAACCACAAGAATTTTTTTTCAATTTTTTTCGTTTTTTTTTCTCTACAGATAATTGCAAATGCATTGATTTTTTTGGCCGTCAATTTTATTGGTCTATTCACCAATAATCTAATGGAACGTGCTGGTAGGAAAGCATTTTTGGACACCAGAAATTGTATTAATGCACGATTAGATATGGAAGATGAGAATGAAAAATTGGAACGACTATTGTTGAGTGTATTGCCACAACATGTAGCCATGGAAATGAAAGCCGATATATTATCACCACGTGAATTGGGACAATTTCATAAGATTTATATACAGAAACATGAAAATGTTAGCATCGTATTTGCCGATATTGTTGGTTTCACTGTGCTAGCATCACAATGTACGGCACAAGAATTGGTTCGTCTTTTGAATGAATTATTTGGACGTTTTGATCAGCTAGCCAATGATAATCATTGTTTACGTATTAAAATACTTGGCGATTGTTATTATTGTGTTAGTGGATTACCGGATCCAAGATCTGATCATGCAAATTGTGCCGTCGAAATGGGTTTAGATATGATTGATACTATTGCTTCGGTTGTCGAGGCTACCGATGTTAATTTGAATATGAGGGTCGGCATACATAGTGGACGTGTTTTATGTGGTGTACTTGGCCTTCGAAAATGGCAATACGATGTATGGAGCAATGATGTCACTTTAGGTTTGTGATCTAAATTTCTGCCTGAAATTAAACAACAACAACAACAACAACAACAACAAAAACCATTTAATCATGTGAATTGTATTTTTTTCAACATTAACAAATTTTTTTTTTCTATGCATAGCCAATCAAATGGAAGCCGGTGGTGTTCCTGGTCGTGTACATATTACACAATCAACATTGGATTGTCTACATAATGAATATGAAGTACAAGATGGCAATGGTTCGGAAAGAAATTCATATCTTCGTGAGAAAAATGTCAAAACTTATTTTATAATTCCACCACAACAAAGACGTAAGGTAATGATGATGATGATGATGATGATAATGATAATGGTCCCAATGCTATGTGTCATTTCTCATTTCATTTTTTGAACAACAAAAAAAAAATTGTGATCATTGTGTCTACGTGTCTATGTGCATGGAAGGTAGTAGTTTCCATCAAAATGTTTTTCATTTGACATTTTTTTTTCTTTTACTGTTAATCGATTTCAATGTTTTCAATCATGTATATTCTTCTCTCAAATGGTTAACAGTTGTTGACCGTGATTGGTGATATACAATGGTGTTATATGTGTGTGTGTGTTGCTTTTTTGTTCGATTGATCATTTTCAATGAAATCTATGATTTGTTCAATAATCATTTGGTTTCATCATCATCGTTTCAACAACAGGGGAAAAATTTTTGATTATCTCTGATTGATTGAACAAACACAATATGAACGTTCTAGATTGATTGAAATTGATTTTTTTTTTCATTTTCTATTCATTTTAACTGTTTTTTTTTTTTTTGGTTTTTTGTTTTTGTTTGTTCATTTAGCACTTCCTTTTCAATACACTTCATGTACGTCATTTGGCTGGTTCGAAAAGAAAACTTTCATTCAAAAATGTATCCAATGTGGTTATACAATTGTTACATTCGATTAAATATTCAATCGATGTGCCATTTGCAAATATGGCAATGTTAGGAAATAATAATTGTTGTTCTTCCATTAATAATAATAATAATAATAATAACAATAACAGCAACAACAATAATTTGACATTATCCACTGGAATTGGTGGCAATGAAATTACATTCAATAAAAAGGTAATTTTTCATAGGAAAAGAGAAAAAAAATCGTTTCCGATTCTCTTTTTCCTGATTCGAATACCTATAATTTAATTAATTTTGTCTTTTGTTTTTCCCTGGCTACAGTTTCAAGGAACAGATGATAATAATTTTCGTAAACCATTCAAAAAACGACATTCAATCATTTATCATCAACAAAATGCAACAACAAATCGTGTTAATAAATATCTATCACAAGCAATTGAAGCTCGTTCCGTTGACCAGGAAAAATCTACCCATGTCAATCTGTTAACATTGTGTTTCAAAGATGAACAAAAAGAACGACAATATGGTGAAGAAAAAGATCGTGGCTATCTAATTGCATTGGTTTGTTCATTGATATTATTATGTCTACTGACGGCATTGGAATTTATTATATTAAGCAAGCAAGTTTGTTATATACATTTATTATGGCAAAAAAAAATTAATTAATCAATATTGATTACAGGACCATTATTTTGGAAATATTATTTGTTGTCACTTTTGTTTGGATATCAATTATGATTATATTGATTCTGGCAGCTCGATTAGAGGTTAGTGGCTGAAATGATAATAATAATTTATATATCTCAATCGATTCGTTTATTAACTTTTTTTTGGTTTGTTTTATTATTAGTGCATTAAATGGGATATTTCGAAAGTATTTCTGGTTCGTTTATCCACCATCATTTCATCGATAGTTTTTATCTATTCTATTGCTCAAATCAATGTGGTAAGTCATATAATTATCATCAATTTTTTATCAATTTAATCAATCCAATTTTTTTTTTCAATCATCATCATCAACGATAAAAAATAGTATACATGTCTAGATGATATGGCCTGTAATTATCAGAATCATACATTGATTATTGATCCACAATTTATTGAGATGCCTGAATTTAGCCGCCTATGTCCATATCCACAATACATCATAATGTCTTGTGTTGTATCATTTTTTTCATTGGTCATATTTTTACGTTTACAAATGTTATTCAAAGCAATATTATTGATACCAATGGCGATTGTTTATATATTGCTTATTGAATATACACATTTCAAGACTATTTGAATGTATTTATGAGTAAGTAGTAATAATTTGTATATAAAAATCATATTTACCAATATTCAATGCAAATTTGTGTGTGTTTGTGTTTGTGTTTCTTGTTTCAGATACGATGTACCATTACATGTTACTGGTCCGTTAATTATATTACATTTTGTTTTGGCCATACTATTACATGGTAGACAAGTGGAATGGACAGCTCGGCTAGATTTCCTATGGAACTCACAAGCAAATGATGAAAAAACTGAAATGTTGGAATTACAAAATAGTAATCGGCGAATTTTATTCAATCTATTACCATCACATGTTGCTACACATTTTCTTGATAATCAATTTCGTAATAATATGGTAAATAGAAATAGTGGAAAAAATTCTGTTTTAACATTTTTGATTCAATCACATATATAGGATCTATATCATCAATCGTATGCCAAAGTTGGTGTATGTTTTGCTTCTATACCGAATTTTATGGAATTCTATGTAGAATTGGATGGTAATAATCAAGGTGTCGAGTGTTTACGATTGTTGAATGAAATCATTGCTGATTTTGATGAGGTATGTTTAGTTTTGTTTTCCGTAAACATTCATAATCAGGGATTTTTGTTGTTGTTGTTACAAATCAGTTATTGGATCAAGAAAAATATAAACCAATTGATAAAATAAAAACCGTTGGAAGTTGTTATATGGCTGCAATTGGTTTAATACCACAATATCGTATACCGGAAAATGATACTATATATGCGGCAGAAAATATGTCCTGTTTAGTTGATGTTGTGTTCGATATGAAAGATCGTTTGGCTGAAATTAATGATAATTCGTATAATAATTTCATGTTAAGAGTTGGACTGAATATTGGTCCCGTAGTGGCCGGTGTTATTGGCGCCCGTAAACCACAATACGATATATGGGGCAATACGGTGAATGTTGCATCAAGAATGGATTCTACTGGCTTACCAAATCACATTCAATGTACTGAAGAAGTTTATCAGCTACTTAAAGTATTTATTATTATTTTCTTTCTGTTGTCATTATCCGAATTAGTCATTAATTGAAATTTATTTCTTTCTCAACTATTATTATTATTATAGGACTATCCATATGAATTCAAATGTCGTGGTACGGTGAATGTAAAAGGCAAAGGAGAAATGACTACTTATTTTTTGTTACATAAAAAAAGTAATCATAAACCATTCAAAGCTATACGGCCAAGTAATATTGATGCATCGAAATCTGGCCAAAATGGTTCGACTACGACAACAACAACAACAACAAATAATTTTAAAGTTAAATCACAACAACAACAACAACAACCGAATAATCAATTTTTTCCATCATCAAACAATGCTTCACATTCAACAATAAATATTGTTGAAAATAGTGTCAACGAAAATCAACAATCAAATGTCGAACATAGTCCGAACAAAACATTTATGGATCGACTACATGCATCAGCTAAATCATCACGTCAACATAAAGATCAACGATTATCTGTTATTGGTGAAAGTTTGCCATACATTATTCGTGATAAGGAAAGTAATTTATTTCAACGTTCTCAAGGGAATCATCATCTATGCTATAATGAACCCAAGCCAATCATTTTGGGCAAATCTCCGGACAAATGCCGGTTAATGGTCAAAGAAAATTCTTGGGAATCTAGCGAGCCAATCTAATAATAATAATAATAATAATAATCCAAGAGGAATTGAACTCAATCCAACAACAATAAAAACTTTGTTGATTGGCACGAATATTATTGAAAAAACAAATCCAAATGATCTATTTACTGGTGATGATTCTGGCAAAAAATTACAGCATAATTTCTATTTTGATGATGATGCACTTTCAAATATAAAATCACAAGCTATCGAAAGGGAAAAACAACGGAATATTTTCTCTCCAGCCATGTCTCGTTGTACGGCATTTTCAGTGGCCGATTCAACTAAAGCTACAATAGAATCAGCGGAAAGTTTGAATAAACTTTTAGTTGATGGTGATGATGATGTTGATGATGTTGGTAAAAATCGCCAACAGGATGAATCATCATCAATCTATAATATTTCATCCAATTCTTCGAATCAAAGTTGTCAATATGGACAGATAATCAAGAAAAACTATACAAAAGAATGTATTGAGAATAACTTTTATAATAATGATAATAATCGTAGCCGAAATCTTGCCATCAAAAGTTTCCAGAATAATAATAAAAAACGGAATTTATTCAATATTGATTTCCCAATGGATGATTTGGTTTATAGAAATTATCGAAACGATGACGATAATAATAGACAAAAATCCATTGAAAATAATCAACAACAACGAATTCATCATCACCAACAAAATGCAATGAAAAGAATGTCATATCAACATTTCATTGGTGGTCAAGAGCCAACTAAACCTATTTTGCACAACAACAACGTAATCAACGTCATTATCAAGCACATAATTCTCCATTGATTGTACATCGATTTTATCATATAGATTCTGGGCCAGACAATATTGGACAGCGTCAATCATCATCATCGCCATTATTGATGAACAGTTGTGTTAACAACAATGACAAGGCCAATTTTCAATCGGACAATCGTAAAATTGTCAAGTGTAAACCAATGGAAAATCAATTGAATCGTTATCATTTATCGGATAAAAATTTCAATTATAAACAACAAGAACAACCACAATTTTCAATTTCAAATGAAAGTGATGATAATAGTAGTAGTGAAGATGATATGAATTCTGTAGCCGCTTTAGTTGGAAAAACAACAACAAGTATACCGCCGCCGCTTCTGGGAATCAAAAATTGAATCAACAACAACAACGATTCAATCTCACAATGGCAAACAACAGTAATGATCAATATGGAAAAATTCGAAAAAAACTTTCATCAACAGAAAATATGGGCCAATCTATCGATAATAAACCACAGCAAAACCGCATTTTTTCTCCTAGTTCAAATTCATCACAATCAATGGATTGTTCACAAGTTTCAAATTTAATTTATGATAATGATCAATTTAAGCCACCAAAATGTTTGAATGCCGATGAAATGAACAAAATTAATAGACGTTTTGATCGTATTAGAAATCCAACAAATGAAACGGTTAGCCATTTTGATGATAATGCCAATTTGATATCATCGAGCATCCCAAATTATTCGCCTGATGATGACAGTGATAATCATCGAAATGTTTCTTTCATTGAAAATACACGACCAGATTATGAATCTGATGATTCTTATTATGCAGAAGATGAAAATGATGATCATGTTAATAATAATAATAATAATAATTTCTCGCCAATAAATAGACATCAATTTATCAGTGATAATGAATCAAATTCTAAACATCGAACATCAAAAACTCATGATTGTTCAATGGATGTTACGTTGTTAGAACAATCAATGGCAACTACGACAAATGCTACGGAAACTTTTGCTGCAAATAATGAAAATCTAACCGAAGATGATGGTGGTTATCTTGATAATGGTGCTATTAGTGATCTTAATTCAATGTTCAATGAATGTCCAGATAGCCGTATGGAAGATTTTGATCGAGATTTTGAACCATTTCGACACAACAATCATTCATTTATAAGACCACTTCGTTCTATAGAAGATATTCTACTAAATGATTGTGATGATGGTGAAAGTATGATTTCGATTGATAAATCTTCAAGTGTACATGAAACAACCGATTGTACAAGTGAATTTTTATATGATTCAGATGCAGCATTCAATCAACAGGCAACAGGTTTTATTGATACATCAACATCGAATATTATTTCCAATAATAATAATCATGATAAATTATTGGTAACCGATTTGGATAGTCTTGAAAGTCATTTTGGTTTGCCATTGTTACAAAACGATAATCAACCAATCGATGATAATCGATTATCACCATCATCATCTAAACATCATCATGATTCAAAATGTTCATTCGACATCAATATGAATCATCATCATAATAATAATAATAATAATAACAACCAAACAATTCATTCAGATATTGTAATGGCCAATAATCATCAAGATGAAAATAGAAATGAAATTAATGTTTAATTTTCACCACAAAATAATCATGTGATCTGTTTGTTTTTTCATTTTTTTTGTATTTTTGTCGATTAAAACGCACATGGACAATCATTTCATTTCATTTTATTTTGTTGTTGTTTAATTTTGATTTATAAATTAAAAAAAAATTTTATTTCTAACAAAAGAAAAATTTAAATTGTTTAATCATCACTTTATATTAATCTTCGTTTTGAAATTTTTTTTTTATACAAAAATCAAAATTGAATTGAATTGAATATAATCATCATTCAAAAATGGAATGATATTCTTGTAGTATAAAATCAATGATTTGACTTTGTTTCACCTGCAACATCATATCGACAACCAAATTATTTAAATCATTCATTTTACGTATTAATGTTGGTCCAAAAACAATGGCCAAATTTTGTATATGCATTCGATTCTGTTTACTGTGTTTAGTTACCCTTGATGAATGTGGAAAAAAAAGAAACGATTAATAATCGATTAATCACCATTAAAAACTTTAAATTACCGAAGTAAATGTTCCATAATAAATTTCAATGTTTGATAATTTGGTTCCGGCAGATTATTTATCAGATTTTTCAATAAATCAAGTTTAATTTTTTTATCATCGATTTCTGATGGATGGAAAAAAAATCAATCAATCAATGTTAAAATTGATTCAAGCAAAACACTGACCATTCAAATTAATAAGACTTTCGAATCGATCATATGGAAATAGTGGTTCTTTCATTTCACGAAAAAACATTTTCAATAATCCAGTAAGTACATGAACATCTTGTTCTTTCCAAAGATTTTGATAATTTTCTTGATTTATTTCGAAACGTAATTTTTGTACTGTGGATAAATTTCCACAAGCTCTATAAAGACCATCGGCTGTAATATCATTCTTTTCAATTGCTTGTACACATTCTTGAACAAATCTTGGTATTCGAGAATTTTCACGTAAACATATCAATTCTAATGTACAGCCGAAAACATTTTCATCTTTTATGATGCCTTTCTCACGAAGACTTTCAAGTGGTGGACGTTTCTTTAGAAAATTCAATAAACGTTCACGTATCTTTTTTTTCTTATCATTAATTGATGGTGGTGATGGATAGATGAAATTCGTAAAAGCCACTAATTGTACTAGATCCTTGCATTTGAAAATCTTTTATAACTGGCCGATTATCTATATTTTTTCGAAAAAAGAGAGGGTGAATTTTTGTTTTTGTGTTTATAAATATCATATATACTTTTCTGTGAACGAGATCTTCGAAATCCAGTATCATCATTTCTTTTTATGAAATTTGTAATCGGTATCTATAATTGATCAATCAATCAAGAAAAAGATCAATAACAATTTTGTTGTCACAATTCAAAAAAAAAACTCACCAATTCATTTATACATTTATGTATACATTCTTTCCAATGATAACTTTTTTCACGATCATCATCTTGAATTAATGTTTCACAGTCAAATGTAATTAATTTGAAACAATTTTTTCTACTCGATTCATTTGAACACCATTCAACATTTGCATCAGTCAATGCGATAATGAAATCTGGTTTATGGGACTTTTAAAAAAAAAAAATATAAAACAAAGAAAATCCACAAATATTCAACATACCGAAAGCATATTTTTTTGATCTTTAAAAAAATACAGATAATGTTTTGTCAGCACGGCATATGATTGGGTCCAATTTTTTCTTTTTGATTTGCCAGAAATTTTTGTTCGTGTTTGAACAAGATAATCACGTAATATAATCTGTTGATTGATTGTTTCATAAATTTGAAAATTTAGATTTTTTTTTGTTTGTTATTGTTACATACATCAGAAACATCCAATTCATTTTTAGGTGGTGGCAGAAATTCTTTATAATCTTGAAATGGACGAGAATGTTTAAATTTTCCAGAAACTTTAATACCTGTTGTTAGACGAATAACAACAAGAAAAAAACAATTTGTTAAAATCATCATCATTATTCAATCAATCAATCAAACATTTGTATCGTATTTATACCTTGATTTGAATTATTCAACGATGATGGCGAAATCATTGCTACTGAATGTGCTTTAATATTTCGATCATTGTTGATGATCCTGATGTTATTACTCTGATTATTGATGACATTCATATCTATAACAGAAAATGAAAAAAAAGAAATTATACAGTCATGTATCGAATTTATGAATGTTGATAATTTAATAAATCATATCATTGATTTATTTATCGATTGATTAATTTACTTACATTTATGATTTTCATTTTCATCGGAGAAATCCTATCATGTTTTTTTTCGTTTTCAATGAGAAAAAAAATAATAAAAATCGATAAAGATTTTAACATGGCAACAACAACAGCAGCAAAAAAAAAAAAAGTAGAAAACACCCTTGAAGATAAATCAATACCCACCTCATCGGTTTCTTCTTTTGGTCGAATCGATCGAATTAAACGATTCGAATTGGCCGAATCAATCATCGTCATCATCATTGCATTATTCATTTGTATTCGATTTGATGTTGCCGAAGCAGCAGCATCAACAGCAGTAATAGTGGCCATTGTTTCTTGATGATTTTCCTGTAGATATATTCTTCCTTTATCATCTTTTCCACAGAACCACTGCAAAAAAATGAACAAAAAAAAGAAATAATGATTATTGATTATTGATTAAAAAAAAGTTAATTTGAATTTGATCGAAAAAACGTGGACACAAACAAACAAAGTGAATGAATGAAAAACCTTTTCAAATTCTTCTTGTGTAAAAAGATGTCCATCTTCACCAAGAATTGGTGAAAAATTATCAAAATTTAAATGATGATTATGATTATTTGATTCTAAACTTTGAGCAATATCATAGAAAGATTTGGATAATTCATCCAATGATAATGAAATATTTTGTCTACGCAGATTATTTGACATTTTTTTTTAATTTGATTGAATTGCTATTATTATTGTTGTTGTTGTTGTTGTTTGGATTAGAGAAAAACCAAAAGTTTTTTTTTTTTTGGTTTATGCAAACAATTCAACTTTTAGGATTAATAAATGAAAAAATCAGACCAAATTGACAAAAACAAATTATTTTTATTTCCTATTTTTGAACACACAAACACTGCATTGAGTGAGTTAGTGTGTGTGTGTGTGCATAGACAGCACCCTAATTTGTCGTTTTCGCTAACGGATATTGAATTCTAATTGTCGGTTTTTTTTCTGCCTGAATGATATGTTCATTTGAACAAAAATGAAAACAAATTGTCCTCATTCATTTCTGGCCAAAAAAAAAAAAAAATACATGCTATATAATAATGTTTTTGTATAATTGAAAAAATTGATTATTTTAAATTGATTTCAATAGAAAAAAAACGTTGTAAAAAAAATCACCTACTTTTTTACCAGAATTATCGACAAGAAAATAGCCAATATTATTATTGGTCATCGTTCGATCATCATCATCATTATGAATGATATATGGTTGCCATTCATTTGGTGGATGTTGATTTAATAATTTTGCTATAATAATTAATGGATTTTGTTGCTGTTGTTGTTGTTCATCGTGATCATCTAATAATGTTGATGATGGTTGCAGCTGTGGCGGCATCTGTGATGATATCGTTTGATTGCCATTATCATTACCATTAATAATCGTTGGCTTTATTCGTTTAATAATTTTTGATGATTTATTGAAACTAGCATTTCTTCGTAAATTGGCTAATAATAGATCATCATCATTGAAATTTTGTACAATTTTTTTCACCCGATTACTTAAAAATATTTCACTATCACTATCATAATGTTCTTTTGATGATGGTCTTGTAGTAATGTTTCTATTTTTGATCTTTCTACCATCGAATTGTCGTTGTTGTTGTTGTTGTTGTTGTTTTGTTGCTGTTCAGCTTGTCGAAAATCATGTTCATCAATTTTTGTGGTTATTGTTGTCCGCCGTGGTGGTTTCCACGATGTAATATTATCACGTGAATTGTAATAGAAAAACCGGCCATTTTCATCATAATATTCTAGCCAATGATCACAGATCCATCGATTCATTCGAACATTTGCATCAAAAATTGATGGTGGTGATGATTTTTTAAACATTTCATCATCATCATTATTATTATGATTATGATTATGATGATGATGATTATGATTATGATTATCAATCATTCCATAAATTGGTAGATTAACATATAATGGTGTTTTTTATCATCATTATTATTATTACGATATTTTCTTGGTTTTATAGCTGGAATTTTACCAATTGTTGTGATTGATGTTTGATGATTATGATCATGACTATTACCAACATTATAATAATGTTGTAAATCAATTGCATCCAATAATGATTCATGACTAGATGATTCGAATGCTTCATCCGATTCTCTTTCTTCATCATCATCATCATGTTCGACTATTTTCATCCTATTCATATCAATTGTGGACATTTTTGTCGCCATAGTCGTTGTTGTTGGTGAAATTATCATTTTCGAATGATTATGATGATGATGATGATGACGATGATGATCATTCAACATTTCCGTCTTTGAAATTAATGATGATGATGAAGATGCAGATGATGATAATGTATGTTGATGATCATTATTCTTCTCTTCTTCTTGTCGACAATAATCTTGTTGTAAAATTATATGTGATGATGGTACAAGTAAATAATTGTTTTCACCTTTCACTTTCGATGACAATGATTTCGATGATGATGATGATGATGATGATGCTGATGACAACGAATTATTATGATGATTTGGATCAAAACGCCACCATTTATCATCAATTTTATCAATTAAAATTAAATGATCACCTTTTTTCAGATCAACAATTAAATGATTATCAGATGAATAACTGAAATCATGTGTCAGTATTGCTTGTATTGATTTCATGTGATTTTTTTTTTTTTTGTATGTTGTTTATATATGAAAATCAAATGAAAAAAACAACAAGAAAATTTAACACAACAAAAACAAATCTAAAATTGAGTCTTAAAGGTAATTGATGATGATGATGATGATGATGATAAAAAAAGACACACATCAGCGTAATAAGTTTTTTTTTCAAAAAAAATCTCTCTTTCTCTTTCTTATCATATAGATCACAAATACCCAAATACAGATTTAATTGACTGGCATTTTTTTTTCTCTGGAATGAATCATAACAACAGTGATGTTGTTGGATTATGGAGAGAAACAAAAAAAAAACACCGATAACGATATGCAATCAAAAAAAAAAAAGAAAATGGTAAGTTGTGTAGATGAAATTGAGGATTTTTTTTCTGTTTCTGTTTTTCAATTTCGTTTTTTTCTCTGTTCATAATTATCAATTATTGATCATCGATGATCATCGATGATGATGATAGAAGCTAATCATGTAGATTATTATGTAATAATCACCAAAAAGAAAACAAATTCATTCATGTTCAAAGCGAAACAAAAAAAATCGATCAAATCGTGATCAAACAAACACCACACACTATAATAACAACAGCAAGCATACGCTCACATACAAAACAATATATTTTTTTTTTTTTTTTTTTTTTTTTTTTTTTGATTGACAAATATAGATCATCATCACCGAAGAAAACTGAATATCAAGACAAAGACAAAACAAAACGAACGTCTATAATGAACGTAAAACACACACACATATGAAAAATCATCACCATAATAATAATAATAATTGTCATATATATAATCAGAAGAAAACTTCAATCTTTTCCATTTTATATTTACTTTATTATACTTATTTTTTTCGTGTTTTCTTTCTCTTTCGAAAAAAATAGACTGCCAGTTTGTTTGTAAGTATAGTTTTTCATCAATGATTTTTGTTTTTCACTCCCCAAAACACACATAAATCACCTATTTATATACATTTTTTGTTGTTGTTGTTGTTGTTGTTTTGTTGCATAATATAAATCTATATTCCATTTATGCATTGAAAGATTGACAAAAAAAAATGAAAAAAAAATAACGAGAACAAAAGGAAAATGAACATGAACGAAATGAGAATGGTTGATGAATAATATGGACGACGACGATATATAGTCATGTAGTAGTATTGTGCATATTGGATATTTGTATCACGACAACAACAACAACAACAAGATGATGAAAAAGATTCCAAAACAAGATGAATTGAGAAAAATGAGAGAATTCACATTCAACAACAGAACATGAAAGAGTATCCCGATTAGATGATTAGTAAAGCAGAAAAAAAAATTGATTTACCATGAAAATGAGAGACGATATAACTAGATTGAGATGATAGAGAGAGAGAATGGAATAAAAAAAGATTGAGAGAATTGCACAATTTCAATGATGATGATGATGATGATCATAATACAATCATCGACATTTGTTTTAGATTTTTATTTCCATTCAATGAATGAATGAATGAATGAATTGAATTGAATTGAAAGAAGAAACTTTCAAATATAACGGTAATTTTACCTGATGTTTCGCCTGAATTTTAAATGAAACACACACACATACACACAAAGTGAAAAAAAAAGAACAGCCATCAAACAACAGGTTGCAATGTAATTTTTTGTGGTGGTGGTGGTGGTGGTGCTGGTGATGGCATATATTTAATTTCTGGTTCTTTTTTATATATATATATAAATTACATATATACACGGTTGAATGATTTTTTTTTTGTTTGTCGGTCGGTCGTTCTGTTAGTTTGGTTGTTTTTATTTCTCTTTTTTTATTCAATATTTGAATAGTGATTTTTTCTGGTTGTTGTTGTTGTTGATGTTGGCAGTCGCTAAAGAAAAAAAGAGTATCGCTGTTGTTGTTTTGGTAAATTTATCCTGAATTTATTGTGCCATGTCATGTCATGTCATGTCATGTGTCATCGGTGTGTGTGTTATGTCATGCACTGGTTTATCAATCGATTGGTTGATCGATCGATCGATCGTAGTTGAAGAAAATGAACGAAATTTTTTTTTTTTTTTTGGTTTACTTATTCGGTACATCAATCTTACCGGACGACGACGACGACTATATAATTTGATGTGATGGGATCTAAATTTTTTTTGTTGTTGTTGTTTTAAACATCAAAATGAACAAACGTCAATCCTTTCAAGTCTTATATGATGTGTATAGATTTTGCTGCCAGGATACACACACACACAGAGACGAATTTTGGCTGAAAAATCAACATAATCTCTATGTGTGTATGAATGAAATGAGAGAGAGAGAGAATCAAATTGTCAACTAAAAATCGACAGAAACACAAAATTAAATCGTTTGGGTTTCATTCGTTGATTTTTAATGACTAATTATCATCATCATAATCATCATGATTATGATGATTATGACAGTTGGTTTATTGGTTGGTTGGTTGCCTAGATGACATATAGTGATGATGCTACTACTAATATTATATATATGGTTGACAAGAACAAAACATCATTGGCATTTTTTTTATGGATTTGAATTTCGATGTCCTTTTCCTGATATATAATCTGCCAGTCATTGATTTTGATTTTGATTTTTTTTTCACAACATACAGGAAATTGACCTAAATATGAATGAATCAATAATTAATATTCTGTACGGTTATTTTCGGTTTTATTTTTTCCATTTTTTTGTTTTTTTTTTTGCTCTCTCACTCACTTTCTTTCTCTCTCCCTCTCACACAGGCACACAACATGAGAGGTCTTTGACTTTCATCGGTCTATTTAAAAAAAAAAAATAAAAAATCCACAGCTGAATGTCACACTGTGAATTGATATTGATTATGATGATGATGATGATGATAATAAATTTGCAATTAACGTTCAAATGATATCAATGATGTACAAGCACACCATGTATTTATCATTATCAATGAACCATATGAGTGATGATATTCATGAGAATTTTATTTTTAAACTCAACTTTTATGAACTTTTAATTTTATGGTGCCGGCAAAGAGCAAGAGAGAGAGGGAAAAAATTTGGGTTGAAAAAAAGATGTCAGCCATCTGTTTAATAATTGATTAATAACCAATCTATTTTTAAAAATTTTGAATTTTGGTGCACTTTTTTTTTGTTGCTGTCATATATATACGTCCTTTATGAATGATGTGTGAAAATTCTTAAATTGAACACGTGTGTGTTTGATTGATATTGATATTTTTTTTTTGTTTATTTCGAAATCATTTTATTAAACATCTTAGAATTAGAAAAATGGATGACTTTAAACAACTTGGCATTAGTAATTGGCTTTGTAAAGCATTAAAATCATTGGGCATCACTAGTGCATCAAATATTCAACGTGAAGCAATACCCGTTATTTTATCATCAAAACGACCAAATGTATTTGCTTGTAGCCGTACTGGTAGTGGTAAAACATTGGCATTTGTTTTGCCAATCATTGAAACATTGGTACGTGAACCACGGCCATATTATTCATTGATATTATCACCAACACGTGAATTGGCTAATCAAATCTATGAAATGATCAAAGCATTAACTGTGAATACATTTTCCGTGAAAACATTATTAATTATTGGTGGTCAAAATCAAGAAGAAGAACAAGGTTTATGGTTTGGAAAACCAAACATTGTTGTGGCCACTCCTGGCCGTCTATTAGATTATTTTACTAATCGTAATTTTTGGACATTTGTGGACAAATATCAATGATTCGATTTGATATGCTCATTCTGGATGAAGCTGATCAATTAATAAGTCCAGGATTTTGTCATCAATTGAAGGGCATATTGAAATTTTTCGATGATATTGCTGAAAACGAAACAACAACAAAACATCGACGACAAACATTATTATTTAGTGCAACATTGACACATGCATTGGAAAAACTGCAAGAAATAATAACGAAAAAAGATAATGATATCAAACCAGTAATTATTAATCTATTACCTGCAATTGATGATGTTAAAACCGAATTGGCAACCAATTCTAGCCTAGATCAACGTTATCTTCTTTGTCCAGAAGCCATTAAAGTTGTTTATCTTGTTGAATGTATTCTGGATATAAAATTCAAACAGCTGATCATTTTTTGCCAAACAAAAAAAGAAGCCAATCTTATTCATAAGGTATTACTATCGCTTGGATTCGATGGACCAGAATTTAATCTAAATCCAGTGCTATTGAATTCAAATCTAAAACAAAATCTACGATTTGCAGCATTAGAAACATTTCGTTCATTGAAATCAAAAATATTGGTCACAACCGATATAGCTAATCGTGGATTGGATCTACCACAAGTTGATTTGGTAATCAATTTTAATTGTCCAAAATCTCCAATAATTTATATTCATCGTGTTGGTCGTACATGTCGTAAACCGGATTTTCGTTATGAACAACAACCGAATATTGAACAAACCGATGATGATGATGATGACGACTACAATGAAGATGACACGGATGATGAACAAAATCGTAAACGTAAATTGTATGGTAAAAAAAATCCAAATGCAATAAAACCACGTGCAAAGAAAATTTCCAAATGTCAATCATCCATTTATCTGGGAAATCAATTACATTGATAACACAATATGATTTAGAATTATTCAAATCGATTGAATCATATATCGGTATCAAAATGGAATCACAAGAAGTGGATGAAAAAAATGTCACACAAATCATCAAACAAACAGCCATCGCTATCAAAGAAGCCCAAATACGTATCGATCAAGAGACTCAAGAATCAAGTCGATATCAGAATATCAAGCAGAATAAAACAATGAAAAGGCAAAAATTGAAATGAAAAAAAATCATCAGATGTCAGATGTTTTTATTTATTTTTTTGAAATCTATACTCTGTAAATACAATATTTGTGTTGAAATAGTAGTAATTGAAATGAAAATGAAAAAAAATTAGTTTTTTAAAAATGATTGAAAAATTCTATTTCCACAATTTTTTGATAGACATATTTTTTTCTGCATCTTTTTGCATCACTTTAGCAACGGCCATTTCAAAATCTTCTTGTGTTACGTGTACACGACGTTCACGAAGCGCATACATTCCTGCTTCGGTACAAACACCTTTAACTTCGGCACCGCTTGCACCGGGCATAACTTCGGCAATTTTTCTTAAATTAATTCCACGTGTAAGATTCATTTTACGTGAATGAATTTTCAATATATCTAATCGTGCATCTTCATTCGGTGGTGGAAATTCAATTTTACGATCAATACGACCAGGACGTAATAATGCCGGATCCAATATATCGATACGATTAGTGGCCATAATTACTTTTATGTTTTTTGTAGCTTCAAAACCATCAAGTTGATTCAATAATTCCAACATTGTACGTTGTACTTCGCTATCACCACCAGATCCAGATTCTATACGTGATGAGCCAATAGAATCAATTTCATCCATAAAAATGATTGATGGTGCATGTTCACGAGCCATAACGAATAATTCACGTACCATACGTGAACCTTCACCAATAAATTTCTGTACCAATTCTGAACCACTTACACGAATGAATGTACAATCAGTGTGATGGGCGACAGCACGTGCCAATAAAGTTTTACCGGTTCCAGGTGGTCCATATAATAGTACACCTTTCGGTTGAGCAATACCAAGTGCTTCAAATAATTCTGGATGTTTTACAGGCAATTCTATAACCTCTTTGATCTCTTTGATTTGTTTATCTAATCCACCGACCATTTCATATGTTGAATCTGGAACTTTTTCTACCATCATAAGCGATACAAGTGGATCAACTTTATTTGGCAATATTTTATGCAATAGATATGAATCATTTCGTAATGCAACACGACTATTGGCTGTAACATCATTAATATCAATATTTTTATCAATATCGACAACAAATTTGCCTTCAGGATGAACTTTTACCAAAACTTTTTTCTTATCCATAGGTTTGACAACCTCACCAACATAGGAACCTTGTTCCTGTAACAATTGCAATTCTTCACGAAGCATACGTACTATAATTGTTTAAAGAAAAGAAAGATTAAAATTAAACAGAAAAAAAAATTTTAATTCAAACACACAAACCTTTAGCATTAAGTTCATTTCGTTGTGCTTGTAAACGTCGTAAATTTTGTGTCTTTTCATTGACAACCAATTGTAATTCTTCGATTTTTGTTATATAATATTGACGAAGACCATCACCGGCCGGTCTTTCATCAATGTCCATTAATTTAATGACCATAATTGTTTTTTTTTTTTGAAATCAAGACTTTAATCAGATCAAATCAAATGATGAAGAAAAAAAAATTTCAACACAATCAAATCGAACAATCATTAACAACAACAAAAAAACTTGCAAATTCATTGCATCAATCCAATAGGGATCATTCATAAAGGAGATGATTTTTTTTTCATACAAACGCTGATAGATGGCAGTCTGATCATTGTGATAAAAGTATGCGTACGCGCATTTAAATAAAAAAAAATGCATACATGTGCATGTACATTGAAATATTACGATGATGGTGATTGTGTGATGGTCTCTTGTGTGTTTTGTGTGTGTGTGTGTGTTTCGACTTTGTATATTTGCCCACACACACACACACAAACACATTTGCCAAATTGCCAAATTGTAAAAAAAGAAAAAAAAATTTCGACAATTTTCATATTTGATTTTTGTTTGTTTGTTTGTTTGTTTGTGTCCACCAGCAGCACCACCATCATCATCAACCACGCCGTAAAAAATATCCAAAAACATTCGAAAAGAATTTTTTTATCGTTTTGGAAGAAAACATCATCATCATCATTGATTGTAATTGTAATTGTAATGAAATGAATAAAGTTTTTTTTTAAATCAAGAAAAAAAATCGGCAAATATTTTTTTCATTTCGTCATCATCATCATCATCATTTTGTTTGTTTTTCTCCTTTCTCATTCTTCTCTTTTTTTTCTCGCCGTTTATCTCGATTTACAACGACAAACAAACGAAAACATTTAAAGCCATTCATCATTCGAAAAATAACTACAACAACGACGACGACGACAACAACAATTAATAACAAAGTGAAACGAATCGTAACAATTCAATATCGCATATTTAATAATTTTGTTTCAATTTAAAATTTTTTTTTCTCTTCATAAATTGATTTGTGGTGTTCAACATTCCATAGGCAAAAAAAGGTACGTTTTTCCAATTTTGAAATAATCGAATGTGTAAATTTTAATTCGAACGTTTTAACTCCTATTTGTCTGTATAATGTGTATTTGATTAGTCCACCACCAGTTTATTAGATAGATTTTGATATCAGAATTTTTTATTTCCATTTTAATCAGCCTGATGATAATCTCCCTCTTACCAGCAGATGCAGCAGCAGCAGTCATATTTTTTTTGTCCCAACATTTTTATGTCATCATTTTTTTTATATTGCTACACCAGCACACATTGATTATCATTCTGATGGTCTGGTTTTCTCCGGATTTTTTTTTTTTTCATCCAATATTTCATTTTATTTTTCCATTTTTTTTTTATTAATCGAGTTGCATATGTTTTGTGTCTGTGTGTTGTGCCAATTTCACTTTCAATCAACATCATCATCGGTTGTCGTTTTTTTGATGTGAAAAAAAAGAAGGAAAGAAAAATTTGAAGCTGAATCTTGTTTTACATTTTTTCTCTCAATTTTTTTTTTTGTTGTAAAGATTCATTGCATGCAATGTGTGTATGTGTATGAAGTAAAAAAAACTACAGTAATATACCGTTTAACGGTCTTTCAATTTTTATGAACTTAACACCTGCATTAAGTGAGGTATTACTGTATTTTTCTCTTTTTGAAAAATGAGATTTTTTTTTATCTTTTTTTCTTCTCGAAGACTAAGACGATGACAAGACAATCGTGGTTGATGATGATGATGATTATTATACAGTATATGGAGAGATGAGACGGCAAAGGAAAAGAAAATTCCATTCTTGAAATATTGCTTTTCCGCATTTTTTTTTTTTTTTCAGTCTGACTGTGTTTTGTAAATTTGTAACAGGTTTCTTTTCGATTTTGTTCTCATTCTAAATAGAAAAAGGTTACAGAAATATATTAATTCGACTATTTTATCATTTTTGTGTTGTAGATATGTACAAAATTGAAAAAATACGATTGATTTTTTAAAATGAATTGACATTTAATCGATATTTTTAAAATTAAAATGTCAAATTTCTTTGCCCACACAGTATTAGTGCATACATTTTTCCAAAATTCGAATCTTATTGTTTTTTCAAAATTTCTCTTTTCATAGTCATGTCGAAATAGGTAATTCGAACCATCATTCATTACATTTCTCGGTCGTAATAATCATCATTTTATTTTTTTTTCTTGTTTCAAAAAGTTTCCTCTTCCTCATTCATCATTTTTTTCTGGGCAAAAAAAAATTTTCACGACACAAAATCTAGTTCAACACAAGTGTAATAAAACAGCAGTTTGTTGTAAATTTTTTTTCTCCTTCCTCTTTCAATCGTTTCGTTTCTCTTTTCCTGAATAAAATAAAACAATATCTGGAAAAAATATCCGAATATTATCTTTTGATTCAGCAACAACAACAACAACAACAATTTGAATTAATCTTTGAGGAAAAATGAAATAAAATCCATTTATTCAATGTGGGTGAAACATGAAAGACGAATTAAAGAGAAAGAAAATGTTTTGAGAGAGAAAAACAAAACAAAAAAAAATTCAAATTACTGCTATATTGGCCACGGACTTTTGTTGGACTGAAGAAAAAAAGTAATGCGAATACACAAACATAATCTCTTTCTCTCTTTAATGTGGAACATTGTTTCAAAATATTAGTCACCATCATTGATTGTTTAATTTTTTTTTTTTTTTTTTTTTTTTTTTGACTTTCACCTTACGTTTGGAAAAAAGGATATCATCTGTGCCTGATTTGTGATTCCATCGATACGTCGATTATTTATTACCAGTGCCAATATTGGCTGATTTATTGTTTTATTTTTTTTTGCTGTGTAAAAAATATACAGAGCCTTCGGGCTTGACTATGAGTGCGTTAGCAGATTTTGCACATAAATTTGGCTCACAACCTCGGGAATTAAAGATTGGACAATCGTTTTTTACCGACGATGCTAATACAGTGTTTCATACAATCAGATGTAAGTTGTGATGATGATTTTTGCATTTTTATTTTGTTAATGAATTTATTATTCGTGATAGATGACTTTGTTCCAGCATCGATCGATCCGAATCAAGAATCGTCAATGGATTTTGGCGAAAATGGAAAGGTGACAATTACGATGCCAAATGTGGAAGGATCTGGTACGAATGAATCTGTTTATCAAGGCCAAAGAAAACCTCATCAAAAAGAATGTGTACTTATTATAAATAATGAAACTGGTGATATAACGCTGGAAAGACTTAACCAAAGTATGATTGTAAAAAAGGCAAGATTACGACAAGAAGATAGGAATGGAAAAACATCTTCATCATCATTGGTTTTGAATAGTAAACAAACGACTGGAATGGCAAACAATAATTTTAATCATTTAAATGGCAATTCATCATCATCTTCATCAAACATTACTCAGGTCAATAGCAACAAAATTAACAATACGGATAAAAAAATGATGCACAAAAATTCTTTGTTGACCAACAATGGTGGACAACAACAGCAGCAGCAAAATTTAGCCAAAAAAACATCGCCATCATTATCGAATGGAACTACCAATACTTACAATTCTACTACTACTAGTTCATCCATAAGGTCAAATGAATTATCAGCCAATAATAATAAAATGAATAATAGCACAATCAGTCCGCCATCAATGCCGGTATTCAATACTACAAATAATAATCATACGAAATCGGTTAATAACAAGAATTCTCATCATCATCATCACCAAAATAATGATATTAATAATCAGGAATGGAAAATTAAAATGCCTGATCCACCGGATATCATTAAATCAAAATCAAATTATTCTACCAACAACAACAACAGTAGTAGTAATAATAAAAAGACAATGAATAACAATAATTGTCTTTCCGAATTATCTTCCAGTGATTCAAGCGATTCGGATGATGGTGATAGTTCAAGTGATCATTTTAGTGATAATGATGATGATGATGGTATAATAAATAAAAAGGTGAATAAATTATCATCAACAAAATCATCTGGTCTTTTATCGTCATCATCATCATCTAATATCGGCCAACAACAACGTTCCACAACATCATCATCAGCAGTAGCTGCACCTTCCATGCCATCATTTGTTGCTGCATTGTCTACACCAATATTTAATGATTGTTCCATAGATCATGACAAGAAAAATATAACAGCTGCAAGCGGTAGTAAGGCATTAACACTTTCTGAAGATTCCGATTCATCATCATCCGATGATGACGATGGTAAAAATAAAAAGTCATTCAAAAAAATGTCATCAATGAAAAGGACGACGGCAGCAGCAACAACGGCTGCTGTTGTATTGTCATCAAACAATGATCATTCAATAGTCGATAATTCAAAAGCCAATAATAATAATAATTCAATAGTTTTTAATTCAATGCCTAAATTGAGCCAATTAAGTAAGTATAAAATAAATATTCATCACCGATTATCGATTATAATTGATTTCTAATCTTTTTGTTTTGTTTTGATTCATTTTGAAAAAATTTAGGTCAAGATTTGCAACTTAGTGAAAGTGATAGTGATGACTGAACGATTTGAAGTTGGAAAAACAAACAACAGCAGCAACAAAGAGAGGAAGATGTGAGGAAGAAGAAGAAAAAGAAAATTTATATTTTTGAATACATACCACGAAATATTGTTTTATTTGTTTTTTCTTTTCTACTTTTCTCAATACTATTGTTAACTTATTTTGCTATTCATTCATTGATGGATTCATTTATTTTTATTGCTTTTTCTCTATCTCTTTATTGCATTTTTCTCTCTCTTTTTTTGTTCCACAATTGATGGATCCTAATTAATTTTTTTTTTTTTTTTGTTTGGAATAAAAATATCTCATTTGACACACGTTCAACAGAACTTTTTGTTCGCATGATCCATTTAGGTTTGTAATGTTGATAATTTAGGTCAATAGATGGCAGCACCTGTTTCAAAAAAATTCAAGTAATTCGGCAATTCTTGTTAATTATTTAACAATTTGCAGAATGTAGACCAGGCTCATTGGACATACATAAGATTAAAATAACAATTTTTTTAATTATGTAACTTTAAGAACAAGGAATGTATGTAATCAATGTATTGTAAAAAAAGTATAACACTTAATGAAATGTGTGTGTCATATACCACATACATAGCTAAAAACTAAATTATTGGGCGTTTCAAGTGTTAAACAAGAGAAGGTTGCAATTCTATATGTGACTAGGCAACCTCCTTTTACAATTGTTTTGAATGATCACAAAGAATCAATTTAGTTGCAAAGAAAACGAAATAAAAAAGGGTATATCATCATCATCATCATTGTGTTATTCGGAAAATCTATTACTTTCCCGTTCCTCACTATTCGAAGATGCCAATGATGAATCGGTGGAAATTGGATCAATATCTTGATGATGGTGATTATTATTATTATGATGGTGATGAGGATGAGGATGAGGATTATGATGAGTATGTGTATGAATTTTCGTTGATTGATGAAATGATGATGATGATGATGATGATGATTGATGGCCATTTGTAGCCGTATTTGTTTCCGATATTGACGCATTTCGTTTATTATGAAATGACCGACAGTTAGATGACTTTATGCTACTCAAAACAACTTCTGGTAATCGATGAGATGCATCCGATGCCGGATCCTGATGTTGAAAATGATAACGAGATTTGAATTGAGGATCAGACATTAACGGTGTGGAAAAAAGCTGTCGAACTGCATTACTATTCGATCCGGGTCGAGATTTTCGTGATGATTCAACGAAATTCGAATTATTAGATGATTGCATCGGTGTAAAAAATACTGTTTCATCGGTTTCAGCATTTTTCATCGATTCTTCATTAAGCATAGCATTCATACTGGTCAACATATCTCTACTTTCATTAAATTGAAATTCCAATGTATCATAACGAGCAGCCAAACGTTTGCGTTCATTTGTTTCACGTTTCAATTCGGTTCGTAATATATCCAATTCTCTACTTTGTTCGGCATTCTTTCTTGCTTTCATTCCCAGAGCTTCGGTTAAGGCTTCATTTTCTCGTTGTAATTGTTGATATGATTCTTTCAGCTGTTCATAATCGGCTAATTCTAATTCGGTACGCATTTTTTCACTTTCAAGATAACGAATTCGTTGTGTTTTCATATCGACAACAACATTCAATGAATCAACTTCTTTTTCATAATTTGAAATTTTTTCCTTCAATTCTCTATATTTTCGATCAGATTTTAATAATCCTTCGGCTTTTTCTAAACGTTTTTCCAGATCAACACGAATCTCTTTTTCATTCGTACATTCATCTTGTGTTTCTTGTAATTCATTCTGAAGACGTTTACGTTCATCATCAAATGATTCAGCTGCTTGTTTCAATCCAATATAATGATTTTCAATTGAAACAATTTTCACTTTTTGATCTTCAATAACATTGTTCAATTCATCAACATTGGTCATCAATAGATTTATTTCAGTCTGTTTTTGATTGGTGATTTCTTTGGCCAGTTCTATAATTTTTGAAAAAGCAAAAAAAAAAAGATTAAAAATCAGAAATCATGAAATCAATAAAATGTGATCCATTTACCATAATCTCGATGTAAATTGCTACATTTTTGATGTGCGGCCAATAATTCGGCTCTTAATTTTGGCGTATCAAATGGCCGATACTGTTTATTTTTTTTGAGAAACATGAAACAAATTAGTAATTAGAAATTAATTTCAAAAAATAATAATAATTACCTCCGTTAAAAGAAATGAAAAAAGTGTTAAAAAACCATTCGTTTTTGAGCTTAATTGTTTCAATTCCAGTGCTTTCTTTTCAATCAATTGTAATCGATCATAGCAAAGATTTTCGTAATATTGTAGCTGCTGTAGTATATCTTTTTTACTTGAATTTAGATTAACTTGTGGTTTTGTTGGCGATGCAATCGAAGAACGGCGTGATGAATTTGCAGAATTTGATGTACTTTTTGCATTTGATTGGGCCAATGAATTCAATAATGTGATTGTTGGTGATCGTTTTGCAGTGAATGCATGGGACGATGATCCATTACCAACATTTGATTTATTATTCAAACTAGCTGTCTTGGTTACCGAAGATGGAATCGATGATGATGATGATGATGAAGCCGATACTATACCATTGGTCGTTCCAATATTGGATAATGCGGAAGATGTTTGTAGCGTTGCAACATTGTTTGTTGTTGCTTTTCGTAAATAACTTGCCGTTGGCTTTGCAAATGATCGAGGATTTTTACCTGTGGTGATGAAAAAGATTTATTATAAGTGAAAAAAAAATTAACGAAAACATTTGAAAAAAATTAAACATCTGTGTGTGTGTGTTTGTGTGTGCACAACACAACGAAGTATCGAGATATCAATCAAATTCACCTGTATATATAATATTTAAATTAGGATAAACTATACAATGTAAATGTATGTAATGGTTTAGCGAAATGTACACGTTTTGATAATGATGATGATGATCGGATTTCATCACTGAATTGGTTTGATGTTTTCATTGTCGATGATGATGATGATGATGATTTATTCGATGAATGACTACAATTACGTAAACGTAAAATTCCATGTAAAGTTTTATTTGCTTTATCCGTAGCGGTGACCGATGTCATGTTGTTATTTTTTGCAATCACAATTGGTGTACGACATGGTTCATCATCAATAAATCTAACCAATACTTTTGTCAATGGAAATGATTCATTTGTAGAATCATTCGATGATGATGGTGTTGAACTATATGCACTATCTTCACTGGTAGTTATCGATGATGATGTAACCGAATCAAATTCATCACCATCATCATCATCGTCATTATGATCATTTTCACAATGTTCATTCATCAATTTATCAATCAGAATATCGTTTTTCATTTCAATTAATTTCGATTATTAATGGCTGTATTAGTTTTACTATTAATAAAATGTTGTTGTTCATTACGAAAACAGAATAAACCGATCAATGTGTTCATCATGGCACTACCACCTTTTGGTGTATGAAAACGATTCGTATAGATAAACGAATTTGGTGATGACGAAGAAGGAGAATTGGATGGAAAATGAAATAAAGACGGCACTGTATCGTCGTCATTATCATTATATTTGATGGATTTTTGTTGTTTTTTAGATAAAATTTTTGTCATTACAGTAATTTTATTATTATTATTCATCATTGGCTGTGAATATTGTTGACTATGATCATCATCAGCTACATTCGTCGAATGGTTTGAATCATTCATTGTCGTTGATAATGTTGTTGTGGATGATAATGATGATGATGATTGGGACCGGTGTTGATTAACACCGTCTAGATTACGATTCCATTTAATATGCATGATGATGTAATTATCATCTGTTCACATCTATCTACCGACACACATATTTATAGGAAAATTCACATTAAAAATCAGGTCTCAATTCACACACACACACAAAAAAAAACAATTCTATTTCTTGACCAAAAACAACAATAAAATGTGTGTGTGTGAATTTTTGGCCAAAGAAAAACAGAATCAAAAAACATATTCAAATGAATGAATCAGTTAAATGTTTGCTTTGTTTGGTATCAATGATCATTAGAAAAGATTGTTGAACTAGAACTTTGTCAATGTATACAAATGGACAATGGGAAGAAAAAAAAATTGTATGAAAGAGAAAACCAAAGTTATCAAATGACAAAAAACAAGATAAAACGAAAATTGACAATCCAAAATGAAGTAAAAAAAACAACAACAATGGTACACATATATGATATTATCATTATCATTGACGAATATAAAACAAATGAATGAATGAATGAATGAGAATGGAGAAAATGAGAGAAAAATTTGTATGAAAGAAAAACAAAAATTAACAAATGCAAGGAACAAATGTCAAACATAAACATAAAAAAAAGTATACAAAGAAATGTCGCAGTAAAATGAAAACAAAAAAACACCAACAGAAAAAAAAAATTTTCTGTTCTCTTTACTTTTCCATTGCCTCTTTCAACACTAAACTGATAAGCAACAACAACAACAACAACAAAAAAGAGATCAATAAATCAATCAATCAATCAATATATCAGATGATAATATAGTAAACACGAAAAAAACGTTGAAAGTGAAAAAAAATGGATGATATGTGTGTGTGATCATGTGAGATTTATTTATTCACGATATCATTGATATTTATAAACACGCACACACACACACACACACAACATTTCATCAGTTTAGTTTGATGGCCAAACACACAAACATAAATTTTTTTTCTGTTTTGTCTCACATTCAAATTAATTTTTTCTTTCTCTGTGTTTCGTTTTTTTTTGATCTGATTAAAAAAGGTTATGCAACCGGTGTGTGTGTGTGTATGTGTACGGAAGTATTATCATCATCAGGTAATTTCTCAATCAAATGGGCGGAAAAAGGAGAAAATTGATTGGAATTTCAATTTTTAATGATGAAAAAAATAAGGTTATAAAACACACACATAAACAAAAAAAAATTTAAATAAACACGCAGAAACTGACAGACTAAAGGTTATAAGTGGTTATAATATAAACGAACAAAATGCAGAAGAAAAAAATTGATCTGAAATTCAAAAAAAAACAAAACAACAACGAAGAGATGATGTAAATTTATTTTGCAAAAATTATCAAGCGGTGGTTTTCTTCTTTATTTGACTCTTGAATTATGGTGATGATGATGATGATGATGGTCAAAAAGAAGAAAAGGGGCAAATGAAAATCAAAAATCAAAAATTCACAAATTATAACCGCTCAATACGAATCGAAAAGCCTATGAACACGCGCGCGCACACACACAAACACAACGAAGAGATAGAAAAAATTTTTTTTTGGCCTTATGGTTTTTTCTGTTGTTGAGAAATAAGTTTGTGGTTACACACACACATTTGAAAAGAGAAGAAAAAAAATCTTTGCAACAAACAAACATTCAAAGAATGAATGAATGAATGAATGGAATACGACAACGAAAACACAAAAAAAGAAATCAAATTTTCACATAATAATTTTGGACATAAACACGCACACACACAAATGATGCTAACGAACGAAAAAAAAAAACGAATGATAAAATATATACAAGGTAAACGAATCTTCATGATGATGAGCTAAATTATCCAACAAACAAACAGCCGACATGAAAAAAATTATTATAATACATGGCATGAAACTTGAATCAATGTTCATTTCCATTTTTATATAAATATAAAAATACAACGAACTAACTAACTAACAAAAATAAATAACGGGACAACAACAACAACAAGAGTGGAAACAAACAATAAAAAAAATCTTGTTGAGTAATCTTCTTCTTCATCATCATCATCATCATTTGTAGTTTTTTTTTCAATGAATTGAATTACTGAATGCATTGCCATTTGCATTATTTGATATGACAAAATTTTTTGGCTTGCATTCCCCCTCAGCAAAACAAATCCGATATATTCAATCATGGCATCAAAAAAAAAAACGAAACAAAATTGATGAATTAAACAAAAAAAAAAAAACACAAGACATATATATAAGATTACATCAGAGAAAGACGTGGTTTATTGCGGTTGTTTACAAGAAAATTGAGATTGAGAACACAAAAAAAAACAAATGAGGATACTGTCTCTGTCATACAACATTATAATTTTGGTTGAAAAAAAATAAAATACACACACGATTCTCCACACCAGAAACAAAAATAATGTCATGTATTTATATATATATAAAAAAAACTTCGGATAATTAATTCCGAACCCGGATGACAAAATTATAATTTCACATATCAAAAACACACACACACAAAAAAGTCATATGAATGTGATTTTGACGTTTTTGTTTTCGTTGTTGTTATTGTTATTGTTTGTTGTGCAACACACACACACACACACACACACACACACAATAACATAGGTATTTTGGAAATTTTTCGTCAATTATCACCAAGTCAATAATTAAATGGCGGTCAATTACAAAGACAAAATAAAAGCAAGCAAGCAAGCAAAATCGAGGTCGAATACAAAGATGCCATCACCATCACCACCAACCCCATGTATATTAGTGATCTAAATGATGATTATCAAGGGAAAAAATGGCTTAAATAAGCAAAAATAAAAAACTAAACTCAGGAAACATGTCATGTCATGTATCATCATGAAATCTATGGTGATGATGATGAAAAAGGAAAAAAATGCCGACAATCATGAAATGAGCATTTTTTTGCCCATTAAAATCAAGGAAATTTTCATTCAATCAAATCATTGAAAATGAAATTAAATTAAATTTTCGAATCTTACACACACAAATTGATCGATCACCACACACACACACACACAGTTATTGGCTAACTAGATATCTGTTGCTTTTGTTGAATGAAATGAATTGGAAAGATAAAAAAAAAGAAATTTTGAAATTTCAATTTACAATATTTAGTGTGTGTGTGTGGGAATTAATCAGAATCAATGATAAAAAAAAAATACAATAAAAAATGAAATGAAATAAAATTTCAATGTCATCAAAAAAAAATTTCTTGTTTCCTCGACAACAAGAAAAAAAAGAAAACATCCATATCACCATGTTTCACATAAACACCATATATACATACACACTATCATCATCATCATCAAAATTTGTGTTGAATTTATCAAAATATGACCACAACTGTACCAGTTACAATGTCATAAAATTTTTTTTTTTTAATTTTGTTTTTTTTGCGAAAAAAAATCAAAACATTTACATCCACATCCATCTATAAATTTTTCCAATTTCTTTCCACACATACATCGTCAAGCCAATCCATCAATAATTGTACAAAATGGAAAGAATTTGACGAAAAGAAAAAGTCGGACAAAATCTAAAATGTGTGTCGTCGTCGTCTTTGTCGTTTGTAATGAGATATAATTTATCAATGAACAAAAAAAAACGTATCACTAGCTAGCCCAGATATCATCATCATCATCATTTCCATCGTATCATAATCGAATCTCGGTTAAAGAAATACACAACTTTATTATATACGTAACCTAAATAATAAATGGCAACAATATTGGCTACTTAACTAACAAGAATATATTGTGTGTCAGTTAAAATGGATTTTGAAATTTTTTTTAGATTATTATTAGTTTTGAAAAATGAAAACATATACACACACACACACACACAAGAAATGAGACACTGTTGCATAATTATCCTTCATTCATTCATTTTTTTTCCTTGGAACATTACTGTTGCTGCTGCTACTTGTTTGCTTGCTTGCTTGCCATATCTATCATCATTAGGCTTCATTATTGAATAAGTGAAGCATAAATGATGATGGTGATAATTGTTCTTTAATCATTTTTATTATCACCATCATCAATGTAAATCAGGCTAAACGCTTGAATGTATATCCCACACACACACACACACACACACAGCATATATTTGTTATTGATAAACAAATTTTTTGACATTTCAATAAATAAAATGACAACACTGGTTACATAATAATCATCCTCATCATCATCAATGAAAATATATACAAATCAATATCTGTACACTATCTGTATAGACAATAAAGACAATAAAGAGTTGAAGACCTGAAGAAAAAACTGTCAAACAACCAAATTACCTATTATTTTGATTTGAAAACACATCAAATCAATCAAATATATAAAAATTAAACAGAGAACAATAGATTGAAATTACATTTACAAATGATTGATATTTGTTTCATTGAATTGAATTGATATGATATCTCGATACACATTTCTCGATTTCACATTCACATACACACACACACAGTGCATATCAATTCTACATACCAGTGATGTTGGATCCGGTTCCAGTAATTATCATATCATTCGTATTCATTATCAATGGATTGACATTTTCTTTTCGTGTTGTCGATGATGATGATGTAACATTTGTTTGTGTTAAACGAGTATATGTGGTGCTTTTTTTCATTCCACCACCAACACCAACACCACCACCACCATTTGCATCGTTTGTATTATTCACTAATGAAATGTAATAAATGAATGAAAAATCAATTTTTTTTGTTTCCAAAAAAATAAATACCAATTTTTGGATGCGAATGATTTGTAGTTATTGTACGATTTTGGTGAACATGATGAACATTACGGATACTGGAAGAATATGGCCGTTTATTATTAACATTCTGTACAGAATTGGTCAACATTTTTGTTGAACGTTTAGTTCTTGTAGCTAGAAAAAAGAATAGAAAAAACAAAAATTAAAATTTTGAAGGTTACTTTTTGGTAACTTTGGTTACTTACGATTTGTTGTTGTCGACAATGATGAACAAACTGAATCGGTTTCTGACAATGCTGGTGTTGTGCAACGAGATACATTTGTCGAACAAGGTTTACTACTACTAGTAAAACAATTATTATTGCCATTTTTTGATTGAAAATTTTTCCTATTCAGATAATCAATATTATTACGTGTAGCTGTAACAGATTTTTTTGTTATTAATCGATTCTGATGTGATTGTGTTTTCATCAACGCTGTTGATACATTCAACAATGTTTTGGTCGTAGTCGATGATGATGATGATGTAGAACGTTTAATAGATTTAATTTTCGAAATTTCTGTAGATTTTGTCGATTTATTCGTTCGTTTATTCATCAAGGATTTTGATTCATTTTTCTTTTCAGTCATATTGGTTTTTCATCATCATCATCATCATCATCAACATCATCAACAGCAACATTACCATTTAATGATAATGAATCTGGATTATTTGTTTCTTGTATAATATCAATAGAATTTAATGATAAAACTTCTGATTCTTCATCATCCATAATTACAGATTCAGGTTGTTGATGTTCATCTTGTTTCAACGATAATAATGATGATGATGGCTGTGGTGGCGGTGGTTCAATAATCATATCATCAACAGGTTCATCGACAGATTTTTCATCAGTCATCATCATGATAATGGCATCATCATCATCATCATTATTATTGTTTTCAACACCATTCATTGGTGTTGAATTATTGTCATTAGATTCATTAGCAGCACAATTTATAATAGAATTCAGACTTGGCAATGGTGATAATGATGATTCATCAATAGCGGTTAATAATCGACCACGTTGTACATCAATAATATTGTCATCATCATGATAATCATCATCATCAACAACAACATTATCATCAACATCATCATCATCATCATTCATGACATTTAATATTGCATCATTCATATTTGATGATATTAAACTTAATGATGCTGTAGTACTAGTTACTGGACTTATATTCATGTCAATATTATTATTCTGTTCATGTTGATCACTAGCCATTTTTGTTTTGGTTTTGGTTATTGCATCAAAAAATGGTTCACCACCATAAATTTTCATCGATGATGATGATGATGATGTAGTTGGTGAATTATTATGACTTGTTGATAATTTTTTACACGATAATGTAAGTGATCGTGGTAATCTTGAAGCAGTTGTATTATTATTATTATTATGATGATGGTGGTGATTATTATTATTTGCATAAAGTTTTTGATCATCGACCATATCTAATGATTTGGATGATTCCAATCTTGAACGAGAAATTTTCGATGAATCTGAAAAAAATGAATAAACAAACAAGAATTATAATCTATATAATATTCACATGAAAAGACAACAACAAAGTGTGGATGGATGGATATACACACGATTTATGTAATTTGGAAATGTGAAGAAAATACAAAAATCCCTTCCTTCCCAATTAATTATTATTACTGAAGGGGCTTTAATTTAAAATTTTTTTTTACCATTTTCAGTAAAAGAAAATAGACAAATTCAACAACGACATTGCATTTCGAAGTAAAATTTCATTTTTCTTACCATTAATTAATGATGATGGGAGAATTTTTTTTTTTCGTTTTTTGTTTTGAAAATTGACACACAAAACAGTTTCAACAACCTACAACAACAACAGCAACAATAAACGACGACGACCACCACCACCACACATTCTTCCAGTGTCCAGTCTCGCTACTGAAGAGAATACACACACACACACACTTGAGACTTTTTTTATGAAACGATTATGTCATAGAATGGATGGATGAATGAATGAATGAATGAAAAAGAGAGCATAAACTCCCACAAGATTTTCCATTTCTTTTTTTCCATCACCATTACCATCATCATCGTTAAAATCAAAGTTAAACCACAATTAGCAGCTATTGTTTTTTTTTCTCTCATTTGAATGGTGGAAAAAAAATAGCTGTAGTCAGGTTGATTGATATTGATGATCATTGGTAATGGTAACGGTGTTCATGGATTATTACGGAATTATTATGAATGTCGTTGCTATGCATTCGATTCAAACAAGAGAGATAGAGAGAAATTTACAATTCATATTTTTTTCCCAAATAAATTCATCTAAATAAAAATCAATCAATCATTGATGAAAAAAAAACGAATCAAAAAACATAACGACAAATTAAAAACGTAGTAGAAAAAAAATGGAACAACAACAACAACGAAAAATCAATCAATCAATCAAAAATCAATTGATCAATGAGGAAAAAAAATATTAAAATTAGTTCACATCATCATCATCATCATCATCTACAGATGATTTGAGTTCAAACAGTTTTATGATGATGATGATGATGATGAAGGAAATGAGAAATTCAACAACCTCATCATCATGATATATAAGTCATGTTTTTCTGTGTGCCAACAACGAAAAAGACAAACACTTATCCTCTATCAATTTCAAATCATCATCATCATCATCATCATAATCAATATACACGTATGTGTGTGTGTGTTTGTAAAACAATAGAGCAGCAAAAAAAAACTTGTTTGGAAAAAAAACAACTTGAATCTATTGAGGAAATGAATCGTCTTTTTTTTCTGTGTATAAAAAAAAAAAAAATATCAAACACACACACTTGTTGATTTAATTTGAACAACGGAGGAAAAAAAATTGAAAAGATTTACCACCCATCATCATCATCATCATCATAATCGCTATATATACACCGACAAACAAACAAAACAAAACAAAACAAAACACAAAAAAAAAGTTATAACCCTAACTATTAAATAAATGTAACCATTATTATTATTATTATCATCATAAAAGATGATGATGATGATGAACACTCCACCCAATGATGATGATGATGTTTTGTTTCTACCACCACCACCACCCACATAAACATTTGATTCGTTTTTTTTCAATGTAAACACTTGAAAAAAAAATTAAAAATGTATCATCACGAACCAAAACAAACTGTGTACGACCCTTGTATATGTTATTATTACATTACATAAAAAAAACAAGGAAGTATTTCATTCACAATTTTTTGATTGAAAGAAAAAAAAAAAAAATTTATCAAATAAGATATATGGATGACAACAACAACAACAACGGCAACAACAAAATTGTAAACATTACAGCCACCACCACCACCACCAACTGTGGATGGAAATAAAACAATGAGAAAAAAATCATCATCATCATTGAAAAAAATTTTTTTTTTCTAAAGCAAGGTCACAAATCACAAATGTCACAAATAACAAACAATCGAAGCAATGCTATTATTATTGTGAAATATGATTTTCTCACCTTTTTTTAAAAAAAAATAGTGATGCAAAGTTTCAAACAGGTAGGCTTTTCTAAGCAATAGAAAGAAAAAAACCATTTCTTATGCTGACAAATTGTAAATATAGTTTGTTTGTTTGTTTGGTTTTTTGGAAAACTTCCCATATATTTAACTGATGAACTAAAATTACGAAAACATATACCTTTTTATATTTATGTTAATTTTAACCCCATACTAGTCGTCTAAATCTTGGTCAAATCATCATCAAATCAACATAAAAAAACATCAAACATTGAAATTAAACCCTGTGGGTATAAATTGAAAAAAGCAATTTTATCATTAATCACCTGGTTTCAACCACTCTACCTGGTTGGCATCGCTAAACTCGATGATAGCCAATAAAAAAAATTAACTAAAACTAAAAGGATATATATTTACTTTATTTCATTATTAAAATCAGGGCACCTAGATTAGAAAATAATCATCATTATACCAAAAAATCATCGGATATTAAACATTTTTCCCCCTTTTTTGGTAATAAAAATGATAATTTAACCGAATCGAAATTATCCGGTTGAATTATTATTTCTCATGATCATCGATGATGATGATGATGATGACCTAAACAACCGAAATTGAACGATAATTTCATCGAAAAACATGATAAAATGTGGCCCATGGATTTTTTTTAACGTTTTTCTCTTTCTCTCAAACAAAAATGCAAACATTATCATCAAACCAAATCAAACAAACAAACAATTTGATTCTATAAATAATAAAATAATCCCATTTTACATCCATATAGACTGTGTGTGTGTGTGTGTGTGTGTGTGTGTGTGTGGATAATCATCATTGGATGTAATATTCAATGATCCAGAACGAGATTAAAAAATAAAAAAAAAGAACAAGAACTGTCACATCAACAACAGAAAGCAAAACTAATATTTGACTAATTGAATTATCATGTAAATTGTGTGTAGAAAAAAAAAAACAGATGATAAATTGACTTACTTTGATTTATTATTGGCTTTTTTGTTGTTGTTGTTGCTGATGTTGATTATTTGGCTCAAATTTTAGCGATTGTGATTTAATCAATAAAATTTTATCATCTTCATCATCAACATTATTATTATCCATCATTGTCAATGTTTCATTGTTGTCTGATTGTTGCTGCCGTTGTTGTTGTTGAGGATTATTGTCACCATCTTCATGATCATCGTGAGGATCAACCATTTGTCTAGTCGTAGCTGTTGTTGTTGTTGTCGTTGTTGATAAAAATTGTCGATGGTGTTGATTATGATTTGAAAATCTTTCCTTATTGTTTGTATTGTTGTTACTGTTTTTCGATTTTCATTGACATTCAACAATGACGATGATGGTGATGAAGATATGAACAATACAGGCAGATTTGAATGATGATGATGATGAGTATCCTTTTGTTGTTGTTGTTGTTGCTGTCGCGGTGGTATTTGTTGTTGAAGCTCAGATAAACCCGAATTCAATTTATCATTCAATTGTTCGTTTATCATTCGATTATTAACGGATTTATCCTTTGTCCATGTTCCAAACTTTGCTGCTGCTGCTGTTGTTGTTGTTGGTTTTGTTCAGTAAAAATATTCAATGTTGATTTTGGCTGTTGTTGTTGTTGATCAATAGTTTCTAATTTATCAACATTACAAATTTGGCCACTGGTCATTTGTTTTGGCTGTAGGCGTTGTTGTTGTTGTTGTTGTTGGTCATTCAACGATGATATTAATGATAATGATGATGATGATGGTGAATGAATTTTATATGTCGACGATTTTTCTTTAACCGTTGAATTAATTGTTTGATTATTATGATGATGATGTTGCTGCTGTTGTTGTTGTTGTTGTTGTTGATAATTATAATGTTTGGACAATGATCTAATGATGACTGGACAATTATTGTTGGATTGCAGTAATTCTTTTGATGTTGATGATAATGAAGATGCTACCCTGCCACTACCAACATTATTATTAAAACCACTCGAACATAATGTAGGTATTATACAATGTTGTTGTATTGGTTGAATCTGTTTATCAACACCATCATCACCACCATCAACATCAACATTGTCATTTTTTCGATTGAATGATCCACAGCTATTGGTTGATTGTTGTTGGATGTTGTTTTTGTTGTTGTTGTTATTATATGGATGGGTTCTATTCTTTAGATTAATATTGCTACTTCCATTTTCTTCAATATCATTGCTATTGTTCGACATACTTCTAGTAAATTTATGACCATTATTTATCACAATACCACTGCTATTATTATCTTGAATTTCGCCAATACTACTACCGTTGCTACCACCACCACCACCACCTCCATCATGGATACATTTTGACACTCCAATCTTGAACGGGTTACTATTATTATTATTATTATTTGAAGATCTAGTTGTGTTGTTGGTCAATAAATTTAAATTATCGTTTGTTGTTGTTGATCGTTGTTGTTGTTGTTGTTGTTGTGTCGTTAAAACGGGATTCGATGATGATGATGATCGTGATGGATCAATCGTATTTAGAAAACCGAAACGTGATATGGGCGATCCTGATGAATTTGATTTAAACATTTTTTTTTCAATTTCATTTCATTATTTGATTGATTAAAAACTGTGAAAATGAAAAAAAAAAAAAAGAAAGATGAAAACAGAATCTTTAGTTGAATAAAGTTTTTTTTTCGATGATTCAATCAATGTTTTCATGTGTGTGTGTGTGCATGTGCCAACTGGTCACCACGAAAATAGATTGCGGAAAAAGAAATAAAAACAAAAAAAATGGCAAAAAAATGAACACTTTTTTTTCGTTGTTTGTTGCTCACAAATACACACACAAAGAGTCAATAAGAAGAAAAAAATTTCGGGCAAAGAAGAGTCCACCCGTTATAATGCTGTGTGTATTTGGTGCAAAGAGTAAAAACTTTTATTGAATCTTTGTGTGTGTGTGTGTGTGTGTGTATGTTTATCACATACAAACATGTTTATTACGAAAAAAAAACTTACTTTGAACACGAGAAACAAAAAAAAAAAAACACTAGCTATCCCGACGACGATGAACGAAAATTGTAACTTTGGCCAACGGACAAGATTATTATTATTGTGTTTCTGTGTGTGTGTGTATGTTTATTTCGGTTATAAAAACAAACCAGAAATGATGATGATGATGAAAAAAAACCGTTTATAAATATAGAAATGAACGAAAATCCTCTTATATGATGATGTAATGTAACGCCTTGTCGCGCGCAGTCATTTTTTTTGTGTTTGTTGGTTGAATTAAAATGAAAAAAAACAAAAGATTCAGATAAGATGTTGTTGTTGTTGGTTTTGTTCAGTAAAAATATTCAATGTTGATTTTGGCTGTTGTTGTTGTTGATCAATAGTTTCTAATTTATCAACATTACAAATTTGGCCACTGGTCATTTGTTTTAGCTGTAGGCGTTGTTGTTGTTGTTGCTGTTGTTGTTGGTCATTCAACGATGATATTAATGATAATGATGATGATGATGGTGAATGAATTTTATATGTCGACGATTTTTCTTTAACCGTTGAATTAATTGTTTGATTATGATGATGATGTTGTTGCTGTTGTTGTTGTTGTTGTTGATAATTATAATGTTTGGACAATGATCTAATGATGACTGGACAATTATTGTTGCATTGCAATAATTCTTTTGATGTTGATGATAATGAAGATGCTACCCTGCCACTACCAACATTATTACTAAAACCACTCGAACATAATGTAGGTATTATACAATGTTGTTGTATTGGTTGAATCTGTTTATCAACACCATCACCACCATCAACATCAACATTGTCATTTTTTCGATTGAATGATCCACAGCTATTGGATGATTGTTGTTGGATGTTGTTGTTTTTGTTGTTGTTGTTGTTGTTGTTATTATATGGATGGGTTCTATTCTTTAGATTAATATTGCTACTTCCATTTTCTTCAATATCATCGCTATTGTTCGACATACTTCTAGTAAATTTATGACCATTATTTATCACAATACCACTGCTGCTATTATCTTGAATATCGCCAATACTACTACCGTTGCTACCACCACCACCACCACCTCCATCATGGATACATTTTGACACTCCAATCTTGAACGGGTTACTATCATTATTATTATTATTTGAAGATCTAGTTGTGTTGTTGGTCAATAAATTTAAATTATCGTTTGTTGTTGTTGATCGTTGTTGTTGTTGTTGTTGTGTCGTTAAAACGGGATTCGATGATGATGATGATCGTGATGGATCAATCGTATTTAGAAAACCGAAACGTGATATGGGCGATCCTGATGAATTTGATTTAAACATTTTTTTTTTCAATTTCATTTCATTATTTGATTGATTAAAAACTGTGAAAATGAAACAAAAAAAAAAGAAAGATGAAAACAGAATCTTTAGTTGAATAAAGTTTTTTTTTCGATGATTCAATCAGTGTTTTCATGTGTGTGTGTGTGCATGTGCCAACTGGTCACCACGAAAATAGATTGCGGAACAAGAAATAAAACAAAACAAAAAATGGCAAAAAAATGAACATTTTTTTTCGTTGTTGCTCACAAATACACACAAAGAGTCAATAAGAAGAAAAAAATTTCGGGCAAAGAAGAGTCCACCCGTTATAATGCTGTGTGTATTTGGTGCAAAGAGTAAAAACTTTTATTGAATCTTTGTGTGTGTGTATGTTTATCACATACAAACATGTTTATTACGAAAAAAAAACTTACTTTGAACACGAGAAAAAAAAAAACACTAGCTATCCCGACGATGATGAACGAAAATTGTAACTTTGGCCAACGGACAAGATTATTATTATTGTGTTTGTGTGTGTATGTTTATTTCGGTTATAAAAACAAACCAGAAATGATGATGATGATGATGATGAAAAAAACCGTTTATAAATATAGAAATGAACGAAAATCCTCTTATATGATGATGTAATGTAACGCCTTGTCGCGCGCAATCATTTCGTTTAGTTTTTTTTGTGTGTGTTTGTTGGTTGAATTAAATGTTGAAAAAAAACAAAAGATTCAGATAAGATGCTTGAATTTTCGTTGTTGTTGTTTTCATTTGATCACACACACACACACACACACACAGAGAGAGAGGGGGAGAGCAACAGGGCCAAAAGTTTTGAGCAAGTTATAGAATTAACTGCATGAACTACTCGCAAGGTACATATACATTGACTTGGGTCCCCCACCATCATCATCATCATTATCAGTGGGTATTTTACACAGAATGACTGAATTTGTTTCGATTTTTTTTTTGAAAAATTTTTTTCGAATAAATTCGACGCCCATGCGTATTTCGAAAATTGTTTTTTTTTAAATTCTATGAAAAAAAACCTTGAATTTCGAATGTTTTTGCTTAATTGTGCGTTTTTTGTGCGATCAACTGGATGAATGAATAGAATTTTTTTTTTTTTCGTTTCAATTTATTTATAGAAAAAAAATGTATTTGTCATTGTCATCATCGTGTGACAACAACAACATGAACATGAACATGAACATGAACATTTATATTCATTCATTGTCATTCGAAACATCTGCTCAATCTATATCTATATTATTATAGAATTTTTTTCGTGTTCAAGAACAAAATTCCCTTTATTCAACCTAAAAAAAAGAAGACAATCGATTGTGTGAATGAATGGAATAATCAATATTCTTGGCACCTTGAAATGTCCAAAAACCACCATCACCACAGCCATCACCATGATGATGATGATGATGAAAAGAAAAACCATATATTATCATCCATCATCATCGATGAATGATAGAGAGAGAGAGAGAGAAAAACATTTTTCAACTGATTAAAATTGAAGGGGTATTATTTATTTTTAGAGTGAAGTAGTAGTAAATGTAAAAGTTGAAAACAAAAATTTGGATTGTCCGTCGATCGATTGATCGAACAATCGCCGCCATCATCATCATCATCATCATCATTATTATTATTATTATCGAAGGAGCAATCGATAATCAAATCAAAATATTGATAGAAAGAAAGAAAGAAAAAAAAATTTCTATGCATGGAATCATTTTTTTTCGGATCGTGATCATCTCTCTCTCTCTTTCTATATATATTTCAGTCCGTCAATTTTCGATCAATTCAATTCAATTTCAGTTTGATTGATTTGATTGTATGTTTGCTGTGTATACAGTAAATAAATTCAATCAAAATTTTAATTCACAGAAAGAACATAAAATTATAATCAAATATATATAGTCTTCGTCCACAATCATCATTTCAAAATGGCACCTTTCAACAATTGTCCGAATTATTTTTTTGTCCTCTTTTTCTCTTTCATTTTTTCTTCAATAATTCAATACATACACAATTACAATCGTGTATATTTGAATGGTCGATGGCGACGGCGACGACGACTATAACTTGCAGATATTTTGATTTTAGTATTGCTCATAATAATAATAATAATGTCGATCGTTGTTGTAGACATGGAAACCAGGAAAGAGAAAAAGAAATAGAAAAAAAAGAATACAGTAATGATGACGTTTTATCGATCGAAAAAAATATGAATGATAAATGATTAGATAATGGTGGAAAAAAATTATCTTGCCAACACACAAAAAGTTGGTAAAAAAGAATGTTTGTTTGTTTGTTTGTGTGGAAAAAAAAATTCAAAATTTTTTCTTTCCACTTTTATCGATTCAAGTGTCGATATAGCCGTCGCTTGGAAACAGGTGACAAAAAATGAAATGAAAACCAATCTGACAACAACAAAATAATAAAACAAAACATCATAAATTCTGCGGATTCTCCTTATTCTTCAATCTGAATTAGCCACCGAAAAAAAATGTACATAATTGGACAGCTTTATAATCTTCTATTGACGACAATCTATTTCTTTTTTCGTAAATTACTCAAAGGTTTTTTACGTAAAACAACTGGATTATGTGAATTGCAAAGAATTTGTTATTCGGCTGATTATTCGAATGCTTATCGATCAAAATCAGTGGGTATGTATGTGTAGTAATTGAATTTGATTGATATTAAATAATGATATTTTATTTAGAACAATCATTGAAGCTATCTAAATCACCAGTATTACAGAAAATTGATACCGAATTAACCGGTATTGCATTGGCTGATCAATTGGTTAATCGTTGGGAAATTGTGGAAAAAGCTGTAGAAGCCACATTGGTCACTAAATGTATCAACACCAATATTCATGTCGAGTATATGAGCAGAATTAATTAATCACAATTCAATTGATCTAATTTTGTTTTGTTTTTTAAATTTTACAGTTTCACTCAACCTTATCGAATTTGTTTGGTACAAATATATGGCTATCGGCAATTGATTGCACGATTAGATCGATTACGAGCCATCGCATTTGATTCGGATAATAAATCGCATAGAAAATTATTAGAAACATTATGGGAAAATCTATGTCCTGATCGTAAACTTGATGGATTGATCAGTAAACAATGGACCGAGATTGGTTTTCAAGGCAACGATCCTAGTACAGATTTTCGTGGTATGGGTCTATTATCGTTGGAGAATTTAGTGTTTTTTGCCACAGTATTTGGTGAATATGCACGAAATATTCTATCACATTCATTACATCCAACATATGGTTATCCATTTGCTGCTGTTGGTATAAATATCACTCATTTAGCGCTGAATCTATTACGTATGAATCATCTTCAAACACATTTATTCAATTCTGAAACCAGACTTTATGTGATTGAAGATTTTCATAAAATCTATGGTATGTATCATTAATTTTTTTCAGATAGATTAATTCTAATTCTAAATTCTTTACATGAAAACATATAAAAACAATTATTATTAGCCTATTTATTCGTTTCATTCGATAAACTTTGGATTCGTTCGAAACCAAGTTCAGTAATGGAATTTAGTCATATTCGAGATAAATTTGAAGCTGCCGTTATTGAAAAATTAAATGATGATCGTTCAATGTTTCATTGGGATCCATATTTGGAAACAATCTAGTCATATTATTGATATAAAAAAAATTATTATTTGTTGAATTTATTATCATCATCATCATCATTGTTATTGTTATTATTATTATTAATTGTAGTTTTTCTCATTCCATTATAATCAAATTCCGGTACCAATTCAATATAGGATTCTGGTTCAAAATAAGAGTATAATTTGAATAAAAAATGACAAACAATTGTTATGAATAGAAAAAACATTCCGGTTGGAAAGTCAAAATTCCAAAATTTTTGTATCCTTTCATCAATTGTTTCGATTGGATCAGATTCCACTGATTCATAAACAAATGTTATTCGTTCCAATATATCATCCCATTGATAAAAATTTTTAACCATTTCATGTGATTTTTCTGGTGCAATAATTTTGCCGCGCTTTCTATCATTAATGGCACGAACCATACCATTATAAATACCTTCAACAGAAGGTTCAGCAAACCAGATTAATTCTTCAGGTAAAACTTCAGGAACGCCACCAACTTTTGTGCTTACAACTTGTAGTCCACAAGCAGTAGCTTCGATTATTGCAATACAAAAGGCTTCGGTTAATGAACAATTCAGGAATATATCACCTTGAACCATAACATCACGAACTTTTTCCGGATTTACATGACCAACTAATGTAACACGATTCTGTAATGAATGTCGTTCGATTACCTCCTCTAATACTATACGTTTTGGTCCTTCACCACCGATCAAAAATTTAATCGAAGGATATTGTCGACATATTTGTGGAATGACAGCAGCAAGTAAATCAATACCTTTACGATAAACTAATCGTGATAGTACAACGATAGTCACTATATATGAAATTGAAGTAAATTCATTAGGAATTTTCACCAAAAAAAACAACAACTTACATTTATCACTTTTATTAATTTGATTAGCTGTCGATAATGGACGAAATACATCCGTATCCACTGGATGTGGTATCACAAATATTCGATTTGGATCAACACCTGCTCGTAGTGCTGTATTTTCTTTACTAAAGAAAAAAAAATGTCCATTATTTATGAGGATTAGATAAATTTGATGATTGAAACCGGCACTCACCCTGTATGAGAAACACAAATAACACGATTACATACTGAAAGCATCACTTTCAATAATTTATTCGTTATAATTGCACTTGAATCAGCAAAACCAAATAACGAATGATCAGTAAATACTGTTTTCAATCCTAATGTTTTTGCATGAAACATAACTTCATGTGCTAATGCAGAAAAAGCTGAATGGCCATGAACAATGTTGATTTGTTCACGTATAAGAATATAACGAACAATAGGAAAACTGGTGAATAATGTTGGCAATGTACATTGATTATAGATGACTAAAAATGGTAGATAATAAACTTTTAGGCCAGATGTCATATAACGAATACCGACACGATCATCATATGCATGCGTTATGACAATTACTTTATGTCCTTTTCGTAGAAATCGCTGTGATAATTGATAGACATGACTTTCGACACCACCGATGTTTGGATGGAAAAAATCCGATGCCATACTTGATAAAAATAAACCAACCAAAAAATTTGAATTTATTTTCAAAATGAATAAAAATTTATCTTACCAAATTCGATACATGATGCATCATGATTAGATTGATGAGTATTATGACTTTTTGAATGGCTCCATCACGTGATTGTGTCCTAATTTTTTTTTTCTGGTGTACCTATTTGTTGAATATAGTCCATCAATATCAATCGATCGATCGATCGAAAATCAATAGCTGTAATTTTGAAATAATGTTTGCCAATAGAATAGCTATTGTAACTGGTGGTGGATCAGGAATTGGACGTGCTGTATGTAAATTATTGGCAAAAGAAAATGCTTCGGTTATTGTGGCCGATCGTAATGTAAAAAGTGCACAAGAAACAATTACATCGATGAATGGCGGACAACATGTAGCTATCGAAGTGGATGTTGCAAAATTGGATTCAATCAAATCAATGTTTGAATCGGTGAACAAAACATATGGATCCGATGAGGTCGTAACTTTGTTAGTAAATTCAGCTGGTATCACAAAAGATGGATGGATGATCGATATGAAACCGGAAGATTTTGATCAAGTTTTAGATGTCAGTCTCAAGGGAACATTTTATACGACACAAATTGCATGTAAAACAATGATCGATAAAAAGAAAAATGATGGTGGATCTATTGTAAATTTTACCAGTGTTAGTGCCAAAATCGGTAATATGGGACAAGTAAATTATGTGGCTGCTAAAGCTGGTGTCGAAGGTTTAACACGTACAGTAGCACGAGAAATGGGTAAATATAATATTCGTTGTAATGCCGTTATACCTGGTTTCATTGATACACCAATAGTTGAAACTGTACCTGAACATATTATGCAAGGAATGTTATTGTTAACACCATTAGGTCGAATGGGAAAACCAGAAGAAGTGGCCGATGCGATAAAATTTTTACTTTCAAAAGAAAGTTCATATATTACCGGTGCTATGCTTCAGATTTCTGGTGGTCTTTTTATGTGAAATTTATTTGTTTTTGAATCATGTAGTTTTTTTCTCATCATACAAATAAAATAAAATGATTCGAAATTCTTGACCCGAAATATATAACAAAAAAATGAAAATGAAATTGATGATGATCACGCATGCTCCTGCTCTCTATACCCGAAAAAAAATTCGATAGCTAAATCCTCATCATTTATAAACATCACCATTATCATCATTATTCTTTGTGGATAACATTCAACGACAAATTTTATCCATTTTTAAAAATTCTCAATGATCATGGACAAATGGTATTTTGTAATAATAAACAAAATTAAATCATCCAATTATTATTGTAATGAAATTCAACAAAATGATAATGTTTAAATGATATATATATTGGAAAAAAAATCAAATTCGCTAATAAAAATGGCACATTCAAATTCGATGATTATATTTGCTTCAATATTATTCATATTATTATCCGGTGATGGATTATTACGACCACTAGATAATACAATATTTGTTCATGCATATTATTGCGATAATGATTATTGTAATTCCGAACAGGTAAGTAGTGTTTGTTTGATTCTATTACGAATTTGATTTTTTCATCTCTTCATTTTTTTAAATTTTAGTTCTGTTGTGGTGAAAATATTTGCTGTGATTATGTTAATAATACAATCTGGCATTTCATCTGTTATCTCATATCGTTCATTGTATTTGCATTCATTTTATGGGGCATATTTCAATTAATAATGGGAATCATTTCCAATATGAAATATCCTAAGGAACGAACAAAAACTAACAACAACAACAACAACGACAACAACAACAAAGATGATGATGATGATGAAAATCGAAAATTTACGCTCATTTAGACTGATGACAATGATGGATGGATGAATTTTGTCAAATTTATAGAACAAAAAAAAAATTAATGCCAAAAAAAATGAAATTTTTTCTTTTCAACATTTATAGCTAATCTATATTAGTTTGAAGCTTGTCAAAACATTTTTGTTGAACAAATCCATACGTACAAATATTAATAACGAAAACCAACAACGTCGACAAGAATCGAACATTTGTTCAAAATACACACACACACACACACACACATAAATATGTATTCTAATTCTATCTATTTCGCATTTCATTTTATCATCATATATAGCAGAAATGAATTGAATTTTAAACAACAACAACAACAACAACAAATTGGTCAAACATGATTGTGATATAGTTTTATATATTTATTCTTAATTATTATCAATTATCAATTATCGATTATTACTATTAATATGATGATGATTATATATAGTACAAATACAAATTATTGGAGAAAAAAATGGTGATTCAATTTAACTTTTTTTTTCTGTGTAAACAAAAAAGCAGAAAAAATTCTGACCAAATAAAAAGAACGTGAAAAAAAAAATTTATAATCGACGTTGATGATGATGATGATGATGATGATGAATAAAGTGGTGCATTTTTTTTTTTTTTTTTTTGCTTATTTCTGGTGGTGCATCACAGTTATTATTATTGAACAATATAAATGTCGAACGCTTGTTTTTTTTACAAATATACTGTGTACATACGGTTTTTTTGTGTATTTACAAAAAAAAAATGATCATCATCATCATCGATTATAAGTGTGTGCGATATGAAAAAAAATCAAACAAATTTAACTCAAATGTTAACAAAACAATGACAAAAAAAAAGTTTCGAACCAATTATCATGTGGTGGTTGTTTTTGAATTTTCAAAATTCAATAAAAAAAACAACAAATGAAAAAAAAGAAATTTTTTAGTGGATAAATCGTTTTTTCTTTCTTTGTTCAGTGTGTGTGTGTGTGTATGTGTGAGATAGAGATCGAATGAAAAAGATTCATAAACGATTCATTTCTTTTTCTTCCATTGAAAACTAATTTTTCGATTCGACATTCCTGGAGAATGATCAACGTTTGTCGTTTGTTGATGATATCCAGCTTGAATTCTTGATGGCACACCAGTCATCATCATTGACTCTTGTCTGTTCATTGTTTGTTGTGATTGATTCACAATTGGATTCTGTTGTTGATGATGATATTCCATTTGTGCTAATGCTGCCATTTGTTCTTGAGCTTTTTGTAAAAGTTCATCTTTAGACATTGAAGCAGCAACCGGTTGTGAAGAAACAGATTGACGTAAACGTGGATCATTGAATGAAACATTATTCTGTGGAATATTTTTTGCATCGACTAAAAGTGAAAAAAAAACAAAATTAATAAATAAACAATACGATAATCCTAAATATTACCATTTGATGAATCGATTAAATACGGAGTATTATTGTTTCCACCACCACCACCACCACCATCCATCATTATTCGTTGAGCATCGACAACTTGAGTGGTTTTCTCTTGAACATTTCGAAGTATATCTTTCAAATTATCCGGTAATTGAATATTTTTAATATTAGGAATAAGATTATCAAAAGATAAGGAAATTGAACTAGTAGAAGCTGGTATTATATTTGAAGGCATTGATGTCGTAGTCGCCGGTCGTTGTTGTTGTTGTTGCTGCTTTTCAACATTTGTATGTGAAGAAACATTCTGTTCATTGTTGGTATTCTGTGTTTGTATAGTATGTTGAAGTTTATCTTCAACTTTTGCTTGTAATTTACATAATAATTTTCCCTGTAATTCTATATTTCCCGTTTCGACAATTGCATTCAATATTGATGCTGTCATTTCGATCGGATTTGAACTTGATGATACCTTTTCAATCATATCACTCAATTTTTCTTCATCATGATTAGATGATTTTGTTGATGATTTGAGATCATGTTTTGCATTTATTATTGACACTTTATTGTCTGATCGTTGATGATAATGATGTTGTTGTTGGCCAATTTTTTTCGTACCATCAGATATTTTTGGCGTTGAATGTAGTAATGGTGGTGGTGTATAAGAACCATCATCAGGATCAGTAAAAGGAGGAGTGGTGGTGGTGCTTGTTGTATTCGATGATAATGGTGGTGTATATGATCGTTCATTGACCGAAGGCTGATATACAACGATGATGATAATAAAAATTATTTTCAAATATTTGAACATATCTAATAATCACTTACCGAATCATTCTGTTGTGTTGATTGTGAAATATTTGATGGTAATTGACTGTTGTTATTGTTTGATTTACGACTTTTAATCAATATTCCCAACAGTAGATTTGGTCGATGATTTTTTCTTCCAATTTCTCCAATCAAATTGACTATTATGATAAAGAAATAGAGCAAATTATAATTTTATTCTGACCAGAAAATCAATTACTTACCAGAATTATTTGATGGAAGCAATATTTCTGGTATATCACTATTCTGTGACAATGGTAAAATGTAAAAATCTTTATAGCCATTGTTAGAATGTTTTATATAAACAACGCCCAATCGATTACGGGTAGTAAGATAATTAAAGAATGCATCATAACCAGTACGTTCTTCACGTGATGACCAAACAAATTTCATCAATACAATCTCTGAATGTTTGAAATTTTCAATTTTTCAATATAATCCAACGCTTGTTCCGGTGCAATACGACCACAAACGGTAATCTGATCAACATAATCATGCTATTTGGGAAAAGTGAGAAAAAAACCAATCAAATTATTGATTTAAAAAAATAAGCCGAAATTATATTATATTATAACATACTCTAAGATGATATTTGATTTCGTTAGCATTTCCAGTGATAACCTGTGCAGTTGCAACAAACCGGGCCACATCTTGCATAAAAATTGTTCCCTTCCAAACGGGTTTAGTAGTCTTATTGTTGTTGTTATTATTATTATTACTACTACTGTGTTCATTAGCGCTATGTTTATTGCCATTAGTTTCAGAATTTTTATCACGAGAAATTTCTTTAGATGATTGTTTTGTCAACGATTTTGTCTTATTCATATCATTTGTCGTAATAGATTTATCTTTATTATTATCATTATTATCAGATGATTGAGTATCAATACTGTTAATCGTTGACGATTGTTGAATTTCCATAAGAATCTTATCGGATAATTTTTTTTCCGCTTCTTTTAGAAATTCATTGAATGATTCATTTTCAACACGAACACGTTTTGGTTGTAAACGTTGTACAACAGGCGGTGATGAATCAATTTCTTGTTTAATTTTAGCAACGGGTGATGTAGGTGGCATCATTGCTGCTGTTGTTGTTGTTGTTGTATTCGAAATATTATCTTTTTCAAATGATGATGGCAATTTATTCGATTCAGTGGTAGAGTTTTGTATACAAATTTTACAATTACTAGAATACACATGTGTAGAATGTTGAGAAGTTGTATCCAGTAAATCCAAAACAGATGAATCATTGTTATCTTGTAATATTGTCGAATCTTTTACAGGTGATTCCAGTAAATTACTCATGTTCAATTCATTATCAGTTTGATTCGAATCATTTAATGTAGCTAAAAAAAATTAGAAATTAATTTTAGGCAATCAAATCACAATCAAAAAAAAAAAAAATTTACCTTTTTGATTATTGGCTATAATATCCGATGATGATGATGTAGGTAGATCCAATACAAGATCATTCTCAATAAATTCTTCACCTTTATGTGTTTTTTTAACAATCACCTGATTAGCCTGATCGAATGCATCTCTTGTTATTAATTGTATCATTGTTTTTTTCTCATGTTCACGCCAACGTGATAATTCAGCTGATGCCAATTCTTCGGGCGTCATATTCACTAAACGTTCAGGTGATACTTTGCCTAATAAAACTTTACGATATAATGTATTTTTTGTGTCACGTAAATTAAATATCAATGAACGAGATTTTGTCTGATATTTTGAATTGACAGCTTTAAACACTTTAAATAATTCATTTTCAATATGCAAAGAAAGTTTAGTTATCTCACTAAATGATGATATTGTTGCCTTTTCATCGATAGTCATTTCTTTATATCTAAATTTGGAATTTTGGAAAAAAGAATCATTAAATTCTACAAACATAATGATAAAAAACTGAATAATTTTTACCTAGATTTTAAAATTTCATTAATCGTATTTCGTACATATTGACGACGACTTTCATTTTTATTATCATTCGATGTATCCGATGAAATACTTGATGTACGTTCCAATCTATGAGTTGTCGATGATGATGATGATGATGATTGTTTAGTTTTATTATTACTTGATGTTGTTTCATTTAATGATGAAAATTTGCTTGTGGATAAAGATTTTGTCGGCGGTGATGATGATGATGATGTCGTTTTATTAGCAGCACTAGTTGTTGTTGTTGTTACACCACTATTCGAAGATTTTCGCAATGCACTTGGTTTATAAATCTCATATGTTTGATTCTTGAGAATAAAATCCAATACATCTTTGTCCTGTATGTTGTCTTTTCGATCATTATTTGATCGATCAATTAGAATTATTTTCAATGATGATGATTGTATAGGCATTGTTGTTGTTGTTGTTTTTTCTTTCATTCGTTTCAATGAACGTAATGTTTTCAACATTTCTGTTACATGTGTTTGTATACAATCTTGATTACAATAAATGGATTTCATATGCTGTTCATTTTTCTGTATATTAATTTTTGTTCCACCACAATGATTATTATTTGGACAGATAATATTATCATTCAATAATGATAACGATGACGATGTTGTTGACGATGATGATGTTGATGTTCGACGTGAATCAATGGTTGTTTTACGTTGTTGTTGTTGTTGTTGTTGTTGCTGCTGTTGTTGTTGTTGTAGAATTGGTGATAATTGATTATTTGTATTATTTACAGCTATATTATTATTATTATTATTATTATTATTCGTAGCATTAGAGGCAGTAGTATTGATCGAGGTAGATGATGATGATGATAATGAACGCATTAAAACAGTAGATGGTTCCGCTTTAAATAAATCTTGTACAGATTGATCAATTGGATCAATTTTATGTTTCTTTTTATTCAAACTATTAATATTATTATCATTTGTTTGTTTGGATTGTTGTTGTTGTTGTTTGGTGAATACTTTAGAGAATTCAGTTTCAGAATTTAATGAATTTGTATTATTTGTAAATGATGTTGAACTATTCGATGTATCATGTTGGCCATTATCATTATTGTTAACGTGATGATCATCTTTCATTTCCAGTGTTGATTCCGGTACATGATTACTTGTTGTTGTTTGTTCATTATTAGATTTTAATTTTTCTCGTTTTTCATTCAAATCTTTTTTCGATGCTTTTATCAATTTTTTCAATCGTCGTTTTTCTTCCTCTTCTTTTTCTTTCATTGATTCAATCCTCGAACTATTTGATCGTGATATATGACGAGATTTTGTCGATTTCGTTTGCTGTTTTTCAGAACTATCATCACCATCATCGCCATCATCATCATCTTCATCATCATCGTGTGCAGATGAATGTTTCGATGATGAATCTTTACGTACACGTGGTTTTTTAGACAAATTTTTTCGTTTTTTCTCCAATCGTTTTTCCTTTTCCACACGTTCCAATGCTTTCTTTTCAGCAATTTTATGTACTTTTAATTCTTCTTTTGGTATGCCTTTATTGTTTAAATCTTCTCGACACGATGGACAATACCAATCTTCGCCTAATTTTTCCATTTTACGACCTATACAATGAACAGAAAATGAAATGATTTTATTAGTGAAAAAATGTCACTGAATGGCAATCAAAACAAACCTTGAACTTTTGTTACATTTACACATTTTCCATGAAACCATTCTTCACAAAGGTCACAGCCAATCATAAAACGATCATCGTATGGTTGTCGACAAATACACCTGCAAATGAATAAATGAAATGATTACAAAAAAAAATTTCAAACTTATGTAATAAAAACAAACCATAATTTTTCCGGATCATCATCTGAATCAAAATTTGAATCATTTTCTTCATTATTAGATGATTCACCATCATTATCATCAGCATCGATTTTGTCCGAAATACTTTCGTCATCCATTTCTTCATCATCTTTGACCGGAATATTTTCTTCTTTTTTAATTCTACTACTACTACTTTCCACAATAATCAATTTTGTTTTATTATCCGATTTTTTAGCCTTTTTAACCGGTGGTGGTTGCTGTTCATCACGTTTTGATTTTGAATCATCCTGTACATTGGTAATATTCAATCGGCCACCACTAAAATCCACCTCTAGTTCATCATTATCCCAACGTTTTGGTTTTTTACGTGTTCGTTGTACACGACCACTGGCCGATATGTTTGCTTCGGAATTCATACCGGAAGATAAGTCTGTTTCATTCATAATAATGCTATTGTCGGTTATTGCAGCTGCTGCTATCGAGATATTTTGAGAATTTTCCAATAAATTTTGTTTTTCGTTCGTTGTTGTTGTTGTTGGTGCTGTTTTGGTTTCAACGTTGATTTTTCTTTCCTCCAGACACTTAACACCACCACCACCAACACCAACAGAAACAGAAATGTGATCAATTTGTTGTCGAAATTTTTTCTTTTTGTGTTTTTTATCTAGACGAAAAAAAATAGAAATATTAGCCAGCAATCATATTAACAATATAGTCTTACCTGAATTCTTTTTATTTTTCAACAATTTATTCTTGATACGATCTTTAACTTTTTTAAGTTTTTTACTCAATTTAAATGCCTTTTTTTCGAAATAATAATGAATCGATCAATCACAACAATCAATGATTTTTTTTTGTAATACATACCTTTTTTGGTTTCGAATATGAATGTTCAATCAATGTAAATTGTTCGAATGATAAAGAATCATCGAAACGTAGTACATTTTCATCATTATCACCAATAAAAACACTGTTTAATTTATCAATTTTATTTGTTAACAATTCAGATTTAGAACGATTCATTCCAACAACAACTATCGGTGATGGTGATGATGATTTATTTAAACTTTTTTGTTGATCAATTGTTGTTGTTGATGATTTTAGGGCACTAAACATGGAAAATTTTTCATTATTCGATGATGGCAATGTTGTTGTTGTTGTTGTTGCTGCTGCTGTTGAAGTATATGTCAATGAAGGTGATGATGATGATGATGATGATTCGGTGGACGACGTATGACGATTGATGATCGATGTTGATTGAATAAGCGCTGACTTTGTATTTCGATTATTATTTTTAATATTATGAAAATTATTACTATCAATTTTTTTTACATTTGTTTCGGTAAAATTTTCATCCGACATTTTAATTTATAGATTTGGTCGAGAAATTTGAAAAAATTTTTTTTTGTTTGTTTGTTTGTCATGTGAAGCAAACGGAAAAAAAACAGCAGAAAATGATTTGGATTTTTTTTTACAACAAATTGATTTAAACAAAACAAAAAATGAATGAATGAATGAATGAATTGAAAAGTCAAGTAGCCAAGTAGCAAGGTTTTGTTTATTTATCAGGTCCACACAAGAATAATATTCCGAATCGAATCCGAATGGAATCATTAAGTTTTTTTTTCTAATGCAAGACCACCAAACAAAAATGGCTGTGTTTTATATATATATTTATTTCTCTTTAATAACCGAATATAAAAGAACACGTGTTTTTGTTTCGTCATATACACAATTTTTTTTTTTACATTTTACACATATATAAAATAGACACAAAAAAATTTATGTAGAGAAAGAGAGAGAAAAGCCACAGCAATAATCATGAAATGATGATGAAATTTTTTATGTGTTTGATTAATTCTATAAAATGAAAAAACGTTCGAAATGAAACAAAAAAAATCGGAATAAATAGTGATGATGTTTTTTTCTTCACACACACACAACAACAACAACAACAATGGTGTAGAATATAACATAAAAACGATTGATTTTGAATAAACGAAAAAAAAAATCTTGATTTCATAGAATATTTTTTTTCGATACAAATTTTTTTTTTTTTGTTCGAATAATAAATTCTTTTCAGGTTCCTTTTGGTACATTGAATCGATTTGATTTTGATTCCGCCATTTTCACGCTCAATATACATACACACACAAATACATACTCAACACACACACACACACCAAGGAAAAGAAGCACACACACACACACACACACACAAGATACTTTCACTCTCTCTTTCTCTTTTTCACTTTATGATATATTATCCTGTGCTGTCGCCTATAGGAGAGTCTGTGTGTGTGAAAAAACTCACACACGCGATATTATTTTAACCCAATCATGGCAAATATGGTTGAAATAGACACAAACGAATTTTTTGAATTAAAACAAAAAAAAATTTTAAAAAAAAAATGGAAATGGAAATGTTTTTTTCGTATAAACAACAATCGAAATGAAAACAAAACATGTGCATTGAAAAAAAAATTTAAAGAAAAAAAAATTGGTTAAAATTTCTCTCGTAACCAATCATCAAAATCAGATGATGTTTGTTCTACAGAACTGTCGACAATAATCGATGATTGTTTTGCGGTAAATTGATAATCATCGATTATAAAATCATTTAAACATTCCAAATCTAATATAGTGGATTGATTATTATCAATAAAATATGATGGTGATTGTGGTGGTGGTGGTGTTCCATTTTCAAAACTTTTCAAATGTTTTGGTGTTGATGGACAATCCGTAAATGTTTTTGAACTCCATTCAATAATTCTATTATCAATATCAGATTTATTTGATCTTTTTGATTTTTGTCCATCAATAGATTTGGAGCCTCTTCGTTTATTCGTTTTTTGTTTTCCAATAAATTTTTCACATTGGTCTTTAAGGTAGACAGTTTTTCCATTAGGATTTTCTTTCGAAATCAAAGATGAATTACTGGATGAAAATGAACATTTTGTTGATGATGATGATGATGATGATGATTTTGTCGAACAAATTTCATCACGACTTGATATAGATGAAGCTGGTGATGATGGTAGTGATGATAATGAACAAGGACTAGAGGAACTATATCCAGAATCGGATACAGGATCATTATTGGATTGTTTTTTACCATTTTTATCCGTTGAATATTGTTGTTTAATTGTGGATAAATATTCTTGAAAAAAACGCATTCGAGATTGAATATCATCTTTTGGATTGGATAAATTTTGAAATGGCGGCAATATATGATTATTCGATTTGGGTTTGGGCACCATTTTTCGTTGCTGTTGTTTTTTTGTTATTTTAACATTTTTGTTTTTCATTTTTACCATTGGTTTCGGTTTCGTAGTGGCAATTACAATTTTCCTATCTTTTATAGGCAAAAGTCTATTTGCAATAAGTTCCATTTTGAAACGTTGATTCTGATTTTTGTCGTTATTGTTGTCATAAATTTTTTGTCGTTTCTTTTGAATTCTAAAATCTGATGGTAAATGAATCAATGATATGTTGTTGTTTGGTTTCGAATCTTGGTCATTATCAATTTGTTCATTTGAATCTAATCGTTCATTTTCTTCGTGTAAATCACCCAATTTAAATGGAATATCGATACGAAGAAAGTTTTCAATTTCATTGAAAAGTACGTCAAGTTCTTCTTTGGTTTTTGGATAATTTTTTCTTTCAATTATTGTAATGCTATCCAGTCCATCAAGTTTCGGTGGTAAATCAATCTTACATAAATCGTCAATTTTATTGAATAGAACATTCAGTTCATCTTTAGTTTTTGGACATTTTTTCTCTCTGGGCGGCGATGGTAATATCTTGGTCAATCCATCAAGTTTCGGCGGTAAATCAATTTTGCATAAATCGTCAATTTTATTGAATAAAATATTCAATTCATCATTAGTTTTTGGACATTTTTTCTCTCTCGGTGGCAGTAATGTTTCATCCAGTCCAACCAATTTAACGGGTAAATCAATAATATTACATAAATTGTCGATTTTATTGAATAAAATTTTCAATTCTTTCCCATTGGTTGGACATTTCGTCATCAAACACTCATTAATGATTCGTTTTTTAAAATTCATTATGGTTGATGGTCATTTTGAATATATTTTTTCTTGGTTTGAATGATCATATATCATATTTTTAAATAAACAAGGAAAAAATTTTGAAATTTTGTCAAAAAAAAATTCGGCAATATTCGGCATGTATGTCTGCAAAAAAAAACAAACAGACACATGGAGAGATTGTTCATCAAAATAATGACAAGAATTATAGCTGAATATAATCAATGCCATCTTGTGAAGAAGTAAATAAAATTAATTCTAAATTGTTCTCGCTAGATGGCGTTTGTATACTGAATTTTTTTTAATTTGATCCCATTTTTTTATTTCAAATTCGAACACAACAAAATCAACAAATTCAAAAAAAAAAAATTGTAAAAAAAGGTGAAAAAAGGGAGTTTGTTGAGTCCATCGAAATGAAAAATAAAGTCAAAAAAGTGATTATAATAACCGAACAGAAGAATTGAAAGATTTTCATCAACAACAAACAACAATCAACGTGACATTATTATCATTTATTTTTTTTTTTGTTGTTGAAAATGGAAAATAACGTTTTTTTCAAATTTGAAACTTGATTTTCTTTTTTTTTTTGTGTGTGTGGTCTTTTTTTTCCTGTCGTTGTTGATATTGTTGTTGTTGGTATATGGTGGTTAATCGGCTTATCATCATCTGAGCTCGGTTTTTCATTCACTTATTTCATCCACTTTTATTTTTGACGAAATGGACCTAATCGCTCTACACATAATAAAGTGTGGCGCCAATAAAAATAAGGCATCTGTTCCACAAATATATATCTATATTATTTACAATGATCCACTTTCAAGTGTGTGTCTGAAGACACACACACTTGCATTATATTGTGAAAATAAAACACCCCGATTAACTTACGACAACTACGACGACTATGTTTTTATAGTGTGTCCACCATCACCATCACCACCACCACCACCATACCACACCACACACACAACCATCGATTTGACTATAATCGACTATAACCAACAATAACAACACACACACACACACACACAATTGATTTGAAAAAAGAAAACGATCCATCCAAAAGTAAAAATGAATAAGCCTCTCTCAGTTTTTTTTTCTTGGATCAATACGAACACTTTTAGGCATCAATTACACACAAGTCACAAAGTGTCTTTTGTGATTTCTAAATCTTTTTTTTTTTGCAACAACAACAACAACACAAAAAAAACTTCCTTTTTTCTTTCTTGTAGTGGTGTGGTGATGGTTGTTGTTGTTGTTGTTGTTTAAAATCTCATTCTCCATTGTGTTCAATTTGAAAATTGTTGATTATGGCTACAAATGTAATATATTCATTCATCATTCATTTACTTTGCTGCTTGGTTGGTTGACTGGTCGAGATTGTTCAAGTCAATGAATGTTTTTTTTTCTTAAATTGATTGAATGTCACAAATTACAAAGAGAGAGAAAAAAAACTCTGAAAATAAGTCATCAAG